ATTTTTGGCGGCTTTGTGCAAGGAGGCACTTGAGGGGGGGGGGGGGGGGGGGGGGGGGGGGGGGGGGTTCTCTGCCGGGTAGAGCAGGGGAATGAAAGCCGCTCCCATTCCAACACAAAGATGGAACAGTAAAGTGTTCTTCATCATTCAAAGATCAAGAAAGCGCGCTCCGTTGAAGTACGCCTGCAATCCCAGAAAACAGTTGGGAAGAGAGAGAGAGAGAGAAGAAAGAGTAAGGAAAACGTAAAGAAGAGGTGGTCGATATTGTCTAAAGTCATTTCAAGGTCGTGGAGGTTGTAGAGTTGAATCATCAAGCGTTGGTGACCTGGGAAGCATGTTAGTTATAGGATTTCGATGGCTGGTAGCAGCACATTGACGCACCTTCAATATCCTCCTCGAGTAATCCTCGTTATCGGCAATGCTTCCATCACTCATTCTTCTTTGTGCCATAGCATCAGGGTCAATGCGGGCATCGGGACCTGCAGATCTGAAGGCCATGGGCTTTTGGGACGAGCTCGAGTAATCGTTGAGTTGCTGGTGACCGGTCTCTGCCTCACGACGTTGCTTGCGGCGCCAGAAGAAGAATGCAGCACCAGCAAGGGCGGCGACAACGACAATACCAACGACAACACCAACAGCGATTCCAACAGTGTTGGAGCCTCCCTTCTTGGATTCTTTGGCGCCGGCAGAGTTTGTAGCCTGAGAAGCAGGTGCTTGTGTGATGATGACGGTCTTGCCAGGAGCAATGCTGGTGATGACGGTTGCCTTGTCTGATGCGGCGGAAGCAGACGTAGCACCAGTCACTGTGGAGGCTGCTGAGGAGGTTGATGAAGAGGCGGCAGAAGACTTGGCTGCGGCGGATGATGAGCTAGACGAGCTAGATGAACCGCCACCGCCGTAGTAGTTGATATCGGTTTCGGTGGTTGTGAAGTAGACGCTCCAGTATCCGTTGCCACCACCTATATGCGAATTAGCACATGCGAGCATACGGTATTGCCAGTGATAGCTTACAAGTGTCAGTCGGATATCCTACACATGCCAAGCTGCACTTGGAATTGTCTGTCAAGCTGCTCTTAGGTGGCAGCGTGGTACCGCACCAACATTCGTTGGCGTTGGACATGGCCATGACGGTGGCATCGGCGCCGATGCATTGTTCCTGACAGTGACCTTTGGACTGGTAGTTGTATGTGTCGCTTTGCGTGAGGCCGTCAGAATCGTTGAAGCATCCAGCACTGGTGACGACTCCAGCGGTGAGGGCAGATGTCAGAGCCGAGAGGGCCAGAGTGACAGCTGCAACAGAACGCATCGTTGACAGCATGTTGTGCGAAAGTATTTTGGCTGAGAGTCGCGAGAAGAGGTTGTGTGTGTGAGTGTCGGATGGTGCGACTTGAGTAACGTCAGTCGCCTTGTCGTGCAACCACAGCTGAACAGGTCAAGTGCCAACCTCGTGTCCGTATTAGCCAACTCAAAACCACACTATCGTGACCAGCACGCGGAAGTGTCTATTTTTTGGTGGATTATCAAGATCTCGAATAAAATCCTGTATAAAAATGCCCGAGTTTCGAATCTGCCTCTTGTGGGTGTGTCGCAAGATGGCAAGCGGGAATGATGTTTTGGTCAATACAGGTTTGAGGAATGTAGAGTCCAGGGATTAGTGTGTCACTCTGAGGCCGGTCGATGGTTGTCGAAGGGGAAAATAATGATAGCGAATGTATATCTGCCAGGTGAACAGGCAGTGTCGGACGGTCTAACTAGTGCAGTCGATGATGAATTGATGGAGACTTGGATAGAGAGCGAAGACGGAGAACAATCGAAGAAGAGAAAGACAGCGTCAAGGGCAGAGACGTCCGTGTCCGTGACCAAGCAAGCAGCCGCTCCCTCCGTCCACTTCAGTCTTCCGTCCACTGATCAACCCAGCCCCGTTGCGTCTTGCCCGTTGCGCTAAAGCAGGAACCGCTTAGTGTTCCTGATGGCCCCTGGCCAATATTGAAACACTTGAGAAAATGTCAACAACTTTGTTTTCCGAGCTGCCTCGCAGAAGAGACAATCAGATTGTTTCCTCACTATCGATGGGTATCCACCGGCCATTTCTCACTTCTCCGACCAGCTCTCACTCATGCGCATCTGCTCATCCCTTTCGGTAGCGCTCAATACACCACCTGTTCTAGACCCCCCTGGGCTAAACGCGTACCCTCTCGCGTACCTGATCCCAATCTCATGGCCAGTGCGCACAGGCCCATTTCTGCTCCGCCTGACTCTTTTCGCTCCCTCTCCTGCTCGGCCACGTTGATGCGCCAAGCTCCGTTTCTTTAATTCCCTCTTTCCTCCATGAGAAGCCGTTCACAACGTCTCTCAAATGACAGGATCGAAGACCGTCGCAGGATGCAGGGTAGGATCCATCACCACGGGGAAGAGAGGAGAACAAGAAGGAAAAAAGGGCAAAGTATTCATCGTCGCTTAGGTACTCGTGTACTTCATCCTTCACCCCACGCCTTCTCGTGTTCCTCGATGTTGATCTCACTTTGTCCGAAGCACTCGCGTTCCTGTTGATCATCGACTACCTTTTCTCTCCCGTCATTAACCTCTTACTTTTCTGGCGCCGCCCGCATGTCAGCCATGCGCCACGTTTTTTCCCCGTCGCTGATAATCATTAGTCTGGAGTTGTTCTTGTGTTCAAATCCATGACCATTCTTCACTCGATGTTTTGTTGTTCTCTCATACCAACAACGAAAGCCGTCATGAGCCGTCGGGTTGAACTCGGTCCTTGAACATCATCTCCGTCGCGACGTCGGCTTTTTTGCAACAGACAGCATGACAGCCCAGCGCGGAGGTTTCAGACTGCGCTGGGCTGGCGTATAACGTTGCTTGGCTGTTTTGTATTTGGTCTTCCACAGAGACGAAAGGCAGTCTTCCTGGATGCCATTAAAGCCATCTGTCACCTTCTCATCAACCTATCAATCCCATCCGCATATGATAGAGTGTCCCTCGTATGGACAGCCTGATAACTGGATCGACTGGTAGAAGTCTCAGGATCCAACTGATATGGTCATCTGGGCATATTCATTAGATCCCAAACGGCAGTGCCACCACAATCGTTCTTGCCATTCGGATACACAACCACAATCCACGACTCGAAGAAGCTTCAGGCCTACGAAAGAGGAGTTTTCAACAAACTCCAGCTTCCAAACCTTGTAACCTTGCTATGGTTCGTGGTCATTGCACTGTTGTGCGCAGCGTAAGTTGTTTCACCCTTCTCCTTGACTTTATACCCGTGAGGCTGGATTTGCCTTAAACCGCCATCAACCGCATTTCAATAGGCCTCCCGAGCCTACAAGCAGATCGACGATACCCGAACTCCAGGTTCCCACGATCCTCGAAAATGGCGCAAACTGTTGTTCTCTTTGTTCGTCCCTTGTTTCGCGCATTGTTGCCTGCCTAGCCAGCTTGGCTACTCATAGGTTATCCCTTGAAGGTTTAAACTTTGGTATCCAGTTTTGGTTTGACACGCACGACATGTACAGAGACAGGACTCGTCAGCTGCGGTCTTGTCGCCGCTCTTGTCCGACCATATCACGAAGGTTGGTCAACGTTAGATGTCGCTGCTTGTCGATGTTTTAGTCACAAGTCTGCATGGACAGGAACACATCGTAGTCTTGAATCGGCAGGCCAGATGAAGCAATGACTTTTTGAACCATCCATATACCATTTGAGGCGCTTGACTTTACATATGCGTCTTCTGCTTCGACCCATCCAAACTTTGAAGCACGCAGCAAGCTATTATTACTGTGCATTTACGCCGGTGACACACGCCTGCCATGCAGCCATGCGGTGTCAACGTTTTTGCCTAGATATTTATATACTTAACAAGATCTTCTGGTCCCATGGCACGAAGCAGGAGCCGAGCATGCTGTGCTTCTATTCGATATCGTGGATCTACCGGCAGATGGATTCAGCAATGTCGCTTCTGGCAAAGCGAAATATGCGAATCTCCATGGCTTCATGGACGCACCAGTCTGCCTCATCATACAAGAGCTATCGGTGGCAGCCTCGCCTGTCATCACAACATGCACAACTTTTCTGCGTCCACACCTGCATCTACGTTGTCTTGTGCACAGTAATTCCCCCTTGTTGCACTCAAATACCAGAAGACGTCGGTGTTGGTAAGCTCAACACCATATACGTCTATCCGACCCGTCCCGTCAAGTCATGATACACAATGACACAAACAACACAACAATGACAACATACACTCGGGACTCTAAACCCCCCGAGCACCCCGTCGTCACTATCCGCGGACACCGGCAGTGAACTCTCGGACCGTACAGCTCCCGCTGCCATTATGCCCGTGCTCTCCTCATTTCGGCACCTTGCTCCCGCTGACAAAAGGGTTCCGAATTTTTTTCTCAGGGTCGCCAAAATACTTGGTGCATCCATGTTCTGGCCAGCAAAAGAAGACTTTCCGACACGGGGAATTGAACCCCGGCCTCCTCGGACCTAGTTGTTCATTCGAACTGTTTGAGAGCGAGAAATCCTAGCCACTAGACCATATCGGATTTGATACAGGTAGACTTGCTCAGTCTGTATATAATATTTCAGCAAGTCTCTTATGAGCACAAGCTGTTGCTGTCATCACCCTGTTTGTTACTACCATCCTCTCTTCCCTCGGCCACAGCGAATTTGCTCGCTTGTCGATCAATCGCCCAGGACTTGGAATGTTCGAACCATATGAGGACAACACCCTGGAAACTTAAGTCCAGAGGCGGTTGAGATTGATCTCAAGACTCACAGAAGCCAGCCATACGCCAGCAGACACACACTGATCAGGTCAACTCTGACTTCTAACTTCTCCAGTACGAGGAACGTCAAGAAGTACATCACATTCGCTCAAGGAGATATGAGAAAAACATACTATGGACGACAATCCCAGATTTGCCCAGATTGTCAAGAACATCCTGTTCTAAGCATTGTTATCGACCAATCGACCATCGGGCACGCAAGCGAGCTTCAGGCTTCGCACGGAAATCTCTTCCCCACACCCACAAACTGCATAACAATGTTGCAACAGGAAGCCAGCTCACTGGCACACAGTCATCCCGCAAGGATCTCATGTCCACGCATGAGTTAGAGCAAAAGCAAAGGATTGTTCACTAAGGGGTTCTGGCTTGGCAAAAATCAAATGCCGCTTCTGTGGATCGAACACAGTGCCTCCAGAATACTCATGCATGTGCATGGAGGACAGAAGTTGACTTCAGTCTGGCGCTCTCCCAGATGAGCTAAAGCGGCTCATTGACGAGGCTCCACTCCAGCATAGTATATATATTTTGATCAAACGCCGAAGAGCACCACAGGCGTCTTGTGAGTCGAGCTCGGTATCAAAGACTGTTTTTAAGCACAGTACACCGCCCGCAATCATTCTGCGTCATCATTTTACCGTGTGTTGGATATCAAGCACGCACTCGACTTAGGGTCGCTCGCTCTTTCCTCCTCCGCAAGAGTTGATGTCACACGCGTGGAAGGAGCGCCTAAAAAACCTCGCAAAGAAGGAAGGAGGAAAGAAACAAGCGTCTGCTCCTTCCTGTTTTAGTCACAGACTTCAACCTATTTCGCTCCCGTATGATATTTGATTACCCTGTTGCTTCTGATCTGAGTTTGGGGTGCTGAAATTGCTGAACGCCTGCTGCGGCCTGGCATGGTCCTCTTTCTACCGCCTTCATGGTCGTTTTCTCTATCCCGACTCCAAAACGCAGGTCTTTCCCCTTTCTCACCTACTCGTCCGACTATGTCAAGGGGTTTTGTTTAAGTTGATTACACCCTTCCAGGCCACCTCTCCCATTTGGTAGTGACGTCTTCGCGCCTCCTCTGCGTTACTGGTCCAGATTCTAGACTCACCCCAAATAAAACTCGGGCAAACAGTTCACACGTCTCACCCCCTTCCAACAGGGTGCTTTCTAGCACTGTTCTAGATCTGGACACATGCTCCAAGTAGCAAAAAAAAAGCCCAACGTGGGGCTCGAACCCACAGCCTCAAGATATCAGGATAGAAGTCTTGCGCGCTACCATTGCGCCAGCCGGGCTGGTCTGTTGTGGCAGGCAAAGCCGCCGTGGTATACAAATGAGTTAGAAACGAGGAAGCTGTAACCCGGCATCCACGAGAGCAGAGACTGCGTCACGCGGAAGATGGTGGACAAGGATTATCATCAGAGGACCCATATACTGCTGACAGTGGACTGAATGAGGTATCGACGAGCTCCCTGAAGCCCGGATCTGAGCCGACCAACAGGACGATCCTAGGGCGACACCATGTCGAGTCGCGTCTTCGCTGACGGTAACTTGTCCTTTCTCGCCCTTGAGACTGTTCGCGAGATTTGCTCTACTCTGTTCTGCTCTGCTTCTTACTCGACTATCAAGGTTTCGATCACTGTAACTGCCGGAAGAGGATTCAGCAAGCGAGAAGGATTTTGCAGCTAGAGAAGCAGCTGCAAGCCTCGACGCCGAGCATTCATGCATGACTTTACTCTGCCGCCTGGAATATATGGGAGTGCATGCAACCTGGTCATGACCTGAAAATCTTCCATCCATCCAAGTAGCAAGCCTGGAAGATATACTGGTATCCTATAGTATCTAATCAACCTCGACAAATCTAGAACCGTGGACAATGTAGACAGGATGCATCAGCTGCTGTCCGAGGTCGCCTCGTCGGCCACTTTGGGTAAAGCTGATCAAGCTCTCAATTGGACTTGCATTGAGACATATTCTGACTTGGCTGTAGACCCTTGTTTGATGGTGGGATGCCAACATAGGATCAATCTGTAAGTGACCGACCATTGAATTATTGCGTGGCACTCCTCGTAGAAGAGGTGTCTAGGTGTTTCAGCTTTCAATCCTTCAAGTCAGCTCCTGCTTCCCTTTACTTGCGTTTTCTATATCTATATCCTCGTAAACCCTCCTACTTCCCATCAGATCATATTCACGCTCACCAAGCAACCATTCTTACCGCCAACATGAATATCAAATCTCTCCTCGCCCTGTCCTCTTTCCTCCTCCCTACCTTGGCAGTCCCTCAATATGCATCCCCTTCATATCCCACCATCTCAAACGACTCCAACACCACCAACCCTCAAACCCCAAATTTCTCCTCCCAACGACTCTGGAACCTCACAAACCGCTTCCTCCAAAACCACATGTACCCCCTCAATATCGCCCAATCCCTGTCCATAAACTCTTCCCTCTTATCCGAAGATATTCTCGGCCGCGTAGATGCCACCCGCGATTACGCAGGCAGAGAGCTAAACACTGAATATCTCTTCGGCCTCTTTGCAAATATTGCTTTGAACCCTGACGCTTTTACTCTGCTGGGCTATCCCATAAACTACACTTTTACGAGATTCTTGGGGCAAGGAAATGTGGTCTCTTTCGCGGCTGTTGTGGAGTACAAGTTACCGGTTACTGGCACTACGATCCCTCAGGAGCTGGACTTTTGGGTGACGTATAACGACAAGGGTGAGATAAGTCAGTATGATGGGTGTGTACTTATTCCTTTTCTCCACTACTTCCTCTTTCCCCTTCCACCTTCTCTTCTCCTCTCCTTTCCAACCTTAGTACCCACGACTAATCGTAAGGAAAGCAACTTCCGCTACCTACAATGGCAATTAAACAGCACAATCGCCACAATCGCCAAACTCCAAAACCTCTCCACCACCACCGATTTGACCCCCCTCCTCCACGCCAAACTCGCAACTTCCATCTGTGAAACCGCGACAACATTTTGCAATGGCACGAATCTGCAGTATGAAAGCCAAGCAACATGTGAAGATTACCTAGGTAAACAGACGAGATTTGGAGAGGGTTGGGAGTGGGGAATGGATACTGTTGCTTGTCGTATGGTGAGTTTGCTCCATTGCATTTCTCCATTTACTCATTCTGTTGGAAATTCCTGTGCAAGGGGGAAAATTTGCTGATCAAAAGTGGCAGATTCATCAGAATATGGTGCCCCTACGTCCAGATGTTCATTGCGAACATATCGGTCCTTCAGGCGGTGGTATGTGTGTAGATGATCGCACATATGTTGGAAACCTGGAGGAAGACTATTTCGTCAACACGCCTTTCTTGGCCCCAGGCTTGGAAGGTGGGGTTATGTAAGGAACTAAAGGCAGCATGGTGGTGCTTTTGATGTCCTTTTCGTGAATAGCCCTTCGATGAATCTGTTATCGAAATGGCAGAGGCAATACTGCGGCAGGTATTTGATGGCAACGAGGCCCTTAGATAAGCACAAACTCCTTATTCCCACCTTCTTCAACTTCGATATCAAGGGCAGGTAGCCTATAAGGACCCTTTAATTCGTCCCCAGTGCCCCAAGTCCATCTTGGAATACTGGTACCCTGTCTCAAGCTGACACGATACCTCTTCCCCACCTCCCAGCTCTGATACCTCCCGTACAGACTCTTCACCCCAGCACGATCAGAAGGATTGAAACACGCCTCCCCACCAGCTTCATGCTCCTCCAAAAATACCTTGTCATCCTCGTCTTCCTCGGGACGTAATTCAGCCAGGAAATCTGTAGGTAGAGGACGTAACACAGGGAGTTGTAATGGGACACCAGAGTGTAAAGTCACTAGGTGGGGTGAGCTGACTTCATCAGTCTCTTCCACGTGTTGCGAGAAGCCGTAATCGAGGAGTTTTGGTCCTAGCGTCCATACTTGAAGGTGAGACGAGGGCTTTTTGGCTGCGTCGTTTCTAGATATTTCGCGTGACGATGTGGCATCCAGTATGAGGAGGTAGGAGTGCCAAGACGAGGTATCGAAAATTGTGTCTCGGACGTTGAGCGTGATGGGCTCGGAAGCGTGTGATGTAATGGTCAGTCCCATTGGTGATGGGCTTTCTGAGTCAGAGCTATACTCTGAATTGACAGAGATGTGTAGGGAAATACGAGGTAGAGGCGGTGAAGGCGAGCGAGCAATCGGCTGGGCTTCGGAGCAAACGACTAGATACGTATGAAGCATATCTGCAGCAAGGTCCCATGATCCGGGATTGAAAGTTATGAGGTCAATGCTATCTGACTCCCCAGCAGTACTGGAGACATCCGACGGTAGCGAGGTGACGTGATCTGAGATTGGGACGGAAAGGACGAAGGAGGGGCTATCCGTAGCGGCGAGATACATGTAAACATGTTTGTAATTCTGTTGAGGGGTTCCAGCATAACTCGACGGATGTTTTGTTGTGCCAGCTGAAGAGTTCCTGGAAGCCATGTCCCTTGCGAAGATCGAGGAGGCAGATGACATGGTGGCATTTGAATACAAGTGCAGGCTCCATGAAACACCGGCCATTAGCCCGGAGTTCAGACGTGCAAACACTGACAATCTTTCGCTGGAGGATATATCACGGCCGAGCACAAACAAGCAGAAGACGAACAGAGGCGGTTCGCTTGAGGCATGCTTCAGTGCCGTATAATTACCCCTAGAGTCTTGTCGCGGCTCTTCAACAACACCATCGACATCCGCACTCAAAACGGTCACAAGGTCAGCCACATTGAGAGCAGATGGGTGCAGTGCTGTTGATGCTTGCTCATCGTCGATAAGAGACATTCCATTGACGCTTTTTTCAGGCCCACTGTCAGGATACAAGTTGAGGTCAATCGACCAGCCTCGCGCCAGGTTTCGCTCGTCAAGCAACTCCTCAATGGTTGTCATTCCTTGATAGGACCATTGCTCCCTCAGACGAGTAGCTAATGAGTCCCAGCTCTTATACCTCTCTGCTTTAACACCGTATGGCAGATGTGCATCATTCGTGTACTCGACACATAGTAGCCCCTCATCTTCCCACTCATCAGAATCGACGACCAAGAAACACGTCTTGTCGGACATATACGGCTTCTCACAATCAAGCCTCCTAGACGTCTGCTCTTGCTCGTAATGCTCGATGCATGCAAACACGTTATCCTGCACAGTCGTGAATACCTCGAGGTGCCAACACGGGTCGCAAAGCTGCTGCCAGCCACTGATATAGCACAAAAGCTTGTCGGTCAGAACTCCAGTAACATTCAAGGATGTAGCTCCACGAATGAGATAGATATGAAAGGGGAATGGAGGCAGCGGCGAAGAGCCACCTTGCGAACGTGACCATGCAATCTGCACGTCGTCAAAACTGCGCACAATAGTGCGACTGTCCAAAGGTCGCTCGAGCCGTTGCTTAATCGCTTCTGCAAATGTCGGTTTCCCTCTGCCCATGATCGCGGTGTGGGATTGAAGTCGTGTATGTCTAGGATGGTGTACAAGAAGCTGGACATTGTTGTTCGCAGCATTTGCTTCGTTAAGCTCAGTCGGTACAGGTGTCCGTGCCTAGGGATTTGACCATCCTGCAGAGATCCAGATCATCAGCACCCTACGTTCTGCTTGACCAATTGTTCGTTTATTGATGGCAGATCAGAATAGTCTATCTAGATGACAAAGGGAAGTGTTGAGGACAGAGCAAACACATGCCCTCGTGAGAAACAAGGTTAAATCTCGGCCACACCTCACAACAACCGTTTGCGTCTCGGCAGATGCGGATGCCATCGCGATGTCAACAAGGCTGTTTAGAACAATGTTCACAAATCATAAGCGAGGTGACAGGCCAAAGTCTCAGTCAAAATTCGTAAAAGTGTATAAATCTAGAATCTAAGAAAATAATTTGGGATATCTCATACAATCAAGTAACACCAGTGGTCATAACAGTTTCATCCAAACCCTTTGAATCCTCCCAAATCCCCAAAAGCCCAAGAAGATAAAAGTGCAAAACAATCATGAAAGAGTTCTAGCGACCACCGATCTGGCCCTTGGGGATGGGCTTGATCCAAGAAGTCACAACACCAATAGCCATCATAATAGCACCGATAGTGTAGAAGCTCTGTCCGAACAAGGTTTTCTTGCCATCGACGCTGTAGCGGAAGATGATGGCAAACACGATACCACCCAAGTTTCCAGAAGCGCCGACGACACCAGACACGATACCATTGGCGTGAGGGTGCACGTGAGGAACGAGGGAGTAGTTGAGTCCGTTTGCGCCTTCGAGGAAGAAACCGACACCGGCGGTGATGAGACCGACGAGAGCAGGGCGAGAGTGAGGGTTCACGACACCAGTGATGACCATGAACATACCGGCCAGAGTGACGTAGGCGTGGAGAAGCACTTTCTTGCCCCAGGGGCCGGACATGCGGTATGCGTAGTCAGAAGCCAGACCACCCAGGGGACGGAAGACAATGTTAAGAAGACCGAACATGGCAGCCCAGTTACCTGCATCTTGGAGACCAAGGCCAAGGTTACCACGGTAGTAGTTTCCGAGGACGCTGTTGACGGAAAGTTCGCAGCCGAAAGTGCAGAAGTAGCAGAGACCGAGAACAAGAGTCTGAGGAGAGAAGACAACGGGGAGGGCGTCCTTGAATGAGGGCTTCTGTACAACTTCGCCGCGGACGGTGTCGACCATTTGTTCCTCGCCCATCTGGGCTTCGTTCTCGCCAAAAGTACCACGGGTGTTGTCGAGCTTCTTCTCCTCGCTAGCGACGTCTGAAGTGGAGGGAGAGCGGGAAGCTTCCTTTCTAGCCTTCTCACCTGAGATCTCACCAGTGCCAGGAACATCAACGATGGCGCCCTCGAGAGCGTGAGAGCGAAGGTTGGTCTCGGCAGTCTGGAAGCGATCGGCCCACTTACCAGTGGGAGTGTCGTCACAGCAGAAGAAGAGAGCAAGAGCAACAGCAGTGATCAAGATACCAGGAACGACGAAAGAGACACGCCATGCGACGTGGCCAGTCAGACCTTGATCCTTCATGAGGGAGGTGTAGATGGCAGGCATGACGAAGTAGGTGATACCACCACCAGCATTACCCAGACCAGCAGTCAATGAGTTGGCAGTGCCGATGATGTTCTTGTCATAGAATCCAGTGGTCCATACTTGGCAAGGCACGAAAGAACCTCCAAGGATACCGACAAAGAATCTGAGAGCGTACAGACCAGCAGCGTTCTTGACAGTACCAGCCAGGAAGGTGGGAATGGCACCAAGAAGCAGGCATCCGGCGAATGTGTATCTGGGACCGAAGCGATCACAAGCGGGACCGGCAATGAGACGAACGAGAAGAGTGGCAGTCAAGGCGATAATGTTGGAGTTGGCGACTTCGTGCTTGGTGATACCGATATCCTTGGCAATGACATCGCTGAGGAGCGGTGGGAATGCGTACCTATTACTCGGGTCAGCCACAGTCTGGGGTGGGTGGTTATGTGGGGATATAGTGCACTTACCAAGACCAGAAAGCGAGCAGGAAACCGAACCATGAGAAGAAGAAGACACGGCCATAGTTGTTGATGGGGTTAAGGACTGGAATAGTGCGGGCCTTTCTGTTGATGGGGTTGACCTCAGGGGCCGACCACAATACGCTGATACCCATAGTGATGTAGTGTGTGGTATATCCTATACTAGAGATGGCGTGTAGTTGAGAGAAGGTCGAAGACGGTTTTCCAATGCCAGAAATAGGACTGCCTTTGAACCTCTTTGGGGTTGTTGGTATGTAATAGAATCCGAATGGAGAGACCAATCGATGGGGTGAGGACGTGGAGGTTTAATATTCACGTCTCTCTCCCATTGACGTCCAGCAGTCTGTTCAATGTATCTCCGGTGCACGACTGATTACCACAACGCCAAAGCAAAAAACAAGTCCGCGGATCTGTAACTGCCGTCACAGTGCAGATCTTGGGAGCTCAGCTATTCTGGGGTCGTGTGGAAATCTGGAGCGTCCGGCCACTTGGCTACAGATAAGGACCGAAGAGGAAATGGTCGAACGATGTGCAAACCGGAGTCGTGTGCAGAGCCGCAGATGGGTCAAAAACGTGGGTGAGAAAGGTTGACTTCAGGCTAAGCCGTGTCGAGATAAGAATCCGGGACTTTTAGGATGTGCTACAGATGGGACATCCTTGATCTGCCAGATCTCCTTCTCTTCTTGCTCTTGCGTGTGTAAGAATGTTATTCACGTCGACAGTAGACCTTACCTTTCGAGCCTCAAAGTTGTCTACTCGTCGTGCAGTAGACCATCATCAGCCAACTCAGAATAATCTGACAGAGCAAGCTATGAGAGGCGGCAGGCAAAAGACGTGTGTGTCTGGCTGGGCGAATGGTTGACTGCGCATTGAGTTGGCTTATCTCTGGGCGCACAGATAGCCACAGCTTTCCGTGCGGGAAAAGTGGATTCGAACGTCCCCTGCCTTATCAGTGGCTTGTTGCTGTAAAACCTCTCATCATAGAAATACTTGACCATCTGCGATGCAAATACTCTCAGTTCCTTCTGATGCATGCTGTTTTTTGCTTTCTCCTCGCACCAATTCCTTGTACCGTACTTGCCCGTATCGCCTCGAGGAGATTGATGGTTCTGCAACTGCGAGGCATTGATTATCTGTCTCGCGAGTCGCAATCAACACAGCTAAGCGATTCGTGAAGTTAGATTTACACAACGTTGGCAGTCGTAAAAGTGTATGTTCTTCTATCTCTGTAGGTAGCAATTGCTTGCGACAGTCATCACATGTGTAAAGCAGCAGAAATCTGTTGAACCAGTGTCGTTGTGTTTGACGTTGGCGCACTTCCCGCTAGCGTCCGCGTCCCTTATCTTGTAGTTCCTTCTGACCAATCAGGACCATTTGCTTCATCAGCCCTGCTACTTCTGCCGATGACGATCATCTCGTGGTTACCTGTTCGTGTCAATAGCATGTGAGATGCTAGATTACGATACAATGCACTTTGTCTCTGCTATAAAGAATGCGAATTCCCTGTCAGAATGCAGTGATTGCTTCTGCGAGCATATTGATATTTTGTATAACCAAGACTCGCTATACAGGCAGACGTCAGGTTTGTCTGATAAATCTATCTTGGCTTACAGTCCCTTATCATGCCGAGACGTGAATGGTGAAAGCAGTCTTTGGTACTGTTCCTGCTTCGCCCTGATTACCAACGTGGAGCTTAACATCGAGGCGTAAAGCCACATGCATTCTTTGCGAGTCTGGAAGCCAAGTCACTGTGCTCAAGACAATCAGTAAAGAGATCCATGGCAGGGGTGTATCGTGCTTGGTTGATAGAGCCTCCGCGGAAATGCTGTTGTCGGATTTATTACCATCTATCTGCGTACAGACCTGTCTCCTCTTCGTAAGAAGTCTTGAGTGATATGAGTGTAGCCTGATGACAACGCAGACCACTTGAGAGGGACGCACAACTGTAAGAGTCTTTACCAGAGGTACTGTGAGCAGCAGCGTGGACGCAATTATGTTGATCGCTACTAAGGCAGGTCAGTGGATTTGCAGCGCGCAAGCCGAACGGACCGACAAAGCAAGTTCTTATCAGGTAACTTCCGTACTCTCGTCTCTACCTGGGGCATACCATGCGGGTGCTGCATACGCTTCGAAGAGGCTACACCTACAAAATATCGCCATCTCCTGGGAGCAAACCGGAGAAGTCACAATATCGGAGACTTGTTAATGTTCGCGTTTATCTTTACTGATTCTGCCACAGCATAGATCAAGAGCTCAACCAACCTCCTCGAACTCCACCCTCAAGACTCACTTCTCCGGTCGCGAAACGTGATGAAAATCAGCATCTCCGCGCGTCATGCAGGTACGTGCACAAGGCAGCGATATGCTTGAGTGAAGGAGCCGCCAGGCTGTCCGCTTGGCGCGAAGGGTATTCATGCTGGGGGTCCAGGCTCCCTGAGGCTTGCTATATGATAAGAAAAGTCCCTGGCTGATTTATACTTCACTCTGCCTACTCATGGTTAGGATGCAGTCTGCTTGATGTCTCCGGAAGCTGTTGGCAGAGCCGAGGTGTATTGTGTTGAATAAGTCTCTGTTTCGAGTGTTCATTTTCGTAAAGCTGCCATGGCTCAAGCCTCGCTTGTCTCGTCTTTCACGGCTACAGTCTCAGTCTCGGCCGCTTCTTTGACAGCAGGGACCTCGATTTCCTCCTTGACGGCCGGAGTCTCGGTCTTGACATCGACATCCGTCTTGATGGCTTCAGCGGACTCAACCTTGGGTGCCTCGACCTTCTTCTTTGGTTGCTCCTTAGGGGTAGGCTCGAAGATCTCCGCAAGATTGTATCGTTTTAGTGCGTCGTAGTCATTGGGCACGACGCTGATACCACAAATACTCTGCGAGGGTTGAGTACATGTGGTACAATATGTAGATTTATAACGACTTACAGTGTAGACTTCCACCATAATAAGGAGGTCGGGGTTTTTGAGGTCGACTTGATGGCCTGGACCTACAGCAGATGCAACCTTTTGGATGATGTCCATACGCTTCATGACGTTGTGGTTGCGGATCGTAGGGCGGATAGCGAACTAGACAGTCCATCAGGGAATGACAACGCGACAAATTACTGGAATACTGACCTTTTTAGGCACATGCGGTTCTTGATGGAAGTGAGGCGCGAGAACTTCCTTGGCTACTCTTTCCAGACCGTCTTCGGTGGCCTTACCCATAAGACTCATCGGACTCAGGCGGTTGCAGAATCTGGTACGCTTGGGAGCATTCTGTTTGGCGGCATCCTCACAAATTCTTCGTACGAATGATACTGGCTCCACAGGTGCTCTGGTCTTGAAGAAGATGACTGAGTCTGTATTAGTATGGTAATATTACATTGGATAGATGGTACTCACCGCACTGTACATCGAGCTTGATTGACCAGAACAGAGGTTTTGTTTGAGGCTTGCGGATGTCTGCGAGTTCTTGTTGAATGTCGGCTTCAATGTTGATCTCACCATCACCCTCATCATCAGATCCTGCTGCGCCAGCTTCGGCAGCCAGCTCATCGCTATAAAGCAGTTGAGCGTACTGCAATTGAAATATTAGTAGATTTTAAAAGTTGCCACAATCAAATACATACCTCGTTAAAAAGATCGCGAAGCTCAGCGGTACATTTGCCCTCTCTGCCTTTATCGCACGTGGCCCAGATACCCTGGTCACCCGGCAGGATGTTCTTCTGATTTGCGAATTGGTCGACCTTACGAGGCACACGCCATTGCTTCTACTGACTTGTCAGAATTACTTACCAAATCCCGGAATGCAGATTTTTACCTTGGTCTTCTTGTTCGCTTGTTCAGCACCACCCGCAGGGACGGCACGCTTTTTGTTCTCGTCGGCCATGGCTTTGCTCAGTTTGAGATGGAAATGGTTTGTTGGAAGTCGGAGCTTTTCTCTGGATGGACTTTCCAGAAGCCGTGAAGCGAGGTCTGAGGTCGCCAAGCCTTTCCTTCTGGAAGGAAGTACCTGGAGGTAACGATCAAGCAAGCATAGCAGGTATAGCTGTTCAATCCAAGCACATAGACTATTAGACAGATTGAAGTGAAATAAAAATCATTCATGCGTTTTGTACAGCTAGGTAAACTGCCTCGTGTCCCACGAAAGGAGGCATTTTTGGAAATCAAATAGACAAAATAATGCTTTCCCACTCTCTTTAGCCCAAAACCTCAACGCCGACGACGCCGCTACTCCGACAAGATGGCTTTTGTATGAGATACGCCAGCTTACATGCTCTTCCTTGACTTCTTCTTCTCCTTCTTGTCACCGTCAACACCCTCGCTCTTGCGCTTCTTCTTCTTTTCCTTCTTGTCGGCTTCGTCGTCTGAGTCGGCGCCGATTGACTTTCTCTTCTTGTCCTTCTTCTCCTTCTTCTTCTCGTCCTTGGACTTCTCCTTGCGGACGGCCTGCTCAGTTGCGGCAGAAGTGACACCATCAGCCATCTCGACGTCTTCGGAAGCACCAGCGGTAGGGTCTGCGATGTTGATGTCTCCAAGAACAGCGTTCATTGCGGCTTGCTAGCAGGTTGTTAGTTTCATGTGTTCGTTCATTCGGAATCATGTATTGATGCTTACCATTGCTTGCTCGTTCTTGGTGGGGGCCTCGCCAGTGGCGTAGAAGTTCAATCTCTCCTCAACCTGTGCCTTGAGAGCCTCACCAAACTTGGTGGTGGGAGTCTCTGAGAAGTTGTCGATTCTTGAGGCGATCGAGGTCTTGTTGGCAAGGAAACGAGAGATACGACCCTTGTTCTTGGCTCCAGCACGACCGATGAAGGAAGAGTGGTAGATGATACCGAACTTGGGGGTGTTGCCCTTGGTCTTGAGGGCTCTGAAGAGGGCCTTCTCGGCACCGAGAATCTGGACGGTAGAGGCGGGGTACTTTGCGAGGTTGGTCAAGGAACCAGCCTTGGAAATGAGACGGGCACCGACGGTCTCGCCGATGAGAGCAGCCAAGTTGGGGGCGACAATGCTCATCTTGGAAACGAGATAGTTGCCAACCGACTTGCGGTACTTGTTGAGCGAAACGACGCGCTCAGCAAAGGCCATGACGTTCTCCATGTCAGCGTCGGAGATATCCTGACCCATGGAAACCTTTGCAGCGTCGAGGATGCTGCGGGCGACGGCCTCGTCGTCGTCGACGATGGCGGCAATGTCGTGCAGGTTGTCCTCGGTGAGCTCCTTCTTGTCCTTGATCAAAAGAGCGAGCTGGGCGTACTTTGTGTTGTCCGAGACGACCTTGACCAGCTCGGGGAAGTGCCAGCCGTACCATTCGCGAACACGCATGGAGAACAGGTTAGTAGCCTTGTCGAGATGATCGATGGTAGCAATGGCCTGGATGATGTGGTTGTCGTTCTTCTGGACGCTGAACTTCACCTTGGCACGCGAGTAGGCGTGACCAAGACCGAGCTGAGCGCGGTCGACATCACCGATCTGGAGCTGCTTGAGCAGCTTCTCGGCGTGAAGTCTCAGGCCACGGAGGAGGTCGGCGCAGACTTCGGAAGTCTCAGAAGTCTCGCACTCGAGCGAAGGGAAACCGGCCTTGATGCTTCCGGCAAGACCTCTGTCGGTAACACCGAGGACAGTCTTGTTCTTCTTGCTGGCCTTGGGCATGTTGGCCTCGAGGACGGTCTTCAGGTAGTCGGACATGATGCCTTCGGAGACGAGGTTGGCGTTCTCAAGGGCCTGGGCGGCACCCTGGAAAGGAGCGAAGGAGACAAGCTCGACCATCTTGCCTACGGGGGATTAGAGAGGTGCGCAGACGAGATGACAGCATGTGGGAGGCAATACCGAACTTTGCGAGGTCCTGCGACTGCTCCTGGACTTCCTTGAGGCGCTGACCGACCGAGTCGGCCTGCATGCGGACCTTGAAGATGGCATAGCCCACACCGGACTCGTGCAAAAGGTAGTCGACAGACATGGCGCCAATAATACGTTGTCGTAGTTAATATATGGCGGCGCGCAAAGGTCTCTCGTCGGATGAACTCTTTACGTCGAAGCAGAGAAAAAAGCTGGAGGACCGAAATTCGAAGTTTTTGCCAAGACCCAAGCTTGCGGCCGCCGTAGGGCTGAGGGTCCGATGCGAGACTGCGAGACTGCGAGAAAGTTGGCGGTGCTGCAAGCAGGAGATACTGTTTCCAGCTACTCTGCCCATTTACTCTGCTTAATCACAGGGTCTTTGTCAGATTCCAGGCGTAGTAATAACCACATACCATCGCCATGTCTGCAGCCCAACTCCTCAACCCCAAGGCCGAATCAAGGGTGCGTCGCCGAATTATTATTATGCGCCTGCCAAACATAGACTGACAGGATATATACAGCGCCGTGGTGAGGCCTTGAGCGTCAACATCGCTGCCGGCGAAGGTCTCCAAGGTGTCCTCGCCTCGAACCTGGGTCCTTCGGGCACGCTGAAGATGCTGGTCGATGGCGCTGGCGGTATCAAGCTCACAAAGGACGGCAGTGTCTTGCTGCGCGAGATGCAGATCCAGAACCCCACCGCCGTCATGATTGCCCGCGCTGCCACCGCTCAGGACGAGATCACTGGTGACGGTACCACCTCTGCTGTCATCCTCATCGGCGAGCTCCTCAAGCAGGCTCAACGCTACATCTCCGAAGGCCTCCACCCCAGAGTCATCACCGACGGCTACGACCTTGCAAAGACCGAGACCCTCAAGTTCCTTGACGACTTCAAGCTCGAGCGCGAAGTTGACCGCGAATTGCTCCTCTCCGTTGCCCGTACCTCGCTCTCCACAAAGATCAATGCCACCCTGGCCGAACAACTCACCCCTGATATCGTCGATGCTGTCCTCGCCATCTACAACGCTCCTGCTAAGCCCGATCTGCACATGGTTGAGATCATGACCATGCAACATCGTACCGCCGCCGACACACAACTCATTCGTGGTCTCGCCCTCGACCACGGTGCCAGACACCCCGATATGCCCAAGCGTGTTGAAAACGCTTTCATCCTCACCCTGAACGTCAGTCTGGAATACGAAAAGTCCGAGATCAACTCTGGCTTCTACTACTCGAGCGCCGACCAAAGAGAGAAGCTTGTCGAGAGCGAGCGCAGATTCGTCGACGAGAAGTTGCGCAAGATTGTCGAGCTGAAGAAGGAGGTCTGCGGCACCGACGGCACCAAGGGCTTTGTCATCATCAACCAGAAGGGCATTGACCCCTTGAGTTTGGATGTCCTGGTCAAGAACGGCATTTTCGCCCTGCGCCGCGCAAAGAGAAGAAACATGGAGAGACTGCAGCTCATCTGTGGTGGTATTGCCCAGAACAGTGTCGATGACCTCACACCCGATGTTCTTGGTTACGCCGGAAACGTCTACGAGCACCAGCTTGGTGAGGAGAAGTACACCTTCATCGAGGATGTCAAGGAGCCCAAGTCAGTCACCCTCCTCATCAAGGGTCCCAACGCACACACAATCGCCCAGATCAAGGATGCCGTCCGTGATGGTCTTCGCAGTGTCTACAACATGATTGTTGATGGTAGCGTCGTACCTGGTGGTGGTGCCTTCCAGATTGCCGCACATGCACACTTGAACAGCGAAGCATTCCGCAAGACGGTCAAGGGCAAGGCCAAGTGGGGTGTTGATGCATTCGCGGATGCTCTCCTCGTCATCCCCAAGACTCTTGCTGCCAACTCAGGTCACGATGTGCAAGACTCAAGTAAGTCATGTTCACTCGATAGAAATGAGGAAAATGCTAATTTGTGTAGTCGCCGCTCTGCAAGACGAGCAAGCAGAGGGCAACATTGTCGGTCTCAACTTGACGACAGGCGAGCCCATGGACCCTACGCAAGAGGGTGTCTACGACTCATTCCGTGTACTCCGCAACTGCATTGCATCAGCCTCTGGTATTGCATCAAACCTACTACTTTGCGACGAGATGCTCAAGGCCAGACAAATGGGCAGAGCCCCTGGTCCTGGTGGAGAGCAGATGGAGTAAACAAAAGTCAAAGTCAGATAAAAGTATTCATGACGATCATGGCACAATGCGCCGAGTTGCAGCATTTCTTACATTTCGACTTATGCATCGCTCTCAGTAGGTGAAATCGCTGTTCCGTGTCGATTGGGTAAAGGGTATGCTCCATAAGCGAACCTGGTTCCAGTCATGGCTACAATGTTGCACCCTTGACACAGGCAGAAAGGCAAGGTCGAGAGAGTGACCTGACTCCACATTCCCATACCGCGGATTAGACGCTTGGCATCGAACGGGCCAAGAGTCTCAACAGCTTAATTCCATACACTACCTGTCTTGTCGTATTGTACCTCGCTGCTGTTCCTGTTCCTTCTCCTACTCTGTACCGACTTTTGTCTCGTCCCTCTACTCCTATTCTTTTATTCTAGGACGCCAGCGCTCCCTTCCGGTTAAGCGAGCGGACGTGGACACAGGTCAATCTTCCCCGTCTTTTTGTCTCGGAGATAAGTCACACGACCGTTTCGACCACCTCGGTGCGCGCATAATCAGCCGCCATGATTCGGTATAGACGTTACAGGGCCTTCATAGCCTTCACAGTCATTGCTATCCTCGCTACATATTACTTCATAGGACACGGTGGTATAGACCTTCCTTCGGCAATTGGTGCAGGATCGTTGAAAGCTGCCGGTAATGATGCAGCAGCCGCGGCTAAGGAGAAGGTTCAAGCTGGTCTTGACCTGATCAAGCCTGACGAACCGACGAAAGAGGATATACTGGGAGTTCTACCGCCCCTCCCGACCACCAAAGCAGCTCCTGCTACTACGAAGATCGTCGCCGAAGCACCGAAGCCGTCGACTGAGAAGACGACCACTTCCTCCGCTGCCGTTGCGACAGAAACACCCACACGAACCCCTCTTCAAGATGCTGCTGCCATGCTACCTCCCGTACACGAACTGGACGATATGACAGAGATTGGCGAAGGCAGATTTGAGATCCCACCAACCAACCAAGGCCAGGTCAGCGTGCCTGAGATACACTGGTCTAGGCAAGATGAGCATTTCCCTGTCGCAACAACCATCCAGCTCCCTACTGGCACTCCCAAGGCCATCCCTCGTATCCAGCACAAGTTCAAGAAAGAGTCGTCTGCGGATAAGGCTGATAGAGAAGAGAAGCTCAAGATCATCGAGGGTGCTGTTTCACACTCCTGGAGTGGGTACCGGTCAAAGGCTTGGTTGAAGGATGAGGTCAGACCTGTCTCTGGAGGATCCCGTGATCCTTTCTGTGGTTGGGCTGCCACTCTGGTTGATGCCTTGGACACACTCTGGATCGTTGGCCTCAAGGACGACTTCGAAGAAGCTGTCAAGGCAGTCGGCAAAATCGACTTTACAACTTCCCAAAGAAAGGACATTCCTCTCTTCGAGACGACTATTCGTTATCTTGGTGGCATGCTCTCAGCTTATGATCTGAGTGGTGCTAAACACAAGGTTCTGCTGGACAAGGCTGTCGAACTTGCTGATGTCTTGATGGGCTCTTTCGACACACCTAACAGAATGCCTGTTACGTTCTATCGCTGGATGCCAACTTTTGCTTCTCAGCCCCATCGTGCTGGTACTCATGTTGTCCTGGCTGAGCTGGGCTCTCTTTCCGTCGAGTTCACTCGTCTTGCGCAGCTCACGAAGGAGCCCAAGTATTACGATGCTATTGACCGCATCACTGATGCTTTCTTAGAATGGCAGAACGCTTCGGGTGTTAACGCCACACTGATTCCCGGCTTATTCCCTGTTCATGTCGATGCTTCTGGCTGCGAGAAGCCCGCTCAAATCAAATCTCACTACTCTCACCCTGCTGGAAAGGACGGTGACGTTGCAGTGGGTGATGGAGAGCCAGTAGTTCCCGAGCGCCCAGTCACTCAGGGTCAAGGTACAAGGACTGGTGCTTCCACGGAGAAAGATGGCTCTTCTCAGCCTGTCAATGCTGGCGGTTCGCGAATGGGTGCAGCTTCTGCTGCTGGAGTGGGCAAGATCATCGGCTGGGACGACCCTCTGACCGAAGGTGATCTCGACAACCCCCAGGTAAAGGCTGCCGTACTCGACTCCAACAGCGCAGAACTCAACAAGCGTCAAATTGGTGACGTCGAGAATCAGAAGGAGAAGGCTGCCGAGGACGTCTTCCAGAAGGAGACACAGGCCAAGATGCATACTCTGCAGAAGGAAGTCTGCGTTCCTCGTGGATTGGCCTCAAGCAGTGGTGGGGGTCATGACACCTTTACCATCGGTGGCATGGCTGACTCTCTTTACGAATACTTCCCCAAGCAGTACCTCCTGCTCGGCGGCTTGGAGGGTAAATACAAAACTCTGTATGAGCAGTCTATCGATGCCGTCACCAAGCACCTTCTCTTTCGACCCATGACGCCTGAGAACGCAGACATCCTCTTTGCAGGCGAGTATACCGCTCGCGCACCCAGCGTAGAAGGCACCGTAGAGGGCGCACTCAAAGCCGAAGGTGCCCACCTCACCTGTTTCGCCGGCGGTATGTACGCCATGGGAGCAAAAATCTTTGGCCGCGAAGAGGACCTCGAGCTAGGTGCCAAACTCGCCGAAGGCTGTGTGTGGGCCTACAATGCCACAGTCACCGGAATCATGCCCGAACACTTCCTAGTCTCCAAATGCGACAGCATGACAGACTGCAAGTGGAACAAGACAAAGTACTGGGAAGAACTAGACCCATACGCTGCAACCCGCACGCAAGTCAACCTCGCGAATCCACTAGGAGGTGACCGCAATGCGCCTCAAGTGGGTGCAAAGAGAGATCTAGATGGCCCTGCCGCTACGATTGACCATGTCCCTGCTCCTGCGGTGCCGAATAGTATCCCGGAGCTTGATGTCGCTACGCCTGCCGATGCCGCTCGTGTGGAATACACCCCTCCCACGCCCCCTACCCATGAAGAATTCGTCCTCGCACGCATCAGTGAAGAACGTCTGCCCCCAGGAATGACACGTCTGCTCTCTCGAAGTTACATCCTTCGCCCCGAAGCCATAGAATCGATCTTCTACCTCTACCGCATCACCGGCGACGCACACTGGAGGGAAGTAGGCTGGCAAATGTTCTTGGCCGTCCAAAAATACACGCATACAACTTATGGAGCTTCTGCTCTCGATGACGTTACCAAAACCGTTCCTGGACAGGTGGATAGCGAAGAGAGTTTCTGGTTGGCGGAGACGTTGAAGTATTTCTACTTGCTGTTTGAAGAGGAAGGGGTTATTAGTTTGGACGAGTGGGTGTTGAATACCGAGGCACATCCTTTTAGAAGACCGGATGCTCCCGTGTATTCTGTGCCTGCTGCTGGTGTTGCAGATGTGGAGGAGACTTGAGGTATTTTTTTTTCCATTTGCGAGTTCTCATGCAAAAAGGCACAAAAGTAGGATTGATATGAGCACCTTTTTTTTTTGTATATCAGTCACCCTTCCATGAAAAACGCAATCTCCTAGCAAAGCTTGTTTCAATGTGAAATGTGCAAAAGCTGAAGTTCAACAAGACGAGGACGAACCGGTTTTGAAGGAGTTATCGTGAGACAGACGAGCATCAGACATAAAAGAGGCATAGACAAAACGAAAGTGTAGGCGAAAAGAGTAGAATGATTTCGATCAAGCCGCGACTCGAAACTGGACCCAAGCCCCTATGTCTTTTGCTATCGAGTACAAGCCACCGAGCATCCCCGCCAACAAACCCTCACACCACAGAAGACATTTGAGACGGAGTTTGGTTCCAATACATGGTCTTCCTCTTCCCTATGAAGGCTCAATCATCGAGCTGACTTGGTGCTGGCGAAACTGATCCAAGGAAGAGGATCCAGACTTCACTTTTGACTCCGAGGTAGGCACACTGCCGACAACAGCAACATTGAGATTGCTTGGTATCACTTTGGGTGCCCAAGCTTACCTGAACTTTGTCAGCTTGCATGATTACAGCCTTGGAGAGAGAGAAGGGGTCGTGGCAGCAGGAATGAGGAATCAAGTAGCGACATCGATACGATGTCATCCCTGGTCTCTGACATCTCATGGCACAACATCAGCAGCGCGTTTGCTGCCACTAAAGCCAAGAGATAGCCAGCTCGATAAGTAACAAAGGAAATGAAGCAATGTCCAACCTTATGCCACCACAAAATCACTTTGACCGAGCTTCATGACATTACTCATTCGGATGCCTCTGCTTCAAGGGCCGAAATCCAGTAGTACAGCCATCTTCACACCTCCAGACCTGTTGAAGCTAAACACGGTTGCTCACGACTCCCTACTGCTTAGCTGCCGGAAGACATTAACATCCATGGCTCTGACAGCGTCACCAACCAGGCCCATACGACACGTCTCTCAGGCATCACCTCACACCGTGAGAGGTCTGACTACTTTCCCGTCGCAAGTATGATGAGTATGTTCTCGTGCCTCGTCTCCGTGATAAAACTACAGTGATAGCCACGACACCACGAGCGTGGAGGGCTATACAATGCGTTCTGGACCCGTGGTCCGTCTTCTGTGTATGCTCTTGTCGTGAGTTCGGGAAGTACGTTCTCGTGCCTTGCTTCAGTGATCAACTGAAGTATCAACTCGGTACCACGAGCGTTAAGACTAGATGATGGGTTTGGGACCCGCGGTTCATCCTCTGTGTGTACGGCGCTGTCTGACACAAGACTTCTGCGTACTACCCCGTCGTAGGTACGAGGAATACGCTCTTGTGCCTCGCCTCCGTGATTAGTCGCTGCATCAGCTCGGCACCACGAGCGTCGAGAGCCCAAAGAACGCGATCGGGACCCGCGTTTCGTCTTCTGCGCTCCGTCTTCTACGTGTGCACACAAGACTTCTGCGTCATAGTGTTGTCAAAGCGGAATCATATCCAGCTGATTGTGGTCGCCATTGAGGACGTTGTGATGATGATTATCGGAGACGTTGGCGTCTTAAGTAGTCTCTGGCAAAAAGTATCGGAAAGAACAGTTTTACTATTATATCTTCCCTTCCCTTCTCTCGTAGCCACGATAACGTGAGAAAGAGTATGCTCCGGTGTATGTCTTAGGATGTAACGTTCGAAGATAATCAACCAGTATAAGTTTTTTAGTGTTATAAGGGAACCAGCAAAGTTCGGGGCAGCCATTTGCCGTGACGATACCCTGCGTTTGGACGACGGATGTTGCGTCGAAACAGCGACTCACGGTGTCTCGCTTTTTCTTCACACGAGAGTGTCGTCTTTAGTCTTCTTCTTCTCCTTCTTCCCACGAGAGTGTCGTCTTTCGTCTTTCGTCTTCTTCTTCACACGAGATTGTGGTCTTTCGTCTTCTTCTTCGCACGACACTGCTGTCTTGTCTCTTCACACGACGACACCATTTACCTTTCTTCCATCTTTGTTAGATCACAAACATGGCAAACAACATCGTCACCTACCGCAAGAACAAAATGGCTTCCTTCGTGGGCCTCGCTCCGGAAGTGCGTCTCATCATCTACAGCTTCTTGCTCGAAGAAGCTTTCGCCAGCAACAAGCGTGTCGTCTACGCTTTCGAAGGCAGTCAGCAGACTGGTGTCACGTCTATAGACTTACTGTCTGTCTTTGAGGCCGGCGACTCGGATCTCGAAGAAGACGTTGTTCCAGTCATTGCATGGACCCGCGACACCATGGAGTACGAGCAGGACCGTACAGGCCGCGTCATCTCACTCGTCGATGTCCTCTTCAGATACGGTCCAGAAGTACGCAAGAGAGCCGTTCACCATGCCAACATCGACGGTCTCCTGGCTCTCGGAGGTACCTGTCGTCTTCTCCGCAGCGAAGTCCTCCCTATCGCCTGGTCCATCGCCGACATCTCAGTCTACACGCCTGACAACGGTTTCAAGGATGACATCCAGTACATCTTCGGACACTGTTTGTCAGAGCAAACCTGCAAGTTGATCCGTACCCTGTACATCGACGTCGGCAAGAGTGACTGGTCGGTCGCCTGTGTCAGCGAGACCGCCAGCTTCATCACCAAGAGCCTGCCCAACCTCAGCGTCCTCACCATCGCCATCTCCCGCCGTTACACCACTGGTGAAGACGACGTGCTCAATACCGGCCTGATGGCGCTCACCATTGTACCTTCCACCATCTCCATCGAGATTGTGGCTTATGTTCGTGCCCATCTTGTCGCTCAGCGTCAGCTCCTGAACTACGCCATCTTGGGTATGTCTAGCGATGCCAATCTTGCGGAGATCATGGAGTGGGAAGATGGCGTCAGCTACAGTGACACCCTTCGTGTCGAGTTGAACCGCCGTCTCGCTCAGTCCGCCAGAGCTGTTCGCAGACAGAATGAAGAGGGTCAGGAGGATAGTTCGTTGCTTGAGGATACCGTTGTCCTGCGCTCAAGCATGGCAGATTAGCGGGTCAGTGCCAGTCAGATTGCCCGTCAGAAGAGATGGGTCTGCAGATAGGAGGTCAGGGGCCATAGGTATTGTGCCTGGTGCGGGATGGCGTTGGTGCCCGGGTCGACTCTCTTTGTGGACCTCTATATGCTATAATCTCCGTCGGACCGCAGAGTGGTTTCCAGTCAAGTGGGTGTTGTACCTGTGGTGGGCCATCGTCGGTGCCCGGGTTCGACGCTCTTGATCGATCTCCGTATCTCATGTAGCTGCCAGAATGCAGAGTAATTTCCAGTGGAGTGACCTGAGTCAAAGAGATCAGCCTGTTCTATCCCTCTCCATGAACGACGACTCTCAGATTGGAAATCTTTATGCATTTCTACAACCTTCTTTCCAGCCTACCTTCATTGCTGGAGTTCGTGTTGGTTCAGCCTCATTGACCCCAGATAGACAGAAATTGAGGGAAGACTGACATCAAACCTAGCAAGTTCTGCTGTCTCATAGCAAGCTTATCCCTAGTGGGAAGGTATTACGTATTGCTTCCTCGGTCCGTTCTTTCCACTTTCTTAATTAATCTCCTTCCTCCATTGCTGTCAATCTCTGCACCTGCAACCCACCGTTCTTCTGGACATCTTCAGTGACGAAGGTTTTCCAACTTAGGAGCCACGAGCACGAGGCAATGCGTGTCTTCCCATATCGATAGCATACCACCTCTTGATCTCTCTCAAGCAAACACCAGCAGCAATGTACTTCCAGCTCTGCAACTTTCCCACCTTCTTGTCGCCCAGCGCAGGTTCGTCCGTGCCCACAGCAAGACATGCGATGGCTCTGGGAAGAGCTTCTTCGTTACGGTCATTGTCATCGTAGTCACCATCAATGATGCGAGAGATTGTGAATGTGAGGACATCTTCGAGCTGTTGGCGCATGGCTCGAGTCGCTTCGCGGAGGCGCTTGGATTGCTTGCTGCCGTCGCGGCCGAGGATAGTGCCAGAGAAGATTTCGGTCTCAGTCAAAGGGTGACGAGGGGAAGAGGCGAACTGGTAGAGGGACTGCAATAGGGCTTGCTCGTATCTATGCAGTGGTCAGTATGTGTGGATAGTGACTGTTTTCGGCTGAACTCACCCATCTCTGATCTGTCTGGCAAGATCTAGGTGATGACTCCACTGGATAATCTCGGTGTGCTGATGAACATAGGTCCAGAGAGTTGAAAGAAGATTATCCTCATGGTCAAGGATGAGTTTTGTAGCATCCTGCATATTCTTCAAGAATTGGTGCTCGTCAATGGCACGGTATAGGTGACCAAGTGCCTTGTTACTACGGTAGTAGCGCATGGGCCGAACACCATCCAGGTCGCCGAAGGGGTCATCCTCCTGATCTTCATCATTCTCAACTGCATCTTCGAAACTTGCGAATCCACCAGATTCCACGATGACTCGGGGGCTTGGAGCCATGAAATCAGGTTTGGCACGATGGGCGCGTGGTGCGTTGATCATACTCACCTACTAGCGTTAGCTTATGATGATGTTCTGAGATGTTAGCTAGACTTACTGATATGCCGGTCTTGGAAAAGTCGACAGCAGTCGATGCCATACTTGCGAGCTGAACGCAGTCATTATCAAAAACACCAGCTTCTTTCTGGTCTGCGAGCTGGAGATGACGGGTACAGATCTGACCAAGCTGATCAGTTTCCATGAACTCGACAAAGAAGTTGCTCATATCCTGGATAGTGACTTCGCGGTCAAGTTCGCGACCGGGGACACGGGCATAGTCGGCAGGTGGGGCAATCTCTCTTTGAGGCATTAACGAGGGCTCGAAGATGACGTTGTACAGGTCACCATCAAGATCACCACCACTGAGCTGACTGGGTAGATCGCGCTGGCCATGCTGACTGAAGACGACACAGTTGCGCAGATGCTCGAGAGGAGAGCCTTCGGGTACGTCGATAGCTTCAACGACTCTGATATCACCAGGGTGTAGTGCAGGCGAGCGCGTGATGATGACTTTGCCTCCCGTGAGGACCTTTCTGGGCTCGTCGAGGGCGCTCTGAGTCGCGACATAGATCTGACCTTCTCGAAGAAATCCTGTCTCGTCCATGATGCCGTAGAGCGTAATACCATTCTGCACAGGGATGCGTCCTTTGTATTTGATGTCACGTAGCTTAGAAATCACAGCCATCTCAACGACTCCCCGGAGGAAAGTGTCCTTACGATAATCGAGGCCAATGTCAGCCAATATCTCGAGGAGGCCGGGAAGCCTTGCGGCTTTGCTCGTTTGCGTGTCGTTGAGAAGGAAAGATGCGTTGAAAGTGTTTGTGGTCATCGATCTCAACTTCTCGATTGCCTTGTTCTGTAGCATCATGAAAGAGTGCAGAGGTACATTGAGATCTTCCAGGATCTTGATGAATTGGCGGTTGAGGACCATGGGATAGGGTCGCCATGCTGCACCACAGACCTCTAGGGTAGTGGAGCCAGAGCCAATGAACTTCTCCATAGAAGGCCGGATGTTGAATTGTTCCTCGTGGAGACGTGAATCCAATGATACGACTCCCTTTGAGCCAGCGAACCGAATCTGCAGGATGACGGGCTTGACGGTACGTCCGGACCCGTAAACGCGCCAAACTTGACGAAGAAGATCAAGCGAGATGGTACTGCATCCATCGCTAAAACAGCGACCATTGCGTTCAACGTCTGGAAGCCTTCCCAGGACACCAGCTTCGACCTGAACCGTACCGGTGGTGTCGGTAAAAGCCTGTCCAATCCGTGCGGCGCAGCCGGCGGGAGTGCGGATATGACTGAAGTCACCAAGGTTTCTGATAAGCTCTGGTGCACGCAGTGTTCTTCCTTGGTACACGAAAGGTGCCATGAACCAGCAAGTTTGTGAACGAAGGCTTGAATGCGAGAAGCCCAAGAACGAGTAACCTCTTCCGGCAACCAAGTATTCTGACTCCATAAACTTGCGGAAGCGGGAGTAGATTGCTGTCTGATCGGACTGACTGTCGAAGTGAACAGGCTCACCATCTTCATCGACGAAGGTGACTCGGATGAAATGATCAGAATGATCTTGATACTCTCTGAGTACGCGGTTGCTGACTTCCGGCTCAGGACCTTCCAGATATACGCCAGACACTGTCACAGTAAGTTTGTGCACGAGCACGATGTGTGCATGGCGATTGACTAGCTCGTATGGATTTTGCGACTTTGATCTGTCATACTCCTGTGCATAGTCCAGCAAGTTGTTCGTGATTGTGTTGACGGAATAGAGCTCTGCTTCAGAGTGGGGGCTGAGCGCGTGGAGGCCCTGATACACGCGTTTGAGCGATTCGACGATTGCAGCACCGTCGTGGTTGGCCTTCAAAAGTTCAATTGTAGGGAGAATCTCAATGATTCGGTCGGGCGGTAATGCACCGTTCCGAGCCAAGCGGAGCACTTGAAACTTGACATCAAACGGTAAAGAGTTGTAGGGGTACATGGTGGCCAGAATCGTGTCCAGACGCTTGAAGGAGGATGTGAGATTGTTGCTTGGAGACAAAGTCGGAGTAGAATGATTGATGGTCATCGATGAGGTGTGACGATTGTTCCTCAAGAGGTGGGAGACCTCTTGTAATTGTCTGTAGTCAGCGAGCTGAATCTGGTACACAAAGGAGGTACCGACGACCTCGCTATGAGCCCGATTGATGCTGGTGACTCGCTGTTTCTGTGGTTGCCACTTCGCTCCCGCTCCAGCCCACAAGCCAACGCGAGCCATGAGCTCTGCAATGTCGACTGTAGGGTTGCGGTAGAACCTGGGAGCTAATTGCAGACCGAAAGTTACGGTTGGATCCTTGTAGCTTCCGGTGGTTGCCGTATCAATGTCAAAGTAGTTGATGTCGATGCGAGATGCAGACTGATCATCATGACCGCTTGCATCGTTGTACAGAATAGCTAATTGACGATGGCCGAACAGGACCCTTCCACGTCTTGAGTCAATGAAGTGTTGCACGAACGTAAGCTCACCATCGACAAAAGACCAAACTCCGCAACGCAGATGGGAGATCTCGAAGCTTGAGGTTGCGTTACGATGGGTGGCAGGACGACTTTGCATCATGGCGCCGGGCTGCGCAGCTTTCGACTTGAGACTTCGGAGGAGCCATTCATCTGGTTTGTTTCTGGACTCCGCAAGATTGATGCGGTGACCATTCATACTAAGCTGAGACAAAGGGGCTCGCTGACCAACGGATTTTCCATAGTTCTTTAGAAAGCGTTTGCCTTTGTCCGTGTTCGAGAAGATGAGCTTAGCACAGGCTTTGCTACCTAATTTCTCGCAGACAAAGTCTGTGATGCCGAATTCGGCGAGAGGAGAGCGCAGAAAACGCTTCAGGTCGCGCTCTGTGCAGTGCGCCGGAATGCTGTTGATGAACACCTCCATAGTTGAAGATGATGAGGCGCAAGCTTGCGAGTGTGTCTGAGAAAGCGCACTCCAACAGGCCCGGATTTTGGAGTTCAAGAAATCGAAAGTTGAAGGTAGGAGTTGTACAGTATGACGAAGGAACGTTGTAAGTTGCTTGGGTGCAGACTACTGATTGTTCAGAGAATGCATCAACATGGTTGGTGGTCTGTGGATGACGGAAAAGTGAGGAGCTCCATGAAGATGTGAACTCTGAGAAGACTGAAGACCCAGCAAGTTCATATCTTCACTTCGCGGTGGACATGCAGGCTGCCGCTACATGCACATTGGCGACACAGCTTCACTGCAGCTGCTGTGCAACATGTTTATCACAACGCTCCATGCGGAATAATTTGACCAGTCGTACTAAGTGTCAGTCGCTTGGAGTTTGTAAGAATCCACGGTTGTTATGCAATCAGATGCATAATTTGAGGTGATTGTGACCAGTTGAGCGAACCCAACAAGCCCCTCTTGTGGTAGAAGGAGCGCGACGGGGAACACCGCGCGACCGCGTCATTTTCGCGCCGCGAATTTCCAGCCTCTCAGCAAGCAGCTCCGCATCACATCCCTTACTAATTCAACTTGTGTTCTATCAGATGCAGGTACTGTCATCGCACTAGACACGTGAGAACACCTAGATCAAGTCCACATGCATAAGGACGATACGACGATGATGACGGGCAGTGACTGACCAGGCAGATTGGTCGATAGAGGAATACAGCTGCCTGCCAGGGACAAATTGGCCAAGTCTACTAGCCTTGGGGCAAGGACTTGATAACTCACGTCCATCGAGTGTGGCTTGATCCATCGCAAGATTCAGAGGCGGGCAAATATCGGTATCAACGTCCGCGGGTTTAGGACTTTGGAGATCGTGAGAGCCTCCAAGATTTCGGGTACATGATAGTTGTGGGGTAGTCTGGAATGTTTGACGTCTAAAGACATCTAGGCTCCTGCTTTCCTACATAAGATATGGCCTGTAAACACTGACTCAATTCATCCATCAATGGCTGCACAGACGACTGGGCCAGAGCTGCCACCTAACGCATCACAACTTCTAGATGACAATGCGAAGGACACAGCCGAATCACGAAAGTCTTCGTCTCAGGCTCAAAGCTCATCCAGAACTCCAGAGGGGAAAGATGAAGATGAAGGCAAAGGAGGAGGCATCGGGGTCTACTTCGTGAGTACGCAATTCGTGCATATTCTGCATGCTTGACTAACCATGATTGGCTCACACAGCGAATATTTCGGTATGGCGATCGTCTTGACTACCTCCTATATGCCATCGGCATTCTTGGCGCTATCGCGGTTGGTGCTGCTCTGCCTTTAATGACGTTGGTCTTCGGTTCGTCGGCCAGCTCTTTCAACGATTACGCTGTCGATCAAGGAAACTCGAACCAATTTCAAAGTGACATCAACCGCCAGGTCCTTTATTTCGTGTATTTGTTCATCGGCCGTTTCGTGATTGGATACGTTGCAACCCTTTGCATCTGCATCGCCGCTGCAAGAACTACCAACTCATTGAGGAAAAAGTTCCTTGAAAGTCTGTTGAGGAAAGAGATCTCGCATTTCGACTTGCAGGGCAATGGATCTGCTGCTACTCAGGTCACCACGAATGGGCATCGGATCAACCAAGGCATAGCTGAGAAGCTGTTTTCTCTTGCCATGGGTATTTCGTTGTTCTTCTCATCTTACATCGTTGCACTGGCCGTGCAATGGAAACTTGCTCTCATCACAATGAGTATAGTACCTGCAATCGTTTTGATCGTCGGAGGATGCATCAGTCTGGATGCACCTATCGAGGCTCGGATCACACGTATATATTCCAGGGCAGCAACACTGGCGCAAGATGCCATCAGCTCTGTCAAGACTATTCACGCCTTTGGAGCACAGTCAAAAATTGTCGAATGGTATGATGAGTATCTGCAAACAGCACACAATGAGGGCAAAAAGAAGTCGCTAATCTACGGCGTTTTGTTCTGCGGGCAGACATTTCTAGTCATGTCAGGCACCTCGCTCGCGTTCTGGCAAGGCTTTCGGATGTTCCGCAGCGGCGAGATTGGTGATGTCGGCACAGTACTTACTGTCATCCTGAGCGTCACACTCGGTGCGACCTCTGTACTGCTCATTATGCCACAGATACAGGCCATCACGAATGCTTCATCGGCCGCTGCAGAGCTTTTTGCAATCATCGATAAGCCATCTCTACTCGATCCTCTCTCTCCCGAAGGTATAATGCCTGATGATTGTGTCGGAGACATCGAGATTCGCAACTTGTCTTTCTCATATCCTTCGCGACCCACGGCGCCTGTACTGCAAGATCTTAGCCTGCGTATACCTGCTGGAAGGACTACCGCCTTAGTCGGACCCAGTGGATGTGGCAAGTCAACGTTGATTGGCCTACTAGAAAGATGGTATCAGCCAACATCAGGACAAATCCTGCTAGATGGCCATGACATCAGTACCTTCAACACGAACTGGCTGCGCAACAACATCAGACTAGTCCAGCAGGAACCCACCCTCTTCCAGGGCACGGTAACTTCGAACGTTGCGAAAGGCCTGGTCGGGGATCAACTAGGCTTGAGCGAAGAACAGCAGACTCAACTCATTCAGCGAGCTTGTGTGGCTGCCGATGCCCATGACTTCATCCAAAGGTTCCCCGAAGGCTACAACACACAGCTTGGAGAACGAGCCAGCATGCTCAGTGGCGGACAACGCCAGCGAATCTCTATCGCTAGAAGCATTGTAGCCGATCCCAGAATTTTGTTATTCGATGAGGCCACAAGTGCGCTTGATCCTCGTGCAGAAAGAGTGGTTCAGGCTGCGCTCAACAGAGTCTCGATCAACAAGACGACATTGATCATCGCACACAAGCTCGCTACAGTCATGGCAGCTGACAATATCGCGGTCATGATCAGTGGAAGAGTAGTCGAGCAAGGTACTCATAGCGAGCTCCTTGAACGCGATGGTCTCTACGCAGCCATGGTACGCGCGCAGGACTTAGGATTTGCCGTTGCCGAAAAAGAGCCTGAAACAACATTCAGCGGGTCAGAAGAGCCTATGAAAGCTGAGAAGGCGGACATCGAGATCGACGCAGCATCAACGAAGGAAAATGAAATCGGATCGGACGTGCCAGGATCCACCGCAGATAAGCTTGTTGCCGGCACGCTCAACTTCTCCCTCATCAAATGTATCCTCATCATGCTAAGAGAGCATTCCGACCTGTATCCATGGTATTTGCTCATAATGTTGGTTTACTTGACCGTCGGAGGCACACAACCGGCTCAAGCCATCATCTTCTCCCGTCTGATCCGAGTCTTTACACTTGAAGGCTCGGAAGCCAAACGACAGGCTGATTTCTATGCCCTTATGTTTTTTGTTCTGGCTATTGTCAACCTCTTCGGCTATTTCTTGATAGGTGTAGCATACAATACGCTTGGTCAGACTCTCACTCATCGCTATCGTCGTGAGATGATCGAGCGTATCGTTCATTTCGACCAAGACTTCTTTGACAGGCCTGAAAACTCTTCTGGCGCCCTGACTGCCAAGCTATCTTCCGTCCCTTCATCGGTACAAGAGCTAATGTCAGCCAACCTCGGTCTCATGCTCAATGTAGTGGTCAATATCATAGCTACTAGTGTAGTAGCCATTGCTTTCGGGTGGAAGCTTGGTCTAACGCTAGTGTTTGGTGGACTTACAGTCATCGTTGCTGGTGGATATATTCGTATCAGACTGGATCAGAAGCTAGAAGCTTCAACCGAGGAGCAATTCGCGAGTAGCGCTGGACTGGCGTCTGAGGCAGTTTCGTCTATCCGGACCGTCAGCTTCTTAGCACTCGAGCGCTCGGTCATGCGCGAATACAGCGAGACGCTGGATGCCATCGTCAGCAAGGTTATCCGGAGTCTGGTAAGTGATAGCAAAAGACCATGTTACGGACATCTGCTAACTAGGCATGGTCATTATAGATGATGACCTTGATTCCTTACGCGTTCTCTCAATCAGCAGACTTCTTGGTGATGGCGCTCGGGTTCTGGTACGGCTCGCGACTCATAGCACAAGGCGAATACTCGACAACCCAATTCTTTGTAGTCTTCCTTTGCGTCATCTTTGGTGGCCAAGGAGCTGCACAATTCTTCGGATATACGACTTCGATCACCAAAGCGAGAGGTGGCGTCAATTACGTACTCTGGCTTCGAACCATTAGACCCACCATATGTGAGACAGAAGAGAATGACGGCAACGGACCTCGCGCGGAGAAAGATGACGTGAGCTTAGAGCTTGATCATGTCGACTTCCAATACAAGCAACGCGGTACGGCGAAAGTCTTGCGCGACATCTCGATGAAGATACCTGCGGGAACATACGCTGCTTTTGTCGGACCCTCAGGCTGCGGTAAAAGTACTATCATCGCTCTTCTCGAGCGCTTCTACGACCCCTCTACTGGTCGCATCACCCTTAATGGCGATGATATCTCGTTGATGTCGCCACATATGTACAGAAGCTGTATGTCACTGGTTCAGCAAGAACCACCACTTTACCTGGGCTCTGTACGTCAAAACATCACTATTGGGCTGGACTACGAGCCTTCTGATGCAGAAGTACTGGAAGCTTGCCGTCAAGCAAACGCCATAGACTTCGTCACCTCGTTGCCAGAAGGTCTTGCAACACCTTGTGGCTCGCGCGGTTTACAATTCAGTGGCGGCCAACGCCAACGTATCGCGGTAGCTCGAGCGCTTATACGCAAACCATCTCTATTGCTTCTCGATGAAGCGACATCAGCACTGGATACACAGAGCGAGAGGGTGGTACAGAAAGCACTCGATGAAGCTGCTGCTGGAAGGACGACCATAGCAGTTGCGCACCGTCTGAGTACGATCAAACATGCTGATGTCATCTTTGTGATCGAAGATGGCAAAATCGCAGAGATGGGTACACACGAAGAGTTGCAAAGATTGAGGGGCAAGTATCATGCTATGTGTTTGGCGCAAACTCTTGATCAATCCTGAGCCTACTGTAGAAAGAAGGACATATCGAAGTAAGTGGATGTGTTCAGGGGTCGAACATTCTTGTCGCAAGCTTCGCATAATCAAGGGTTCGGCAATTAGAACAGTCGCTCTCCAGCGTGCTTGATGCCACATTCTGGACCAGTCTCACTTGACGTTGTATTCGATCCCCGCTGTGCGACCGCTATGAGACAGCCAACTTTGACATCCAAACCGAATCCAATCCGTCGATTGTGAGATCACGTTGCTTCCATCTATGCAACAAAGTCAGCGTCTGTATTTTTTACTGATGTCAGACAGCTCACCGATTCCTAATCGCGAGTCAATACTGCATCAAATGTGATAGTTGCACCGGTCTCTACAAAACATCAAGCCACAGTACCGCTGGGTCTAGTAGTTACTGTGTGACAACAAGCCCAAGGGTGCTCTGCGTAAGTCTTGAGTGTCTTCGAGAACCTTGCCCAGATTATCAGAGTCTCTCCTGGTCTGTCTCTCGATAGCGAGATTGCGGAGTCGATGCACAGTGGTTTCCATGGCGATAGTCGATGCTTCCAGTATATCGCCGAGGATACTGTCGTCTCTGAAATACTCAGACCAGACTACATGAATGTTCGTTGCAGGGTGGTTGCTTAGCGACACAGAGATGTGCGAAGGGATAAGCATCAACACTCCCACATCAGCCAAGTTTGCAATACCCATGAGAATCGTGGATGGGTGTGACGGAGAGTTCTCGGCTATGGCACCAGATATGCTGAGCTTGACAGTCTTCAAGTTGTGCAGACGCTGGTTGATAGCATTGACGAGTGGTTTGAGCTCTCTGACGACCGAATTCTCTCCGTCATTGAAAATGACAATGTTGAGATGCTCGATATTGGCAATCGCTGTAGTTGACAGTAGTTCGAGGACGTAGAGTAAGGAGAATGCCACGCCAGATGATGCACCTTGAACGGACAAGTCAGCATTGCGCCAAATATGAGGCACAATCTCATGATAGAGGAGTTTGCTGGTTCTGGCGACAGCGAGTGCAGCACTACTTCTGACGCAGTGGGTCATTGGAGCTTTCCAGACCAGCCCTTGGAAATCATAGGGACCCTGGGGTCGATAGCGTTTGCAACAGCCGTGTTCGAGCGACAGATACTGCATGAACTGTTCGCCTGGAGGACCGTCCAAGATCACACCAGCGCGTTTGTTCTCAGCGATGGCTTCTTGGATCAGTAGATGGTAGATCATGGTTCGAACCTCGGGTGGCAACGACAAGAATGATGCCATCTTGGGGTGGTTGTGATGATCGTTGGTTCGCGGTAGTTACAAGAATGTGGGAAGAGATGTCCGTCGTCGAGGACAGAGGGTTGCGCGGGGCTGTCGAGGGCGACCGGGGTTCGAACCGATGAGTCGCTCACTTTGTTTTTTGTCGTCGCTGCCTAGTTGTGCATAAGCCTTCATACATTCAGTCCGACACTTTTACGGAGACAGAGCTCGACTAGGCAACAAAGCTTACAACAGTTTCACTCGTGACCTGTGGTACTATGGTATGACCTTGCAAGCACCTTCATAAGTGTCGTTCGAACCTCCATCTTTCTTACACCTCCAACACCAAACACGATCTGCGAATCGCGCAGATCTATCATCATCGGTGTGTTCACCTAATCGCCAACACCGACATGCCATCTTTCTTGTCACTCCCGTCTGAGCTTAGGCTCGTCATTTACAGCTGCCTCCTGGACGATGCCATCGCCAGTGGTGCCTGCATCTTCTGGGCCCCGGATGTTCTCGAGGATGAGATGGACACCATCTCTGTTTCTTACCGTCGAATCACTCCCTCTGCCGAAGATACGTTCAACATGTTTGGCCTTCCCGCTGCCCTGAGTCACGTCGACTTCAGTGCACTTGCTTTTCTTGGACAGGCTTCCAGACTGATCCGCGACGAAGTGATGCCTCTCATCTGGTCGTGTCCGGATCTGTCACTCCATGGACAGCGGTCTAAATGGGTCGAAATCTTACGCGCTGTGAAGTCACGCCAATCCGTCAATCAGTGTTACGCTTCAACAAGCACCATACTCTGCTATCCCCAGAGAGTTCCAGCTGGTTGGGGTCAGAACGACAGGGTCCGTCAGGGAGTCATGAGGGCCTTTATTCTCTTCCTTGGCATCCAATTTCCTAAGCTCCAAAACTTGAATGTCATCATGTCATCCCCAGCTAAGTGTATCATTCCTGTGGTGTATCTAAAGCTACCGCCCCACGCAAAAACGATGTTCGCTATCAACAATCTACTGCATCCTACAGTCTCTGTCAGTTACACCTTGCATATCAGAAGCTCACTCCAAAACCTAGTGGATATTGGTTGGTTTCTTCCTTCAGAGCTCAAAACATTTCACGAGAAGTACGAGAGCCTTCCTCGTGAGTACATCGCAAACTGCCGCAACACTCAACACGAAAGAAAGCTCAAGAGAGAATGGCTTCACTCAAACCACGCAAGCCTCTTGGAGGAGACCCTTATGCTCCGAGCACTCTTCCATTGCTAAATCAAAGTACACGGCTTCATGGCAAACAATGTGCACGGCTTCGTGGCAATAGATGCACACAACTTTACGATAATCGATACACACGACCTCACAGTCTTTACACGCTCCTAAGCAGCAAGATCACAAATTGTACGATACCAAGCTTTGCTGCTGTATCATCATCGACTGACGTGATTACTCCAGATAGCGCAAAGGGCTTTCCGCTCACCAGACAAGGGCTCGACCCTCACAAGAAGAAACAGATCATGTTGTCAGCACTCTTTCGACAATAAATCAGTCGGGGGCTGAGGAGGAACACTACAGACACTCATTTTAAAATTCGGACGAAACATGGGCACATGGCAAAGGTACTCCGAGTTATCACAAAGAAAGTACATACAGCGAGAGATGCCTACGTTTTCCACACAGCACAAATACCTGAGTGAGCTCGTGCATCAAACCGCACTCAGCCGATTACCATATTGAGTGACTAGTTTGATGCTCAGAACGCTTTGATGACACCGTGAGTGAGATCACTAACAGTTAGCATTTTGAGTTTCCACATCAGCCTTTGAAAAGTAAGACGATGATCTAGGAGAATACTACTCTGCTATACGAAAGCGATCCACGGTCGGGACGGCGCCGTAGAGCTTTGTGTGACAGAGCACGAAACCCTGAACAAATCATGGACCTCCATGATTGACTTCGCTATCTCGACAATCAGTCTGTTTACTCTACTTATACCGCTTTATCAATCTGGATCTTCGTTATATGTAAGTCTGGAGTCCTGAATGGCACCGGCTTCCATCGGTATGATCACGACTTCCGAAGAAGCACTTGCGACCAAAAGACATTTCCAGGCTGCAATCTTGATTGTTCGCAAACAGCATCTCTCATTTCCTCTAATCTTAGTAGCGGCAGAGCTCTTTGTATCTCACTCCCGACTCTCAACTCTTTATGATCACACTCTTGACTGCACAGTCATTGGCTCAGACAGCGGAGATGAATACATTATGAGCGCCTTTGTATCGTATCTGGGGCAAAAGCAGCGCTGGGACTTTGCCATCTACCGTCAGCATTCTTCTTCGGAAGCCGGATGGACGAAATTACTTGCTATGTTTGCTACTTGGTCTCTCTTTGAGTTTCCCAGCCCAGCGCTCGAATATGGCCGTGTGGCTAGGTCATGGCAGCAAAACTATTGGATGAACGACAAGTTGCCGTTTGACAGTGCCACAATTGAACAACTCCGACAGCACTTTCAGCTATGGGTAGCTTCCAGGGTTTTGGGGGTCTGAGAGCACGGCCAGAGAGTTATATGTTCCTGGTCGTTGACAAGATTGTTCTCGACAACGTTCGCCCGCAGGAATCCAAGCTGGACTTCAAGCCGAGGGACGAGGGACCCTATTTCAAAGCCATAGACGAAGTTCACCCCCGACGAAAGTGAAGGACATTCTGGCTGGATGAAGCTGAGCCTGGTGTCTCTGCTCGATGTGTACAGTAGAGGCATGCACTTTGAAGGCATGAGGGGTCTACGATTGCGACATTCCGATTGGTACACGAGTAGTCTACCCGAGGAAGATACTACGTATCTGGAGGAAGATGATTCCGTTCTCAACTTTGAGCTGGCCATCTGAGTCTGGAGGCGAGGAGAAGACATCGGAGACTTAGCCGCTGCGTACGTCCATTTCAAGTATGTCTTCCTAAGCTCCGGGAGCTGTGTGTTCGGCGCATTCGTCGCGAGCCTCATCTGGAGCACCTGAATTCATTCTCCGACAAGGTTATTGTAACCAGAACGGCCCGGCTTGCATCCCAGCGAACGCTTGCATCCCGCGATGGACCATACTAATACCCTAAGATATCTATATTGTAAAGTTTTTGTATCAAACACATACGGCCACAGTCAGCTGAAAACTGGGCATCCCGTCCGCTCTGCCATACATAAGCAGTTGAACGGCAGATTAGTACTACGGTGGGTGACCACGTGGGAATCCCTGCTGCTGTATGTTTTGCATCTGTTTTGTCACATCAACCAGCGTGGTGGAGGCCTACTCTATATCACTTTTGACGTAGCTTCGAAAATACATGGGTGTTTTGTTCCATTCGGCCGTTCGCTGAAGAGCGTTGTTTTGTTCAGATGCTCTCACAGAATTGGCAGGTTGTGCCGAGGTCTTAACACTACTCTGTCGTTTACGCAGCCCTGACTGATCTCTTCTATACCTTCATCTTGGTGAACCATGTCGGGCGAAGCAAGGTTCTGATGAGCGTATGTGTCCTGCATGTCCTGCAGGAACCACAAACCCTGCCGCCTGGGGACGACCATAGCTTCAAATTCAGAGCAAACTCGCAGGTGTTACATTAAGATAATAGCTCTGGCTATGCTGTGACATAAAACTGATCAAAGTCTTCCTGGGCGACTTTACAAGTCCATTCAACCAAAGCTTTGCTAAATACACAAATAGCAAAGGTCTCTCCAAAGCAGCCATTTCCCGATTATTCACATATCCTTCATTACATCCACTCACAGATAAATTAAATAAGTCTTGGGCACAGATACGAAGCAAGAAATTGGTAGAAAATGATGTGGATGAGAATGAATTTACTTTGAGACTGGTGGGGGGAAAACACGAAACTACTTACGGTGGAGAGAAGTGCAAGCAGAGAGATTGATGGAATGCCGCATGGTGCTGTTGCTTGAGTTTTAGTGAGCGTCCTGGTCCTTCCTTATATCGTCGGCTCCGATCATGATTTGTGGGAAGTAAATACGGACTCATGATACATCGAGCCAATCTTGAAACGGTCGAATCGACGTTGGTATCAAGCCTCTAGTCATGCTCACTAACGCTCCACAGAGCATACGGCACGAACACAAACATTGAATCAATAAAATTGTTTTTACTTCGTTCTCTCGCTTACATTCCGCAAGTCTTGTTATGTTCACTTTTTGTTTCGCCCCATCCCGCCAACGCCATGCTGAATCAAAGCTCGCATAGACACAACCCCTCCTTTGCAATGTCAACATGTAAAAGGAGACCATCGGGGAAAAGATAAAGAAAGAGAGAAAGAGGAGAAGAGCAAAGAGGATTACAACCCATCCCACTTTTAGACCGGGGGCTTCTTGCCAAATTTAAGCTTAAACTTTGGCTTCTGCTTCTCCTCTGCGCCTTCTGAGGGGCGGGGACTGTTGGTGGCGGTGGTGGTGCCATTGCTCTTTATCGGATGGTTTGTCGTCATGGGACTGATGGCGCTTATGGGAGCGGAGTCGGTTTCCTGCTTGATGGCACTCATGCCATTCCAGCTCCTGAAAGCGCCAACGCTTGTACCTGTATTCAATGCGGTGGTGACCTCCGGGCTGGCAAAGTAATCGCCATTGCTGCCACTATGGTCTTTTGAGCCTCCACCTGCTGTAGGTGCAGGGCTGGGACGCGCCGAAGACGATGTGTTGATCTTGGCGGGGATGGCGGGTCGCTGTTTTTGCGGTCTGTTACCTGGTTGAGGTGGCTGCGCCAGGATCCTTTGCAGACGTTTCTGCTTTGTGATTTTCAGGCGAAGAACCTTCGATTTGCCGGGCTTATCGCTTGGTGTAGGCTTTCTGGACACTGTGGCTGAGGTAGGTGCGGAGGTGCCAGATACAGTGCGAGATGGCGTTTGTGCATGTACCTTTCCCAAACTGATACTCGGGCTCTTTTCCACCTTTGGTGTTGCCGACGTGCCATTTGTGGTCGGCAGCGTGAGATGCGGGCGCTTAGGACTAGTCGCGCGTGGCTCGGCTGTCGTACTCTGCTTGCGCTTCAGAGTGAGTTTCATAGACCCACCCGGAGTTGATATTGGCAGAGGTGGCGGAGACATGGCGGTCGGGGGTGCCTGAAGAGGTCTTGGTACTACAGGAGCCGGAGCCTGATCGTGTACTTGCGTCTTCCTGTAGAGCTCTTCTTGTATGGCAGCGACTTCATCTTCCAGTCTTTGTTTCTCATGCTTCTTGTTTTTGATGTACTCTTTGGTTTCCTTCGCAAGTGGTCCAGTGTACTTGATGCCATGCTGCTGCACCATTTCGAACTCCTCTAGACCAAGACCAGTAAATGGCGTTGTTCGGAACTTATCCTTCTCTGTGAATTGCATCTTGGCTTTGCCAACGTGCTTAACATTGTAATAACGAGGCAGGCGAAGACGCACAACAAGGCCGTTTGATGGATCATAGACCAGGGCCGCAATGTCCAGGAACGAGACGACCTCAGGTATGGCGAGCGTCGGTGATTGTATGACATGCCACAATGATGCTTTGAACACCTCGTCGTTGATAAGGGCAGCTTTGAGCGCGATCAGAGCAAGCTCTGGAGGACTCTTGCCCATTACGTCGAGCGGTACTGGTTGAACGGCCAACGGCTCCTCCTGCTCGAGGACAAGGCCCCCAGTTTCGATAAGCTTGGGAGCTGGCTTCTCGACCTCTTGTGACTTAAGCGCAATAGTTCCTAGAGCCCGGCCCAGTACTTGCAGAAGTTGATCTCTGAAGTAGGGTGAAGGATCGTCACATAGCGAGTACAGTAGATACTTCAAGATCTGTGGCCGCCTGGCAAGTTTGAGTTGGACCAAGGAGTCCCATGCTGCGAGCCGGACCTCATCTGCGTTGCCAGTCTGTGTGTATTGTAGAATGTCGGCCTTCTTGTTCTTGACGACACCATGTTCCAGCAGCTTCCGCATGCATTCGAGTGCCGTGACAGAATATGTGTTCTGATAAGAAGAGATCCATTCATCGATGCGACGGTAGCGTTCGAGCTCGTTTATGGCTTCCTTTTGGAACTTCTCGTCTTCGATGGCTTCTTGCATCAGATCGTCTTCGTCGTCAGGATTGATGGCGAAGGTCTGCTGTGGAGCTGTAGACGCGACCAGAGATTCGGCGAGACATCGCATGAGTGTGGATACATAGTAACAGTCGGAGAACTGAATGCTGTCAGTGGATGACAAAGTCACACAAGTACAACTGTCTTACCTCGTTATTGGAGTTGTCGTTGAACTTGAGCTTGTCAACGAAAAACCTCCTCACACTCATCGGTACCTTACCACGCTCATCTTTGACATGTGACAACGCAATTGGTATGGCTTTTTGAATCAAGTAGCTCATGCGATCCGAGAAGTCGTTGGCGCGAGGCATGGACGAATCCGCGAAGCAGAAGAACTCCTGGAATGCTCTCTCGAGATGGTACTGACCAACCCAATTCAAGCTAGGCGTGGCGCATTTGGTCAAGCCCTCGGCTGCCAGTGTACGGATGCCGTGGAAGTATCGGCGGTCCATCAATGTCCTGACGAGAATTGTCGACATCAGAGGATGTGCGTTCTGCTTCAGGACATGCTGAAGCGACTGTATACAAGTTAGCGCCGTGTCAAACAGCTCCGTGGCGGAGCATTGCTTACCTCGTATTGTGCAACAACATCTCTATCTTGTTGCAACTGACTGACATACATGTAAATTGGCATGATCAGGTCGATCTTGCCAATCCATTCGAAGTCGGCATCCATACGAATCCACTCGTAACTTTCTTGGCCCATTCGGTCTTCCTCTTCTTTGCCCCAGTCGACCAAACGCCAGTCTTTGACTTCATCTTCTGACTGAAGCACGTCACCAAGACAGTATAGTAGCACGTCATTCTCGGCTTGATCGCCAAGGTCATTGTCGTTGACAGCCATAGCCCGCTCTTTTGCCCGTTTAGATCTTTTCAAGCGTTTGTACTTGGTGTTGTACGGAATCTCGATCTTGGTGTGCGTGTCCTTGATCTCCACAATGTGTTCGTATGGTGTACCATCGGCTTCGTGAATACGAATGGTCATAGGCCCAGTAAAGGGATCCGAGACCTCAGGGGCCCATACTTCCGAGACTTGTTCTTTAGCCTCTCTCATGAAGTTAGACGGCTGAAGTTCAGGCTTGATCTTTCGTTCGCGTTGCGTTTGGTAAATGTTCATCTCCACGACCAACTTCTTCTTGTTGAAACGCTGGTTTACCTTGAACAGGGGACAACCAGCGCCATATACCCACTGCTTAAAGAACGCATCAAGTTTGGTGTGTCCAAGCTTCTCACAGAGACGGTGGAACCAATCCGTGGATAGTTCACCGTTCTGAAGGTCACCCGTCTTCGCGTTCAACAATAACCTGACGATAATGCGTGCCACACCAGCCGCTCCACTTGCCTTTGTGAGTCGACGGTCCAGGATGAAGAGGACGACTGCTGACTTTAGAGCCATGAATTCGTACTCTGAAGGGTCAATGTCAAGCTGAGCGCCGAGTTGATGTATGCTATAACGTTCAACATCTTGCTCGAACACCTGTTCGGAAGCGAGTTTCTGTTGGTAGCGGTACTCGTTGTTGCCGGCCAGCTTCCTCATGAATGTGTCGCGCATGAATCCTGAGATACCGGTGATGGCCCACATGTCTCGAGCTTCTTTGGGAATGATGTTGACACCAACCCATTGGCTCGCAAGAGCGTTAACGAGCACTCGAGTGTTCGCGTCCAGCGGTTCGATGATGTCTTCTGGGAAGAGCAGTCTCGTACTGCAGATAGACAGAGATGCGGTGTGTACCACATCTTGCACCAAGTCATCGACAAAGATTAGCTTGTAGCTGGAGAACGGGAATGAACCGTAGTTAACGGTAAAGTAGTCGATCGCCTTCCAAAACTGTCAGTTGATCATCTAGATAACACAAACAGAGTACATACCTTGGCCATAGGCATGCAGGTGTTTCGTAGCTCTTCTGCTCTGCCTGGCAGACAGAAGCCATCTACTTTGATGGCATTTTGTCCAAGCTTGTCATCCTCGTCAACTTCTCTGAAATCAGTAAGGTCAACATGCTCGAAAGGACCGATGGCAAAGCCGATGTGGCGAGCAGTAACGGGAGCAAAGCAGGCAAATGAGACTGTCCGCCAAGTAGGATCCTGGGGGTCAATAATCTGAAATCTGTCAGATAAAGCAATATTGGTATATGGATGAGACTGCATACATCGTCTGTCATTTCACCAGAGCACACGATACTCAGATCCAAGGATTTTTCTTCCTCGCTGAGATTGATCGAGTACTCTTCCCGCGACTTCTTGTCTTTCTGGTCGGCCCCGATCATGTCCACGTCTCCATCGGTAATACTTCTTTGCGATGTTTTTCTGAATGCATCGCCTAATGTCTTGTGGCAGCGTATGGAGATCTCCCACATACAGCGGGATGTGACATCGTCAACGCACGGGAAGACAGAGCAGATGGCGCCCGGGCCCAGAGTATTTCTTGTGTATAAATGAGGATATCGCGAATCCTGTTCCGAGAACCCGACGAAGTGGAGACCGTCGCGAAAACTTGTGACTTCGAAGTCGATGACAACTCGTAGAGGGGCATACCTTAGCGTCGGCTCCTGGGCGTGTGATGCAGTCGGAGTGTCGGCTTGCGCAGGGAAGTCGCTTTCTTGTCTTTTGAGGCTGTCTCTGGCCAAGGTTGACGAAGACTCGCTGTTCAGCTCCTTTATTGTGACGCGCGATGGAATGGTCAACGCTAGCTCTGGGTCCGGGGATTGCTTGATGGCGCCCTCAATCTTGGTACGGAGGTATTCATGCTGATGGGCGGTTGTTATCCCTGGGAGTTTGATCTTCTGGTAAGGATCTGAGTAGGTGACTTGTGCTTTCGAACCTTCGACGGTAGCACTCAGGATACGGGCCTGGCGGCAGTTTAAACGTATGGTTTTGAGGTCCTTGATTTCAGGCTGGATTGTGATTTCGGTAGAACCAGAGATGGCCTGCTTCGCAAAGTTGACTGTGAAATCGACCTTTTGCGAGACAACGGAGAAGCCGAGATCCAGCGATTGCTCGGTTGGTAGGGCGTTGTCAAAGTAGCCCGGCATGGCGCCCACTGCGCGCAACCTCTTGACCAAGTGTCGGCTCAGTTTGCATTTCCCATGCCCCAAGACATGCGCGATACGGTCGCGTTAGTTGGCTGAATTCGGTCGTGTGTTGCGCCTGCGTGTTTCGAGGAAGGTGCGGCCGGTAGAGGGGTGGTGATGGGGCGGCGTTCGTTGGAGGCGCGTTGCAGCGGTAGACGTTCGATGGTGAAGAAGCCGGGAGGTGAGAGGGGCGAGTGTGACTGCGATGAGACGACCGACGGCGACGAGTATGGATGCTTGACGTGATGCGCGCGCGAGGCTCTGATCGACTGAACGAGCTGTAAAGTCGATGCTGTCGGGAGTGACGAACTTCGGTGAAGCTGGTCCGAGCTCAACTTCGCGACTACCTCGAAGTTGCATCTGAAACAGTGAAACTCTCTTCTACCGTCAAGTCGTATCGTCAATATCATAGTGACGTGCTTCGTGAGCGCGATGCTCGAGATGAATCATCCTGGAACATAGTGACGGCGACATGGTCTCATCTACTCTGAGAGCACAACACCTCGTTGCGGCCAAGTCTCGCACACAATCACATCGCGTGACAGGATAAACGACACTTTTGAATGTTCATAGCAGTTTTCAATTGAGCAACCATAATGCAACATCCCTCAGGGTATTTCGCTATATCCGTGCGCCCAGAACGCCACTCCGTGTATGCTAACTATGTGTTATCCTGTACATCTGCCTCGCCTCTCATGCTTGACTTGAATCCATCGCACTTTCCCGCTTCATTCTCCTACGCTTCCTGGCATTGGCTCTCAATGCATCTGGCGTAACGTACTCTTCTGGCAGCGCAAACTCCTGTTCCTCAGCCTCGGGTATTGGTACGCCGAACGCTGTCAGAGTCCGGCCATGTCTGGTGTTCCCTAGCGCTGCCGCTCGTAGATGAGGTTTCGAGTAGAAGCTCACAAAAGGCCCATCGGGTGTGGGCTCTCGATATATAATCGGAGCAGGTGCTGGAGGCGTAGGTGCGGGTTCAGCGACTGGTGCTGACGCTCGTGTCCTGCTTTTGAGCTTTCCAGCCTTGCCGTCTTTACCACCACTTGCTCCTCCTGAAGCCTCAGTCTGTAGTTGACGTGCTGCCGAAGCATCCAGATCACTCGAAGACGGCTCACTCTCACTTTCCTCCTCCTCCTCTTCCTCCTCGTCGTCATCGTCTGCCATGGCTGCAGCTTCTTTCTCTTGCCGAATGCGCCTTTCTTCGTCTTTCCACGTCTTGAACTTCAAAAGAAGTGCACTGACTTCGTCGACAAAGTATTTTCTCTTTGGTTCGTACTTTTTAGCATCTGCGTCTGCCACACTGACGATACCCATGACACGCAGCCAGTCGTGTCCTTGTAGAGCTTCGAGAAGTCTTTCGAGGTGTGCCTTTTCATGCATGGCCCTCTCCTTCTCGATGTTGCGTAGTTGTTTTTCTTTGCGTTCTGCTCGACGATGAGACTTGAAGTAAAAGGCATCGGTCAATGGATCCTTGGGATGGTGGCCAACGCTCTTCTCGATGGACGAGAAATCGATGACCTGAGCTCCATTGTATTTGTTCTTTTGGGTTGGTGAGGATGGTGGTTTGTTAGGCGAGGAAGAGGGACGACGGTTCCGTGCATTGCTAGCCAGGCTATCTGACTTGAAGCCCGGGTCTTGTGCAGGGTTGTAGGGCTCATGGCTGATATGAATGATCGTATCCGTAGTGATGAATTCTGTGTCTGGTCAGCTATGGTCACAGCACGTAATCGACTTGGTCTCACCTGGTTCCTTGTTGGAATCGTAGATAATGTCCTCGTAGTAGGGAAAGTAGACAGCCAGCTCACTCTTCAGACGCGGACCTTCATCGTGAGAGCGCAGACTACGCCTCTCTGACGTCTTTCGAGTCTGTCTTTGTGACGGGTTCAGAGCGGTGGCCGGGGTTATGGCAGGTGACGTGTTGGATGTTGGTGGATCGTCGGAGGGATCCAGTTGGGTGCGTGCGCCGTTGGTAGTCTGCAGCACCTGTCCATGTGGTTCGGAGAGGGTCAGCTTGACGGGCGGTCTCGGGGTCGGGATGGTCGCGTTTGTGTCGCCAACGTCAGCAGATACCGCAGCTAGCTTCGGGCCTTTGAGCGTCAGCTTGAGGCGTTTGGCGGGTCGGTCTATTTGTGCCAAAGGCTCGCTGGTTTCATTGTCGGAGGGCAGCGGTTGCGGTGATGTCGAAGGCCGCTGTGAGGGGGGTGGTGTGGGGTGTCTGACGGAGGCGCGCCGGTTGGGTGACCTGGTCGAGGTGGGCCGGAGAGAATTGACCATGCTTTTGATGGCAGACGACCATGATTCTTGTTCGACTACGCCGTTCTCGTCCGCCGCAAGCGCTTCGCTGTGCTGTTGGCTCGAATCCTGCGCTGTCTCGCGGTTGCTCCGTTCAGGACCCTTTCCTGACAGCCAGATTTGGAGAGGAGTCATCCGACAACATTTGGTCGGCCTACTTTGCGGCGGAGTGTCAATCCTAGGCCCAGATCCTCCTCTTCTACCTGTACTTTTAGCTATTGTCACTTCTAGCGAGAGCCGACTCGTCACTGTCCCGCGGTCGCGTCTCCCTTCATCGACTCTACGAAGCTCCAACGAACTTGGCTTGGCACCATCTCCTCTTTTGCGGCATGCAATCTGCAACTATGGGCGAATGGAACAATTCAATATCTTTCATCGGATAGCTACACACAGTATTTAGACAGATCTTGAGTCGGATCCGAGCCTCTTCCATAACTATTGGTTGAGAAGACGCATGTGTATTGCGACACTCACTCGATGGGTGCCGGTCAAGCTTCTCACAAACCAGCAGCCTTGACACTTCACGACCACACAGATCGTTAAGCTTCAATGGAAATGTCAGGTCACTTCTTGAAACGGTTCCTGAATCGATGGATCACAGCGTAGCTGTATTTGAGACTCGATTGCGCCGGGCAAAGGCATAATTGTGCTATAAAATCGACGCTGTCAGAATGACCCTGTCCATACTGAACTGAGCACGTTCCAACCACGCAAGGTAGCAAGAAGTATATCATATTAGGTATTAGTCTGCTGCTAAGCTCCCTGAATTTGCTGTCGGCTTGTATATGTACAATGTTGGTTGGCCTCAGGCGTTGATAAACTCCGTGACTATTGGTGATCTTGAGAATTGTGGATTGAGAAGAATGCATCTATGATACAAGTCAGCGTCTGAAACACGGTGTCTGATAGGACTCGTACGTAAGGAAGTGACCAAGACCAGCCTTCCTTTGCTCGAGAAACTTTGTTCGAAATCGTGCTGCGAGGAAGGTTAGGAATCGGAATATGTATGAGCTTTTGTCATCAACATACAGACAAGACTTTTCCGAGGCAGCTCTGGGATAGATGCTTCAGAAAGGGGGAAAGCCCTCACAAGATTCTGTCTGAGTGTGTCGAACTCCGAGTATCTGATCTTGTGTCAGCTTGATATGCTAGAAGCTGCTTGCAATCCGAGGCCCGAACCTTTTGCGTAGGGTGATGCTGCCACCCTTGAATGTTTCAATGGTAAAGTTCCACACGACATAGGCACCTATCCCTGTAGGGCCGCTGACGACCACGTAATCGTCCACGGACACATCACTTGCCCAGCACACCCGTCCAATTTCATGGTCTTCATCTGATTGATCGACGAGATCTATACCGTGGGCTATAGCCGGCGTAGCTGAGTCAGTCCGCTCAAGGCGGAGGCCATTGAAGTATGGCGGTATTACATGAGGAGCTGCATCTGCAAGTGTGACTGATGACGCGGCAGTGTGATCCGAAGTGTTCACGGCCTCTTCATGTGTTGTAGGGGTGGCGGCGGCAGCGGCGGCCAGAGGCTGGTCCTTATTGCGGGGTGACGAGGTATCGCCGTTGACAAGAGTTTCCGTCTCCGCAGACTCCATCCATCAGTCCGTGTTGGGGAGAATAATAAATAGATTGAGTTAGCGGATCCTGTGGTTTGGCGATGCACGATTATCCATGGGGTAAAGAGGTGTGTGGTTTCTGGGATAGTCGCGAGCGTTTGCTCCGTTAAATCGCTCAGCCACTTAGCGCAGAAAGAGGGCGATCAGATGGCGAGAAGAGGTTGGAGAAACAGAGCCGCAAGTCAGGGCTTGGCTATATGTCTACCTATCGGCTCTCGTAGCGTCCAATAAGTAGATGAGAGCTGGGACCCTCCCCGGCCCTGATATTCTCCGAGATTCTCGAAATCTCCTTGACTCGCTAACCATGGTATGGGATTCATCACAACCACCAAATGTCTGCTCTTTGCTCGACGACTCACGGTTGACAGCGAGACAAGGATTCTGTTTCCGGGCCTTTTATGGATAGAGAGCAGATATCGGGACTCCACTTATGCCCTACATGCCGTAGTTTGATAGGCCTGGATGCACCTCACCCGCGGTCGAACGACCCCAGAATGCATGCAGATACGGGAAGGGCGTTGACCACTGCTTTCGCCGCCCGCCATCCCCGTTTGTGCTCTAGCAAGTATTTCAAGCGCGAGCTATGGCCCTTGAGCGTACAGGATAAAGACTCAACGCCTGTCCTGCTGGGGCAACCCTCTATATCTCTCCAACTCTCTCGTTAAGTCGGTCCAGCACTTCTGATATCTGTTCCCTCTCACCTTCGTTGTTGAACATTGTCTTTCTTCTCGAACACTATATCTGTCGTTCCTCGTACTCAAAAGTATCCTCCCATTCACACATACAACCAGCACGATGCGTGGTTTCGGTCCTCTCCTCCTCCTCCCTGTGGTCGCCAACTTGGCTTCTGCTCAGTTCAACGTCTCGAGCGTGCCTGAGTCTACCAGAGGTTCGTACTACTCATCTTTCCACTCCATGTTCATGATATCTAACCTATGTAGAAACCTGGTGCACCAACCAACAGGCCGCCTGCCCTATCATCTGCTCCCAAACTTCCGCAAACTCTTCAGAGACCCTCGAGGTATGTGCTTGTTCAAGCTATACGACTGTAGTACATCGACTGACTTCAAACATAGAACGACTGTGACCCCGAGACCCTCGACTACTCATGCCTCTGCAGCAACAACCTGAGCCCCAACGCCTCCGAGTACTCGCAAACCATCCCCTTCTACATTTGTACCGCCACAAACCAAGAGTGCATTTCAAACTGCGGCGGCAACACTCAGTGCGAGTTCAACTGCAACGCAGACAACCCTTGCGGTGCCCAGAACCCTACACGCATCAATGCCACCACTTCCTCCGCCTCGGCAACCGCTTCCTCAACTGGCTCTGGCAGCGCAGGCCAGGCTACAAACTCCGCCGGCCAGACCATCTACAGTGGTCTCGGCGGTAGCGGTGGTGCCTCTGCCACTGGCTCCAGCAACACCAAAACTGGTGCAGCAGCCGCTCTCCAGCTCGGCCAGGCTTACGGTCTCCTCGCCGTCTCTGCCGGCATCTTTGCCGGCTTCGGTCTCCTGCTCTAAGATGTCTCTTTTCCGAATATTCCCTTCCCACCTCTTTTCTCTCTGGCTTTTCCAACCAATTCCCACTCTCCTTTTTTTAATCAGAGCATAGCAAGCGCAAGCGATTTATTCCGACCTTTCTTCCTTCCTTTCTACTTCGCATGGGTCAGCAACGGGGAACGACATTCAATCTTTTACTGAGCATAGTGTGCTGGGGGCGTTTTCTGTTTTCTTGTTGCTGTAGTTCGGCCATGTCGCTTTTACACATGGACATTTGGGATTAATGCTACGGATGATGTTTTGCTATACAAACCAAGCTACGAAATTAACAATCACACTCTCTCCATACCAATATTTGACGAACTCAAAACTACGAAACCGTGGCGTGCATAAGGTAGTCGATATCTCGGACTTTCAAGAGTTTAGCTACATTGTTCATGTGATATTGGCGTTTTTTGTACCAAAGTACCCCAGAGATTAATGATCCTTTGCCCTTTTTGTGTCTTTTCAGGTGTTTGATCGTCCCGAGACTTTGATATTATACTTTCTTGATCCCGCCCGTGTTGACCTCTGGGTGTATCGAAGCCTTCCGTGATGGGTATATGTTGCAAATGCAGGAGGCTTGTTGATCATACACACCGCTTGCGCATCATAAATCCTTGTGGACGGCAAGTCGATGGGCAGCGACGGCTCGTCAAACATGGCATGTGATTGGAAAGCTTTGTGTTGGTCACAACGCCATCACCAAGAGACAAGTCAAGCGAGAGTTGAACGAATCGTAAATGCATTCTCTCGCTGCAAACTGTACAAATGCCAATCAATGCATCAGCACCCGAACAGGGGGTATCTTTGTATAACTTTTTTTTCTACTTTGGTGATTTCCTTGGATTATCCCCAACTCGCTCTAGCTAGTCTTGGGAGCAGCAGCAGCAGCAGCAGCTTCGTCGAGATTTGTTGTGTCGAGCTTGTCAGCGACAGCATCGACGCTGTTTGCTTGTCTGCTGGCGTTGATCTTGGCTGCGACTTGCTCCTCGAGCTTGTCCATGGCGATCGGTACACCCTCCTTCTCGGGGTGACCGTCTGGCAGACCCATCTCCTTGAGCTTGCACTGACCAGCCTTGAGTTCTTCCTCGCCGAGGATAAGGGCAAAGGGAACGCCGTTGGTCTCGGCAGCCTTGAACTGTGCGGGAAGCTTGGGCTTGACCTTCCAGTTGAACTCGGCCTTGATGCCGGCATCCCATAGACGCTTTGCGACTTCCATACGCTGGGGTAGGAGGCCCTCGAAGCCCTTGCCACCAAAGGCCATGACGTAGACGTCGACTTCGTTTGTGCGGACGGCCTTGTTGCCCTCTGCTTCCAGTCTGGCCTTTGTGATGCTGAAGATGCGCTCGACACCGAAGGAGATGCCGACACAGGGGAGGTTGCTCTTGCCGCTGAACATGCCGACGAGCTCGTCGTAACGACCACCAGCAGCGACGGAGCCAACACCAACGCTGGGGTCGTTGCTACGGTCATCATCCTCGTTCTTGGGCTTCTTGCTCTTTGACTGCACCTTCTGGCCTTCTGAGGTCTTGGGGGCAGAGCCTTCGGTAACAATCTCGTAAATGACACCAGTGTAGTAATCAAGACCACGAGCCAGTGACATGTCGAAGGAGATTCTGTCGAGGACACCAAAAGTGTCGAGGTAGTTGAAGAGAATCTCGATGTTGTCCAGACCAGCCTTTGCAGACTCGTTTGCGCTTAAAGTTGCGTCGGCTTGGAGGTCTTTAAGAAGGTCTCTTCCACCCTTGCGAACAACGTATTTACCAATCTTGTCTGCAATTTCAGGGTCGAGACCCTTCTCCTCGGTCATCTCTCTCTTAACCTCGTCCCATGGCGACTTGTCGAGCTTGTCAACAGCAGACGAGATGGTTCTGAGCTTGTCGGTGGGGACACCGCAGACAGAGAAGATACCGTCCAGAATCTTGCGGTGGTTAAGCTTGATTGTGTATTTGCCCTTCCAGCCCAGCTCGTCAAAGATCTCGCATGCGATTCTCAGGATCTCAGCATCGGGGATCATGGGGTCGTAAGCACCGGCAATATCGAAGTCGCATTGGTAGAATTCACGCATGCGGCCCTTGGTCATGGCGGGCTGGTCACGGCGGTAGACCTTTGCGATGTGGTAGCGCTTGATGTTCTGGACGGAAGTGTTCATGGCGAGCCATCTGGCGAAGGGAACGGTCAAATCGTAGCGCAGAGAGCACAGCTCTCCACCCTGGTCGGCGAGGTCGTAGATGAGCTTGCTGTCCTCACCGTACTTGCCCGAGAGGATCTCCTTGAGCTCGAAGACGGGACTGTAGAGCATAGAGTCAGTATGCTGGGAAGACCACTGTTTCGCATATTCAGTGACTCACGTATCAATAGTCACAGCACCGTGACGCTTGAAGACGTTGGTGATTGTGCTGAAGATCTTGTCGCGGATGACCATGTCCTTGCCCTCCCAATCCTTGGTGCCCTTGGGCACCTTGAGCTGGAAACCGCCCTTGTCTCCCTTGTCCTTGCCCATGTTGTATTGCTCTGCTCGTTCCAGACGGTGAATGGATGTAGAAAATGTGCGGTTGCCCAAGTGTCCAACTGTGGGCCTGAAGAGTCGGAGTTGAGAAGAAAAAGTCCTTGCGATTGGTATGACAGCCTTCATGCAAGTATGCAAAGCTAGTCAGCGGTATAGAATTGAATGTCACAAAAGCAGATGGAGGGGTACGAGATCGGGCATAAATTGTACACGTCGGAGTCATGTCTTGGCAATTTTGTCGTCTTCACGACCATGTTTTGCGCTCACACGTTTCGACTTCGACTTCAAACCGCGACTTTACTTCAACCCGACTTCCTTTCCTCCACGCCTTCGTGATTGCAAGATGTGATGGCGCCCCATGCAGAGATAAACCCTCAAGACATCACCGAAAGGGCGCGTAGAGATCTGCTCCAACTGCTCGAAGGCGTACGTAAGGCTACCTGGACGCTGGCCGACCGCTATCCCGTTCCACCTGCTCACACCCATTGCGCAGGTTCCTGGCAAGAAGAATCTTGTGATTGAAAAGTCTCTTGCTGGTCTGATCGGCTTGCTTGTCAAGTTCAGTACCTTGCAGGAGTATGGAGTCGACAAAGTCTTCTACGTAGAGAATCGCAACGTCGACGACTCTCAACGAAACATTGTCTTCCTTGCCAGAGGCGAGAAGCCCAAAGACGTTCAACTCATTGCTGGTAGGTCTTCCTGCTTGTAGTCGTCATATCGTCCATATCTTCCTTTCTCGCATATCCTTAGCTAGACATTTCCCCTCTTCCTCATCCATGGGCCTTAAAGTAGAGTGCGCAGGTTTACACCTACCCTGCACGTTCAGTCTTGTGCCCTACATCAAAATCGTTACATTGACAGCCAGTCGATGCAGCATGAATCATTAACTCTCTCGTTGCGCCTCCGTTCTGAGAGATGTTATCATTACATGCTAACATATCCATAGAACAGATTAGTCAAATCCGTCAAGAAAGCAAAACCGATCATGAATTTTCAGTCTTCTGGGTGCCCAGACGAACGCTCGTCAGTGATAGGATTCTCGAGGAGGCCGGCGTGCTTGGAGAAGTGACTGTTGGCGAATGCCCGTTGTTCTTGGTCCCTCTGGAACCTGATTTGCTATCACTGGAGCTGGAAGATGCGTTCAGTGACTTGTATCTGGTATGCTTGTACTCCAACTGTGTCCCGAGGCCGACGTACTGACCCCGGTCCAGCGCAAAGATCCCACATCAATATTTCTTGCAGCTACAGCATTGATGCGGTTGCAGCGATCCACTGGCCTCTTTCCTCGTATCCTGGGCAAAGGCGACAATGCGAAGAAACTCGCCGATCTGCTTATTCGTATGCGATCGGAAGAAGAGGTCAGCGCTTCGTCTGCCACCTCGAAATCGCCATCGACTTTTGGCCTGACACCTAGTGCCGTGGTTGAGAATGTCATCATCATTGATCGCGAGGTCGACTTCTTCACACCTCTGATGACCCAACTAACATACGAAGGCCTGATCGATGAGGTCTTCGGCGTCCGTCATAACCAAACCGAGGTCGATACCTCCATTGTAGGAGCAGCACCTCAACAGCAAAAGCCCCAAGGAGCAGCAGGTGCAGCAGGAGGCTCAACCCAAGCCGCTACAAAGCGCAAGATCCAACTCGACAGCTCCGACAAACTGTACCCTCAGCTCCGAGACTGCAACTTCGCCGTCGTAGGACCTCTGCTAAACCGAACAGCACGTCGCCTCCAAGCCGACTACGAATCCCGCCACAAAGCAGACCAGTCAATCTCCGACCTCAAAACTTTTGTCGCAAAACTTCCCTCCTACCAAGCCGAGCAAGCCTCATTAAAGATCCACACCTCCATGGCCGAGGAAATCATGAAGACAACCCGCAGCGAAATCTTCGGCCGTGTCCTCGAAGTACAGCAAAACTTTGCAGCCGGAGCAGACCCTAGCAGTATGAACGACAATCTAGAAGAACTAATCGCCCGAGACACACCCTTGCCCACAATATTGCGTCTATTATCCTTGGAGTCTTGCGTAGCTGGCGGTATCCGTCCGCGTGAGCTTGAAAACCTTAAACGACAAATCATGTACGCATATGGTCATCAACACCTCCTCACCTTTTCCTCGCTTGAGAAAATGGGTCTCGTGGTTCCTCGTGTGAGCAACACTGGCTACCTCAACCCAATGAGCGGCACGAATTCTGGAAACACGGATTACAATTCCGTGCGCAAGACGCTGAAACTGTTTGTGGATGAAGTGGACGAGCAAGATCCTACGGACATCTCATATGTGTTTTCTGGCTACGCGCCGCTGAGTATTAGATTGGTGCAGTGTGTTTTGCAGAAACAGATGTTGGTTAGATTGGCGAATCCTAGATCTGTTTCTACTGGGAATGCTGTAAATGGAGGGGCTGGTGGTGCTCCTGCTACTGCTCAGGCGGCTGGATGGAAAGGGTTTGAGGATATTTTGGCGAGGGTCAAGGGTGCTACTGTTGATGAAGTGCAGAAGGGGTCGAGTGGTGAGGCTTCGCAGGCGAGACAGACGCTTAGAGGTGGGAGCGGTGGTGGGAGAAAGACTACTATTGTCTTCTTCCTTGGTGGTGTCACGTTTGCGGAAGTTGCGGCGTTGAGATTCATGGGTGAGCAGTTGGGGGATAAGAAGAAGATTGTCATTGCTACGACTGGTATCTTGTCGGGCAATGCTGCTGTTGAGGCTGCTATGGAGAAGAGGGCCTGGGGTCGCAAGTAGTGGATGCATGATAGGCAGTAATGTGAAGAGCGTTTGTATTTCCTTTGGATGGATCCTCGAATGGTCATTGTTTGTCCGGTGTGCTCTTAAGACTATGTGATCTACAAATAGCCACCTCCAGAGAACTTTGAGCCAAAGGTGGAAGCCTTGTTGAGTAGATCTTTCTTGTCGACCAGACCGAGCGAGCTTCCACCAATGTCCTTTTCCCTGTTGAAGGCTCGTTTACTCGGATCATCATCCTTGTTCTCTGGATTCGACTCTTTGTGCTGCGCCATTAGTGAAGGCCCTCTTGCCTTGTCCTGTAGCAGCATGTCAGTCTGTGTGGTCAGCGTCGAGAAAGTAGCCAAGCTTACAGTTTGTTCACGTATGCGTCTCGCCTCTGCCTCTTTCTCCCTGTTCGCAGCAGCCTCTTTGGCATCGACGTGTCCAGAAGTGGCAGGCTTCACACCCATGGCTTCGTCTTGTAGACGTTTGAGCTTCTCCTCTGGGGTTTCTGTCCATGCTGCGGCAATGTTTCCTCCAGCAGGAGTTGTGTTGCCACCTCTTGCGTTCTTGCCAGTGTTGAAACCACGAGCACGCATTTTGGATGGGTCCATGCGTGCTGCGAGGTCGTCTTGCTGTGGTGGTAGTGTCATCCATTCGTCGCGCTGAGTTTTGACTGGGGCAGCTGCGGTCTGCGGTATTGGGGGACCATTGTTGGTGGATGGGTTGAGATCGGCTGCGGTGGGTAGGGATGGGCCAAAGTCGTCGTCGTCAGAGTCCGAGTCCGAGTCGGGTGGAGCAGTCGGGCGCTCATCTAGAGGGGCCGGCGGTGGAGCGGGACCGGCGACAGGACGGACGGGCTGGACTTCGGGTTCTGCTGGCGGTAGGGTGGGACCGACTGACGGCGGAGGTCCTGATGGTGGTAATTGTGGAGCAGCCGGTACTGACGATTGCGAGGGCGGGAGTTCTGGACCAGACGTCTTTTGGCGTTTGTCCTTGGGGCTCTCTTGGTTTGCGCCGGAAGAGGTGGCGGGCTGATTCCTCTGTGCCTCCTCTTGTTGTCGCTTTCGCTTAGCTAAAAGATGCGGAGGAAGATCTGGACCGGCTGCCGACATGATGGAATGCTGTGTATGAGAAGTTGTTGATGCTTAGGATGAATTGGTCGGTGTGGAAAGCGCGTCATCGGTATCGCCATAACTTCGGATTGCTCGAGGAGCATGGACTTAGGCTCCAACAGTCAAGGCATTATCTCCACAAGCCCGCCATCAACAGTTCCGCCTCTCTCCCGCTCTGTATATTGTATCTCCAATCGATTGTCTGGAGGTCGATCCTGGAAAGAAGCATCAAGACTCGGCGAAGTCTGGAATAAAGAGAAGGAGGCCTTGCGATGTACACGGGTCGACACGTTGGTCAATGAGCTCCCCGCCCGGCCTTACCGATCTGGATGCCCACGACGGTGATGGCACCTCCCCCTTTCCAGACCACTACAACGACCCTCAGGACAACCATGACTCGTTTCTTACCGCCGACGAGACGGTGAGCCGTGATGTCAGTCCCGTACGCTCTCCCGACCAACCCGCCAGAAGCCTCGAGGACGAGCTCCACTCAGACGACTTTGACGACATACCCGATGTCGTCCCTCATAGCCCCGCCTTAGCCAGTCCATCCGAGTCTGCCTCTATCCCGGACGACACTCCGTCCGTCCGAGGCTCTCTAGCCTCTTCGCTGCCCACTCGTCGTCCCCGCTTGAACCCGCGCGCCTCGACAAACACTCCTCGAACCCCTTCTGGTGCTCTCCAGCCCTTTGAGCGACGCTTCAGCTCTAGATTCACCTCGCCCTCACCCTCAGCTCGTGCCTCGTCTCCTGCCTTTCTCTCTCCACACTCTCGCCAGTCTTCTCTATCCTCTCAAATTGTTTTGTCGCAAGGTGGCAGTGACGTTGCAGACAATCCTGATGCTCCTTGGGAGGTCATACGATGGACAAGACTACGGAAGATCACATCTCAAGCCTTTTCCGAAGCCGGTAGACGCAACTTTGGCCTGCCCGTATGCCTGGCTGTCTCCTCGTCCATCACCATTGGCACCTCCAAAGGTCTGATCCTGGTCTTTGACTACCACCAGACTCTTAAAGGTATTATTGGTCAAGGCACAACGGCAATCGAGTGCGGTGCCATTACTTCTCTCGCCATCTCCGCAGACTACTCTGCCATTGCCGCTGGACATGCTACTGGTCATATCTTCACCTGGGAGCTTTCACGTCCTGCTAAGCCCTTCCTCCACATCCCGCCTGTAGTCAGAGATGGTCAACCCCACTCTCCAGATGGCCATGTGCCAGGTCGTTCAGTCTTGCATATTGGTTTCCTCGGTACGCGGCGCACCGCTTTGGTTTCTGCAGATGACGGTGGCATGGCCTTCTCCCATCTTGCGACTCGCGGCATGGGTGCAATCTCCCGCTCTGTCAAGACGACCCGCTTGCTCGGACGCTATCCTATCGCGAATGTACAAGAGGAAGTCAGAATAAAGCCTAGCACGGTGCTTGCATTTGCGCCACTCCCTCTGGGCAACGTAGAGCAAGCTACAGACGTCATGGGTCTCACAGCTCTACTGACTCCATACTTGCTTGTCATCGTGTCCACCACTCCTGTTGCCCAAACACAACACAAGGCTCCAAGGCCGAAGTCTATCTCGCGCCATAGTGCCATGAGTGGATGTCTAGCCTGGTTCCCAGCTGTCAGGTTAAAAAACAGCAACACAACCGCAGAGCGCGATACCTCTGAAACCAAACTCGTATATTGTTGGTCAAATGTTCTGACTGTGCTCGACGTCGAGGTCCAGGGATCACAAGACCCGGCGGATAAGGAGAAACCTCCAACGTTGTTCTTCCATTCGCGGAGTACCTGGGAGTGCGAAGAAGCCATTGTTGCAGTCCAATGGTTGAGCCGTTCAGTCATCGGCGTGCTCACAATCAGTCAGCAAATGATCATCATAGAAGATGGTGAGATGCATGTCATGGACTCCGTGGACCTTCTCCATCGACACATTCATCATCATGATATCTTCTCGAAGCAGCTGCATCCTGTGGTTGAGCAAGCCGATAATGAGCATTCAGAATTGCACGGAGTGATTGCCGACGCTTTCTATCAGAGTTTCCGAGTCTACAAGAACCGCCTTTTTCTGCTGGGAGCAAGTGATCTCTCAGTCGGCACACTGTCGAACTGGGCGGATCGCTTGACTGCTCTGATCGAGCACGGCGATTACATTGCGGCGATTCAGCTTGCTAGAGCCTACTACACTGGGCAAGCGGGCGGTATTACAGTAGGCTTGCCAGACAACGAACATGCTCGACATGAACTGGTTAATGGAAGGTTACTTGAACTCATGTCTGCATCCATATTGTTCTCGTTCTCTGAAAACAATAGCAGTGGGCGACCGCTTTCCGATCTAGTGGCTGAGTGCTTTGATGCCTGCGTGAGCATGAACAATCAGAGCTTTTTATTCGACGAAGTCTACGAGCCGCTGAGAGATGCTGGCCAGAGAGACGTATTCCTCGAGATCCTGCAATTATACATTATGGATGAGGAGGTTACATCCCTGCCCCCGCCGCTAGTCAAAGACCTCGTGGAGTGCTGCATCTCGAAGAGACAGGTCGCTCACCTAGAAGAGCTTCTATGCCGACTAGATCCACGCACTTTCGATCTGGACCAGATCACGACTCTTTGCAAAACACACTATCTCTACGATGCATTGACATTTGTCTGGAACGAAGCATTGAACGACTATGTCACCCCGTTGTCTGACCTCCTAGCACTCTTACGCGATGTCAAAGACATACAGGACGAGGCTGAGGAGGTAGCGTTGGAATCGGCCGTAAAAGTCTTCCCATACCTCGCATTCATTTTGACAGGAAGGAAGTACCCTCAAGGTGACTTCCTGGACGACGAAAAAGCGGACACTCAAAAGGGGAATATCTACCGATATCTCTTCTCTCACGAGCCTACAGGGTGGCCGCCGGGCTCTTCGTTTATCCTTAGAACGCGACCGAACCACGCCGACGAACCTGCTTTCCCATACTTGCGTCTCTTACTCGAGTACGACTCGGCTAGCTTTATGAGCATGATGACCGAGGCTTTTGAAGACTCCTATCTCAATGAAGCACAAGATGATGAACCTGCCGTCGCTCAACCACGATCCAATGGTACAGGCCTGAAGATCACTCGACAGTATATTGTCAGTGTCCTGCTTGATATTATGTCATCAGATGAATTCGTGCCTGAGCAGACCATCTACCTTGATATGTTTATTGCTAGAAACTTGCCGAAGTATCCTCAATTCATGGTACTGTCAAGCTCATCGTTACATCAAGTCCTTGATCGTCTCTGCAGCTTTCGCGAAGATGATCTGGTGGACGATTGCCAGCTCAGCGCGGAATATCTTCTATCCGTTTACCACCCTCCGGTCACCGACGCGCTTATCAACCAGCTTCGGGATGCCGAATTCTACCGCGTGCTCAAGACATTGTATAGAGGCGAGCACCGACCTGTAGATCTCATCAATACATACTTCGAGGACCCCAAGGGAAAGACTGCTATCTTCGACGACCTTGCATATGCTCTCCAAGAATCGCCGGAGAAGCAGACGACTCAACTGAAGGAGCTTTTGTGTGAGCATGCTCAAGAGTTGGCAGCCATCAACACATCGAAGACTGCGCAGACACTTGCGAGATATACTGATGACATCCTTGAACGTTTCACCGACGGCATTGGAGAATCATATACACGCTTCCACTTCTTGCGCACTCTGCTCGAGCCGTCATTACTTGACCATCGTTCCAGGAAAGCCGTCAATGAGTCTGTTTCTGAAGGCTTGGTATCACGTTTCTGTGAGCAGTATGTCGAGCTCATGTGTATCCATGATCCACGACACGTAGCTGATTATGTCGGTCTCTTGAAGTCTGGCGACCTCGATCTTGATCGTGTGCTTCCTTCGATGGAGGAGAATGGTGTTGTCGATGCTGCAGTCTTACTCATGGCTCAAGACGGATTGGCCAGAGATGCTATAGACCGTCTCTGCAAGCATTTGAAAACGCTACAGAATGCAATCTGCAGTATAGTACAAGCAGCGTCAGATGCGCCAGATATGCAAAGCACAGAAGAGGCCACTGATGATCTTGTGGATGCCATTGAGAAATATACACGTCTGGGCATCTGGCTCTGCAACGGGCAAAGCGCTGCAATGAACCACAATCGCCATCCACGCCAACGCACAAACATGGCATGGGAAGTCAAAGAAGATGACCTCGAGCTAGACGAACTGCTTTGGCTAAACCTCATTGACGCCATCGTCTCAGTCTCCAAGTCCGTGTCTGCAGAAACCAACAACCTCATCGACGACACCACCTTCGACATTGACAAAACCAATAACGTCCTACGCAGCACCGTCCAACAAACCTTTACAGCCCTCCTCAGCGCCACCTCTTCCACACCCCCAGATCCCTCCAACAACTTTGACGCCACAACTCGTCGAAATCAGCACAATCAATCCTTTCTCTACATTTTCCGCGCCTTTCTCTCCCGCGCATCTTCCTCCTACGCACCCACCCTCTCCGATCTCCGCGCCGTCCTTTTGGACATCTTTGCAGCATATGCTCATGAATCTTCCGTTCTGAATCTCGCTTCTTCATTGCTGGATATAGATGTCTTTGCCGATATGGACAGTATCCACAATCTACGAACCACTGGCTGGCGACCCCGCACCCAATTCTGCGAAGTCTGCAAGAGACGCACCTGGGGTACTGGAATTTCTGGTGTAGTGGAAGGGGATGCAGAAGTCATTTGGGAGGAATTTGAATACATGCAAGAGCAGAGGCGGCAGAGGAAAATGCAGAAATTAATGTCGGTGGTGGACAATGGGAAGGGGAAAGAATCTGTAGGGGTTGGGGAGGGAGGAGGGGTGGAGAGGGGAAAGCGGAGGGAGGAGGTTGTTGGGGAATTGGCATTGGTGGTTTTTGCGTGTAGACATTGTGTGCATAGGATTTGCTTGGAGGAGGAATTGGCGAGGAGGGGGGATGAGGATGGAGGGGGCTATTATTGTCCTGTTTGTCATGAGGAGGGGGGTTGAGTTTAGAGGAGGTAGGGTAGGGTGAGATTGGGAAGATTGGGGGGGGGGGGGGGGGGGGGGGGGGTAAATGTTCAATTGTTGATATCTTTGTGTAGAAATAATGGATGACGAGGTCATTCGAATTGACGCTTTTCCCCGCTTGATGACCCCCCTTCCTCCGCGATGTGTTCTTGTTTCTCTTATCTCTGCCTTTCTTGATGATCGTGTTTTGCCTATCTTGGTGGTTTGTTCCGCCTTTTTAGCTCATACTCTAGCGTCCAGACATGACCCAAACCTCTGCCTCGAAAGCATCCAGTTCAGCCATACGCTTTTCATGACACGCAAGTTTGATCAAACCGCAGAACTCCTTGCTGGTGGTCTCAAGGTAAAGACGGTCGAGTTGATCGACAGTAAAAGCTTTGAGCCGGGCCTTGATATCCTCGAGCTTCTCGGTTTGGGCGGTAATTTGATCAGGTGTGCGCATATTTACTAGTCTGGCTTGCGCGAGCGCTCCGTACATGTCCTGATTTGAGGGATTGTAGGGCGGTTCGGCTTCTTCTTCGTTCAAGGTGGCACTGGAGTAGTCGGGTAGTTCTTCGTCATTGGCGTCGTTGTTGTAGCCATCGGGAAGCTCTTCGTCATCAGCGCTGTATATACCTGTTAGCTAGATTGACAGCCCAAAGTGGGCAACAACAGCTCACCCATCAAAGTACTGCTCAGCATTGTAGCCGTCGTCAAAGTCCTGCTCCAAGGATTCAATACCAGAGGCAGTCATTGTGTTCCACTGCCGATGTGTTGTAGGAAGCGAAAAGAGGAGATGGATGGAGTGAAGATAAACAGGGCAGACAGAAGCAAGTTGTGCAAGAAGAAGACAAAAACAAAGACAAGCAAGAGAGGAAGTTGTGAATTGAGAATAGGTCGAAGTGGATGTGAATGTTTATGTCAATGTAAGGATGCCGAAGTGAATGCAAGAACGGACGTGAGAAGCGGCACATGCGCCTATTGCGTAGGCTAAAGTAGAGGTCGATAGCGAGATCAATCACCACCACCTTCAGATGAATATCTCGGAGCATCACCGAGAGAGACCTCCCTAGCACAAACCTTTCACTCTACTATCATATTTCCAGAAGTTCACCAATCTTCCGGGTGAATCGGTTGGCTGGCGTAGCGGGAGAGTTTGAAGTCAAAGTGCTTCCTCACCCTCGGAGGACTCACATGTACGCGCTAGGCCACTTGTTCGAATTCCCATAGAGTCAGAGGTCCCAGTAATCCTTGCAGACAACACAATTATGACGAAAGGAAACTTCCACCGAGGTGTTCTTCAGTACTTTCTCTTCCCTCTCCAGGCTCAGGCTCACTGGAGGGGTCTCTGTTTTGCCAAATTTGGCGTGTTGTTTGTTTGTCTTTGACATGACTTGCTTGTCGTGTGTCTTTCTGATCCTTACTTTGATGTTGGTTGTTATGATTCCAGACATCGACGAATTGTTCCACTTTCACGAAGGGAAGCGAGTTCGAGTTGTAAACAGGTATTAGTGTTCTTGCAGTGTAGCATTTTGGTATCTTTAAATCATCTCTTCCTACTCGTCGGACACACAGAAAGCCTTGAACTCTGACCAGGCCTTCTCGAGGTCGTCGTTGATGATGACCTTGTCAAAGACACCAGGAGTCTTTGCGAACTCGAGCTCGTTCTTGGCCTGTGCAAGGCGCTGGGTGATGGCGTCCTCAGTGTCGGTAGCACGGCCACGAAGACGTGACTCGAGGATGTCGAGGGATGGCGGTTGGAGGGAGAGGTAGCGGGCGTTGAGGTTGGTCTTCTTTACTTGCTTGACACCCTGTGATAATAGAGATCAGAGCTTATTCCTGAGAGAGAGAGCTGAGATCAAACGGTCATCCATACCTCCATCTCAATGTCCAGGATGCAGGTGCGGTCCTTCTGGGCGACGTCCTTGACAGCCTGGACGCTGGTGCCGTAGTAGTTGCTGCCGAATTGGGCGTGCTCGATGAAGCCTCCCTGGTCGACCAGGCTCAAAAAGTCCTCCTTGGTAACAAAGTGGTACTCGACACCATTCTGCTCGGAGCCTCTGGGTTGGCGGGTAGTGTCTTGTGCATACTATCAGTCTCCAATGTTGATCAAGGAGATGAGATTGACATGTTCGTACGAGAGATGGAGAAACCGAAGCGATCAGGGTAGTCTTTGAGCAAACGGTTCAAGTGGGTCGATTTGCCAGAGCCAGAGGGCCCGGAGATGACGATGGGACGGTTGGTCTTTTCTGGAACGTGTGATTCATGTCAACCAGTGGCTCTGATATGGCGTGTGTAGCGGTGATATGGACGGACCGATGGGAAACATTCTGGCGGTGGTATATGATCTCGACACGGACTGAGTAGTTTTGGAGAGGAAGGAGCGACGGAACATGAAACAAGGAATCAGACCTTCTAGAATGTCAACATGTTCTCGTCGCATGTGAAATCTAGGGGTGCCTTCTTATCTTATCTCTTGGCCACATAGTGCGGGGACTAGTGTCGTTGGCTCCTTCCAATACAGGAGCCGCATTCCGGCATCCGTCCAAATTTTGATGATGCTATTCATTCTATACGTCGCATGCACAACTATCCAATCATGGCAACACTAACAGGCGCCCAGTAAGATCCTCTTGATATAAGATGTTCTAGTGGTACTGATAACTGGGTCGCAGAGTGTCGAGATCAGACCTCAACGGATCACCACAATCATCACGCGCTTCTTCACCAGATCTCGAAACACTGGAGCGGCTAGGCGCAAACTTGCAATTCGAGATAGTCGACAAATCACCTCAAATCTTGGAAACAATCGAAAATCCGGAAGACGAGGAGGAGGAAGTCGAGTTCCAGCTGTTTGCGCCCACGAAACCCTCCACCGATGCATCGGCCCCGGCTCCCGTTCCTCAAAAGATTCGCATTCGAACACCGTCGGAAGAGATTAGAGAACCTGGAATTATCGGTACTGGACGTCCATCGAGCTACTATCATACTGGGGGGGTTGATCCGATACGCGCCAAAGAATATGAGATTGCAGCCGTGACTGGTGCAGACGTGATAGCCATGTCAAAGCAACCATGTCCTGGATGTGCATATCCTTGGAAGGTTGTCAATATCCCTGCGTCACAAGCAAAGGCAGCTCTCGCAGCCGAAGCATCACAAAATCCGGTAGCCGAAGCCTTCCTTCCTGACGTACCAAAGAAACGCACACGCATGGGCAAGAAGGATAGAACAAAAAAGAGAGCAAAGATGGCAGCTCTCAAGGCCAAAAAGGAGGAGGAAAGCAAGTCAAAGGAAGAGAAGGAGAGACTGGATCGCGAGAAGAGGGCCAGAAGAAACAGAGAGAAGAAGTTCAAGAAGAGAGCAAGGGACAAGGCCAAGAAAGTTGCTGGCAAAGAAGGAGATGACGCTGGTGCAGATGACGACTCTGATGACGAGAGTGATGTAGATGTCGAGATGGCTTCATGAACCTAGGCTGGATCGATCCGCACCAACTCCTTATATGACATTTGTCGCCAGCACAAACCAACCGAGATCGTAAGACACCTGCTCCAATGAGATGGCCCACGGAACTCTCCACGAAGCCACCAGAATGAGACGCCAGATGGTTTTTAGACAAGTCCCGCGACAAAGCACATTCGGCAGAGGTTTCGATGAACAGCGATGAGACGGCTAGACCAGCAGGTCTGTCATCAAGACCTGTGGCTACGCTCCTGCGACGAAATGTCGACACCGATCGTTCGGAAGCCACGTTCAGAAATACTCTTTCTTCCACAAGGGATAACTATAGCCAGATTATTGCTGTCCTACTGCAACACTGCGACGAGATCGGATCGCAGACTTTGCTTGCGTTGTGCTCTCTGAAGGATCTACCAGGAGACAGCCCTACAAGATTGCTCCACTTCTTTGGCGAGAGCAAACCTTCTAGGTCGATGCATAGTCTGAGTGTCTCTCATCCTAGAGCACCCACGCATGACCTTCCATGCCAATCCGTAGATCAAGTATAAATAACATCCACCCCCCATTTCTCATCATCTCACAATCATCAGAACTCACACAAGATGACAAGCATGAGTTCCGCCCCAGACCCCAACGATCACGACGATCGAGTTGTCAAAATCAACCTTGGCGACCCAATGTACGAGCAATGGCACGGGTCATATACCAACCGGCGATGACTACACCTTCCCACCCCCTGCCGACTTCTTGAAGCTGCTCAGCAGACACTTCAACCGCAAGCTAGAGACTGATGCCACTCTACGCCAGGAGTTTGGTCTACGCTACCAAGGTCAGTCAAGACCCACCTCACATCAACCAAAACCAGCCCTCTAACACAAAATCTACACAGGCGCCAAAGTTGAATTCATCAATCTCCCCACTGGCTACACCGTTACCAAGAAAAGACGCGGCAACGATCAATCCACCTCAGACTATGAGATTTGCGGTCACTTTGCCTTGCGCAATCGCTTCTTCAACTCTGCTCCTCAGTTTTTGGAGCATGCTGTTGGGATCATGAAGTTGCATTTGGTGGATTGGCTTCAATTGACTCCGGGTGGGCAAGCTTCGGAAGCTGATGGGTTGGAGTGTAAGTGTGTGCTTTGCAAGAGTCCTACTGCTGAGATGGATTGGGTGAAGAGGAAGGGGGATAAGAAGGTTGTGGGTGGGTAGTTGGGTTTCTTATACTCATGATATTGCGTTTGGATCGGGTTTGTTCGGAGCAAATTTTTCGAATGGTCGGTTCTGCATCATGGTAGTGAGAAACTCGGTGGTTCTGTTTCTGAATGTCTGTGGGTAGTCCCCCCTGACTTTTCCGATCATGACGTTCATTCCGCTGGCCACGAGGGAGATTGAGCAGGTTATAGTTTAGCCCAGGATGGCTGCCTAGACTGCTCGGATTTGCTCGCTCAACTTATGTAAGCAGCCTCTCTCTCTCTGCTCGCCTATAAATGCCTCCTCCTCGTCGCAATTGTTCTTTCTTCTTCCCACCTACTTCCTCTTCCGCAATTTCCTAATCTCCTCTCTCGCCCCATCGCTTCTACTGGTCTGAGGACTGGTAAGTGAAGGGGAAATCATGGTTTCAGAAGTGTATGCTTGGAGGAGAGGATATAGGCCATGATGCGTAAGCCATTGACGTGTAGTATTTGCTGTAGGATACACTATGATCTCTCATGTACCAATCTACCAAACTTCCACACCTGATCCACTTGCAATCGTTGTCCATCGCCATCGACTTCTTCAGATAATACAAGCAAGTCAGCGTCAGCATCCGCCTCCAAACATCCCTTCACACCTTCCATCCCCAACATCTTAGATGGGGTGATGGTAACAGCCCTCACAGCTTCGGGTATGCTCGCATTCGACCAATTTAGGAAATTGTTCACACAATCCAATAATGTCGCGCAGCCACCAGCAATCTTGTCCGTGCCTTCAAGAGTGAGGTTCGATCCCTTCTTGATAATGCTATCGCCATTCGTCCAGTTGTATGTGCCATCGGGCAGACCGGCGAGACTCATGGCATCGGTAACTAGAATCATGCCCTCGGGGTGTGCGGCATATGCGATCTTGACGGTTGTAGGGTGGAGATGTATTCCATCAGCGATGACGCCGAAGAAAGGAGTGTGTGTTGATGGATGGCCCAGGATGCCGAAGACACCTGGGTTACGGTGATGTAATGGCTTCATGGCGTTGAAGAGATGTGTGATCATACCAGCGCCAGCGGCTACAGCTGCAGATGCTTCTTCATAAGTGGCTTCTGTGTGGCCAATGCTGAAAATGATGTCGCGTTGCACGATCTCAGGGATGATTGAGGTCATGTTGCCAACTTCGGGGGCGGCGGTCAATTTCTTGATGTTGGGAATGTTGTGGGCACCATAGCAGGCTTCGAGGTCGGCGAAGGAGGATGCTGATTGCAGGACTTCAGGACTGTGTATGCCGTTCTTGGTTGGGCTGAGGAAAGGACCTTCGACGTGGGCGCCTAATGACTCTGCACCTTCATCCGCATCGCGGTCTGCACCCGAGGGACCGAGGTATGGCAGGGCGCTGTGATAAAGCTCTGGCTTCTGACTGGTGATGGTAGGTAGATATGATGTAAGGCCCGTTCCAATCAATCTTCTGTTCAGCTCCTTGAGGCCTTTGCGATAGGAGATGGGGTCTTGTGGTGCTTGCGAGAAGTCAAAACCGAATGCGCCATTGAATTGTACATCGATGAATCCGGGAGACACAATGCGACCGCCGAGGTCAATGACCTCATCTGGTGCTGCTTGATGTTCATAGAAGACTTCTTGGCTATGTAAGATGCGACCCGTTACAGAAGAGAGCCAGAGATCCTCTTCGACCAATGTGTTGCCTTTGATCAGTCGACATCCGGTCAGGCGAGTGATGCCGCTTCTCGGCCGTTCGGGTGATACAGCTGCTGGCATTTTGACTTGGTCGACAGCGGGCGGTGATATGTGTAGCGGGGGTTTTGTTGTTGGCTAGCTTGTGAAAGGTGCGATCTGCTGGGAGTGGGGTTTCTTTGAGGGAGGGGAAAAGTACAGGTATTGAGGAGGATATCAAGACCTGGTTAAGGACAAATTACTGAGATAGCGAGATCGGCGACCTACCAATGATACGCATGAGAAAGCTACATCTTGCTGAAGCTCCATGACGAGATTACAGATACTTTGGTCCACACGCCCTCCATCAGTTTTGATAGCCTGATGCTGCTGTAACCTTGATGGCCCGGCTGATTAAAAGCAATCTGCCCGATAAGGAATGGCAGCAAAATGTAACATGCAACAGAAGCTTGATGGAGACTTGAGAGCTCGAGTAAGATAGCCGACTAGTCCACGTGGGGCGGACGAAGTTTGGCGACTATCGACGTGATTTTTCTGTCAGTTGCAGGGCGTTCTGATCAAATTGCTACATGGAGTGGTATCCGACAAGAAGAAGGAACGATGACCCAGATGTCGTCTGGAAGCGCGTCGGCGAGCACGGACTCCCCGGGCGTGTCAATTGGCCGGTGTGGGGAAGGCCAGGGCGAGGTTACATCCACCCAGCTCGTTGCTTATCATTACGAAAGCACGTTTCGTTACCACTCCACAAAATGAACTGGTGGTTGTCGGATGCCACGCTGTGTCGTCAACTCGTGAATTAGCACCGCTACCGTATCTCGGATCCCGTTCGGCAAGCCCTACTCACGGCTTCTGGTTGTGACTCTCGGCGCGTGGGACGCATGTCATCGTAGAAGATACCAAATCATGGGGACTTCCGACGCTAATTCGTCGAGCGGGCTCTGGGAGAACATGGACAGGTAAATTGCCATAGTCCGTTTGGTTGAGCATGCGACCATGCACCAAGTGCAGTCTGCTAATCATGGCGTGTCTACCAGAGCCCTGGGCCAATTGTTTATGATGGTAAGGCTGACTGTCAAGATGTTTCCAGACTAGTGTTGACTTTTTGCATGTAGGGCTTTGATGGAACTGCAGTGACTCCTCAAATACGTACTCTTATACAGGAACATCATCTTGGGTCCATCCTTCTGACAGCCAAGAATTTGAAGTGTAAGTAGGTCATTTCCTTTTTGGGCTATCGCTAGGTGGTCACTCCCTATTGCGTACACTGTAGGGCCGCGTGTCTCTTCGCAGCCGCGGTGATATCTACAAAGCTCAGCTGGGGAGTGGCAACGAACATGCGTAATGAGGCTCCTAGTTCCGTGTCTCTCGAGTACAGTGTGTCCTAGAGTCGCCTCACTGGTCTGAAGCAGATGGAACAAATGCACCGATAAGTTGGTCAAAATACATACTGACACCTATCTCAGCCGCTGAAGATACAAGCGCCCTTGTCTACGAACTTCAAAAGTGTGCTTTCGATGCCGGACATCCGGTGCCTCTACTTATCGGCATCGATCAAGAAAATGGAGGTGTCAACTCTCTGTTCGATGATATCTTCATCCGACAGTACCCATCAGCTATGGGTATCGCTGCGTCAGGAGACCCCGATCTTGCATACAAAGTTGCAAAGGCAAGTGCAGAGGAGATTTCTGCCTGCGGAGTCAACTGGATCATGGGACCTTGTTTGGACGTCCTCACCAACACTCGTAATCAGCCGCTAGGGGTGCGTACTACTGGTGATGATCCAGTGCAATGTTCAGAGTACGGAGTGGCGTTCATGAAAGGTTACCAAGAAGCCGGCATTGCGACTATGGGCAAACACTTCCCCTCGTACGGCAACCTCGAATTTTTGGGATCGTCGTTGGATGTGCCTACGATTACTGAGTCGTTGGAACAGTTGAGCTTGAGCGCTCTGATACCGTTTCGCGATGCCATCAAGCAAGGGCTCGACTCTATTATGGTTGGTGGTTGTGCGATGTCATCAGCCGGATTGAATGTCATGCACGCCTGTCTCTCCGATCGAGTTGTCGACGGACTGCTAAGGAAAGAACTCGGATTTGATGGTGTTGTCGTCAGTGAGTGTCTCGAGATGGACTCACTCTGCCAGAATATCGGTGTCAACGGTGGTACAGTCATGGCCGCCAACGCTGGTTGCGATATTCTGTTACTCTGCAGGTCATTTCAACATCAGCTTGAAGCTATCAACGGCATGAAAGTTGGCTTAGACAACTGTATGATCACCACAGACAGGGTTCGTCGGTCACTTAACAGGGTACTGGCCATGAAGTCAAGATGTACATCTTGGGAGAAGGCCTTGAATCCGCCAGGCATCAGTCTTTTGTCGCGACTGCAGCCATCACATACTTTCCTGTCCACCACAGCATACAATTCGAGTATCACTGTCGTGCGAGACCAGAATGGATACTTGCCTCTGACCAACATCATTGAGCCAGAGGAAGAGCTGCTTCTGCTTACTCCTCTAGTCAAACCACTAGCTGCATCCGCAGCCTCTCGAGCACTGTCATCCCATACTTCCGTTGACTCCCCGGAACCACAATGGGAACGAGGCAATCCAGGATTGAGTGGTGAGAGAGTGTTCAGGGAGCTCGGACGATCTCTTGCCCGTCAAAGAACAGGCAGAGTACTGCATACCAGCTATACAGCAAATGGCGTCCGACCTCAACACGAAAGTCTGATCAACAGAGCAAGCGCCGTCATCGTCGTCACAGCAGACGCAAATAGAAACATGTATCAGAACGGATTCACAAAACACGTCTCCATGATCTGTAACATGCAATATACAGCCGGTGGCGATAAAAAGATAAAGCCACTCATAGTCGTGGCAGTCAGTTCACCCTACGACTTTTCCACAGACACATCAATCGGGACGTATGTCTGCACATACGACTTTACAGAAACAGCATTGGTATCCCTAGTCAGAGTACTTCATGGCGATATCAACCCTACAGGTTCACTCCCCGGCACAATCAGCCGCAGCGAAAAACTCACACAATCAAAAACACACTGGCTCGTGGAGATCTTCAATGAGGAGCGAGATGGCCTAGCCCTCGATACCCTGATCAAAGAGATCACAGACTGGTCAGCGCCAAACCAGCGCTCGGAACTAAAAGCCGCAACCTCAAACTCCTTCCTGCTCCGTCAGCAAAATGTCCTGGAAACCCACTTCGTGGTCAGAAATAGCAGTACGTCGGCATTATACGGCTTTTGCTCGACCTACTTCTTCAAATCTACAGGCACTGGAGCGATAGGCGCACTATTCGTCGATCCAGGAAGACGAAAACTCTCCATCGGCCAAAGTCTACACGATCGCGCCATTCGTACTCTCCTGCAACGAGAAGGTATAAAGCGCTTCCAACTAGGCTCAAGACTCCCCAGTATCTACCTCGGCATCCCCTCCGACCACGGCTCCGAGCGCAAACGTCTACGCGGCTGGTTCGCAAATCTAGGCTGGAACACCGCACTCTCCCGCCCTGTATGCAGTATGGTAATGCGCAATCTACCCTCTTGGTCCCCTCCCGAGGGAATGGCGCAATCTCTGCAAAGCGCAGGAGCGGAATTTGATCTCGTGAGGGGTTGGGAACATAGTAGAGCTGTTCTCGATCACATAAAGACGAACAACCGTCAAGGCCTTGCAGAGGTTTATAAATTGGCGCTCACAGATGCCAATTCTTGTGGTATTGTGCGTGCGACACGGCCGGAAGATGGGAGTATTGTGGGTACGGTGGTGTTGTATAACAATGCTTCTGCATTGGCGGAGTTTGTGCCTGCGCTCAAGGATGAAGGGGCGGAGGATGGGGGTGTGGGTGGTGGTGTTAGTTCGCCAGTCGTTTCTCCTTCGGCGGGTGAGTACGCGACCATTTTGCAGAGCTTAATCTTGTTGGGTGTCAAGCAAGTCAAGAAACAAGGGTGTGCTTCTTGTGTGCTTGATTACATGGATGGAGATGGTAATTTTGATGGGTTGTCGGCTATGGGTTTTGAGACTATGCATACGTTCGAAGAGGTTAGTTGTGATGCTGCGACTATCACTAGGGCGAAATGAGATGGATGGTTCAAAGTGAATGTGGAGTAAAGGTTTATAGTGCTATCGGAATCCAACAACCATTTTGTTATTATGCAAAGTATCAGTTCCTATGACTTCGACGAGCTCAATAAAGACGCGACTCCCTGAATTCTCGATTGTCTACCTAGTAAGCCGTGAAGGGGGATCGCATCGGTGAAACAAGGGTAGTGAGTAGTAGTCAGTCCGGCATCCGAATCGGAAAGGGCCGCGGGGTAGGGCAGACGACATGGTCAGAGCCAAGCCCAGCATTGCTCCTCATTGCGCTAGCCTGCGATTCAACGACGGGCTTCCCGTCTCGATTCGCTGATTGAGACGTCAGAAAAAGTCGCCATTGATCGGAGACGAGCTTCCTGTCAGGTACTTCTCCGCCTCCATAGCCTTATGCATCTGCTCTTTGTAGGCCTTGATGTGTCTCTCAGCATGATTACGTGCGTCTTCGTCGACCTCGTTTGATAGACTGCGATGCAGAATTAGTGATTACGGTGGACCACACACGATATGGCTCAACATACAACTTCAAAGTGGTGGGCTCCTGGAGCTTGCAATAGCCACAAAGACCAGGGTCGATGGCCTTGTCGTCGACGACGTGGTTGAAGGGTAGAAGTGTGTGATCATGGATCTGTCCATCGGCTTCTCTGAATACCTCACATTTACACAGAGTGTGGGGAGTGCGGAAGAGAGGCAGACTATGCGCGATCAGGAGGAGAAATGGCGGGCGTGGTCATCAAGACTCACGCATCGTCACCAGTGGCGCAATCGACGCAGGCGTGTGGATTTGGGGGGGCCGGTATTGGCAGTGTTGACGTTGGACTGAGCCTTAGCGGCGGGTGTGGAGCTTGACGACATTGTGCAGCGATGTCGAGGTTGATGTTGTCAAGGAAGTCGAAACTCGAGAAGAGCTACGCTTTTATGTCGTCTGCAACACTCCGAGAGTGAGTGTGAGAGTGACGGTGAAGCACAAAGGTCGTGTTGTGGCGTTGTGTTAGAGCCAGTCAACAGTGATGTAATTGTCGTTTGACGAGTGTGAGCACGGCGAAGCCGAAAGGTTGAGTTGGAGCCAGTGAACAGTGCTTCGAAGGTCTTTTCAGCGGGTGTGAGCACGAGTATCATCTACTCAGCCCACGTCTTCACTGAAATAGCGTTTATTTTTTAGACGACTTAGACGGTCACGAGCTTTGTTCTCAGGCAGTGGGTTAATGTGATGAACGACGTGGGGGCGATACACAGCATCGACGGGAGGTTGCCAATCGTCCAAGCTCAGCGGGAAGTATTCGTAAAGCAGATCTGCACTCTCATCTGGACTGCTACCAACCTGTAAGGCAAAGGCAGAGGGCGTGCTCGCGGCGCGATTCGGAGCTACACGCTTGCTCAAATGCCCATTCCTTGGCGGACTCATAGAGGCTTGCTTAGGTTCCTCCTCCTCCGTCAACGACAGCTTTTGTGGTACTTGAGGTGGGGCAGGCATGGTTGATGGTTGGCGAACCAGGTCTGGAGATGAGACGGCGTAGTCCTTGGGCTCCGAAAGACGTGCAGTAGGGGGTCTCGCTGTCATGGCGTTTTGTTGGAAGCCATTGTTAAAGAGTGCAGGCATCTGGAAGTCTGCAGGATCGAAAGTTGTAATGACAGGAGCTTCGTTCATGGGCATATTGACTACGCTGCTGCGAGATGGTTTCCTAGCATGACCATGATCTGCTTGCGATGGTACACGCGGCCTTGGAACTGCTGTGGTAGGCTTCTTTGCCTGCGTTCCGTTTCCAGTGAGCAGGATGTCTTTTCTTGATTGAAAATTCCTAGGACTGCGACCTCTGACTACGATAGGATTCGATTTGGAATGGCAAATGGTAACTTTTCCTCCAGTCGCAAGAGTGGCCACAACCTTGAGATGCACAATGAAGTGCTGCTGTAGCTCTTTCCTTCTGCCGTTGTTCGCTGTGGCGCTACGGAATTGCAAACGTTTCCAATGGAAGGGGAATGTTGCAAAGTTGGAATCTCCCTCTTGAGCAGCCGAAAGGTCCAGCGATATTGACGGTGGTTCCTTCTCGGCCCTTTCTTCGGCGGTTGAGTTACCATTTGGCGGCGTCTTCCAAGGAACACAAATGATCTTTGTAATGCTCCCTTCGGCAGACTCTGTTGCAGAGATGATGACCTCTTGAGTTACGATAGGGATCTGTTTCGTCTGCTCGGTGACAATGTTGCGAAGCGCTCGTGGGACCATGACACTGCCCGAGACCTGGAAGATGTTGCGGCGATAGCACATCAACTCGGCATTGTCTGTTGGTTTGGCCCAAGCCGAATTATCGGTGAAGAAGAGACCTAACAGATCGGCGTTCAAGCTCACCGAGACCTGGCGATAGTTGTAATCTAGCAAGGCATACTCGTACTCGGGCGGCGTGAATTTCAGGTATTTATGGCCTTGTTCTATAGCTATCTCTTTTGCGTCTTGCGCATCTTGAGCATCTTGGGTCCCTGTTTCGGCGATGGTCTCAAAGGCTCCGACAGCGTCGGAGAAAGCGTCGTCGAAGGTGCTGGAAAAGCGCTTGAGCGATGGCGTCGTTTGTGGCGGTGGTAGTCCATAGTACTCGTCTCTGTCATGACGATAGTTAGCGGGAATGTGACAGCAGTACAGAGGGTGTCGGAGTTACAGTACCCAGGGTAGATGGTCTGCGAGTCGTAGGTAGAGTATTGTTCCATGAAATCATTAGGCATCATCATCATGTTCCCGTACATGTTTGGAGGGGGGTTCACGTTGTCGGACGTGTCAAAGTTTGTGGCCATATAGGTCATGGATATCGGGTCGAAACCCTCCATTATTGCGTCCGGTAGTCCTGTATTCGCGAATGCGATACGACTGTCCAAAATTGCGAGTGACTCCGGGTAGGGATGGAGTATGCGACCAGGAGTTATCGTCGGTCCTGCAGAGCGTATTCAGTGTCGCGAGAGGGCATCAAGTCCAGTCACGGCAGTATCGACCACCGAGGCAGCGTAAATTAGGAAGTCGCGGTTTGCTCGTCTCTCGTGTGATACGTCGGACGACCTGCAGTGCCTGCTTTCTGCTCACCGTTCTGCCCAAGCTTCAGCCTGTGTCGCTCGAGCTTTCCGAATTGAAGCAATAGTCTCTCACGATCTTGCAAAATTGCAACTCTCTTGCCATATCATCAACATGCTATGGAAACATGGTTAGAGGGGACATCGGATGCGACCAGCACATGCGGAACTTCGGAGGTGACGCTTCCCCTCCTAATTTGGTCTTCCCGATTCAAACGCTCCCGAGTGGCTTATCTTATCGGCTCTAGCTCACAAGCACCCCATGACATCAAGGTCTCAGTGCCTGGTGGTGTTCAGGTTGCAGTGGTGTCCGCCATAAACTATGTCTACCCAGCAGCACGTCTGGCTGTTTGATCGGCTCGCCAACAATTTCTAAGCTTGCTGGAATCGAGTCTCGAAGCAGCTAGTCGTTTGTTACTCTGACTTGTGACAGTTCTAGGAGAGAGCCTCTTCCCATTCAGCATTCACGAGACATGTGGATATCCAAAAGAGGTGTTCTGAGTATTCATCTTGTTATTATTGTAGAGATCTGAGAGAAAAAGTCGCTAATGTCAAATGTATCCCTTCGGCTAAATGTGAAACCTCTACCTGCATATCAAATGCAGGAAATGCTCCTTGTATCCACAACGCCTTCATTAAATGCGGTCTGCTCAAAGACAGAATTGTTTTCCGAGCGACAGTCCACTAATACTATGCTTCGGATTCTGAGGCGGCGGCGACAGCGGCACCGAACACCGAGCTCTCCAGAGCCATCTCAATAGAGATGGCCCCTCGTGCCTGGCCACTAATTGCTGCCAGCTCATCGAGATAGCTCTGGCACCTTGAGCGGAAACCTGGATATTTCTCCATCACCGTGCCATTGCAGGCCACTGTTGCTCGCACTCGAGCCTGATGTGCAAGCTGCGATTGAGTAGTGCTTGTCGGATCCACAAGGCCGTGTTGAAGCGACCAGAGAGCATGAACCGCTGTAGCGACCAGGGCAGCTGCACGACCAGATACTAGTCGACTGACTTGTTTGACGAAGTGAAGGTCTCTAGGCGACGGCGTGCGGCCTGCGGGTAAAGGATGCGTAGATGTGAAGACGGATGCGGCACAGGATAGAGTGGAGGATGAGTCGCTCTCAAATACAGCAATCGTCCCGGTATCCAAAGAGTACGGCTCCTGCAGCTTAGCAGGCATCATACCACAGAATAAATCAGCAGTCTCGATTGCTTCAATGAGGATAAGACGGACCAGCTCGCCAAGATACCTCCCGCTAACCCTGTACTCCAGAGGCTGGAAATCGGGGAGGTCATGGGTGGCATTGAGATATTGATCCCATCTCGAGACTGGTAGCACATCCTTTCCAAACATGCTGAGCTCGGTATTGACGAGCACGTGTTCAGCGGACGCGTGCCAGCTCTTTGAACGGTTTCCATACTTCTCCTGCGCCAGAGCGGAGACAGGTAAGTAGATAGCCGAATTCATGCCAGTACCCAGTATAAGCGACAAGCGAGTCGAAGGGTCGCGATAAGCCTGTGAGAGCAGCGTTGCTGAAGAGTCATTGATGATGGCCTGGAGCTGAACTTGAAGATTGCGATGTCTGCAAGAATCCATCAAAAGCTCGTAGAGATCTTGACCTTCAACGCCATGGGTAGCACAAAAGCCTTTGCCCATGGTCAGGATGCACCCGGTCCGCGTGGAAGTCTGCTCGATAGGAAACGACCATGACATGGCCATGGACAGTGGAGTCGCAGCTTTCTGGTCTGGGCCAAGTACCTCCTCTATTCTGGTGGCCATCCAGTCGAAGAAAGCCTTTCCCTTGAGGTCTCTTATGGGCTCGTCTATGACGAAGCTCTTCATTCTTTTGATTTCCATTCCATCTCTGGCTGTTTTCTTGCCACTGAGGTGTACCAGTGCGATGCGAAAGGTCGAGCCGCCGACGTCGAGAGCGACGAAATCGCCAGACTCGGCGCCTGTTGGCAAGGCGTAGTGGAAAGACGGCAACATGCATATGTTTGACGACTGTAACTTTGTGTAAAACTCGGTTTGGAGCTGTTCTGACATGGCATGCAGACTTCTTGGACGCAAAGGGGCCTCAAAGAGGCCTTCGACGTCATGCAAGAGTTTGTCCATGCTCCTTGTGCGCGAGCTCTGTGTTTCTAACCCAAAGACATCTTTGTTGGGCGAGGGCAGTTGTAAAGGCTGGATCAACGAGGCTAGCATGGCAACCAGGCAGACGGGTTATGGAGCTGTAGTAGCGTGACGAGTGGTGACAGGCAGCGGCGGCTTATAGGAGTCGTGTATTCGGGCTAAGTGATGCTTGGTCGAGAGCAGGGCGCTGGCAGACGTGTTGACTTGTCGACTTGATGACCAGTCACTTATTGACGGAAGATTTAGTTATGTATCACAGCTGTAAGGACGGCTCACGACAGGCGTACCCGAGAGCGCAGGGATTGATGAGCAGGAAGGGACGCAATACGGATGCTGCCAAACGTGATGGCTCGCCTCCAGCATGGCATGGGGCATGGCCGGTCAAGTTGCAGTCTGGCGGGATGTTTGGTTGCAGCAAATCAGTGCAAGTGGATCATCGCGGCGGGGTGACTTTGACGCTTCACCGTTCCATCAGGCCTCTACAAACAGCTACGACACTGCACCACCGCCTCTGTTCTACACACAGCGCTCTCCTCGGCCTGCGTATCCTACTGATACGCCTTGGCCGAGCCCTAATCACACTACTTTGCCAGAGTATTGCAACCTCCAGCCTGGGTCCTCGACTACCTTATCGTCTATTATTTCCCGTTTGCATGGTCACGAACTTATCGATGATGTTACATCGGCATTCCGCGATCGGCATAATCGCGCGCTCGGACGACTTTCTTGTCCTGTGTACTTGCAGAGCCGCGCGTTCTTCCACCTTTCTCAAGCACTGATCCTACATGACATCTGGTATACCGATAAGACATGTCGGACATATCTCCTCATGACCGATGAAGTCGATCTCAAAATATCAAAAGATATTCGTTGACTGTCCTGCCAAGCAATCATGTCACATCGAGTATTCTGACACGAGCGTAGTAAGGCTAGTAAAATTTGCTTGGTCATTACAATGTAGTAGGTACGCTATACGAGAAAAACAACACCGAGGCAGATTCGCTTCCATCAATTCGTCTGGCGTCACGAAATCGCAGGATCAACCCGCGAAATCATCACAGACTTGACAACATATCATTCAAACCTTCTCGGCATCATGAATGGGCTTGCCGTCGGCTGTGCCGATAATCTCTTCGACCGTCTCATCGGAGAATTTGACGTCTTCCTCAACACTAACATGGTCCTTGACTCTGATAAGCAAGACGGGTAGAGCACAAACAAGAGCGCCCAACAGGAGTGCCCAACTTGATGCAAACTCGCTCATGTATGGAAGACTCTGAGAGTCCAGACGCCAGATGACTGCAGCTCCGGCGGACTGAATACCCTTGTAGAACCCGGCAAAGTTGGTGAGCTTGCGACCGTTGTTGGTCAATGAGCCCATGAACCAGTATACACAAGTCTGCCATGCAGCATCGTAGAAGCCGTAGAAGATGTAGAGGAACATTGGGCCAACGTAACCGGAGTCACTCCAATCCTTGGAGACGAATCCTGAATCCTTGGACACAGACTCGCGGGTATATCGTGTTTGGAAAGCATAACCACCGCCAAACACGGCGAGTGTTAGGATGAGGATGGCCACCCAAGCGATCTTTGCTCTAACGGATCTGCGAATCTTGGAATAGTCGAGGCAGAAGCCGAAAACGAAAGCTCCCACAATTTGAGCGGTCCAATACAGGGTGTTGTTCAGGGCTCTGGTTCTGGTGTTGAAGTATGCCAGATTGACACCGTTGAACTGGTAAGTGTAGAACCAGTTGGATGCGAAGAACATGGGGAATAGACAGATGATATAAGGATCGCTTCTGATCGTCTCCCACAGTCCCAACAGCTCGGTCTTCCAGGTGGGATTTTTCATAAGGATGATACGAGATCCATCGTTACGCACGACAGACTTCGCATCGACCAAGAACCAGGCCAACCCAGCACCACAAGCTGTCAAGACAATGAAGCCGACATAAGTTCCATCGGAGACAGTACCGCTGCTAGTAGAGTTGATGTTCTCACCAAGAGGGATCTGATGACGTTAGTGCTAAAGATTGAGATGAGAAACGGATTTGACTTACCAGACTTCCTATGACAGCACCAAGATTGAAGATCATCCAGAACCAAGAGATGTAGCGGCCTTTGGAGTTCTCGGCAGGGTAGGACATCATAATAGCACCCTGAGCAGACCACAGCATACCAGCACAGCAACCCAGCAGAGCACCTGCAAAGATGTTGAAGCCTGTGTTTTGTGTGTGGCTGTAACAAAGGAACGAAGCCACGTAGATACAGTAGCCCAAGCCACCGAATGACAGAGACCATCGGATACCAACAAGGTTTACAATGCTACCAGCAAAGAAACCTAATGAGAGTGTTAGACTTGACTTGAAACATTGAGAAGCTGCAACACTTACCAATAACAGAGAAGCAAGCATAAAGAGCAATGTTGGCCTCATCTGCTGCTTTGGCTGAGACTTGGCCACCTCCACCCATACCAGACAGGGCGTTGAACATGCCAGGGCATAGGAAACAGACAAAAGCGACGATCACCAGTTGTGTGGCAGGGCTGGCGTAGTGAGGCAGTGTCACAGGACCAATCTTGACCGATCTGTACTTCCGGCCAACAGGCATGACAACACTCGTTGTGCCATTATCGACGGATCCATTGGCCGATTCGACCTCATGTAGGTTCTTCTCGTTGGACTGAGCCATGTCGACTCGAAGTTGGGAAAGAGGCTTGACAAGGAGAAGAAAAAAAGGACCAGTGTCGTGTGAGACCGAAGTGGTATAATAAGAGACAGTCAAATGCGGGGGCGGCAAGGGCTAGGTTTTTTAGGACTGTGAGGAAGACCCTTTGGGAGAAAGCTCGAGCGAATGGTACACACGCGACTGGGCAGAGTGGAAACAGCGGTGGGAAAATGTGGTGCTTTATGTCAAGTGCGTGTAACCACTGCAAGGCTGGCTCCAATGAAGCGAGTAGGAGCGTGAATTGAGATAAGTAAGGAGAGGTGGTCTCGTGTCAGCACTACCTGCAGATAACACAGATGCATTGGATCGTCGCGTGCCCCGGCCTGCATTGTCCGCCCCCCAGAAGAAGGTTGACTTCCACGCACTCGACTAGCCAGACAGCTTATCGCGCCCCATATTTTTAGCCACGGCTTGGCTCCACGCCGATACGTCCTTGCGCTGGCCGTTATCAGCCGGTTGGTTAATCAAAACTCGCGATGCAACCACAGCTTGTTTGACAGCGTCCCTCTCCCATGTAACACCTTGATAGGCACGTTCGCACCACGAGGAGTCATCATGATGCCTTTGCCGATATACTACTCTTCGACGCACGGGGTGTTTGAGAACCTTATCTCATTGTGACAGTCCATCAAATCCTCCAGTCGCGTAGTATTCTCCTCGAGGTGACCCGCGACGGCCTTCGATCTGGAGATGGAACCGTGACACTTCGCCGGCCAGTGATAGCAATCCGGCTCGACATGTGGGTTTCCTTAGAGACAAGTCTTCGATGATGTAGGTCGATCTTGAATTTCTTTTGTTCCGATATAATCCCTTCACTGCCATCTTCTTCTTGTCAGTTGTCACAGCCCACTCTCTAGAGACATCGTCTTTTCAACTACACACATTTGTCTCCTAAAAGAAGACCTTTGACCATTTCACAAACATGTACGTCCTCCTCGCATTGGACTAGCAGGCCGATGCTCATGGACCTATCTCAGGCGTCTCATCATTCGTGACGACAAGGACACAGCATCCTCGTTCATCGCAAATTATATCATCGGTACGTGGTAGTCCCAATGGGTCAACTCCACATATACTGAGTCTGTCAGACCGTATCAAGGCATTTGGCCCGACTCCAAACAAACCATTCGTACTCGGTCTTCCCACTGGCAGTTCGCCAGAGGGTGTGTACAAGAATTTAGTCAAACGTCATAAGAATGGCGACATATCATTTCGCGATGTAGTGACCTTCAACATGGTAAGCATGCCAGGATTGATGCTCGACTAGCATGGATTTGACTAATGTTTATTGTGCAGGACGAATACGTTGGCCTCCCTCGCGAGCACCCCGAGTCGTACCACAGCTTCATGTACAGACACTTCTTTTCACATGTCGACATCTTGCCATCGAACATCAATATCCTGAATGGCAATGCTCATGACCTCGAGGCCGAATGCATTGCGTATGAAGAGAAGATCAAGCGCGCAGGTGGTATCGAGCTCTTCCTTGGTGGCATTGGTCCTGACGGTCACATCGCCTTCAACGAGCCCGGATCCAGTCTCGCATCGCGCACTAGGGTCAAGACTCTTGCATATGATACCATCGTTGCCAACTCGAGGTTCTTTGGCGGAGATGTCGCAAAGGTGCCTCGTATGGCATTGACGGTGGGCGTGCAGACAGTCTTGGATGCAAGAGAGGTCGTCATCATCATCACTGGCTCACACAAGGCTCTCGCACTCCAGAAGTGTATCGAGGGTGGCGTCAACCACATGTGGACGCTGTCAAGTCTGCAATTACACCCTCATGCAATGATCGTCGCCGACGATGACGCTACATTGGAGCTCCAAGTCAAGACTGTCAAGGTGAGCAAGCCATACCCAGGCTACAAAATCAACACTAACAATGTTGAACAGTACTTCAAGTCCATCGAGCAGGTCGCTTCGACTCAAGGCTTTACTCAGACTCTGCCCGACATCAGCATCACCACCTCGAAACGTGATTCCATCATCGAGAAGCTTGACAGCCCTCGCTCGCCCAAGTCATCCTCGCCATTCGTGATCACCTCGAGCTCTACACCAACATCACCTACGTCAATCAGTAACACAAGCAAGACCTTATCAGTACACAAGACAAGCACAGGCCTACAAAGATCTGTGACACCTGAGCCAGTGCTAGACAGGATGGCAGATAGACTACCGCCCTCTCCCTCCCCAGCTTTCGCAAAGCTATCTGTTAGCACGCCAATTCAACGGCCGATCACTCCTGAGCTAGTTCCGGATCGCATGGCTGATAGACTTGCCAGAACGCCTCAGATGGCAGGTCAAGGTCATGATGACTTGGTGGTTGATGAGCTGCCTTTGAGCAGTATGGGACGCAGAATCGCTGTCTGATATGGCTTGAGCTTACTACCATGTTATTTTATGTGTATATATGATATCCAATGAAGTGTTGTACATGATCAATCACACACTGCTACACGATTGTTCACCCTTCCTGGATTCTCGTATTACGTCATTGGTATTGTCTGGGGGATCACCCTGGTCTTGCATTGCTCTGATTGTTCCTCGACCCTCGTCGGGCACCTGGGATATTCATCCATCGCGTTCCACTGATGGACACCATATCATATGATGGTGATGTTTTGAAGCGTCTTAACTGATGGATGTGGGTGTTGACTCAACATCGTCCATTTCTTCAGAAGTCTCACGGACACCGATCTTTGAGACCAAAGCACTTCCGGATGATTGTCGCCAGCTTGCCTAACCGCCAACATATTCACTTGGGTGTCCAGCGACTACGAAACTCTGCAACACCAACTCTGTCCAGACACCTGCTTGCTTAATACACATCCTGTGTCTACACTGCTGCCGCCTGCATCAAATATTCAGTCTCGGATGACACCTCTCTCCACATCCGAAAACGCCCCCATCTTGCACCCCACATGGCACGCGAAACGGGTCATTTCTTGCCGAGAACAAAAACCTTGCTTGAACAAAAACCCATGACAGCATCGCACCCGGCCACCGAAATTCAACCAAACCTTCCTCTGTTTTGCTGCAACATCGAGCAGCCAAGACACTGAAGGATGCAGATCATCGCATTCGGTTAATTTACAATGAGGGGTATAGACATTTTGACCGACGGGTGTTGATCAGAATGCAAGGTAGGTGGAGGAGATCAGGCGGATTTGTTTGTGCATAAGTATGTGGATGATTCCCAGGTAAGGGAGATGGAATAGGAATACGAAAGGCTCGAGTATCAATCATGTTTGTTTCGACTCAATTACTCGCCGCACTTGCTGGTGTTTCTGCCTTCTGTGCAGAGGTATCTGGTGCGTTATTGCCGGAAAGAGATGGAGTAAATTCATTTGTCTATGGACGTCAAGAGGCGTCGAATAGCTCTGGATCATGGCCGTATGGACCTTTCAGCACTCATGGCCGGGACATTGTCAACACGAAGGGCGAGGCAGTGACCTGGGCAGGCGTCAACTGGCCTGGAAGTGGTGAGACCATGGTACCCGAGGGCCTTGAGTGGGCATCAATTGAGGACATCATGTCTCAAGTCAAGAGCGTGGGCTTCAACTTCATTCGTCTGACGTACGCCATTGAGATGGTTGACCAAATATACGAGCGTAATGGCTCAGATGTTGGTCTGGAGATTGCCATGATCAAAGGACTTGGCTATGAGAATGGGTAAGGACAGCTATCAGTGTAGACAAGGACTCAATACTGACCTGTCAATAGCACCAAGGTGACCAACGAGATCATTGCTAAGAACCCCACCTTCAACAAGGACACCACGCGCTTCGAGATCTGGGACCACATCGCCCAAGTCGCCCTCTCCAAGAACATCTACATCCACCCCGACGTGCACGTCGGAAAAGCCCAATGGTGCTGCAACAACACAGACGGCAACGCCTGGTTCGACGACTACAACTTCCCCGTCGCAAACTGGAAACGCGGTCTCCAATACGTCGCCAACTGGGCCAAAAAGCACAACAATGTAGTCTCCATGTCCCTACGCAATGAGCTTCGCAGAGCAATCAATGAAACCGCTCCCACCTCCACACTAGGTTATAACTGGGTAACTCTGGTAGGAAACTACACAGCAGCCACCGATGCCATTCATGCCACAAACCCGGATCTTCTGGTCACTTGGTCAGGGATGCAGTATGATCAAGATCTCTCCGCCCTCATCCAGGGTAAAAATCTCAACACTGCACCCTGCTACAAATGCGATGCCATCCGCGATGGCCTACGCAGAGAGCCTATCGTATTTGATCTAGCAAGCCACCCTTGGTCTGACAAAGTGGTTTATGAATTGCATCTTTACGCAATGTCTGAAGACCTCGATACCGGATCCTGTCCAATCGTGTTTGCAGAGCTCTATAATGCTGGATTCAATGCCATTGGTATGGCGCCCCCTGCCGCATGCAACATTACTCAAAACTGTATCCCTGCTGTCCGAAACACTCCCGTCATCATCTCGGAGTTCGGAGCTGCCCAAGACGTCACTCTGCTCAACAATACTCTGATGAACTGTCTGAAAGATTTCACAGAGCAGAATAATGTTTCTTGGGCCATGTGGAGTTTGGCGGGTAGTTATAGGATCAGAAGTGGTGGTCAGGGTGTCGGTGATACCTGGGCTTTGGGAAATTACAATTGGACTGGTTGGAATTATCCCGAAGGTGTTGAGAAGTGGTGGAAGCCTTGGGTTAGCGAGATGTTCAATTAGAAGAAAAGACATAGCTGAGCTCGAAAAGACATGTTCTGTCATGTTGACACTTCCGTTCTTATATGCTCTTCTTCATGACAAGACACATCGACATGACATAGAATCTGACAAAACGAGAAGGAATGTCAAAAACACGCAAGAGTATATCGAAACAAATCTATGAAGTAGAAGAATCATTTTTCGCATTCCCATCATCGACAAAATCTAAACTTTTTTCCTGTTTATGCTGAAAAGAGAGACGTATGACCTTTTGGTTTCCCCTCTTTCATATCGAATCTACTCGTTGTAACCAAGAGCGGAAAGCTCCTTGCGGACACCCTCCTCGGTCGAAATCTTGGATACCTGCGTGTTTTCCAACTTCTCACCACCGGCTTGACGCATCTTCAGGTCGTCGATGGCACGCAGCTTCTTCAACAAGGCACGAACCTTTTTATCTTGGCTGGACTCAACAATAGGGCTGCTGACGGTGACCTCGGGGGCAGCGACAGGAGCAGGGGTGGGAGCGGGTGCCTGCTTGACGGGAGTTGCAGGGGCGTCCCCACGGTAAGACTGGCCGCGCACAGGGCCGTGCTGACCAGACTTTGATCTGCTACGTTCTCTGCGCTGCTGGCCGTCACCGTTGGCCTCGGGGGCAAGACCGGAAGCCTTGGCCTCTGCGTCCTTGGCCTTCTTTGCCTCTCTCTTCTTCTTGTTCTTGAGAGCAGCCTTGCTAAGGTTCTCATCACCATCGGCGCCAGCGAGAGGGACACCGCCGCCGGGAGCGGCACCAGAAGGATCGGCAGTCTCAGCACCAGGAACCTCTCGTCTTCTAGGGCGAGAGCCGAAGCCGTTAGCTCCGATGTTAGCGGAAGAAATGCCCTGGTTGATGAAAGCGGCACCACCTTCGTCCTCACGCTTGAAGTGGAGAGGAGTGGAAGAGCCACGAGCGCCAGGAGGTCTGTAAGCACCAACAGGCTTGGAGGGAGCCTTCTTGGTGGCAAGATGAGCAGCAGCGGACGAGTGAGGAGCAGGGGGGTTGACGAGAGGGTTGCCCAGAGGGTGCTTCTCGGTGGACTCGGGACGCCAGGTGACGTGATACAGCTCGTTCATCTCCTCGTTGAACATGAAAGAACCCGAGACGTGCCACACGCGGATAGCGTTGTCGACGCGCAGACGAGGGCTGGTGGTGGCTGTCAAGATGTGCTGGCCATCAGGAGACCACTCGCAGATACTGGCATTGCTGGCCTCAATGGTTGAGACCTTTTGGTAGTTCTTCTCCATGTCGTAAATGTCCATGGTACCAGCCAAGTTGCCGAAACCAGCGACAATGACAAAGCGACCATGAGGAGAGAAAATGATGGTGTTGCGGGGGCCGAGGTTGAAACTGTGCTGGGCGACAGCACGCTGGTTGTAGATGGTAGTCTTAGCGGGCATGTAGCCGTAGACGACACCGAATTCCTTGGAGTTGGGTGACCAGGAGACGTCGTGGATGGGGCCGTCCTTGTCTAGAACACAAGTTAGTAAGAGATACCAGAGAATGAGGGATTTGGTTTGACGTACCCAGAACGATACGCGAGTCAAAGGCACCGCTGGAGCTAAGAATGTACATGTTGGTCTCTCCGTAGTAACTCTTGTTGGTCTTGTCGACATCGGTCTGGGCCAGAACGATCAAGCTGGTGCCCTCCTCGTTCCACTTGAGCTGGACTTTGTCGGCCTTGAAGAAGGTCTTTTGCGAAACGGGCGAGGTAAAGTGAGGCACGTTGAAGACCTTGACCTGGGCGGGCATGCCCTTGCGCTCGGGCACAAAGACGGCGATATTGGCATTGCGACCCTTGGACAGAGAAAAGTCCTGAACACCCTCGACACGCAGCTTGTTGTGGACGGTGCCCAAGTCGGACGTCTTGTAGAAGTGTACCTCGTTGGTGACGGCGCGAGCACAGAACTCCTCGTCAAGAGTGTACTGCAAGTTCCAGCCAGTCTGGTTCTTCTGCACAAATTGGCCAACGACCTGGCGATCGGCCTCGTCGGCAATGGTACGCCAGACCTTCAGGTTCTTGACGGCGTCGCCATTCTCGTCCTTGGTAGGTCTCTGCCAGGTAATGATGTAGGTGCCAAGGGGAGAGAAGCCCAGCTCGAATACGTTTTGGGTGGGAAGAGTTGCGACTGTGTGGCCCTCAGTCGTGTCGACAACAGTCACCCTGAGGTGTGTGTTAGCATGAACATGGCAATCAGAGGACACAAGGGACGTACTGGTCAGGAGAGGCCCAGGCGAAGAAGCGACCGTCGGGCGAGTAGACACAGCAGCGGAGGTTGCCCTCTGGCCGCGTGAAGCCTGGGAGCGCTTCATATGCAGGCGCGGCATTCAGGATGCCAACACCCTTAGCCGTGCGATCTGTGTCGCGTCAGTTCCACTTCTCATCAGGTCCCCTCAGTATTTCGTGTGCGTACATGCGAGTTGGGTAGGTTGAGCCATGGTACTAATCAAAGCCACGGGCTGCAATAAGTCAATCGTCGATAAATCTGCGAGAGCGGCGGGCGGTATGGCTATGGCGCGAGGCGGCGGATAGGCAGGCAAAGATCCGAGTTGCGTGGGCTAAGATGAACCGAATCACCTCAGAATGTAATAGTAGACGGCAACACTGGCTCCAGCTGGTATGTGATACTCGGAAAGCGCAACAAGTTCGATTGAATATTATTCGCATCAGCCAGCCCGCCAGCCCCCCAAGCGTGACGTTTGTGCCAAGCTGCACTGAAACATTCTGATGTTTTCCACGACCATTCTGCTGATCCAGTCATTCGCACATCAATAAAATCTATCCCCAATAGGACAAGGACCAATCTGCCATCTCTCTTGAAGGTCGTACTGTGCTATCTGTTCAAGGATTGAATTGGGACCTTTTGCAACTGCCAATCATTCATCTACAAAGGAAAATCATCATCATCAGCATCGTGAAATCACCCACAAGCACTAGGAGACCGCAAAGGACATGTGAATGAAGGCCTCCAAGTCCTTTGGATTTGACGAAGACCGTCTCCACCAACCTCCCCTTCTAGACTGTTCTGCTCCCGTCAGTAGACTAGGTGAGGCTACATGTGAATCTGCTGCTGTGTCAGGCACAGAGATCGAGTCGATCGAGCTGCTACGGCCCATGGCTGGTCTCCTTGTCGGGCTCGGTCGAGGAACCTGTTGCTGCCCGTGTGGGCTCGGGGCTGCCACATCGCACTTCGTATGGCCCAACGACGTTTCTGATTCATCGCCTTGGGATAGTCAGTACCTAGATACACTGACTCAAGACATAGTAAAGCAAATTTACGTTTGTACTCGGACCAGAGCGCCGATATGTAGCCCTTCTTGAGTTCTGTTCTCCGTGACTTGGACTCTTGGACTATTTGCCAAAGGCAAATCTCTGCTGCCATGTCTTTATGTCCCGAGGTAGTTGAGCGTCTGGTGTGATATGGATGTGTCTAGAGTATAAAGAGGATGTTTCATTGTGCCTCCATGGTCCTGCTTATTATACCACCTGTCGGGCGTGGTCCTGCGCGGTGCATAATCACGGAAATGTTTGTCAGGAGATCTACCCATGCCAAGTTCCGTGATGTCTCGAGATACCTACAGATCTCAAGCCGACCGCTTTTCGATCCGAGCAGCTGTATGCACGACATCTCGAGATATCAGTAGCTTGGTACATCAAGACTCAAGGTTGTTGGTCGAAGTCGGTATAACAATTGCTGCTCGCTCTTCCGATGGGCTATCTTGAATAGTGCGACCGCCGATGCCTCGACACCGGCAGAGGTACGGAACATGACAATTCTGCCACCTACTGTTTGAGTACACACTGAACAAGCAAATTGATGGACACGGTGTTGCTGTGCGGCTTGCTCTCGGACTGTGATCTCCTTGGACGCGCGAAGATTGGAGTCTATGGTTCCGATTGCGATGCAAAATCTCGACGGCCCGACAGAACAACTCTGTACCACCTTGGAGCAGAGAGACCGATTGGCAAGGCGATGTCGAACCATGAGCAATCGCCTTGAAAGGGACTCTTGGGTTCAGGGACTTGTTACACGATGTGGACCGTGCGTTTTACGCCCAGACTTCTACCGAGCCTGCCATTCGCTGCAGCCACCGTTGCGCTGTCAGTCGTCGCACAGCTCGCTCGCTCGTCCAGCATCTGTCGAACCCCCTACGCCCTCACTCAGTTCATCGACTATTCAACTCAAACCATTGCAATCGAAGCAGCTTCCATTGCAGCACACAGGTTAGGCAGGACCTTTTCTCACAATCTCTGTCCGTTCGGTTGCGCAAGGGTTTCCCTTCGGTTGTTCTCTCAGGGCGCGTCTTTCTCCATCTACACAACCACCTATCCAGAGTGTTGTCATACTCGCTGCACCCTGCCCACAGCCTCTCGCCAGAACATACGCAGCACCAGCTCCCTAGATACCAGCTATTGTCATCTCTGACTAGCCGACATCTTTTCCGTGCACCTTCATCACCTGCACTCGCACTCACCAGCACCACCACCACATCCTCCGCTTCTTCTACCAGTACCACTACTTCTGCACGATTCCCATCTCGATCGCCAAAGCCCCGTCCATCCCGATCCCGTTCTCCTTGGACACCAGCACACTCCCCCAAGTGTACGTAAAAGACGCGAATATAAGGACCTATACAGAAGCTTCTCGCACCGTCCACTCGTCGTAGCGTGACCTTTGTTGTACACGCTTGATTCCTCAGCAAAAATGTCGACTTCTCCAGTACCCGCAACTGCGCCTTCGCAAAAGCGCCCCCTCGAGGAACCCTCCTCGCCCAATGGCCCCACCGACCAGCCCGACGCAAAGAGACCTGCCCTCGACAAGGTCAAGGATGAGGCTCCCGTTCAGGAGGCTGCCCCTGCATCGCCTACTGCCGACGACGTCAAGCCCGAGCTGGAAGCCTCTGCTCCCGCTGCCACCACCGCCACAACAGACGTAGTTCCAGTCGAAGCTCCGGCCGAGTCTCACGCAGACACAGTCGTGCTCGATGCTCCCCCAGCTGGAATGCCTTCGGCCACTCAGGTGCTCGAGACTCAGCCTGTCCAATCGACTGCCGCTAACGGCACATCTACTGGTGGTCAAGATCAATACTCAGCACAACAGCAGGACGAGAGCAACTGGCTGCACATCAGAGCAATCATCTCTAGTGCAGAAGCTGCTACTGTGATCGGAAAGGGTGGAGAGAATGTGACCCAAATCCGTCGCATGAGTGGAGCTAAATGTACCGTCAGTGACTACTCCCGCGGCGCCGTCGAGCGTGTTTTGACCGTCAGTGGTCTTGTCGATGCTGTTGCTAAGGTATGCTTTGTTCTCCATTGGATCTCGTTTCTTGACTAACAGATTACTAGGCCTTCGGTCTTATCATTCGCACGCTGAACAACGAGCCCCTCGAGGCTCCCTCGACTCCTCAGTCCAAGACCTACCCTCTTCGTCTTCTGATCCCCCACATTCTTATTGGATCCATCATAGGCAAAGGAGGTGTAAGAATTCGCGAGATCCAAGAAGCTTCCGGTGCTCGCTTGAACGCATCTGACTCGTGTTTGCCTCTGTCCACCGAGCGTTCGCTCGTTGTGTTGGGTGTTGCAGACGCCGTCCACATCGCCACCTACTACGTGGGTAGTACACTCGTAGAGCAGCTTACTGAGCGCTTCGGCGGCCCTGCTGCTTCGGCCTACGCCACTCGTAGCGGCGCTCCTGCCGGTGTGGTGCCTGGAGGTATGCAAGTCGTTCCTTACGTTCCCCAGCCTGCTGGCGGACAGTGGGGCGCACCTGACCACTTCCGTCGCCAACCTCCTACCCAGCGTGGTCCTCCTCCCACCGGCTACGGTATGCAGCAACAACACCCCTACGGCGGTGCTCCTACTCCTGTGCACCCTCAAGCACCCGTTCACTACCCTGCCGCATCACCCAGACAGCCCTATGTTGGTGCAGGACCTCATGCCCCGGCTCCTCACGCCGCCGCTTATCCTGCCCAGCCTGCCGCAGCTGCAGCAACCGCCGCTCACGCAGGCCCTCCTCAGCAGCCTATGCAAGGCATGGTACCTGGCCAGCCTCTGACTCAGCAGATCTTCATCCCCAACGACATGGTCGGCGCTATCATCGGAAAGGGCGGTGCTAAGATCAACGAGATACGCCAGCTCAGTGGAAGTGTCATCAAAATTAACGAGCCCCAGGATAACAGCAACGAGCGTCTCGTTACCATAACTGGAACACAAGAGTGCAACCAAATGGCGCTCTTCATGCTATACTCCCGCCTCGGTCAGTAAATTGTATCTTCAAAAAGTGACGAGCAAGACTAACCCGTCAAACAGGCCAGGTACAGGCAGGTCAAAAGTAAACGCGAAACGAAACGATATCTTCCTGCGAAATGACCACCAAACCGCATCTGTTACTCTGGATCGGGATTGGCACGAAAAAGTTGACGAAGGGGCCAGTCAAATGGCAGACATGGAATGTATTTTTAGTAGAGGCACGCTCTTGACCAGATTCGGAGCGCCGCAAAGGGGAGAAGCAGGTACGACACATTCCAATGCACAAGCCATTGTTCACCTAGCACCCGGTTCTCCAACATCGCACGGTGATTTGTGATAGGACGCCCGTAATACAAGATTTTGACCATGACTGATGACGACTAACGATTTGACGAACATTGACCAAGACTCCCAGTATAGTCCGCGCATTATAATATCGAAGGACTGCCATTTGGCATCCAGGTCCTCGAAAGAATGCTGTCGTCGCGACGCTGGCCAGACTTCTGAGGCGAGCGCGAAACTTCCGCTTTCGGAAACAATTGAGCAAACATGAGCTTTGACGAACAAAGCACACAACGCATGCGACAGAACAAGTCATGAGCACTTATTGTACTTGATTTAAAGAGCAATTCACGTGCGGCATCTGTCTGGCCGTTTGCTCAGTATCACACTTCCGATCGATCACACTCTGTGTTTCGGGTTCGCTGGCGTTGGCACGGGATTGATCACACTCGTTTGTTCCATTTTCCTTTCTCGACTAACTCGCCTACCTACCTTGAAGACTTTCCTACACACTCTTCTATCGTTGGATGCTCGATGGATACACCAATTGTCGATAACAATACCATGTCGGACACAGTCACAGTTTCAATGACCACTCCCGATGGCCATACGTCGTTGTTAGAAGTACCACCACGTGCACCTCTGCGCGGGACCGGAGTGCGGTATGCGCCCACGCCTCTTCATCCTACAGCGCGCGGCAACATTCGAACGAACTTTAAGAGCTTCCACGAAGTTGCAACCATTGTGGTTGGCGGACAGCATGTGCAGGACTCGCATTCACGTGGTCAAGGACAGACAACGTACACGATCCACAAAGACCTGTTAACTGCCGAGTCTCCCTTCTTCTCCGCTGCATTGAATGGTGCGTTCGCCGAGGGTCTCGATCAAACAGTACGCCTGCCCGAGGAGAAGCCCGAGATCTTCGAGTGGTTTTTGTGGTGGTTGTACACGGGCTCACTAACGACACCCACTCCTACGAATTGCCACACGGAACCAAGAAATCAACGAATGCACGGTGTGCTTGGGCTGCCTGGTCAAGGACCGCCTTTCCAACATCACATGACACATACCGACGGTGATTTGCGGAATACGGCCGGCTCACCAAAGTACTTCTTGCTGCTCGATCTGTATGCCCTCTCGGACAAGCTGATGACTACGACACTCTGCAACCACATAGTCGACACGATAGCGAGACTCTCCGAGAGCACCAACTCAGTGCCCACGCCATCGGATACATGGATCCTTTACGATACGATTCGTGACAACGCCCCGATGCGCAAGCTGATACTCGATCTATTCGCATACAAGAAAACGGACAAGTTACTCGAAAGCCACAAGGACGAATGGCATCCACGATTCTTACGAGAGCTGGTTGTCAAACTCAAGCGACCAGGACTCGAGTCATTGGACAGACACTCGCTTTCACCGTGGCGACCTGTCAGCTGGCAGACGAGTAAAGCGTGCGAGTCATGCAGAGAGTTGCTCAAGCCAGGCATCAGCTGCGAGAAGTGCGAGGTCTGCGAACGAGCCTTCTGCTGTGGATGTGCGAGCGCTGGCAAAACGAGTAGTCTGGGAGGAGATGTCGGGACTTGCAAGCCATGGTTGAAGGGAATGTGCTCAAGATATCATGAGCATGGTCCTGGTGAGGATGAGAGCAAAAGATGCGCCAGATGATTGTAGCGAGTCAGGGAAAGTGTACTGACAATGGATGTGTAAGGGCAATGCTACAGAGGAAATGTCCTCTTGACCAGCGGAGGTTATTTTGATGGGGAGATTTGCTGAACAAGGAGAGATGGCTCGAATGTAGCTCAGATTGTGCTGTAACAATAACGACCTAAGATCAAATATGTGTGGAGCCTGGCTGTCTACGTCAAAGTGCAGAGAGCGTGGGAGAATGTGGAGTGGGTGTGGGGTGGGGGGCTGCAATTGACGCAACAAGCGCATGGCACCTTTGCTTGCCTATCTAGTATCAACTCGCACCCAAAATGGTCCACAACATAGATACTGGCGCAGCATCGCCTTCTCTCAAGCTCACATCGCTCGGCTCTCCACTGCGATCACCTATTCCCAGGAGGGACAGCAGAGACATGTCATCGTCGCACCGCCAATCATTCAGCGAGCGCGGCATTCCAAACTCTCCACGCCAGCGTAATGCCTCGTTGTCGCAGCAGGCCATTCAGGATTTGATCAACAACCCTCCTGTCGGTCGCAAAGATGACGCTCTCCCCAAGTTTGCAGGCCGCGACTGGCGTACGATCACCTTGGCAGAGATACTGGTACCTGATGAGGTCCGTTTCGTCGAGGTCAACAGCACCATTGAAGCTGCCACAAAGGTATTAGATCACACCTGAACCTTGAACTGAACTCTATCTGACTTGTATGAAGTTGTTGATCGAGTCTGGAGCACCCAATGTCATCCTCATCCGCGACTCGCCCTCGTCCCACCGCGCCATTGGCCAGTTCGACTACGACGACCTGAATGCCTACCTCCTACTCGTTACTGGCCTCGCCCGTCCTCAAGATTCAGACTTCGATCAGGTCGACAAGATTGTCTCTCGTGCTCGTACAAACCAACCTGTCGAGCTTGGCCGTGTCAAGCATCTACTCGGTCGTAAAGAAATACCTGCCTTCTGTGACGCTTCAGCCACGTTAGCTCGTGCTGTCGAGATATTCGGTGGAGGCTGCCATCGTATCATTGTTCGCTCGGACGGCTCGGAAGATGTTGTGGGCGTCTTGAGTCAAGTCAGACTCGTACGTTTCCTATGGGAGAACAGCGCTAGTTTCCAGCCTGTCGAGCAGCTACACAATCGCTCGCTAAAGGACTTGGAACTGGGGAGTCACAATGTCAAATCCATCAATGGCGATCGTCCACTCAAGGACGCTCTGTTGCTGATGCACAGCGAAGGCATCACCTCGCTTCCCGTCTTGGACACCCACAAGAATGTCATTGGCAACATCTCACACGTCGACGTCAAGCTGTTGACCAACACCTCGGCACTCCCTCTGCTCGACTCTTCATGCATCCACTTTATTACTGTCATTCTCTCAGAACGCGGCATGAACGACGGCCAAGACTCGTACCCCGTCTTCCATGTCAACCCAACCAGTACTCTCGCTCATACTATTGCAAAACTCGTCGCAACCCGATCCCATCGTATGTGGATTGTCGACGCACCATCGCCCGGCTCTTCCATCCCACCCTCACCACATCTTGGCCCTTCAGTCACCGCGCCACCACCTGTGCTCTCGCAACTCTCTTCCACTCCTGCCGGTCCACCTTACACACCAGCGACACCCAATGTCTCCGTCTCGGCATCAGCACTGCCTGGAGCCACTCTTGGAGGTCACCTGAATGGTGTTGTCAGCTTGACTGATTTGCTCAACCTTTTCGCACGTATGTCTGGACTCAGCCCGTTGGATCCAGACGAGACTAGACGTCGACGTCGCAGAAGTAGCAGTCACTCCTCTATGCAGGCCAGTGTCGACAGCTTCAGGAGTAGTATGGATATTGGACGCACTGGCAGTCAGCGTAGATGAGTGTGATCTCTCGCAACGAGTTTCTGGCTTCATTCTCACCACGTTCTTTTGACGTGATATAGTGTATGCAGCGGTGGCGTTTTTGTTTTGTTTCGGAGGACTCGATTCGACATTATCGACGGCGTTCCAATTCTGTTTCTGGTTTTTTCATTCTTCGTCTCTGCGGGCATATGAAGAGCTGGATTGATCTTTACAAGGTTCTGGCGGTGGTTTTGGTAGGTGGCGTTTTTTCCATTCCTCTTTTGCGAGAAACATAGAAATTGTACGAAGCAGAGATCACGAACAAGATGTCCCATGAACTGTCAAGAGACCACAACTTGCCAAGGCCTTATTCTTGAGACCAGATCCCGAAGCACCAGTATGGTATATGTGTAGTCTTGCGGCCCACTTGTGGTCTGATGAGCAAACTGTACAAGCATGGCATGATGTTGGACGAAAAGGTTAAAAGATCGGTATTTGGGATGGTAAAAAGGGCCTTTTTTCCTCAATGTGTGTACTCAGCGAGGTTATCTCGACCACAAGATTTCTTGTGTACTCTTCTCCATGTAATCCTCATGTATCCTCATTGTCTTGTCGAGCCATTTTTCCTTTTCTTTCTTTCTTGAATCTGTGTATATACTCCAAAGGTGCAAAAGAAAATATACGTTTTTATAATAATGGCTGAAAAGGGGCGAAAAAAAAGTGAAAAAAAGAAAGACAAGAGGACTTGATTCCCCCTTTGAGGAGTGACGTGAGGATGTTGGTGAATGCTGACGTTGACAATTGGCATTAATTCCGTTCCAAGGCGGAGAAGAGTGAAGATGAGGAGGAGCATGTGTGGTTAAAAAAAAAAAAAGGCAAGGAGTCCAAGACTATGGACACGGTGGTATGAAAGATTTGAAGGAAACTTTTCATGTACAAAATCAACGATCAATGGAGGAAATGGAGAAAAAGTGTCATGAGCTGATGGCATTGCGAGATTATCGGCCCAAAGTTCCAACATGGGCGTCTCTTTTTGATTTCGCGCATTGAAAATGTAATGAGATAGTAGAGTGGCGGATGCATTGTAAGCAAGATGTGAAAATGGACGAACAGATGGAAGATGATTGTGAGGGAGAAGAAAGAGGAGAGTTACGATATGTGAGACAGCGTTGCAAAGAAGATGGGAGATAGAAGAGGCATGCCGGAGCAGGGTCGAATGAACAAATATGTCGATCTTGCATTGCGAAAACAACGACAACCCGTCTATTCTTGATCCATATCATCGATGTCGTGGTTCACAAATTGAAAGACAGATGCAGTATTGGTTGAACAGGATGATCTCAACTTGCTGGAAATGTCTCTAGGGACGAGAGTCCTTTGCTATACATCAAGTAACATGGAGGCGTGATGCTTCAGGACATGTCATAGACACAGGATAGGGTCTAGAGTGTGTGCTGCAAAGAAGAAACCACGACTTAGTCTGAGGGCGGAGTGCCTTCTTTGTTGCACGCTGAAGCGAGGACCTCGGGCCATGTCGTACGCAAGGCTCGACATTCTTGCCGCTCGAAAATCTTGACGTGTGTTCGGTTTCGAGCCATCTTGGACCTGCAGTCGTTCAGTCGCGGATGTGCCATAGACATGACAGGCAGTGTGTTGCTGATCAGGGTCATGAGATTTTGCCACAGTCCAGTTTTTCTCAATGATACCTTAGTTGGCGAGATACGGTAGAATGGTGAAACAGAGCGTATCAATGACAGATCTCAACAGCAGGGTCTAGCTTTGGCCGAGCTACCCCTTCGCGTTCAATAGTAGCATCCCAAGTCTCCGCTAGGCAATTGCACCAATGTCGGGAGTCTCTTTTTTTGGACAAAGACGCGAGCGAAGACGATGAAGAGATTGACTAGGGCAAGGTCGAGAGACTTTCTCTACCACGACCATCGAACAGAAAGAAGAGTCCCAAGCATGATGGCCAGAGCTTTACGAGGATTGAAGTCGGAAGAGCGGAATGGCGGGAGATGCATGTACCAATGCACCTACCGAAGCGGATCATAGTGTACCTGATACGTGGGGTGATGCCCACACCCAATGGAGGAAGTATTGGGCGAAGAACTGGGCTCCGAAGAAGCGCAATACAAAGTGATTCAGGAACCACAAGCGACCAATCGATCGCTTCGGCCGAGTGATGAGAACGTAGAACTGCACACATGAGGGCAAATAGCTAATAAGGCACGAGAGATTTGACGCTGAGTCGGTGTAGATGTCCAAGACGGATATAATTCCGATCGTTTTATTGGTCTCCAGAGTCTAGAGTCCCCGTGAATGGCAGACACTGGTTGATGTGTCCATGAGCAAACAGACTGTGTTGAGTTTGGCGCTCGAGGTCGATAGCCGTCGGCTTGGTTGCTGGATCGTCAGCTGAAGGCTAGCAGAGTCTTCTCTCAGAGTCATCCTATCGTTTCGAATGATTTGAAAATAGTACGCGACTCACTCTACCCCAAGCTGTACCGACGCCTTTTCTCTCTCTCAAACTTTGACGTGAAGAGTAATGAGGGCTTGTTCCATTCTGATCCGAGGATGTACTCGGACTTGGGAGCTCTGTGTTTCGAAACATGTGCTAAGCGGAGGCCGCAAGGAGCCAGTGTTTCGGGCCAAGACGCCTCCAACGCTTTTCATCCAACGTTTGCAGCGAGGAACGAAAACCGGCTGGCGATGTAAAGAAGAAGTGGTTTTTCGATGCTAGTAATGATACCCTCATGCATCATGCCAGTTCCTCTAGAAATGGGATGGTCAATCACATATCTCGAAGAAGATGTGCAAGCAGAAGAAACCCCTGATCTGCAATCGACGCTCGCTTGGGGCCGGGAAGGGCCTCTCGGGTCCACAAGCCTTATACAGATGCTCGATAAGTCAACCTCGTGGTTGGCTTTGAAGTAAAGCAACCAAGTCTTGGAAAGTAAGACCTGAAGAAGCACTGCCACAGTCGTAGCTGCTCGATCGGGCGACGGAGCAATCTAGGTGAAGTCATCTTGCGATTGGTGTTAATGGAATCACAGAAGCGCTCAAGTGGAGCTTGGACCAATCTGAGCGGCGAACTTTGCAGAGAGCCGGGCGTCTCGCTCGGTGCACCGGTCGCGAGATCGTAGCCGCTTCTCGTTTTTGACAGGAGCGTTGGAGGGCATGCATACCTGTTGGATTCTTGTTCTGACTGCACTCTGATGAAGCATAACACGCAACGCTATCCGATGAAGAGCATCGAGCTTTATTTTCCAGTTGTTCACAGTCATTCACGAACACCATGTTGTAGTACACAAATAGCAGCATCGACGGATGATTTACCCTAGCCCAGAATGTTGTCTCCCGGAAATTGATGGTAGAGTGGACTATCATCATTTCCCTTGATTGGAGGACTTCCAGAGAGAGACATGCGGACTATGGGACAAACGGATTCGGCTCATCATGAAACAATTCGCGACCGCTTCCACGAGGACGACCTTCTCCGGTGAACGATCTCCCGCTTCTTGGACACCTCCACATGAAACGCCGGCTGCAGTCTGCCCCGTATTCTTTGACTGGTACCTGCATTAGACTGGACCTTAGTAGCGACCATGGTCAGATCATGGCTTGCTCGGTGAGCCACTCTATGGCAATACCGGCGACAACAGCGTATCGAGCTCGTGCCAGGTCACACTGACTCTTCACCCGACTTCCCATTCTACTTGGTAGATTGAGGAGGCGAGCTTGCTATAAGGCATGGACATCTCCCTCCAACACTGGCTTTCCCTGGAGCATCCGTTTTTCTTCTTTTTACATCTAACCCATTCTTTCTTTGTTGGAGAGTCAGAGTCATTCGTTCTCTCTACTCCCTTGTCTTTTGCATTATACCCTGTTTGATACACCACGGCAGCTTCCTGTCACTTCACCAGTTTTCTCTATCATCGTTAAACCAGAGCCATGCAGCTCACATCTGCCACACTCCTCGTGGCTGGCCTCGCTGCCCAGCAGGCTACCGCCACCTTCCACTGGCCCATTGATGCTGGCAAGTTCAGCACTTGCAGCAACGCCGATACCAAGTGTTCGCCTGAGCAACACAAGGGTTATGATTGGACCGGTCTTAACATTGGCTCTCCCGTCACCAACTACGGTGCCAACACTTTCAACGGTGGCTGGACCTGCAACAGCGTCAAGTCCAAGCGTGATGAGCTGACCAAGCGCACTTTCAACAACAAGTGTGTCTCTGGTAAGCTTCCCACTTGGGGCTCCTCTGGTTCCTCATCCAAGCACGGCGCTGGTAGCCTGTCCATTGGATGTGGTGGCGAGAAGAACAAGTTCTCTATCTCTGAGATGCACATCTCTTCCTCCTACAGCACTAACGTTGACTGCCACTACAACATGCCTGATGGTTCCGTCTGCAAGCACACCGTTCCTTGCAGTGCTGGTGGTTCCATCATCAAGAACACCCAGTGCGGTGGTGCCATCTCGGTCGACTTCTCTCACGGCAAGCCTTCTAGCTCTGACAGCGGTTCCAACAAGGGTGACTGCAGCCTTAACATTCACTCCGTTGGCTTTGCTTGTGGATCTGGCTCGTCTTCCACCAGTGTTTCCCTCCCTACAACCGTCTTCGGCTCCTCTTCATCAGCCGTCTACCCTTCTTCCGAGTCTGTTTCGCTCAGCACTCCCGTACCTGAGACCACATCCGCCGAGTTGAGCTCCACTATTCCCTCAACTCTTGAGACTCTCAGCAGCACTGTCGTTGTTTCTAGCAACAGTGTCTTCGTGCCTGCAAGCTCTGATGTTCCTTTCCCCACCGGTTACCAGAACCAGACTACTACTCAGCCCACTGCTGGTAGCAGCTCTGGCTCTGTCTCCAGTAGCACCGAGGTTTCTCCTGTCGAGTCATCGTCCTCTTCAGTCGAAGTCTCTTCCGTTCCCAACACCAGCGGTCTGTATCCTTCGGGCTCTGTTCCCGTTGGAACTGGCTACTATCCTAGCACATCTGCTAGTTCAACCCTCCCTGTCGGTACTGGATCTCTGCCTTCAAGCAGCGTCACTGTCCCTGTCGGCACTGGCTCTTCGCCTTCCAGCAGCATCGTTATCCCCGTCGGAACCGGCTCCCTCCCTTCTGTCAGCACTGGCGTCTACGTCAACAGCACTGCCGTCTCAACTGGCTCGACACCATCAGCTACAAGCCCTGCCCCCTCTGCTGACTGCCCTGCTGTCGTCCCCAGCTGCTTGAACACCTATCTCCACAACACTGAGTGCTCTAGCAACGCTGATGCTGATTGTTACTGCAAGGACGAGGACTTTATCAACAGTGTCTATCAATGTATTGATGCATACGGTGGCTCGGATGAGAATGTCTCGCAGGCTATGTCCTACATGGTCGGTATCTGTGCCAAGGCTATTCCTTCCAACCCGGCCATTGTTACCGCTGTTCCTTCGACCATCGATATCAAGCCCTCCTCATCAACCGTCAACCCCGTCACCGGCGTTGCTTCTTCTGCCACATCCGCCACAGACTCGATCGTTTATGTTACCGACATCGTGAAGTCGACAGTGACTACGTGCCCAATTGGTTTTGTCACAACCTCATCTGGAATTGCAACCACATTCACCGCCCCATCGGTTGTGCCTACCGTCTACACGAGCAAGTCTACCATCACAGCTTCGATCATCTCTTCTATGACCGGTGCTCTGCCTTCCGGCGAATCAGTTTACCAGACTTCGCCTGTCCAAACCGATGAGGTTCCTGGTTCGTCCAAGGCTGTTGAGACATCGCCTGCATCTGTCCACGTTCAGGTCCCCCATACCGTCACCATGTACAGCACTCAGATCGCCACCGTCACCTCGTGTGCCCCTGAAGTCACCGACTGCCCCGCACGCGAATCGACCTCTCTTGTGCCCACTGGCAGCTCTACCACCAACATCTGGATTCCCGTTACAAGTGCCCAAGAGACGTCTCCTGTCCAGACCACTGAGTCAGCATCGAGTCACACCCCTTCAGTCTCTTCCGGTGTTGCTTCCGGCGTCTCATCTGGTGTCGCTATGAGCAGCCCAGCCGTTTCCAGTGCACCTGCAGCTCCTAAGACAGTGACTCTGTTCAGCACCAAGATCGACACAATCGTTAGCTGTGCCGAGGACGTTGAAAATTGTCCTGCGCGCACCTCAACTTCCCTTATCGCCACCGGTGTCACGACTGCGCCTCAAGCTTACGAGACAGATGCCGTACCCGCTTCCTCATCAAAGGTCCCTGAGGTCCAAAGCACCGTCATTGTTACAGACATCGTCAAGGAATATACCACCTTGTGCCCTGTTGGCCATGAAATCACAAGCTCGGGAGTTGTCTCGACCTTGACCGCACCATCTATCATCACTTCTCAGATCACCATCAAGAGCACCATTTCAACCACCGTGCCCGCTCAGACACAAACTCTTATTTCGCCCGGATCATCTTCTGAAGTTGCTGCTGGTTCTCAATCTGCTCAGATGACTCAAGGTCCCTCGGCTCCTAAGACCTTGACCATCTATCAGAGTGTGGTCGCGACGATTACATCCTGTGCCTCCGATGTGACCAATTGCCCGGCATCAAGCACAGTTGAGTCGACATCATTCTTCGCCATCGGAACAACTGTTTCGAGCGCCGAGGTGCCTGCTGTGACTTCCGAGGCCTCTCCCGCTACTACTGCCCCTGCCGTTGTTGGTTCCTCTGTGCAACCCATGACTACAATTGTGTACTCAACCGAGTTGGTTGTCCCTGCAACATACACTGCTGGCGAGTCGCAAGGCGCCGTTGTGCCCAACTCGAAGACCACCTCGACCATTCACATGACTTTGACTGTGCCTGAAGTCAACTTTGTGACCGAGACAGTCGATGGCAAGCCGACCGTCGGACTTACCTACCCTTCGCCCGTTCCGGCCACTACCACGCCGCTGGTCAGCGCTACCAGCTCCATTGTGAGCGCCGCCACCCCTGAGGTTTCTGCTCCTGCTCCTGCGCCTGCAGTCTCAGCTGCCAGCTCTGGCTTTGCTCCTCACTCTACCCTTGCCAGCACCTACAACATGCCTGCTAAGCCCACTGGCAGCCCCATTTCCTACACTGGAGCTGGTGCCAAGGTCGGCGGCTCCCTTGCTGGCCTCGCCTTTGGTGCTGTTGCCGCAGTCTTTGTTCTGTAAATCTAGAGCATTGCATTACTGTACAAACATTTCCTTTTTCTTCTAAATGTCTACTAGCGACTGGGGAGCAGATGCAGAGGATGTAATGGATGAAGTACCCTTGAACAGAAAAAAGCGCTCTCAATCGTCTCCGGTCTGGCATTGTAGAATGAATGTGTGGCGTTGTTCTTGCCGATCACGTACTCTCTTGCCACGCTCGGCCTCTTGCGGAACTCTTGCGGAAGATGTTTGTTTCCTTTCATGACTTTCCTTGAACAGTACGCCTAATTAGCGGCATTTATTTCCTCTATCGATCAATATACCAAGTTCGAAACTACACACATGTGCCCAAGCAAAGTTCTATGTGAACTTGATTCCAGCAATAGTCTTGCGAGACATGGCTGCAGAGATAACCAAGTTAGCAGAATCCCAGTATGAGACGGTATAGTCGCCGAACTGTGGAAAGGCACGGTCACTTTCAAAGTTTTGAAACTGCTCTTTCGTAGTGCTACAAAGCTTCTGCTCTCGATGACAGGCTCTGCATATGACCAAAGTACTGTGCATCTCGGCAGCATCCCCGATCATAAAGCTGTGTATGGGATCATGAGCAGAGTCATCTCTGAGACAAATGAACCAGCTCTGCTCTCATCATCGGGTGTTGGTACGATTCTGGTGTTGTCTAGCAATCGCTGTCTCAGTACAATGTCTTCTGCCTCCATGGAAAGATTCAATCGTCCGCTCCCAACACCTCTCGCAAAGATATAAGTCTGACAGACCTTCTGCTTTCGTTTTTCTTCAAGCATATCTGCTTACACCACAACAATGTCCTCGTTCACAGATCTGGCCCCAGAGATTCGCACATCCGTGTATAACATCCTGCTTCGCGATTCGCTCGCCAACAACCAAAGCATCTTGTACTATGGTCGCAACCCCTTGAGAGGCCATCAACTGTCGCGGACGTCTGGTCGCTGCAAGCGGCAATACACATTGAACACTCTAGACCGCATCACTTTTGTCCCTGAGGTCGAAGCCAGACGCGTTGTCCACTTGGAAAATATCGACGATCTACTCAATCTCGCGGCAACATGTCGCTTACTCCACAGTGACATCTTGGCCATGGCCTGGTCAAATGCAGATATTCACGTCGGGTCGGACACATTGTTCAAGGACTTGACCTGCATCTTCAGAGATCGGCTGTCGACTGAGTGTTGCGCATTCATCCACACTCTTCGGCTTGACATTGGCGAGAGACAGTGGTCGCTCTCTGCTGTGAACAAGACCGCTAGTCTCATTACTAGTTGCCTGCCACAACTTCAATCTCTCTTTCTGATGATCGACTGTCGATGTGATCTTCGAGGGCCCAGCGGCCTAATGGCTTTGGCTGGTTTGCCTTCTCAGATTACCGTCATCTTTCGATACTATTGGGACTTCACTAGGCTGCCCGGAAGCCGTCCGACTTCTAAGACCAAAGATTGGGCGGACTACAAGAATGACAAGTCCTTTAGACAATTGCTTGATCGCCGGTCGAAGGGCCATCGCCGTAGAAAGATGCGAGAAGAGAAGGAGCTGATGAAAGCGGCGGGCAGTGCTCTTCAAGATACGGTCGAGTTGCGCGCTCTCATCCAGAGTGGTCTTCCGGGACGATGCGAAGCGTCTGGGCAGCTGCTCGCAGATGATTATCTACTCGAGGAATAAGTTTGATGAGGAAGAGTGAGGAGCCGGACTTTCAATAGGTGACATGGACAATCCTCGAGGAGTCACGCGTTTTTTTGAGGTCGGCATCAGCGTCCGCATATCAATGACGGCGGATATGATAGATGCAGTTTGAAAAATCAAGACTATGATCGGTTTCGCTAGGGCAGACTATACGAGAATGAGAATAGATATTGGAAATCAAATGAGCAAGCTCACATAACCTCCATGTTAATCGTGTTACCGAATACTTGCTTGTCGCGTTCTGAGGGGACGTGTTCTATTTTCTTTTTAACAAATGACGATAACAAGAACATTGCGTAGGTTAGCATTGCAGCCGTTTTGCAAGAGAGACGAGAGGTTGGTCGAGACTTTGTCCGTATCACATGCGAACCGCCCATAACGCCTCAATGACGTGCGTCGACAGCTTGCGCCACATCGACACGGCAGCAAGAAACACCTGCCAAAAAGAGCCGCTCACACAATAAGATGAACCAAAATCCCCTATGAACCTAAGACCTTTTTTCACTATCGTAATAAATGCAAAAAGCTGTCAACATGTCATCCTACTTTGACGTACTATCCTGGACGCGGGCACGCAAGAACCGTGAAGCTTTGGAGAAGACCAACCCTCAGAACCCTGTTCTCAACGACGACGACGAGCAATTTTTGGAAAGGATTACTAGTCAAGAGGCGCCTGCTCCACCACTTCCTACCATTGAGCCTACAGTTATTGATGATGAGGGAAACAAAAGAGAGGCTAATGCGACGCAAAAGGAGGCTGCTGAGATGATCTTGCCGGCTAGTCCTGGAGAGAGCAAGGAGAAGAGAACTTGGGCGAGCTATATTCCTAATGTTCCTAATGTCGCGGTGCCGAACATGTCGAACATCCCTTCGATTCCTGTCATGCCTTCGCTAGCGTCTTTGAGAGGCAACAAGGCGAGTGCTAAGGCCGACGATAAGGAAGCTTCCCAGTCTGAGGACTCCGAGGTTAAAGCAGCTGAACAAAAGCCGGTCGAGAAGAAGGAAACACACGCGGAAAAGGCTGCTGCACCTGTCCAAGACGACAAGAACGACCTTACCGAGAAGGCCGAGGAAATAGTCCAAGCCACGACGGAGGTGGCCCAAGAGACCAAGGACGAACTCACCAAGGACTCTGCCACCGCGTCAGAAGCAGAGGCCACAAAGGACACTGGAGACGACAAGTCCGAGGAGACTACTCAACGAACGTGGGCTTCTTACATCCCAGCTATCCCAGCCATGTCCGCCATTCCCACCATCGGTCGCAGCACAAAGGCCAAGGAAGAAGCAGAAGAAGCGGCAAGGAACCAGACTCCTGAAGCAAAAGAGCAAAACGAACGCGAGGTGTCCGTACTCCTGGATAATCTGAACCTGTCGGCAATCAACAACCGCGTCTTCAGTTTCAGCGACCAATCGCAAAAGCTATACGGAGAGTTCACCTTGATACTCAAGGACATAGTCAACGGTGTACCAACCGCCTACGAGGATCTCGAGACTCTACTCAAGAACAACGAAAAGCACCTCGAGCAGATGTTCAAGAACATGCCTCCTTTCGTTCAAACACTCGTTAAATCTCTTCCCACCAAGTTCGCAACTTCCATGGGTCCAGAAATCATGGCAATGGCAGGCGATGAACCCGGCCACGACTTGAAGAAAAGAATGGAGACTGTCAGTCAAGCCTCCTCTTCTGCCGCCGCGGGTGTCCAAAACGTCAACCTCGACGTCAAGAAGAAGCAAAAGAGAAAGATTCCCAACATCAAGGATCTGGCAAAGCAGAAGGGAGCAGTAACCAGTATGTTGACGAACATTGTCAACTTCCTCAAAGTCAGATTCCCTGCTTTTGTCACCGGCACAAACGTCGTGATGAGTTTGTCCGTATTCAGTAAGTCACCCTTTCTACATCCCCTCTATACATTCCTCTATCCTAACCACCTTATCACAGTCCTTCTCTTCGTATTCTGGTACTGCCACAAACGCGGCAAAGAAGTCCGTATGCTACGTGAATCAGAACCCACAAAAGCTTCCTCCTCCTCCGCCAACATATCCGAACTCTCCGACTCCGCAGAATCTTCAGAAGATGAGGTCGAAGAGAAAAAGGATGCTATGGATATAGACGAAGAGTCTGATACAGAGGAAGAGAAGATTAAAGCTGCCAAGGCTTATGCTGCTGGGATGCAGAAGTCTGCGGTGGGTGGTCCGGATAATGCTGCTGCTTTGAGAGCGAAGAGGGTTTTGGAGCAGGATTGAGTGGGTGAAAAGGAGCGGGAAGTCATGAAGGTGACGGGATTACTCTTAATGATTATGAAGACTTTTACGACCTTTTTCTTGCTTTGACAACTGGAATGATTCTTTCCTTGCGGGACTGTCATGTTTTGACTCTTCTCTTGTACCTGTCAGGTGTCTAAGCACACACGTGAGGGCTATCTAGATTTACTTGACGTTTAGTGATGTTGACAGGAATGTATCGTTCAAGCCCATACGTGCACACGCTAGTGATTTTCTATCTAGTAGGCACTATCGATCAACGATCCAACAACAGTAAACAGGAGCAGCAACCAACACAAGCATGGTTTTTAAAAACTGGATTTGATTGGATTGATTGGTATCTTTTGAATTGTGGTCCCATTTTCCCATTTTTGAGCACCTTCGCCATGCCAATGCCGAGTATGCCACACGCTTTGTAAATAGAATTAGAAAGAGCAAAGGCGCTTTGAAACATTCGTTGTTGCGCGCGTTCGCTCCCTTTTTTTGGTCTCTTCCCCCATTGGAAGCGCTCTAATTAACCCAAGAGCTTGTCTCGCACCGAAGCAAAAAAGAAAAAAGTAGAAAAAAGAAAGGAAAAAGCAGAATCTCATGAGGGCGTTCCGTTAGCAAGATCGATGTAACGACACATCAACCGAAGCGAGTGCTGAATAGCTTGACGCGTGTGCCAGTTGCATCGCGGCCAACTGCCTCGCTGAACAGAAGGATGCCCTCCGGGGCTCTCTTCTGGTCCTGCAGTGCAGTGCAAGCGTCGATACGACGACGCTCGCGCTCGCGCACGACATCGCCAGCAATAGTCAGCGCTGCGTCAATACCCAGGTTTCTGACGAGACCTTCGTGCTCCAGCACATGCCTCAAAAGCTCAAATGGCATAGACAGGAGGGCCGAGGACAGAACATAGTTAACAGAACCGGCGTCTGAGCTGCTGGGAGTTGTTGAGCCTAAGTGAACGTTTGAGCCAGGACGCTGAATAGGCTGAGCATCTGAGGAAGCAAAGACAGACGAGGATCGGGAGTCGGGTTGAGACTGGGATGTTGAAGCAGAGTTATCCATATTGGAGATACGAGGTAGCGAAGCGAGCTCGGTCGCCGAGGCATCGAAGAAGCCGGGTTGCAAATGTGAGACCATGAAGAGTACAGCTTGCCAGACTATGTGGTCGCCGTAAGGGCCGTACAAGCTGTTGCCACTAAGACAGTAGCCACAAGCGGCGAAGAAGAGGACAGTCTCGAGCTCGTGGACGCCAAGTATGCGGTAGGCGATGTTGTAGGCGTGCATGACGATAGGCTCGGCACCCAGGCAGTGACCAGCAGCGAGGTATGACAGGGCAAAGCGCATGCGGGTGCTCGGGGTACCGGAAGGGTTGCCGAAGATGTACATGGGGTCGATCAGCGGGCTACCGTAGACGTAACGCACAGCTTCAGCAAAAGCGGAAGCGTCTTGGAAGCAATAGCTACGAGGCACGTGAACAATAGGGGCGCGCGTTTGGGTGATTGTTCGGGGCAGGCAGTGAATTAGCTTGAGGAGACTGGGGTAGCGAGCAATTATAAGGCTGTGGACTGGCAGCATCAAGGGCTCGTTTGGCTGGTCACCAGAGTAGAGCTCAAGAATCAAGTCGGCGAACTGGGCCTGTCCCCAGTAGGACTGGACGAAGTCGGCAATGTGCTGCGCGTTGTTGTCGAATGGCGGCAGACCAGCGTACGAGGACTGCTGGGCATGATGCTTGTATGGCATGTGGATATCAGGCGTAGCAGCAGCAGTGGCGGCAGCATCACCGAGCGGGACAGAGGGAGTGCGCGAAGGTGAGGATGACATGCTTCCTAGCTGGGTGGCTGTTCCGTTGGCATATTGAAAGGCGTGACCGTTGACCGGAGGGGCGGGCATGGCGGCTACCGGAGCAGGGGCAGGAGCATATTGCTGAGCAGGGACATAGCCTTCGTAGGGTCCAAGGTTAGGAGGCATGACGGACATGGCTGGAGGAGGCACAAAGGCGTTGGTGAGGGTGGCAGGCGATACGCTCGACGAGTCTTGGAGACCACCAAAGACAAGCGGCTCACTGTGCTTCGGCTGATGCTTGGGGACGAATGGAAGAGCTTGGGCGTCCTGATGATGAGGTTGGCGGCGAGGAGCAGTCACTTCTTATATTTGGTTAGCATGTCGGACGCGGGTGGGAGCAATTGTCAACCTACCATTGCTATTCTTCACACCATGAGTCACCTCCTTCTCCGCAATCTCTTTCTTGCTCTTAACAGCTGTCTCTTGCTCAAATGTCTCGTTGTCCTGAGCAGACTCCTTCAATGCGACAAGCTCCTTCTCGGCGGCTGTCTGTTTGACTTCTTCTTTGACTCCGTTGCTAAGAGCTGCGGGCTTGTCGACTTGGTGGGCATCCTCTTTTTCGATAGCGTTCGCGTGCGTCGGAGCTTTGTCTGTCTTGACTGGTGGTGCTGCGCTCTTTCCCTTGTCGTCAGCAATCTGTTGGTCGCTCTTGTCTGCGGGTGCGACTTTTGCGCGGCGGATTGAAAGCTGATGGGGAATGGCAGGCACGATGCGCTGCCGGGCCATTGCCTTCGAGCTCATGGTGCAGATGAGATGGCAAAGAGCTTCTGACTCCAGAGGCAATAAACCAATATCAACATGCGCCTCCGGAGTGAGGTGCCTGCTTTCAATGTCTTTTCCTAAAGACAAACGCCTCTACCATTAGTCCGTCATCCGCCGCGGGGACGCTCCATCAACTTTTTGCGCTAGACTGGCCCGTGCGCGCTATTTCATGTTTTGGCAGTGACGACAAAGTCACGTTTCATGCATATTTATCGAGCTTCACTTCACTTGCACCAACCGAAACCTACACCTTCAGCCTACCTGTATCGTGGCAGCACATGCTCTGAATGGATGCACCTCGTTCGTCAACTCAAAGGTAACGACATAGCGATATCATGTACCCACGAAAGTAAGCACGGTAGTACAGAATAGGATGCAAGACAGGCTTGCGAGCTGCCGTTCAAGCATGGACGTTGGTGTGCCAGGCCTCTTTTGTTCCTTGATCTCGATGAAGCTGTCAATCTGTCTTTGAAGTGAACGTTGTTCCGTTGGGCTGTTTTACGACATTTTTGCGTTCGTGGTTGTAGAGCTTTCTTGAACTGCTTACAAGATGTATATTTGTACAAATCAATCATCGCACGCAGCCGCTGATCAAGGCCTCGCTGTGTATCAGTCGACCACGTGGACTCTTGAAGACTCTTAGGCTTGCTCAAAACCCCTGTCAGCCTTGACTCCATGTCCAAAGACAGGCAGACCTCTGTTCATGAGCTCTTTCTCGATCAACTTCCACCTGCCGACGTTCCTATCTTTGTGAACCGCTGTTTGGCGGCCCCCGCGAACCTGCAAGTTACTGTTTGCCATCAACTCGTCGTTAGCCAGAAGTGCGAAGGAAAGCTTCTTGGGCTTGGGCTTCGTAAAGATGGCTTGCTGGAAGTCCTTGAGTGTTGTTGCCCTGTGCATAACGATATCCGGAATGTTCATCTTTACAAGGGTTCGCAATTTCTTGGTGAGCTGTATTGTACCGTGTAAGCACTAGCCATCATGCTGTACTTCTCGATTGTCCACGTACCTTGAACTTTGCGTTGACATCGTTGATCGCAAGGTTTAAGCCTTCCTCTTGCAGCTGCGACTCCGTGAAACTAGCCTTCGTTGCAACCGCCTTTGCAGCGGCTATGACTCGGGCTCCGGCATCCTCAGGGCTCAATGCATTTGTTTTGTGCACCTTTGACCATCTGTGTAGTGTCAGCATGATTCGATGTATGTCCAGACTCGTCTGCCTCGTACCCCTTGTATTTCGGCTTGTCGTCGAACTGCTCTTCCACCCATTCTGCACTTCCGACACGTTCCAGATCCTTGCCCTCGGTCGACACAACATAGCCAGCGTCCTCCTGTGGTGTCTTGGCCCATCCCTCAGGGAGACGTCTCTGTCGTTGGTCCCATCCTGGATATTCTGACGTGTGGCGTACTCGTTCTGCAGTGCCTGTTACTTTGGTCGTAGCTACATCGGTCGAGTTGCTATCCTCCTTCTTACGTCCAAGAAGCGCATTGAAACGGTCCTTGAATGCAGGACGAGCGGCGGAAGTCTGCAGTTGGCGTCGTTGCGAGGCGGCGCTGGCACGTAGTTGACACGATCGGCAGGTGTTTGAGGTGGCTGAGGGGATCGCCAATTGGCTGGTTACCCGTCCGAAGGTTGATAACCGCGACATGAAGTGTCTAGTGTAGCGTGTCCTGCCGTCGTCAATTTGTTGCTCGCCGCATCTTTGACAATCCGACTTTCTGCCAAGCTTTCAGCATTGACCTTCTTCGATCATGCAGCTTGCGGACTTTCTGGTTTCCAGAAATATCACCTCCGACATTTTTAGAAGAATATTACTTTGGAAACGCACCGCAATTGGCTGGTCTGAATCGACAATCAATGTCTCGTTCGCGCAATACTGATGGTATTCTTCGCTCCTAGTTCGGGCCTGCCGCAGTGAGAAAGTCAAAATCAGCACCCTCCTCGGCTTGATTCACACATCGCTCATACAGTCCCCGATAACCACGCTTATTGCCCCGAATTTTCTTTGTAGTATGGTCCTCATTCTTCTTTGCCGCTGAACGTATCGCAATACGATGCGCAAGCTCTTCGTCCGATACATGCAGTCTGAGAAGTCTCTTCTCAATATCGCACTCGATCAAATCCCCATCCTCCACGCATCCGAAGACAGAATCTGGTATTGCGGATTCTGGAGATATATGTAAGACAATCGTACCACCAGCTGTGCCAGACATGCGTCCATCGGACAAGCGCAGCATATCTTTTACACCTTGAGCGCCTAGTTTGCGGGGAATGGGTATCACGCCTGCTTCTGGCATGCCTGGGTTACCGATTGGACCGACGCTTTGTAGGACCAGTACGGAGTCTTTGGTGGCCTGTAGGTCTGGATCATCGATGCGAAGAGCCATGTCAGCTGTGTTCTTGAAGACTAGAGCACGACCTGTGTGAGTAAGAAGACTCCTGTTTTTGGAAGCGGCGGCTTTCAAGACTGCTCCTCTTGGTGCGAGATTTCCACGCAAGACCACCAAAGCGGATTCTGGGTAAAGTGGATTCGAGAGCGGTCTGATCAGTTCGCTCGAGTACTTGAAGGGCTTGAATGGGGTCGCCTCGAGCTCTTCCCCGAGAGTTTTGCCGTTAATTGTCCTGGCTTCCAGATGTAAGAGTGGCTTAATTGTATGCAACAAAGCAAGCATACCACCGGCGTGGTGAAAGTCGGTCATCTACACGATATCAGCGTAAGTTTATAAGCTTTTCATCGGCCATGACAGACGTAGTTGTCACCGCTCGGCTTGAGGTCAACGAGAAGTGGCGTCTTCCTCCCAACCTCATCGAAAGTTTCCAATGTGATGGATCCGGCAACATCGGGATGACGGTTCACAATTGCCATCAGGTGTACAACAGCATTGGTAGATCTTCCGATGGCCTGAAGAACGGTGATTGCGTTTAGAAAAGACTCCTTCGTAAGAATCGATTGTGGAAGCCTTTTAGCAGCGGCCACTGCGACTGCGTTGGCTCCTGTTTGCTCAGCGATGCGAAGCCGTGCTGAGGATACAGCTGCTGCAGATGCACCGTCAAAAGGCATCAATCCGAGCGCGACTGTGATGCAGGCCATAGTGCTTGCGGTACCCATGACACCACAAGTTCCTCCCTGGCAGTCTTCAGCAAATGATCGTAGTCTCCGTTGGCATACTAACAGTGGGTGCAAGCTCATCGTTCACAGCAGCAATATCTTCCATGTCAATCTCTCCGGCTCTATAGGCAGCCCAATTGCTCCTGCAGTCTGTGCAAGCACCCACTCGGGTACCTCTGTGAGATCCCGGCATCATCGGTCCAGTCACTAGAGGCAAGACTGGTTTGTTTGCCGAGATGCCTCCCATCAGCTGCGCCGGTACCGTCTTATCACACCCTCCTATCGCCACGACTGCATCCACTGGCTGTGCCTTGATCATTTCTTCCGTGTCCATGCTCATCAAGTTCCTCAAATACATACTCGTAGGCGAAGCAAAAGATTCATGGACACTGATTGTAGGAAAGTCAATAGCAAGACCTCCATGAAGATGGATACCTCGCTTAACCGCCTCCATTAATTGCGGAACGTTGGCATGACAAGGATTAAAACCACTATGAGTATTGATGATTCCGATGATAGGTCTTGACAAGGCATCTTCTCCGTATCCAGCGGCTTTGATAAAGACCTTGCGTAGAAACAGACTGAAGTGAGCATCGCCGTAAGATGTGAGGCCTTGTCGCAGTCCAGTCGTGGCAGTCAGAGGTTTCGAAAGGTCGTAGTCATCCTGAGGTTCTGCTTTAACTTCTTGGCCTTCCATAGTGTTGTAGTTGTTTCCAAAGGAGTGATACTGTGGTCTTTGAAGTGGTCATGGTTGATACCGGATGATGTGATTGGAGATGCCCCACACACGACCCCTCCGCACTTCTCTCCACGATGCCTCGGGTGAACTTCAGCATTCTGTCAGGTCAGAGAACATTTTCGCACATTCACTAGGACACTACATTTGTATGATTGGGAAGACGTAAAATCTTAGATTGGTTTGGTACAGCTGATACTCCGTTGCAAGATTACAATTAAATCATCCTCGCACAAGCCTTCAGGATCTGACCTATTTCCAGGGGCATGCATAATTTTGTCCATAGAGTCATTGTCTTATAGTAAGTGACTGTCTTTGGAGCAAGATCTGACTTGCAAATTATTCAGGGGCAAGACCGGTTTTCCAAGACGCAGCGAGATGTACAAGTAGCTCATACTCTCTCGCACTTGTGGCAAACCATCTGGGCAGCAGTCTTCTGCCAGCAGAAGTGGCTATCTAGGATTGTGACTTACTCGCCTCGAGGACTACTCAATTGTTGTCGTCGAATACCGGATGTTTCACCTCAAACTGTGGTTTGAATCTTTCTTCGAGGTTTCTCAGTCTCTGTGCGGCAGCTTTGGCCTCTGCGGATGCACTGTAGATGTTGACTGTCGCAGCGCTCAGGGCCATGTCCATGGTTGTCTTATTGTTGCAGGTGGACTTAATGTATGGGGGAGTTTCCTTAGAGTTGTCGCACCTGTCGTCGAGACTCCTAAGTCTATGAGTATCGACTCTGGTCTGGGCACCAGTGGCGGCACCACAAAGGCTCACTATTCTTGCGCTCAATGCCATGTCGATAGTGGTTTGGTTGTTGGAACTCATGCTGTGTGGTCTTGCATTGCCGAGTGCGATAACTAAAGTGTCGGTTGTTGCCGAGCAGCTAGTTGCTCTTTTAGACTTGTAAGTTTCGCAGACGGGGTAGATGAGGTGAGAGAAATGTCACTCAAAAATGTTCTGCTTTTAAACTACCTACGACTCATACATGAATTACTCACAAGCTTTAGAGTACCACATTAGCGGTGCGTGGCACTCACGTGTGTGCATACTTGCTTGCGGAAGACGTCGTAACATCAGTGTGTCAGTCGAAGGGTGCTGTACTTACTCAGGACGGTCATTGTAGAGACAATAAGATATGGTCGTCTGCGGACCGAATACCTGCGCATTGACCCTCACGATGGACATTTCTAGCGGAGTCCTGTCCGAATCTTGCCTTTGCAGGCCATGCGCCATCAGCCAGTAGTATCGTCGAGAGCCTCAAACAAAACGACCAGCCACAGCCAGCCTCAGCCATCCTCCAGTTGGAATCGAAGCTAATTCGTGTCAAAAGACAAAGCGACGCGGCATTGAGGAAACCGCTCTCGGCAGGCTGTGGACGTGGAGCGAATGGTGTAGATAGAAGATTCGGAGAAAGAGCAGGCGATGTGAGATTTCGTACGTTGAAGTAGAGATCGAAGCGCTGGATCCTAAGGTCAGGACGGTTGGTCCGTACGAGTAAAAGGCAGAGAAGATCGAGGAAGACCTGCCGTCTGATCGCCAGAAGTCTACTGTGCAACCTAGATCAGCTACCAGCCATCGTACTATACCGGAGATGTAGAGTAAGCATATGATCTTCTAGCGACAAGCTGTAAATATTCCTTGTTTGACCTCCGCTCAAGAGAGCTTCCTTGCATGCAATAGGCATTTGCATTATACCAGGGTCCGGATATAATCAACGCGGTGGACCTCTTACGGGCCGGCAGGAAGAAGTGGAGGGGAAATGGAGATGGGCGACTCAGAAGAAACCCGAGAGGTGGGCCCGCACAGGCCGTGGCTGATGACGCTGGTGCCGATGTTGACCTGCAAGTTTTGTTTTGGCAGGTTTCCACCTCCCTCAGCCTCTGTCATGACGTTTGGAATAGTGATGCAAGCCGCATTCGCGATCATCGAAACACAATATTCAACGTTCAAATCTGCCCTTGAGATGAACGGACGAAGATGTGATCTCCTGGCGGCATGGCAGTCTTCCCCAGGGGGGACTTGCTTTCTTTTGTCGAATAGCACAAAACTTGCCAGGGCGATGGCACGATCTTCGCTTGCAGCTACAAGACTCGATACACGCGAACGATCATGCGCCGAACGTGTCTTGAAATCACTCTCCGAAAATCCCCTGCTTCCTCCGGTCCCACCTTCATTAAGCGCCCAAGCAATACGAATACTGTGATTGCGCACGATTCTCGGTAGACCGAATATCAACACCGGTGCTCGCTGCGCAAGAACGACACTCTGTGACTTCATACTCGCAATCTCTGCCCTGTAGCCACCAGATCACCGTCTCGTGTGCTTCATTGGTGTTTCAACCCACAAAAATGATGTTGTAAGTCGTCGCGATCTTCAGGGCCACAGTACCATAGAGTTTAGCTCCCGAAGAGCCTCTTTTCTGCACGACCACGTACTCCACCCTGCCATACGGATCATGATCCCTCGCCCAGATGTGTTCAAAGGCAGGTGCGATACACGCCAATTCTGCGATCTCTGCTTTCAATTTATGTAGCACTCGCCTGATCAAGACTGACTTCTCGTACCTGACTCTCACCAATGCAGCCTTACGTTGCCGTATCTCTCCGCGACTGCCAACTATCATCACACCATCGGTCTGACCGCGGTTTCGCTGGTGCCAACTGTGCCAATCTTCTCCTGTTTTCCCTATTCTGAGCAGGGTGTTACGCGGCTCAAGTCAGATCGGGTCCCCCAATAGGTCACTGGCCGTCATTCAGTTTCTAGAATTTTACACTAAGTAATACTTATAGCCATCGCTCTGCCTTTCCAGCCTCATCCTACATCAACGTCTAGTCGCAATCACAACCGCACAATCAAATGTCTACCTCTTTTACTGCATACACGACCAACTCTCGAGAATCTCTCACATCAACCATGGCTAGCACCACGCTGCGACCTTCAAAGTCAGTCTCTCCCACGCTAACGTCATTTTGATCGCGACTAACACACTCCGCAGACACGTTCGCTTCGCCCCAGAGTTCATGGACGAAAGAAGATCCAGCTCGATACTTGAGGACTCTTTTTCAGACTCATATAAGGACTGGTCACCTGAAACATCAGCGACTCCTGCCATGCCTCAAAGCGCAAAAAGCACACGCAACGACAGCCAAGAAAGACACTCGAGCACACGACACACCATCCCCTGCGGATCCTCTCGACGAGAGTCCGTGGAGGGCTTCGACGACATCAAGCGCCGATGGTCTAGAGAGTCTCTGTCCGAGGAATCATCCGCCATCGACGACGAGTAGAGCATCATCACCAAGATTTACGCTCAACAAAACATGGTGTACATCAATGACAATGATGACGCCTCTTACGACCACACGACTTTTATGAGAACAACGTTTGCTTCTATTGGTGTTTGGGAACAGCGAGGGATTATCATGAGATTGGAGACAGAACCGAGCGAGTTTCAGAAGGTGCATTTTTGGATGATAATCAGCGATTCTGTTTGTATGTTTAGCCGTAAAAAGCACGCGCCGAGTACGTCAAGCTGGAGAAACAGGCTGGCTGATATCGCCTTCTTCATTTCAATCTTCGTTACCATTTTGGCCCGATATTAGAAAACCTCTGGTTGTGTGAGGCACCGCGACCCACTAGATCTTTGGCGCCAAGCAACATGCCGTCCGTTCCATGTATAAGGTGTAGCGATCGGCACTTCGACATTGACGTAGTTGTCGCGTGTCAAGGCTGACTTGCTCAGAGCCAATTGACCAAGTCGGGCTGCCTTCAGGATGACCCTGGTCTTGTGGGTATCTCATACTCAGATCTCTAGAGAAGGACATACAGCAGTCTTGTCTTTCTTGATCATTTACGTAACACTCGTGTTTATCTATGTGATCATCGGAACGGCCTGAGCTCGGATTGGGCATCCTCAATATGATTACAAATTACTTATCGCTCTTTATGCCTGCCTAACCAGTGCCGGAACCTATCACCACCTGTCATTCCATGTGACGAGACCGAGTCACCTAGTTACCTAGACACGTGCTGGCTTTAGTCTTCCAGGCAAAACATGTGCTGATCTAACATTTCCCACACTGGCAAGGTTGTCCGTTCAGGGACCAGAAACAAAACTCGACTGGTCCAGCCAGATCGTGTGAGTCTTGCATCACTTCCACAATATGGGTGTGATCTGTGTTCTCCTTGCTCCTCTCCGGTAGCGTGACTGCCTTTGGATCTGATGCCGATTTTCTCGCCACTAACATGTTCATCAGTAAATGTTCAAATTGATATTCGGACTGCCAATTTACCTTCTACCCTCGTCACGGTGTCCTCTGGCTTGACCTTCTCGACTGTATGACTCTGTTCCTTACGCAACTGGTCGCGCAAGAACTTCTTGTAGCGTTGGATTGCCTCCTCTTCATGATCGAGGATGTCCCACCAGGTAGGGCTGTCGAAGTCATTGATACCTTCGGCACTGCTGATGGAGGAAACGTCTGAGTCGTATCGTTTGTAGGGTTTACAAGTGATGTATGAATGTTGTTTTGAGGTTTCTTCTGTGGGTGGAGTAAGGAGCAGAGGTTCCAGATCGTAGAGTTGGTCCCAGTTCGACATTTGATGTATAATGATGGCCGTCTTCTTGAGATTGGATATTGTGTATGTGTGCTTGAGTCTTTGAAGATGTTTTGGATGATGGTTGGTAGACACAAATACATCATAGAACAAGAGATTGAGCTTTATACAGGTGATATTGCTCGTGGAATGGATCCGTATACCGATTGCGTCCGTATGATGTTTTCGTGGACAGGAGACATTCAGCTTCACCCGGGCGCCTATTCTAACCTCACCTGACGCCCAGCAAAAATCGCAACACTACGGCATGTCTGCATCACGCGATCTTTGCCCCCCTATAAATCTGTTTCCGGCCTTTCAGCCTTACATCCCGTAGCTGTGGCTTTTGTTTGGACTGCTCGTCAATGCAATTCTCGACCGAGATGGCGGTAGAGCGATCGCTTCCTAGTGTAGAATGCGACAATCATCCGATCTTAGCTTCGTGTATATCCGGTGACTTGGGTAATAACATGTCCTGATTTAGAAGCGTTGACCGCTTTAGAGGATTTCGCGTACAACGACCGAAGCGTGTTCGTTGACTATTGGTATTCCATTTCGAGTTTCTAGTCCAGAAGCAGCCTTGAGCTCGATATCATACTCTTTTGAAGAACTACGTCTTTGAACTGATGCCCGCGACACCATTACAATCCCACGCGATGAAATCTGCCTCGATCTGCACATGGTACAAAAGAGATATGCGAGGAACCAGTGACTCATTGTAATTCCTCTTCCAGACCAGGTAATTGACAGGACCTGGCGCAAAGCGAAGGGTTCTGGATGATCATTTGCTTGGCCCATTGTAGGCGCCGCTGGAACTCTTCCTCTTCCACCTCTGGTACTGATTGACGTCGTTGACAGCAGACATCATTACCATGGTTGCCGTGAAAATTTCCCCGGCGGTCCATCTCCAGTCTCACTTCCTGTTCGTACATTGCCGACTCTGTTGTTGCACGTCAGCGATGACTCTGAGCGTCTGTCGAGGATAAGGTACCTTCTGGTGTGACTTCTGAAGCGTGTGGAAAAAGGTTGAGTACGTGTGTTGCGGTGGTAGTCATGTCTGAGGCTTTTGCTGACATCTGGATAATAGTTGTTGTTTGTCTTTGGTGTGGCACAGATGGGATCTTGCTGAGTAGCCCATGGACATGCTCTAGCGTGCGAGCGTATATACCTCGACCTACCTTGTCAGGGCTATCCGAAGACACCCTTGTCACAAAAAAACATCATGAGACTGACGAAATCGTAAGCAAGCGCAGCGATCGTGTCCAGACGATGATTGGAGCGATCATGAAGATGCTGTTTTGTAATCGGACTTTGTGGCGTGACCAAAGCCAGACATCACCAGATTGCGGAACAACTTCGGATCGGGTCACGAGGATTCCGTATTTACTTCGACAAACTTCTGCAAAACTGCGTCGCCAACTTCTACTGCTGATTTGAACTCGGGGTGGCAGACCCGTAGACTTTATGGACCGGATTGTTGATTTGGGGAAGTGTTCACTGGAAGATAGGCATGTGACAACCCCGCGGGGTCAAGCTTCCGAATCGGGCAATCGGCTCCTCCCAAAATGTCGCCTATCAGTACTCGAAAGCTGCGATATAACAAGTAGTCGCCCTTGAAGTGAGTCTTGATAGATCTTTCCTTGAATTTCTTTCCAATTCTTCTACCTTGACTTCAATCCATACATCTCGATCTACCAATCAGTCGATCAGCCCACACAGTCAGCATACAACATGTGGTCAGTTTTGCCAAGAAAGAAGTCCGCTACATCACCCCGCCTTCATCAAGTAAGACCTCTCACGCCTCCACAAGAGGAGCGTACACATGAGCCATCACAGCCGGCGCCTCAGAAGGCCGTCGTGCTAGACGCTAGCTACACGACTCAGAACCAATCAGAGACATTCTCAGACAAATCACGCGGCGAAGTGACATGGCACACCCTTCTATCATCCGATAAGACTGCTTCTCAGGACATGTCTGCTGGTATTGCAAGCTGCCCCGCAAACACTGGTTACTTGGCTCATCATCGCCATACTCAGTCTGAGATCTACTACATTATCTCTGGAAAGGGCGAAGTCACTGTCGATGGTACAGTTCATGCTGTCACAGGAGGAAGCACAGTATTCATCCCTGGAGATGCTGAGCACGGTATCAAGAATACTGGAGAACAGGAGCTAAAGTGGTTCTACGTCTTCCCAACTGCCAGCTTCAGTGATGTCAAGTACAAGTTCTCCGAAGTCGAAAAGGTCGACGATCGTGTTGATGAGTTTGTACCTCGCAAGGAGCCTCCTGTTCTCAAGATCTACGGTTGGGATTCTTGAGTCAGTATTGACGCATCACATTATGGGTTACGGGTCACAGGCTTGCACGGTATGGAGTTATGGGTGATGACGATGGTATCAACGGATTTGTACACAACACTTTTTTTCTTAACAATATCTTACGAACACACTATTATACCCCTGACGATGACTCTCGGATGATCTTGCGGCATTTGTTTCGTTGACCAATCGTTTTTCCTCCAATAGTCTAGGCTCTCGTCTCACGTGGTGCGCACCTGCAACGACCAGGAGACATACCAAGCAAAAGCCACCAAGCGGTGTGGGCCGAGCGTGTACGTGACGCGACATTAAAACTCATAACATTCGGTCGAAAGTTTGAACTGTAATAAGATGCTGCAAATATCTCTTGTCTAGTGAAGATGTAGGGCTGTCACGAAAGTCAAAAGTACCGAAATGGCACCCCGACCTCAGGATATGCCACTCCCACTCTTAGGCCTCGGACTCACGGCTCCAGACCCCTCAAACACGAGTTATGACTCTCCTGGCTGGGAATGGGCACGAGATGAGGGTATTCTGAGTGGTGCATATGTTCCTTATATTTGCGAAGCTATACTCGTAATTCTCGTCTTCACGTAAAAGCCCTGCCACACAAGTCCATGACGACGACGAAGCTGACTATACGATACAGTTTATGTATCCTCGACCACAAATACTCAAAGACCTTGCACAAAGAGCAGAATCAGCTCCTCAAATCACTTTACAAAGCTGCAGCTGTGCGAGAATTTGCAGACTGGCGAGATGAATGGGAAGTCAAGTTCCCAGACCTCTTTATTGGCCATGCAATCTGCACGATCTGTCTTGATCCCATAGGCGACCGAGAGATAATTTGCGGGTTATCGTGCTTGCACGTTTTCCACAAGAGCTGTATGGATGCTTGGTTTGAAGCGTTACATATCACTTGTCCGCTGTGCAAGCAAAACATTCTGAAGCTACCCTCGCCATGCTACCGAGCGGGATCTGGAGTATGAGCGGTGCTAGAGCTTTTACCGGAGTATCTCAACAACTCTTCCAACAAATCCTTCTAGACCAGCCGCGCCTTTCTCTCCTCGCTCGGTACCACCAAATAAGCCTGGGCCTCCTCCAGGCATGACCAGTATCTTCAAGCCTACTTCGACGTACTCCTTGGCGGACTCGAAGTGGAAAGTGACCTGCAAAAACTGATGCGTGACAGCACCAGCGACGGCCCTGTCAGCAGATTGGCCGTCTTGAGAGCCATTTTGTTCCTCAACAATCTCCGAGTATGGTTCTCCATGTGCTAGCTCAGAAAACTCGGGTATCCTACAAGACAAGATTCTGGCAGACGAACGTACGCTGGCGAGATAGAGTACGACTTGACTCCCCACTGCCAGGGTACCTAGGTCGTCTCGTCTGAACTGTGCGACAATCGTGCTGGTCGAAGTTGCAGGTGTATTGCAGAGCACCATGCCTCTTCGAATTTTGATGGTAGCCCACGTGTCGAGAGTCTTGTCATCCACTAGCTCCAGTCCAATGGTACCGGCTTGATCGGCGTGAAGCGAGGAAACAGGAAGTCGCAGGTTCCTGATACTTACAACCTTGACTTTGCGCCACTCATGGTCGGACGCTTTACTAATCGAATGGAGGTTGCTCGACGGTCTAAGTGCACCGGGAAAAGATCGAGATGTCGGCAAAGTCTGCGAAAGTCGAGGCCGCTGTTGAGTGTCCGAGTCTTCCGAGTCATCACCGCTTGATAGAGAGCAAGGTCCCAAGAAAACTTCTTGATTCACAGTCAAGGTACCCCTACCAAGATGGCCACTCAAAATGATAGTGGTTGGATCTTGCGCTTTGTTGTAGATGTCTTCAACATGGAATAGCGAGTTCAAACCGGCCTGACTGGACGATGGCTCTTCTTGGAACTCCGAGATAGGAAGCTCGTTCAACAGCGCATGCAGATTGTCAAAGCCCGAACCCTGAACAGCGCTTGTCAAGACTATCGGGACTGCCGACAAAGGGTCATCGTGTAGACAGTCAATAGTCTTACGTATGCCATCGGCCTTTTTCTTGGTGAAGCTCTGTAGTTGTTGTTCAGATATGGTACCAGGAGGATTTGGTATTATCAGAGGCTTCCTGCCAGCAGATTTGAGAGTAGAAAGCAGCTTCCCAAGAGTTGCCTTAAGTACAGACAACTGAGCTAGATCAAGTTTTGTGACAACGACCACCAGAGGTAGTTGAAGACGCAGACAGAGATCCAAATGTGCAGCAGAGAGATCTACGTCGCCAGCAGCAGGTCCCAGAACCTCCGCGACTTTGCCCGAAGATCTTACTTCGTCGTCAGCAGGGATGCATAGCAATACCCAATGCGGCTTCCAGCCTACAAGCCCCCTGACGGTCGTCCGTCTGTATCTTGGATGCCCAGCGGAATCGGCCACAAACACCAAACGCCCGTCGGCTGAGGCTGCGTGCATGTCGATCCAGGAACTCACCCCTTCAGTGGCATAATTTATGACATGTACATCGCCATTTGACGCCGGAGAATATCCGATCAGCTCTTGTGTGACTGAGCTAGTGATACCAGATGTGATTTCGTGCTGGTGTTTGAGCATACTCAGACGGCTCGAACCTTTACCATTGTCTAGCGTAGTTGTTGATAGCGTGCCCAGTAAAGAAGACTTGCCAGACATAGTCGCTCCCGTAAAAGTAATCCGGAGCTGCTTTGCAGATCTGGACTCAGGAACAAGCTCTTCAGTGACCGTACTTGACCCAGTTGCGCAAACATTGTCTGTGCCGGACGACAGGTTGGGTCTTACTAGCGCTTCTGCAACAAGGAGGTCGCTTGTGTGTTCAACCAGAACAGAAGATGGTTTGTCATGGACCTGTGCCATATAAGTACAACTTCCGACCTTCACCATTCGTTGAACTTCAACGATGCAACCCAAACTGGCGGCCATAGCGCGCAGATTGTTGAGGCTGTCCTGCATCTCGTCCTCAGCGAGCCCAACAAGCGTGCCATCATCAGAGACACCAATCTCGTAGAGTGCCCCCTCACTCTCCTCAAGACCAGGATGTATAGGTTCTGGTTTTGGAGGAGCTTGCAATTCGGTTGTACTTTCTGGCAACTGTGGCAGAGTGAGACTGGTGGATGTATTTGAGTGATGCGGACAAGATTGTCCAAGTCTCCAGAGAAGCTGGGTAGTCAGGTGTTCGAATCTGTCTTGCCTGTAGTTCGGCGTTACAGATGGCGAAGCACTTGTCGCTGGCAGTACAGTTTCGGAAGCTGTACGTGCAGGCCCGTTGTACTTGGAGTGTTTCGAGCCAGATATTCGAGTCACAGTGCTCATATTTGTATAATTGCGACGAGGTCGAATCAGCAGATGAAGTTTGTACTCCACAGGACCTTTTTGAGGTTCCGCCTCAAGTCTGGTGACATGGCCAACATCATCCAGATATGCAGCAGGTTCAGAATCAGCGACGAACTTCTGGTTGACTGATGGGGCTCTAGAGCTGTTTTGCGAATCGAGCCGCTTGAGCCATGGCGATGATACTCGCGGCTCAGTCTCGTCGAAGGTGAATATGGATGCCGACGCCATAATTTTGGTATAAGACTTGTATGACTCTTTCTTTCTTAAGAATCTGGAGTCTGTTTGATCGCTTAACACGTAGACAAGCAGACTTCGAAAACGACGCGCGCCCGTTTGAACTGCGATTTGTGTAGCCTACAGATGGGGAGTAAGAGTAAGTAAGCAAGCTTCAAGTTCAGCTTTGTGTGTATAGCGAGATTTATGGTATTCGTTTCGAAGTCGGTTTCGATAATAATAACAAATCGGTGGTTTGAGGTCGGGCTTGAGAAGATGATTTTGATGATAGCAGCATGGTGGCGATATCAGACGACTGTGAGCAGTATACAGAGATGATGTCGAGACGATATCGAAGTTGTTAGAATTGAGCGTTCATTGTGTTGGCGGTGTCGGAGACCATCTTCATCAAGCAATTATGCAAAGACCAGTGCCATTACAGTCATAGAGCAAGGACGACTCGACGTTCGAAATCCTTGGCGGTCGGCACTCGGCGCTTGACGCGCTTAAAACACGCGTATCTCGTACCGCACAAGCGCGTCACGTAGAAGATGAAAATTATGGAAAGGGCAAATGGTCTCGATTGGTCATTTGTTTACCCGATAATGAGTCCGCAATTGCATGTGCTTGCTCTTTGCACGATTCACCGGTGAGCTCTGACTGGCACACTAGATTAACCGGTGAACCATCTAAGAGAGGTGGTTAATCAAGCTTGGCGTCCAAAGGCCGAACAGGCCGAAGGCCGTTTTGTGGCATTGGCTCCAGCGAATGAGCAAGGGCGGAAGAAATATTGGAGAACACGTCAATCTAGACGCGTCCACCTGCCCTCGCAGTTCTATCAGAAAAGGGGAAAGCGCGAAGTTGATCGGAAGGTTCAAGCCATCTGTGATAGGAAAATTTAAAGGGCAGCCCCCTGGCTTGCGCCACCAGAGCCTGTCTCCACCGTGATAGACAGTTTGTGTGCCCCAAAGAGGCCAAGACACTACCCAGTCGTTCCGATTGGACGGCTTTATATAGAGCGCTGCCTGCGTTGTTCATCGTTTGCATCAGGCTGCATGCCATGGCACGATGAAGGGGGTCTTTGGGACCCTAGAGTCCAATGACATGGTGATACATACGAATGCTGGGCACGGCATTTTTCCCTTCAATCGGGTTAATTGCTAAGGCATCGGTTAAGGAAAGGCTAGCACTTTGTCCATGATTGGCCTACACGGAAATTATGCTACCGTCTGGTACGAAGAGTGCGCATCTGGAAAATGAAATGCGGCACAGGGCCAGGTAAGAAAGCGATCGACGTGCAGACAAATTTACTCACGTGTGGTGTCAGAGTCTGCAGCCTGCTCGATGCTGTGCGGTCATGTAAAGCGCCCCATCCAAATGCTATTTGGAAGAGCAAGCCTCATGCGATAGGCGAATGAGGATGTTCCGGGAGACAGGCAGCTCCACGCCTGATCTTCGACGCTAACCGAGCCCGTAATCAACATACAGGACGCCTCATATATGCAACAAGCTATGTATACAGATTCGTGACCGAGGAACCACTCAAGGGATATCGACAAAAGTCAAAATTGATGACATGTGGTCATACGAGCAATGTGATTACAGATTGACAGCAAATGAAGAAACGATAAGAAATAATAATCGTGAATAATAGATTGGCAAAGAAGGGTATCATATTGAACATCGGCTCCTCCGATGGTTGGTAGTGGTGCCGTTTGGACCATGCTATAGCGCCTGCGCTACTTGGCCTCTGACGTTCTGCGTTGCTTTGAACACTTTTCGTGGGCCAAATGACCGTTTCTAGCTGTTGTTCGGGTGAATTCCGCTCCACACTTTGGGCAGTATGATTTAGCGGCCGTTCCTGACTTTTCTCGTTGGTGTCGCAAAAGGTTACTGAATGTAGAGAACTCGCGTCCGTTGCAACCATGTTCCCAGCACTGTGGTTTTGGTTTCTGGCTTCCCACTCTCACTTGAGAGTCAGTGCTGGTTCGAGGAACTTGCTGGCGCGCGTTGATCGCTTGGGAAGAAGGGTAGCTGTAGCTCTGTGTGGCGGGAAAAAGGGGTTGTGAAGCTTGTACGGCTGGTGTCGCAAACGAGGAGGTGTATGACTGTGTGTCGTAGATGCTCGGTGATCGAATTCGATCCATGCTGATCTGGGCTCCTGGGCTTCCGGCTAATTGTGGTTGCGCAGAGTCCAATCCTGCTGTCAATGGAGGTGTCAAAGGATCCATGTGTTGAGACAGTGGACTGTGTGATATGCTCCTGTTTGTCAGCGAACGGTTGGTGGTGGACGCAAGCGGATATTCGAGGCTGTCGTAGGTAGATGTGTGGAATGGGCTGACTGCTCTGTTGAGATGGCTCAATGAGGATTCGGATGCGTGGTTCAAAGATGGCTCCATGGGAGCTGCAGAGTAAGCAGACTCCAGGTGTAGAGGTCCAGATGCGTATATGCTCTGCTGCGATGGTGCTGAGGTACCAAAGATAAAACCAAAGTTGCTTGACGGGTGGATATGAGAGTTCGATTCGGACTGTTGATAGCCTGTGGAACTAGAGTTAGCGACTTTGAATCACACGAAATAGATTCACCTGACTTACTGTTGTCGAAAGAGGGATCCTGGAATGCCATGTTTCCGTAGTGAGGAGGAGGGAGATAACTCAGGGAGCTGGAGGCCAAGTCAGTTGGCTGTCTCTTTTGGTCATCACGTCTGCTGCGACGGCACTTACGCCATGTCTGCGGATGTAGTAAGGACACTATCTTTGGAACCACCAGATACAGAATTGAATCTTGGATGGTTGCTTTGCAAGGATCGGAAACCAGGTAATGTGAGTGATTCACCAGCTTGTTGAAGTGGTTGATGGTCTGATGTCAAGCCGAAAGAAGCTTGAGTACGCTGAGGCGGGGGAGATGATTTTGCAGCAGTCCAATCGTTGCTACCCAGGTTGTTGAGTCGAGAGGGTATATGGTCTGGCAGTAGCTCGGGATGACGTTCAATGTTGGCAGCAGATAATGATTGAGGGCGACTTGATCGAGAGTTGCTTCGTTTCTTGATGCCACCAGAGTCTTGTAGATGAATGGGGAAGATGCTATCTGTTCTTGTCCTGGGGTCTGAGGAAGAGGATGGGCTCAGGTACGGGGAGTTCATGACGGATATAAGAGGTGCCTAGACAAAGGGAATCAGAGCGGGAACAGGATGCAGGCCTACTTTCATAGGCCGCATTGGCATGAGACGTCTTAGGCGGAGGTGATCTACGCCGGGATGACTACCTAGAGCGCTGGTTCAGTTTTAAACACTGACAAGGCGCAGTGGGCTTTCCAACAAGCAACGGCGGGAGCACGCAACCACCAACACATGGCCAGACATCGACCGAGCTAATTGGCCCGGGGCTCCAGGACAGAACTTACAGACCCCTGCCCCTCCATTTACTGCGCACGGGTGTGCTTGAAGCTAACATATCTTCAGATGCAGAATGAAATTTGCGATGCGAGTCGCAGGTATCAGCACGACCAAGGTTGCATTCATTTCTGGCATGATGCCTGTCACAGACCCGATGAGGCGGCTGGACCGGGTCTTAGGTCTCGCGATGGAGACTGGGTAGATCTTGATGAGATTGTTGCAACGTTGGCAACCATTTCCCTCAATTGAGTCATGGATTGAGTTTAGTGAGAGGTTTGGCGCAGTTTGGGGCTGTCAAAAAGAAGGTAGAGGTGAGGGGCAGATGTCGAAGCCGGGACCCGCGATTTCTCCTTTAGCGTTCAGGTGAGTCGCCGCGTGCCCTCCGGCTACCACATTGAACTTAGTGGAATCTAAGTTGGGAACAGAGCGCACGCTGTACCAAGCGTGTGAGTCTGAACCCAGAAATGAACCTTCAACTATGCTCGAGATCTGGTCACACAAAGCTTCCTCTGCTCGTCCGGTTCTTGCTGCCACCGTACTCGAACTCTATATGCGATATGACTGCAACTGCTCATAGAGCTGCCTTAGTAACCAATGTCGACGACTCAGGATCTGTTTGGCAATCTCAGGCTCTTTCCACATGAGGAACAACCGGTCAATTCTTGCCGAACTATGACTAGGCTAGACGACAATCAAAACGAATAACGATAATTAAAGGGCTCATCTTGCTCAGGCCTCAAGTTGCTAATGCAGTGTCGAACCGAATGGCGGGGGTCAGGGTCTCGCGCCCTATGCAGCTATGCTAGAATGAGATCGGCTGGGTTCCGTCCCACCAAGTCCATCCATGCCTGGGGGCTGATGCTTGGTTTCTGACCGGTTGGACCGTTGCAGCCCTCTGCCGTTTGGTGTAAGCCGTCGGGCCGCATTCCTGTCGTTGCAAGAGGCTATCATCGGCTGAAGCAGCGGCGTGCCTATCACGAGTAAAAGACTTGTTCATGCCAGGACAGGCACAATATCGCGGCAGACATGTGTCGCACGACAGGCCGCTTTCCGAGTTGGCGTTGATGATCTTGCCATCACCGATGTTCTCAACTCCTTGACTGCTCCCGCTTGGCAATCTTCGTTAGTAGTCAAACAGCATTGGGAGATTTCTTGGTTGATTCGGGCCGCGCTCTGAGACTATGATGTATTGTAGTCGGGGAGGTATCTGGCTGGTCGAAGATGCCTCGCGGAATGCCTCCTTATACGGTTAGCGTCTGTCACATGGCGGGTCTGCCAGTAGTTCCGGCTTGGTGTTGGTCTGTGAAGTTTGTCCCCGCATCAAGCAGACTCCAAGCGTCGCTGGCGTTCTCGTCTAAAAAACGTGTCTGCCTGAAGATGGCCACAGACACCGTCAAACCGGTGAACAGAAATTCAAGACGGCAGATATATGGCGTGATGGCGGGTTGGTTTATTACCACCTTGGTGGCCGTGCACTATTCTTGGTTTGCTGCCTTAATCGAGGCTCCGGCCAGCGAGGCCACGAAAATCGACAACCAGCGACCGGTCAATTTCAGCCCCCGTCAACTGCCCCGTTCTCCACCGTACGTCGTCGCTTGATGTTGTCCTGCTCTTCGTCTGCCGTCTGGCCTGCCGGGCGGCGGTGTCGTTGATCGAAGCTTAACTTTGAGTTACTCTGCTATTTACGCTTAGAAGTAGGGTGATGACCGTAACCTACTTGTCCTATCACGTGCGGACCTCGCGCTCTACCGTCACAGAACACCACGATCGGTGAGAGCTTGAACTTCTGAGTATCGTAAAATGCCAGGCGAGGTCGATGATCCGCAAAGCTCCGAACCTAAGATATTTGCTTGATATATCATGACATTGGTGAACGATAACCTCCTTCGTTTCGCAAAGGCCGTTACTCGATCTCAGGTCAGATACGAGGCAAACCAAACATTGAAGCTCGACAGGTCGACCCTGTGCAGCAGTGAGACGCCGATGTCAGCCACCAAATAGCGTTGTACGACTCAGATGCTCGAGCTTCGTCGTGCTGCTTTTTCCTCCGCCCCACGATCAGGGTGCCCTATTGAAGCTTGATCTTAGGGTTTCAGATTAGGCAAGGTCTGCTTGACGCCAAAATCAAACCGTCCATCTTTCCCTGATTCAGTAATCAGAGTGCTCGACATAGATGTGCGGCATAACATTCCGCGATACAGAGCCACCTTCCGCGATATCAAGACCGTGGCTTTATCTTCAGGGCAACTCAAGACCGAGACGTAGATGTGGACCTGACAGGGTGAAAGGTATCCACGCATTTCTCCATGGCACACTCGCTTGTCCTGGGGGACCATTTCTCGAGTCATTTGCATATACTTATCACGTAACGCCATTGCGACCGCGGGTAAAAGATCGATCAGATGCTCAAGATCCCCATCACAGCCTAATCTGAGGCAGCCAAATTGGTACAACTCTCAGAGTTTCGCTCTTTGTCGAATCTCAGGGCCGAGACGGGCATCGTCAACGACAACATTCAGTCCCTCAGACCCGCTCTCGGTCCTGATTTCCATCTCTTGACAGTCTTCAAGACCCACGTCATTTGCATACTGTACGACTACAAAATCAATAGCTTTCGCGCCAAGCACAACCATTGGCGCGTGCCATGTACCAGGACCATAGGTGACAGCTTGCGAACCATTGGCAAGAAACGCGCGCGCACGGCTGAGATCCGGCTCGCCCGGGCCTTTTGGAGGTTGGGGCCCATGGCTGGAATCTGAAGACGCAGAGGGATCACTAGAGTTGTCGAATGGAGAAGGTTGAGCCCTGGAGAAAATTTCGGTCCAGCTCCGTTCTCGTTTCGGAGCATGTTGGGGGTAGGGTAATGGTTTTTCCGTTGTTTTGAATGTTGGAGCGACAATGACAAGATAGACCGTTGTCGCATCATCGGCAGCTAGACCGAGAGGAACAAAGGTCTGAGGAGTGAACGGGTGTCGTTCCAGAATCTGCACGGGAAATTTCGATGCTCGTTCCTGAGCGGTATCTGAACCGCTAGTGACTGGCTGCAGTTGACGCGGTGAACAGACGAACATGTTCATGACGGCCCTCGCAGGATTTCCGCTTGGGGCCAAATGGTAGAGGTTGGAGACATGAGAGACGTCGATGTACTTGAGAGCTGAGCCTTGGTTTGCCTTGACGACTTTGGGCTCGACAGACCTGCCAGTTGCATTCGCGGCATTCTCGACGACGGTACCAAACTCAGCGAACGCGTCCTGAGTCAAAGGCTGCACCGCAAGATTCAAGTTCGGCGCAACAATGTGAGGCAACATCTTGACAATGTGACTCCGAAAGAACTGTTCGGATTTTATAGCTTGGTGAGTGTTTCTATTGCAAAAGTTCCTAGTGATGTTTATATCGGAACCTCCGAGCTCGGAGTTGATGGACTTTGAAATGCCAAGACATCGAAACGCGAACGCGTCTTCTCAACGACGCGTCTCACACCACCTTTCTGTCGACGACAACACATTATTAGCATTACAGTATATTTACTATGAGCTCTATAGCAAACAGGTGAGACTAACTCGAATTCAAGTGCAATTCAACCGGTCTGACCTCCTCTTCTCAGACGACCACTCAGGACATATTCGAAAACATACTCGAAGAGGAAGCACCAGGACAGCAACAATGATACCCTCAAAAGACGACGTGTTTCGATAGTCGATAGAGAAGAACTGGCATCAAATCCTTCGTCGGATCCTCCACCATCAGATTTTGCAATCTTCTCTGACGAAAACACTCATCCGTCAACTCCACCATCATCACCACCATGTCTTGCAGTCTCTCCAAGGGCTCCGCCGCCGAGAATGCAGCCTCTGGAACCACTTGTCCAGAAATTCTCGTCGACCCCACAACTAGTTCCAAAGCAAAATAAATCGCTTGTCCAAATGCAACTCAACTTTGGCCAGTTGATGAGGAAGACTTGCAAAGAATGCCGTATGGAGTACGTGCCTTCTGCTCCAGAAGATGTTGCTCTACACAAAAAGTTTCATGCGCAGCACACAAATGGTATCTTTATGGATCGAGACTTCCTTACGAAAGTCAAGTCTGAAAAAGCCGTGTGGCATGGATCACAAGGAGACTTCATCATACATCTCAGTGGCTCTCAAGATCCGAAACATTGGTTGAAGAAGGCTCGCGCTGTGTTCGACATGGCGACGACGGACCTGGGAGCGGTTGACATTCCTGATGAGAAGTTGTGGGGATCACAGTTCGTCACAAACTCTACTCGGAAGAGAGCAGTCAACACCAAAGACGGGAATGAGGCAGACAGGTACAAGCTGTATCTTTACATCAACAGTGGCAGATGCGTTGGCCTTTGTCTTGCAGAGGGAATCGACAGAGCATTCAAGGTGATTGAGCCAAAGATAATGGGGGAGGTGAAACAGAAGGATGAAGAGGAGACATCTTCGAAGGCATCAGGAACAGAGACTCCAGGATGTGAGCTGCTGTCCATTAGTGAGAAGGCAGATGAAGCGGCAGTTGGCATATCTCGAATCTGGACATCCCAGGGGTCGAGGAAGAAGGGGATTGCAAGGGCACTGTTGAAGTGTGTTGCAAAGACGTTCCTGTCCAAGGTTACACCTAAAGACATGGTTGCATTTAGTCAACCGACCGAGATGGGCACAGCCCTAGCCAGACGGTGGTTTGGACAAGAGTACGGATGGCATGTATACATCGATTGATGGGATTGTTAGTAGAGCATGGGAATAATGATAAAGCATCACGAGGAGTTTTGGTCTACAGCCTGACGATCCATCACATGTGCAAGGGCCAAAGTATGTTGTGAGTGCTTTGCCATGGGAGCTCGGGCGGAGTGGACTCAGACTTGAGGTGGATTGGACAGAGGCTCGTAAGTGCTTCTGAGAGACGCAAAGACAAAAGCGACTTGTGGAGGGGACAGTCCACAGCGCGCATGACTTGACGTCGTTGGCGCTGCGTCACTATTGTGTTTTAACGTTTGACAGTCGCAGTCCGCGGGGAAGGGCAGGAGCAATGCACGTATCGGAGTCGCCGGATCGGCGGGGCAGCAAGCGGTCGTCGAGCGCCAACAGGCAGACGATGATCACGGCCATTATCCAGGCAAGCATGCAGCTAGGTCGAGACTAGAGAGTGATCGATAATGGGCAATCCGTTCAGACAGCAAGTCCTCTCGCTGGACACGAAGGCGGCGCGTGAAGCAGCGACGGCAGCCAACACAACGCTCGACAACAATCAGCCATCAACAAACAGCCAGAGTAAGAGCCGTCCGTCTATACAGCCATTCGACACCTACTGAGCAGTTGGCAGCCAAGCCAAAAGCAAAGAAGAAAGTTCGCATCTTATCGCCGGTCGTAAGCCCAGACTCACCGGCCGCATACCCTGAGCATGACCCTTTCAACTCCTACCTCAACCCCGTGGGGCAGCCTACACCACCCAAGGCCGAGGGACAGGACGTCGATATAGCACGCGAACTGCGCAAGTCGTTCATCGATTCGTTAGCAAGAGGCGCAACCAATACAAACATAGAAGCCTCTGCGCTTCTCGTGCCGAGCCATCCACCTGTAGCTCCAGCCTCAGCTCCAAGTCCGGCATCAGCTCCAGCACTCGTAGCAAAAGACATGCAAGCATCATCTCAGTCAGGACAGCAGATGCCGTACAATCCTTTTGCCAAAACATTGGCCACGATCGATCCCCAGAGTGCCTCGTCGGCGCCCGTCGGACTCTCTCGAGATGCTTCCGCGACATCCGCTAAGCCGGCCATGGATGTTGATGCCTTCACACGCATGCTGTTGACAGGCAACACACCGTCTGCTTCTCCTGGACCCATGGCTCCATCGACCGGTCTCTCTGCCTCGACGAGTAATTCACTTGGAGACTTGCATCCCGAATCTCCACCTGCTTCTGACGATGAACATCACCATGATGCACCGGAGCAAGACTATGAGCACCTGACAGGACTGGTCCAATCGCCAGCTATATCATCGAAAAGGCCGAAGCCCCCACCGCCTGCCCATCATCACGGCAAGAGCCTGTCCACTCCCCACAAGGGCCCGCAAACCGTCTCGTTCGCCGACTTCGACGTACCTGCCACCCCTCCTGCTCTCCCGTCGCCCTCTGTATCATCACCAATGCCGCCACTCATCAGGTCTCCCTCCGATCTGAACAAACCCTTGCCTCCGCCCCCTCCGCCACGCCACTCGCCTAGCCCCGATGCGGCACCCTCGATACCTGATCTTCAAGCCGACGGTCCCGCACAATCACCACAGCTCGCATCCGAGGACTTTGATCTAAATCTCAAGAAGCCTCCCCCACCACCGCTGTCACGTAGGAGCAGTCAATTGAGGAGCTTGGGCGGCAGACCTCGGAGCAGCTCCAACCTATCTCGCTCGTCGGTCCCTGACGATTACAGCGAAGGCACTGCAACGCCACCAATCAAGCCTCCTCCACCTCCGGCAAGACGAGGTCCCCATTCTGTAGAAACAGACCTGCCGATTCCATCATCACGACCGCCACCTCCACCTCCATCTCGCCATGCAAAACAACAACCTCCAAGTGTCAGCCGTACGCCATCCGCAACCTCAGTATCTTCCTTGAATAACCGTACGCCTCAAGCCAATATGCCACCACCACCACCACCGCCGCCGCCACGACGAGGTGAAAACAAGCGACGAAGTCTAGACGGTACAATGTTGAATGCCTCGGCTCCGAATTCAAGAAGGATGAGTGACACCAGCCGCCGGTCTAGTGGCGCGAGCTTATATTCTACCAATGGTCGGACAGCGTCTGTGTCTTCCATCCCAACTGTAGACGAAGGCGATTCTGGTGAGGACAGAAGCTTCAATTCTACACCACAGCCCGAGATGCAGAATCAAAAAGCAGGAGAAGCGGCGGGAGGTGACATTTTGGCCGACATGTCAGCCATGCAAGCTGAGATTGATGCTCTGATGGCGAGGTCAAAAGGAGCTTAGAATAGACCGTGGGTGAGAAATCTTTTTATCATTTCCATTCGCGTGAACGAAATCATGTCAAAGGTGTTTTTTCTGTTACTTTTGGAGGGGTGTTTTGCGAAACATAGATTGGATCTTCGTTTCTATTGATACAAGAGACTTTTCTTTCTTCGAGTCTATCTTGTGTACTTTCCTGCTTTTCTTTTCTCCCATTCCTGAAACCACGAAAAAACAAAACGCCCAACGCGGTGCATGTTGTTAGTCATTTAGGATGAGCAGAAGGGGCTCTTCCGCCGCCTGATTCTCAAAGTTGGTAGCTGTCAAAAGGCACAGTCTCGTCACCCTTGGAGTGCACCATGAGGAGAGCAAGCTTTCGAGAACCATCTCCTTGATCGTCCCCTACTCTCCAAACATTTCTCTGCATCGCCTCAAACCTAAGTTTCCACAAACCTTTCTCTACACCACTCAAAATGCTTCTTCATCCTCTTGCCCATCGACTGCAACATCACACTATCAATCTTTGCAACAGGATGAGGACGATGAAAGATGATTTTTCTCTTGCTCGCATGCTCAAATGCAACGGCCGAACCACCTGAGTTGCGAGCGGCGAAATTGAGATCATTCATGGCGTGGACGAAGAGGTCCCAGTCTGTGGTTTTTGCGGCTGTTTCTTCGGCGGTGGTTGGGAACATTTTTTTGAGGACTTCGAGGGCGCGAGGGGTTGTTGGGATGGGTTGGGTTGAGGGTGTGTCTTCGATGGGTTCGGGTGCGATAGGTTCGTTGATGGGTCCTGAGGGACGGGTCTTGGGTTTTGGGGCTCTTTCTTCGATGACGAGCTTTGAGATGTCTGGACCTGTGTCGAGAAGAAAAGTCAGCATATGGCTAAGGAAAAACTCATGCGACTGTCAGGAGCAGTGCTTCAGCTCTTCGCAGAGCAACAACACATGGCTGCCACAAGGCACAACACTTTTGCCATAGCGGCCGTGGTGATGAGAGGACATACCTTGATCCCAGAGAGTGCTCCGAGTTGGGATCTGGGTTACAGTGGCCGACTTGATGGCTTCCAGAACCTCGAGTCTTTCGCTTTCAACCAGCTTCTGGTATTCTGAGCTGCGTGATACAGAGATGAGGGAAATGGTGTCTTCAATCTCCCTCGGCTCCATTCGTGTATAAGTCATCATACCACGCAGAGCTTCAAGCGCTTGATCCCAGAATCTCGTGAGGAATTTACGCTCCATGGTCCTCTTTTCAAGCCATGCTTCATCTCTACGGCCTGCCGCGGGTTGTGTCTGGTCGAAAGTCTCCAGAGATTTCCATGGGAAGCAAACTGCCTCTTCAGCGGCCCCCTCAAGAGCAAGTCCCCTGGTATACGCGGTCGAGTTCGTCTTGCGCAGGTCGCTCAAGCCTTGTTCGTCTCGACGGAAGAAGGAAGGGCGATGGGATCTTACTGCTAGAAGCATTTCATGCAGGGCCGCAAATTCTGAAGGCCTCGCATACACGGTCTCGTCCAACCGATCACGCTCCTTCTCATCTGCCTCGGCCAGATATGCCTCCAGCTTTGCGAAAAGCTCCGGGTGATCCAATCGTTTGTCATTATCTGTGTCTCCCGTACATTGGAAGACAATCCAGTGTAGCTGATCGCCAAAATAATCTTATCCAACATGGTCAGCTTTCATCCAATCGCCACCCACTGTGACCTTGTAGTTGTCCTTGAAACCAGGACTCTGAGAGATCCAAGCGGTAAAATGTCTTATTGTTTTGTCCATGTACTGAACGAGAGCTGCCTCCAAGAGAGCGAGACTATGCTCGACTTGACGTGGCAACGGCTGTGCTGGATGAACGTTGTCTCGAAAATGATCGCAGAGGTCCTTCATATGGGACCACTCCTCGTACAATATACGCCAGCGCGAACAAGTCTGTACACATAGTCGAATGTCTTCGGCAAGAACTATGGTTGCCATAATCTTAACGACGGACGTATGAGGGGTCTGTCTGTAGCAGCCAGAGGTGGTCCTGAGCTGCTTGCATTCGAGCCTGTGACACGGAGCAGTAGTGTTCCACGTCGAATCTTTGAGGGCTTGAGAAGGGTTGATTGACGTATTCCGACCACATTTCAACGTTGCTGGTCTGCTTGAAACCGGCTTGTACCGTTTCTTGCCATCTGTCTGAGGCTTCTAAGCTGTCAGGATGAACGCCTCCAAGTATGAGTTCCACGATGGAGCGAAGTCGAGAGAGTATGACAGCCTGGGCCTCGATGACCAAGCGCGCACGCGGATAGCCAACAATATCCCAGCGCTCCGCAGCCTCTTTGTTCCAAGGAACCAATTCGCCGTAGTCCAGACCATGCATAACGACGCAACTATGGCCACAATACTCCATGCCAAGATATCCAGTGGCGAAGCCCTGCTTGACCGTGTTGCTGTCAGACGCGGCCCACTCCTGTGGAGAATACTGAATCCGGTTCTGAACCAGTCCGAAGAGAATGTTTGGGCTTGACTTCATGATTTCCACGCTCATGTATGGTAGTAGCCAATTATTCCGGTGTTGTTGACGGGCAGTGGGTCCAGATATCTCTTCAGCATCGAAGCGTAATCTGTACCAAGCTTTTTTCTCCATGGTTGGGTCTGCTTGGATCAAGAGTGCTTCACGCTTGTCACGACTCTTTTTCCTCCATCGACTAAGTATCGTGTTTCCAAATATGCTACACAATTCGGCCAGGTGAGCTCTGTCGATGTTGATCTGGCTGACAAACTTGGCAAGGGACACCTCTGCTTCCTGCGGCCTGACCATGTTCTCGTACTTGTGACAAAAGGCCTTTTGAAGTTCTGGCGGAACGAATTGCTGTCTGCAGCTTGCGCATTCGCAAGGGGCAGTGTACCTAGCCAGATTTGTCCCATGAATTTCCGATCCTGTCTTGAATCTTGGACCAATCGAATGGTTGCTCCACATGATTTTCCGCTTGACCGTTGACTGAGGGCGAGGGAAAGTGATTTATCGAGTTGAATATTGCGCCCAGGGATGGATTGAGCGATAATTTACGGAGTAGATCGATCTACGGTGGTATCCAGATCGTGGTGTCAGATCTCTGATATGGCCGGAACTTTGTCTACCGAATTTCGCGTTTTTATGGTTCCGTGTGCATCGAAGAAATGACTCGAAGTGAAGACTATCGCTTTGGTACGCGCGAGACGCGACTTCGAGGAACAAGACGTCGACTTTCTTGCGGTGTCTCTCACTCTCACTCGTGCAGAGACACGGGCGATATCTTGACTGTGATTGCCTGGCGCTGAGATTCAAGGTCGGCGAAGTGCTTCAGCAGGCGCGCCTGTTGGAGTAACTCTAGGAGTGAAAGTGATGGTCAGATGTTGTTATGCGTTCAAGACTCAAAAACTTCATGGGGACCGAATTGAACGGTGTGAAGGGTCGAGAAAAACGACAGACTGAACACAAGAGCAGATATCAGCAGTGGCAACAGCACTCCTTGTCACTACGCAACACATCAAGACGTGTTTCAGCGGATTTGAACAGCACAGTAACCAGCCATACGCCTGAACACAACACAAAGAATGAGAGAGAATAACATAATTGAATTCGATTGTTGACAACTTATTCGGTCTTCGCCCTATCTACCTTTCCATGTACGCTCGCCGGACTCGGAACTTGCTGATGAGGAAGAGAAAATCTCCAAAAGCAAGCACTGCACAATGGCTTGATCTCATACCCACGTCTGGAGGATCTTTTTGGTTGAGCGCGACCCACAAAGGGAATTGATTGCATCAGAGATTTCTGCCAAACGAGATCTAAATATATCAAGTTGCGCGGCAAGTTCGTCTTCTTCGACTCCGGAGAATTGGTACTGAGGGAGAGAAGGTTGGATGGTGAAGGGAGGGTGCTTCTTATATAGGGCTTGGTTGTGGCCTGCGCTCGGAATTCGCTTATGTAATCAGCGAGTCGGGAAGTTTCCAGCCCTGGCTGACGGTGCGCTCTCACTTGACTCGGGCTTGGAATTTCGAGAAGTGAATGTGAGGTTATGAAGTGATGATTGTATGCAGAAACAATTTATATATTTACCCCGCACTTCTGAGCTGTCAGATGCGCCACAGCCGTTGTAGATTATACTTTGATGAACTATTGGGCCGTGCAGCTGTATAAGGCCTCCGGCGTCGCAAGCAAGCCATCAATTCCAACATTGCTTTGGAGACTTGACTCACGATGACTTGAATACTGCTCAGGCGACCCTCTGATATGCTTTAAGCGCTCTGAAGAGCAGGATGTCAAAGTCAAGAATTTCTTCTGTGCGCCTCATAACTCGACATTTGCAACATACTCGTTGGTCCACCATTTCTCCTGTGCGTAAATGATTTAAGACTAGAAGGTCGCCAGTGGCGATGCTGTGGGTCAAAAACATACTGAATGTAATTAAAGATACTTTTAGTTGCTGGAGACCTCGTACAGGAAACAAGACTGGTTCAGGTACGCTACACGACGAAGCAGATGCTTCCTTGGTCGATGACAGGGTCATGAGCACGACGTTCTAGATGACGCACAGACCGCGATTGAAACACGTCGACTTGGGCCGATGCCAAAGCAGCTTGGAGAGACAACAACCATGGCAAACATGTTTGGAGCATTGAACAGATTTATCTCGCGTCTGGACTCGGATCCACAAGCCCAGAAGCAAGGTGGAGGATCCGATACCTACGGCTTCCAGGTGCTTCGCAACAACAATCCAGAGCTACCCCTGGAGCCATGGTTCGACTCTATCATTGGTATCAACGGGCGCACTATTGTATGCAAGAGCAGGTCACCCTGGGTACAAGATCTGGAAACTGACGCATAGCAGGATAACCCCGATCCCAGCCTCTTTGTCCAGGAATTGCGCAACTGCGCCGGCACCAACATCAGTCTCGGAGTGTACAGCGCCAAAGGACAGCAGATCCGCGAAGTCTTCATCTCCATCCCTCCGGACGGATCATCGTTAGGACTCGCTCTACAATGGTCGCCACTCACAACTACCGAAGCCGTCTGGCATATTCTTGACGTAATTCCTAACTCGCCTGCCGACGTCGCTGGCTTGCTGCCCTACAGCGACTATGTCATCGGAAGCCCAGAAGGCTTGATGAGAGGCGACAGTGGACTCAGCGAGTTGATTGAAGATGTAAGAGTGGACGATCAAGTTGCAAAGGACGGAAACTAATACGATTGAACAGTTCCTCAATCGACCCCTCCGCCTGTATGTCTACAACAACGAATACGACGTGACACGCATGATTACCATCACACCATCACGTGGCTGGGGCGGTGATGGTGCTTTGGGCTGTGTACTAGGCTTCGGAGCTCTCCACCGTGTTCCCGCCCCTTTGAACGAGCCTCCACAGGCACCAGGAGAGACACTTTTCGAAACAGCTCGCTTTAGCAACGAAGAGCCTCGATCTACCTCGACTCCCGCTGGCGACTTCCTCGTACCCGCCAATCTGAACCTTAGCGCTACCACCCCACCTGCGAGCATCACTATGGGTGGAGAGAAGAGAGGCTCGAAGAAATCAAGAGTGCATCACGCTATATCCCCTACTGCAGGGCTCGATGATTATTTCGCCGAGGGAGAGCAAAAGAGTCGTGAGTTGGATAACGCTCCTACCCCAAAACCGACTTCCGGCTTGCCTCCACCGCCAAAGGCAGGAGGGCCGCCAAGAAGTACCAAATCGCCTGTCATCGATGCTGCTTCCGAAGAGCTCGAAGCAGAAGTGGGAGACGCCTGATGGAAATTCTAGCAGGACAAGTAGTCATCAGTCGCCTTGCTTCTGTCTTGAATTGGTATAAATTGATTGACGTGCACACACACCATTGTTCGACGAAAGACCACAGATCATCTGATGCTTTGTTTGCTAGCCGCCGCAATATGGTAGGTAGTCGTTCTTGCCGATCTGCTATAAGTTTCACGTGCCAAGACCTTGCTCGGCCTCCATAGAGCGATGACTTAGGGCGAAGCGGTCAGGAAGTAGCATAGGGAAGCTCTTGCTCGATCAGAAGCCTCAACAATCGCTCATCTGACGCCGCCTGTTTCCTCTTCCTTCCTCCCACAGACATCCCACCATCGCCAACCATTCCATTGCTCGCTGGTAAGTTATTTCATCATGCATTTCCCACTTATTCTTGCCTGTGTACTGGCTCTCGCATGCATATCCACAGCAGCAATCGACGTCTGTGCTGCCGCAAACGGAGAACGTGCTCCAAAGGCCGAAAAACCAGGCCGCTCAAGCTTCGCTATTCTCATCGAACCCTTACGAAAAGTCATCGATGTCTTCTTCCGTCGTCGAGATCTGGAAGCAACCAACGAGCAGGTGGCTCATCAGCCTTGGACTATCAACACCTATCCTACCTATGCCCATCAGGACGCTAACGGGAACTGGACCGTACATGTCCACGGCAACATACACAAACGTCAACCCTATGGTGAGACGGAGCTCAATGACATACTTGTCGGCTTCTTGCCTCGTGCCAAACTCCAGTACAGCAACTTGAAGTTCTGGGAAGGCAACTACCACATCTTGAACTCCACCGAACTCGACATGGGAAGGCCCTTAGCTCATGACATTGCCTCGTATCCTTTGGAGGATACAACCATTGGTGCCTTCATGGAAGCCTGCGACGAGGGCTCCATTCTTCCAATCTCGAGCAATGAGGAAGGCTCATTCTACGGCACCATCACCGTATCCGCCGAGTGTGCTCCGTCTTTCGACAAAAACATCAGTCACATCCCAGTCCGCGACATCACTCTTGTTCCTTGCAACCTTCGTGTCGAAAAGGACAAGGACGTCCAGAATACCGCAGACGTCTTGTTCGTTCCTCCAAGAGGCGTCACCATCATCGCCGACGTCGACGATACGATACGTGAGATGAATACTTGGAACCCGAAGCAAGCATTACTCAACGTCTTCGTCCGGCCGTTCAGACCATGGAGAGACATGCCTGAAGTGTTGAGAAATCTCAAGCAACGCATCGAGGCTGAAGGTCAGAATGTCCACATCCATTACCTTACGGACGCCCCCGAACCCATTGCACGCTCCTACTTCCAAAACATGACCGAGTTCTTCCCCTATGGCTCATTCGACTTCCGTCCAATGAACTTCACTTCAACCAGACAGATGATCGCGGCCCGTGAGCACAATCTTATAAGGCTCATGGAGAGCTTCCCTGAGCGAAGATTCATCTCTATTGGCGACACTGCCAACTCTATGGAAAGATTTCCATCGGACATGAATCGCTTCTACCCTCGGATCCAATGCCTCATCGTCCGAGATGTGCAGGCGACCGAGCCTTCGGACTGGCTCACTCCGGACACGCGGAAGTTCTTGGATCTAGCCGACACTGAGTATCTTTTCTTCCGAGTACCAGGAGACCTCAACCGGCTCTCAGGAAAGCATCTGGCGGCTCTTTCACCACCAAGAGGTGACAACGTGACTCGGACATACGGCTGTTTCGACACAGAGCAAATGCTTGAGCAAGGATTGGAGCCTAGCGATGCAAGCCACACCAGGATCAAGAGCTACCTGACGGCGGCATGGTGGAACATCAAGTGTACTCTGATCTTGTCAGCTTGGAGGCCCAATCACAAGTGTCCTCTGGATCGCATTGCAGGTACGGAATACTGGGATGGCCAGATCGAGGAAGAAATTGAGATGGAGCCCCTCACCGATCACATGCCTGTCAACGAGTGGTACACGCTGGGTGGTGATCTTGACGACTCAAAGCCTCAACATGAGGAGCCAAAGCCTGTGCCAGGAGTGGAGGATGAACCCAAGGAGAAGAAGAAGCCCAAGGAGGAGAAGACAGAATCAGAGGATGAGAAGCCCGAGAAAGAGAAGACAGAGTCAGAGGATGACGAGCCCAAGAAGAAGAAGCCAGAGAAGGAGAAGAGCGAATCGGAGGACGATGAGCCCAAGAAGCCGAAATTCAAGGAGGATCCCCCACACGAAGAAGACGATCCTTACGACGAGGATGAGGATGATGAACCCGAAACGACGAAGCCCAAGGAGGATCCTTCATATAAAGAAGGCGATCCTTATGACGAGGAGGAAGATGATGAACCCAAGCAGAAGACCGAGGAGGAAGACGATGAGCCCGAGGAGAAAAAGCCCAACAAGGATTCTAAGAAAGAAGTAGAAGAAGAAGAAGATCCCTACTGGCTCGACGAGAAGCATGAGGAGGAGGAACTCGATGATGACAAGCCCAGGAGCAATCCCAAGAAGGAGACCGAGTCAGACAAGGTGAACCGTTACGACCAAACGGACAAGGAAGAAACGGATTCTGATCAGACCGAGGTCGAGTCGACCCATAACGAGATTTCAAGCACTGAGGATAGTGACGAAGAGAGTCATGACGAACTTTGATGAGATTATTGTCATTGCTGAGACTATAATTAGTCAAGAGCCCTAAAATCAAAATTCTTCGCTACAACTCCTTACTTGCCATTCGCATATGACTGCGTGATGTATCGTGTTTTGAATTGCTCTTCATGGCGGCTCACCATGCCCTGTCCACTTGAGGGATGCTGTCACTGATGATGCCAAACAATCTTCACTCAACATTCTGTCACAAATGTCACAAGGCTCGCGATTCGGAAGTGCAAGGAAATAGGGAAAAGACGACTGTTTCAATGACGAGACTCCGCCTATGCAGTGTAAGAAATACAAAGCCCTGTTTTGAAAGTAACGATATCGGTCCTTTGCTCGTACCTCTTTGAACACCATGGAAACATCATGTCCATTCCTCACCGTCCATCACCCAGAACGCCAATGATACCTATCCCGCCACCTCTCGAGTCCATATCCATATCGACATTGAACATGCGAAGACGCAGACTTCTCCGATGTCTTCTGATCATCGTACTCGTCTCCATATGTTTGTTCAGCCAGCGAATATCCACACTGATCCGGTATCTCCTGGTCATGGTACTCGGCCCCCCATGTGAGCGGCCGCGAAATCATTCCATCTGTTCCAGCCCTGCAGATCTATGCTGCATTGGCGAGTGCTGGAGTTCTCCTTCTTCATCCTCGTCGCCGAGTTCGTGATGATCTGACTCTTCCTAATACTGCATACCACCACCACCGTAATTCTCTTGTCGGTCGTCTAGACTTCTGTAGTTGTTTCCTCGGCCCCTGCCTCCTCTGCCGCCTCTACCTCCTCTGTTGTTACCACGGCCGCCTCGTCCTCCTCTTCCTCCTCTGTTGTTTCCTGGTTTCGAGACGCCGCCGCCACGGGCATTGTGGCCGCTGTAGTTGCCGCGGTTGTTATTGCCGTAGGTTTGACCAGGACCTGTGGGGACATTGGGACCAAATTGCACGGCTGTGGGATCGAGTTGTGAGGGTGTGGCTTGTTGATCTTTTGGTGCTTGAGGCGCTGAAGAGCCCAGAGCTGGGAAATCTTCTTCGCGATGTCTGCGTTGTTGAGGACGGGGTTTGCTGTTTGCATAGGAGTTGTTGTTGTCGTCTTGATCTGCTGTTTCTCTTTCGATTCTTAACAGGACTTTTTCACCAACGACCGTGTCGAATTCGAAGGATTGTTCGGGCGTTGTGGGTGTCCAGTTTGAGATGTATTTTGCGTCTACCGGGCGAGCATTGTTGCGGAGTGAGATTACGACGGTGGGAGTAGGGTTCTCGGAGTAAAAGCGTGCTCTAGGGTCGGCGGGCTCGACACGGGCGGCCCATAGCTTGTTCTCGAAGTGGGAGATGCCTGTTACTCTCCAAGTCAAGCGGTGGCCGAGACCACCAACCTTGTTAAGGATGCTCTGGGGTGCGGGACGAGGGGTGATGAGGATGTTGTTGGCAAGCGTGCGCCAGTCGCGATCAGAAGTGTTCTTAGCTAGTGCTGCAAATCGCTCGGTGTCTTGGGGTGAGATGAGGTAGCCTGTGTAGAAGACGTTGCGTTTGATGGTCAAGGGTACCAGGCCGGGTGTCTCGCCGTCGAGTACGGCTTGATTGTGTGTGTTGATCATGCGCTGGACTTCTGACACCTCGACAATAGGATCGAGGGTTGTGGATTCTTCGGTGACTTGAACGACGTCGGCTTGGATGGGTGAGCGAGAGGTTACGGAGCGATTGAAGGTAGCGAAGAAGTCACGGAATGCCTTGGTACTGCGAAAAGGTCAGTACAAGTCCGGTAGACGATTGGGAAAGGCAGAAGAAGATACTGTTTCGGGCGGTCTTCGTAGATGCGAATCTCGTCAGCGTCCGAGTATGTGCAGACCAGATCACGCAGCAAGTCTTGCTTGAAGAGCATGGTCGAAGAGAAGCGCTGGCCGGATGGACCGACGGCGGGCTTCAAACACACCATGTCGAAGTCGAGTTGCTTCGCTCTGAACATGCGGGTGACGAGATGGGCGAAACCTCTTTCATTGCGACCAGTAAGGAGCACGGTAAGAGCGTCCTTTTGCTGCATTGATAGACGCACAAGATCGACAATGCCCTCGTTCCACCAGCCTGACCAGGCAGTCTTTTCCTCGTCGTCCTGGCCCTTGCCCGTCGAGGCTAAGATGTTCGCGTCATGCCACCATCCACCAGTCGAGATTTGCTCGAGTGCTTGTAGCGTGCCGATAGTCGGACTGGCCCAGACTTGCTTGTTGGGTAGAGGACTGCAGAACAGAGTATTGTCAAAGTCGTAAACGTGAATGGCCTTGATCTTGTCCATATCCGGGAGTACGGTAGGGTCCTGACATGACCATCTCTTGAGGCCCGTCAGGGTATGTGTTGTGCTTCCGTCCATGGTGGAAGTGTTTGACGAGCGGCGCGCGACTGGAGGCAAATAGCGAGCGACTGTCGAAATGCGCATACAACTAGCACTACCTTGTGTCTATGACGAGAACAAAATGATTTGGGAAGCTGCGACTCGCGACTCTTCGGCTTGCCGATCATCAACATGACTCGACGCCTCCGGACCCTGCATGACGTTGATGCCTCTCTCTGTCAATCCTCCTCACCCTTCCTCGCGCCTTCTTCCCCACCGCATGGAAGTGTCGCAGCATGACTACGACCCATCCCTAGGCTTTCGTATCAAGGGCAAGGCCAAACTACGAGATGCTCCTCAAGACACCTGCGTCATCTGTCTGGACACGGTCACCGAACGCGCCGTCGCCGTACCTTGCAACCACCTGAACTTCGACTTTCTGTGTCTATGCAGCTGGACTCAAGAACATCCCTCTTGCCCACTATGCAAGACTCCTCTCACAGCCATTGAGTACGACTGGCGTTCTCCCGACGACCGTAAAGTCTACATTATTCCAAAGAAAGAGGAGCCAAAGACACCCAGTGTCGCAACAGGCACATCTCGCTTTCGTCCACCGCGCCGTACACTTGCCCAGTCGCACCATACCACAAATCGCAACCCCGATGCTGCTCTCGCTTTTCGCCGCCGCATCTACGCAGACCAGAACTACAGTCTCCACGTAGGCACGAATCGCACTTCGCAATACCGCAACTTCACTCCCGCCACCTTCACCACCTCTGCCGCTCTTCAGTCCCGTGCTCGCCTTTTCATGCGTCGCGAGTTTCAGGCCTTCGACTTTCTCGCTGAAAACAACGCTAGACTCGGCTTTCTGATAGAATACATTGTGGCTGTACTGAAGACGACCGAGATCAAAGATGCTTCTGGCTCCGCGAGTACTTTGGCCGCCGAATTCCTGGGCACGAATGCCGCCTCGCTATTTCTTCACGAACTCGAAGCTTGGCTGAGGAGTCCGTATGAGAGATTGGAAGATTGGGACCGTCATGTCCAGTATGCGCCTAAGAGACCTCGATATATGAATGGATGAGAGCAATCGCATCTAATCGAGTCCTTCTTGTGCTCTGGAATTATGCCAACTCTCACACAAGCCATGTGTCTCGCAACGTCATTAATACGTCTGCTCGAGCCTATCCTTCCGCCATACAGTTGGTACGATCCTGAGTATCTACCAGGGCGATGAGCAACACTGAAATGTGTCTACAAAGTGGGAAATTCCAGACTCATGATCACACTGCGTTATCATCGTGTGTCATTCTATACTTTATGTAGCCATAGAAAAACCAATGCCGGGGTGACGGCGGAGTCTAACTCCGACTGAATCTCGAATAGCCTTCTCAGCCTCAACATCTCCGACCACGCTACAAGCACGTTGGGACTTCTCACTCGATACTCCATCTCCTTAGGATGTTTACATCTCTATGATAACCATCCGAATAATTCGTACCTCTCAACATGACGTTACACCGAGAGCGGGCCGCCATGATTACCTACGAGAACCAAGACTTGCCGCCTTCGGGAGTTGAAGATTTCGCGACAAACCCTTGAGATGGCGTCATGAAAGAAGATCGACCCAATATAAGCAAAAAGCGTTCGAATTGTCCAAATAGCTAAGAAGATGGTGTGTTGAACAAAAAGGCCAAATCACGTTCCCGTATCTCTGTTAGATTGTGTTTTCTTCTGCTGCTTTCCTTTGGCCTATCGTGGGTTTTGTGGTTACTGGACTTGCATATGAACGTTGGTCTTTGTCATATTGCTATCTGCAGCTTTCTGGTCAACAAAAACAATTGGAATACCCTCGGATACTTCTGGACTGTGATTCTGACACCAAAATACTGGAATTTGCTGGACTGGAAAAGTGACTCAACATCATGGCGATTTTTGATACGAAATCTGCCTCGGCAGCAGGCAGGTCGTCTCCAGACATGCCTCACGATGCCGAAGCAGATGCCAACCTCTTCGATCCCGAGACTGGAGTGAAACGAGGACTCAAAACCCGGCATCTCACCATGATGGCTCTAGCCGGTATCATCGGCCCCGGTCTTCTCGTCGGTGCTGGTGGTGCCCTTTCGAACGGAGGACCTGCCTCATTGCTGATAGGCTTTGGTGTCATTGGCATCATTGCCTTTAGTATCATGCAATCTCTCGGCGAACTCACGACTCTGTACCCTTCTGGAGGCGCGTTTACGGAGCTGGGCGAGAGAATGGTGGATAAAGCTTTTGGAGTCGCTGTGGGTTGGAATTACTTTATCATTTGGGTTGCGGTTCTGGCGAATGAGTATAATACTATTAGTAGTATCTTTACTTTTTGGGCCCCTCAGGTCCCGTTGTGGGGTTACTTTCTCATTTTCTGGTTCTTCTTTCTTGGGTTTCAGTTGTTGGGTGTGGAGGTGTTTGGAGAGGCGGAGTTTTGGCTTGCTTTGCTCAAGTTGGCTGGATTGGCTGCATTTTTTGTGTTTGCCATAATCTATGCTGCTGGTGGGTTAGTTGGGCAGGATGAACCTCTTGGATTTCGGTATTACCACAACCCTGGAGCTTTCGTGGATGGCTTCAGGGGTGTCGCTACGGTCTTTGTGTTCTGCAGTACCTTTTACGCCGGCATCGAGTCTGTCGCTGTTGCAGCCACAGAGACCAAAAACCCTGGTGTTGCCGTGCCTCTGGCCATCCGACAAGTATTCGCACGCATTCTGTTCGTGTACATGGGCTCGGCGTTTTTCTTCGGCCTCGTATGCCCAGCAAACGCAGACGGCCTTGCCAATGGAGGCAGCAGAGCACTAAAGTCACCCATGACAGTCGCGATTCAAAACGCCGGTTGGAATGGTGGTGTCCATCTCATCAACGCCTTCATCTTTGTAACATGTCTTTCAGCAACAAACGCATCCATCTACATTGGCTCTCGCACCATCCTCTTCATGGCAAAAGACGGCAAGGCCCCTCGCTTCCTGGGCTGGACAGACGAACGCGGTGTCCCCGTCGCCGCCATAATCTTTACAAACCTCTTTGGCGCAATATCGATGATGAATGTCAGTACTGGAGCGGGAAAAGCATACAACTACATTGTCAATCTCTCTGGAGTCTCGACTTTCCTGGTCTGGGGTAGTATCAGTTTCATCCACATCCGCTTCCGCTCTGCATGGGCACGTCAAGGCCGTACACCCGAGGAACTTCCCTTCAAGTCGATGCTATATCCCTGGAATGCGTACTTTGGACTCTGCGCCAATATTTTCCTTGCTCTTGTTCAGGGATGGGGTAATTTTGTACCCTTTGATGCTGGAGGCTTTGTGGATGCTTATATTTTGATTCCGTTGTTTCCTGTTATTTACTTGGTGTACAAGGTTTGGAACAAGACGAGATTTCATAGGTTGGAAGAGATTGATTTGGATGCTGGGAGGAGAGGGGATGTGGATGCTGCTAAACAGGCGACTAGACTTGTACCGGATGCGACATTGACATCGCAGGTCAAGGGTGGCAGGCTGAGGACGATCTGGAAGAATCTTTGACTTAATATCTATATAGTACATTAGTCGTCTGTAGTATTTGTATCACGTTTGTGCAGTTGCGTCTTTCTGTTGGTCACACATATAGCCGAGTAGACACGCAAGGATGAAAATGAGGGCATGACATCGTGAATAATGGTCTATATGCTATTAGTACACTGGAGCTCCGGACTCCATATTTTCTCCTGCAGAGGTCGTCTTGACCTTTGACGATAGTTTACAGTATTCGAACAAGTATAACGAAGGGTACTCTAGGTAAGACGGATCATGCTCTTGAAGCGGCTTGCAATTCTCTGGAAGAACGTGCGATCGGGAACTTCATCAAGCTCTTTGACAAGATTAGTGTAGTGATCTGGCGCAGAGAGAGGGCGCATCATGTTGGGAGACACAGGGTACTGTAATAAGTCAGCGAAAAGAATCGAGACGTTTGTAATTGTTGCAACCCACCACAGAAGTGTATCTATTCTCGAGCAGCGAGTACAAGGCATTGATCTCGCGGTCCTCATTCCTCGGCTTGGGTGCTGATGCTTGAGCAGTGTTGGCCTGGTTGACTTGTGCGACGGGCGCGGCTTCGAGACGCTTCTTCAGGACGGACTGAAAGGAGATTTCAGGGCGCAGACGGTCGACAGGCCATTGTGAAAGGATGCGGGCGTAGTGCTTTGAAGCTTGCTGTAATGGCTTGTCAGTCGCCTTTGTTCGATGGCACAAAGAGTGAAGCACATACAGCGCGTGACATTGTGGTGGATAGCGTGACGAGTGTGGGATTGTTGTGTTTGTAGATTTGTCGCAACAAATGGTGGTTGATCTGGGAAAGTAGTGACGAATGGACTGACAGTCGACAAGGCTCTCTCACAAATTGATCGTCGACGACATCATCAAAAGCTTGCACTCGTTTCCCTTCCCCGGATTCGTGGCGCAGACGGCGATACGCTCGGCATCGGACGGATACGATAGACCGACGAGGGTCCTCGTGGAAGAGGCTGAGGCTGAGACCAGACTAGGCATCGCAATCATCACCAGCGACTCATCATCGCCCGTCCATTCTCTTCTACCATCATCCGCCTTGTTTCTTTAATATTCAAATCATCTGTCCACGACCCCCGACGATTCATCCTGAGTTTTTGCGCCCGACCATCTCTCCCTGTTTCCCTTTTACGACTTCGACTCCACTCGACTCTGTGTTTACTTTCGCCTCCTCCTTTGACCCACGACCCCGGTGACCGCCTCGAGCCTCTCTACGCCCGTCGGCCCACTTCGCCTTATCGCAAGCGCCCGACCTCTGCGCGAGTCCACAACCATGTTTTCCTCCAACTATGAGCGGGTGAGTTTGATCGCGGCTTACTGTTTCCTTTCGCTTGTTTCCTAACGCGACTCCAGGTGCAAACACATGACGAGGACGACCATGTAGCCGGCCAAAACTCACAATCTATCCCTACCTCGCCCCCGCCATCTTTCCGCTCTCGCAACTCTTCTCGCCGTAACTCTGCCCAACAGGATCACCACCACGACGAGGATGCCGACCGAGATATTGACGACGCCTTTGCCGCCCCTTCGGATGACGAATCAGACCACGACGGCCCAGACGCTGATCGCAGGCGGCTTGTTCAACCCAGTGGCCGCGAATCTCCAGAAACTGCTGCACCCGAAGTCCAACCTCCTCGATTAGGACGTAGAGTCACCGAAATTAATATGTTCCTTCCTGGTGGTAGTCGCTCCAATAGTAGCAGAGCGATTGGTGGTGGAACCAGCGCCAATGATGGTGTCTTTGCAAACATTTCTGCGAAGCCTACACGTGGTGAAGAACTAGAAGAGAAGCCTCCGGTATGTTTCGTGTATTGTCGTACTGATCTTGCAATGTACTGACCTTATCGCAGACATATGAACAAGCAGCTGCTGATTCAGCGCCGCCATACTGGGAAACCTCTATTCTGGCTCCTGGTGCCTTTAACAGCGACGACATCTTTGTCGATGGTCTTGTTGTCGGCAGTCTGTTCTCCTTTGTCTGGAACGCTCTTATCTCAATGTCCTTCCAGCTTATCGGTTTCCTCCTCACCTACCTTCTTCACACAACACATGCTGCCAAGCACGGCTCTCGTGCTGGTCTGGGTATCACCTTGATACAATATGGTTTCACATTCCGATCAGTGCCTTCAGATCCCGTCACTGGCGTACCCGCAAACGACCCATCTGGTGCCATCCCCTCAGACCCCAATGATCACGATTTTGATCCTTCCAAGGGAGTTGGATCCGTTGCTGGCCCCGGAGAGACGAACGGACTAGGTGCTCAGGACTGGATCTCGTATGGACTTATGATTGTCGGATGGTTCATCTTGATCCGATCCGTTAGCCAGTTCATCCGCGCAAGGCGGCAGGAGATGATCATCCGCGGCACCAATGACCGTGGTCTCGGTACGGCTGTTGTAGCAAGCAACGAGACACCTGAGCAAGCCGTCTAAGCTCAAAAGGTGGTTTGTTGGAGACTCAGGGGTATTGGTTGGAAGGAATGTAATGGTGTACAGTGGAGTTTCTTCCCTATGTGGCGATGATCATATCACAATTTTTTGGTTTCAAATTGCATTAACAGCGGATGGGTTGATCTCATATTTCCGATGGGGTCAAGGGTTCAGGGTTTCTTATAGCTGTGCGCGTGAAAGCAAGAAATTCAGCTTACTTTTCTCTTCTCACCTTCGGTCAAACATCTGATGTATCGAGTGTGACGATCGTGTGTTTGGCTCATTGATAGTAGTCGAACAATATAATTACATGCCCCATCCTTCCAAGAAAAAACCACCACTTCATCTCCTCGGGAAGAACCTCTGAACATTTCTCCAAACCCCCATCGGCGACTTTCTCAAAAACGCCAAATAGTACGCAGTACCAAACACCAACCCACCCAAATGCCCAGCATGCGCAATCCCCGAGTTCGGAGAATCCAAAAAATAACTATCCACCAAACCATAACCGGCCACAAATACCCAAAGAGGGAATGTTATGGGGATAAGCATCAATTGCATAGGAGCATTAGGAACCATACATGCCGTCAGTGCTCCAATCCCCATGACAGCACCCGAAGCACCCAAAGCTGAAGAGTTGTAGTTGCGAGTTTTGTTTTGCCAGTCCGAGGGGGAAGATTCTGAGATTTTGCGCTTGCGGTGGTATAGGAAGCCGAAACCGCCCATTACTGCCGAACCCCCTGCTACGGCGAAAAGATGCAAACCATTCATACCTGGTATAAAAGCACAAAGGCTGCAAAAGTTGTACAAGGAGAGCATGTTGAAGGCGAAATGGACGGGGTCAATGTGAGCAAATGCAGATGTTAGGATAGTCCACCAACGACCATTGTCCCAAGATGCTGGAGAAAGTAAAGTGTGGCTGAGGAGTTTCTTTTCTAGTTTCCAGTCTTTGGTATATTTTGCGTAGTTGAGGGTTCCAAAGACTAGGGCGTTTGCGGTGAAGAGGAAGTAGAAGGCTGACATTACGCCGTTGCTTCTGGGGGAGTGGGAGTAGCCGCTTCCTGAGTGGTAGAAGCGTTGAAGTTTTTGCAAGCGAGAGCTGGTGATTGGGTCGAGATTGTTGTTCATCTTGCGAGTTGTTGATGGGGTGAAGAAGGAGTGGCGTGGTTGAAGTAGTGATGAGGTCTTGGTGGTTCGGAGAAGAGATGAAGCCTTGTGGGACTGGAGAAGAGATGATGCTTTGCGAGTTTGAGGGATTGAGTTGGAGTTTGCCACACCTAGTCTTTGGCGAAGCAATTGGGAAAACATTGTGATAGGGGAGTGGACGAGAAGGAGAGGTGGTGTTATATCCTATGTGGTCGTCGGATGATGCTCGCTTATGATGCAAGAACGCGGCACGAGCAGTCGTGGCCGGCGCTTAATGAGAAAGAGCTTTCTTGGGTGCTGCCAGGATTCTGTATATTCCGCTGCACGACTGGACTGACGAGAGACTTAGCGACGATGTCTCGTGCGAATATATCGAGTATCCCAGTCGGCAAGAAGAGGTGATGGATGTATAAAGTGGACCACTGCCACCCGTGATTGGCCGACGTGTGCCAAGGCTTCACAAAACAGCTTGATGTTCCAACATGGACGAGCGGCGCACGACGACTTTCTACCATCTTGACTTGATCTTCTTCTCCGCCGCATTCTTGTGCACCCCCGCTCGATCTACCACCAGCTCGCTTCTCTCTCTTTGCCCACACTAGAACCGCAACCAATCTCGCCGCTCGACTTCACTCCTCCATTGACGTGAAAACTGCGTGATACCACGACACGAATCTCCTCTACTCGATCACCACAAGCAACAGCTTACCCACGCAAATCAACTACAAACAATCCGCTCTGCTCGAATTGCGCCTACGCTACTCCACTCGGTGCTTTCATTCACTGCGCGCATTCACTCAAACGTCTACGCCATTCGACACGACTCATATTCCTAGCATTGCGTGTCCTCCGAGCTCACGTCTCTTTCTTCTCGCCCATCACCACAATCCACACAACATACAATGGCGGATCAACTCGCAAATCAGCTCGAAGCTGCTTCGCTCAAGTATGCCGACATCGGTCTACCACCTCTCTGGAACCACGCGCTGACAATATCCTCCCCAGTGAATCATCCCAGCAAGACAACAACTGGAGGTCAGGACTGAAGGTGCCTGCCAAGGACGGCAGAGTCCAAACAGAAGATGTCACCGCGACCAAGGGTCTTGAGTTTGAAGATTTCTACCTCAAGCGCGAACTGCTCATGGGCATTTTCGAATCAGGTTTCGAAAAGCCCTCGCCCATCCAAGAAGAAGCTATCCCCGTCGCTCTTACCGGCAGAGATGTCCTTGCCCGCGCAAAGAACGGTACCGGAAAGACTGCTGCTTTCATCATCCCCACTCTCGAACGCGTCAACCCTAAGAACAGCAAGATCCAGGCCTTGATCTTGGTACCTACGCGAGAGCTTGCTCTCCAAACATCGCAAGTATGCAAGACGCTTGGAAAACATCTTGGTGTCAACGTCATGGTCACTACTGGAGGTACTGGCTTGAAGGACGACATTATCCGTTTGAACGAGGCTGTCCACGTCCTCATCGGTACCCCTGGCAGAATATTGGATCTTGCCAGTCGAGGTGTTGCCGACCTGTCGACCGCCCAAACATTTGTCATGGACGAGGCCGACAAGCTCCTCTCCCCTGAGTTCACCTCGACTATTGATCAGTTGCTCTCATTCCACCCTCCGGACCGCCAGGTCATGCTCTTCTCGGCCACTTTCCCCGTCATTGTCAAGGAGTTCAAGGACAAGCACATGAAGGACCCCCACGAGATCAACCTCATGGATGAGTTGACCCTACGTGGTATTACCCAGTACTACGCCTTCGTCGAGGAGAAGCAAAAGGTCCACTGCCTCAACACCCTCTTCTCCCGCCTGCAGATCAACCAGTCCATCATCTTCTGCAACTCTACTACCCGTGTCGAGCTGTTGGCTAAGAAGGTGACTGAGCTCGGCTACTCGTGCTTCTACTCGCATGCACGCATGTTGCAACAGAACCGTAACCGCGTCTTCCACGATTTCCGCGCTGGCCACTGCCGTAACCTTGTCTGTTCCGATCTTCTCACCCGTGGTATCGATATCCAGGCTGTTAATGTTGTCATCAACTTTGACTTCCCCAAGAACGCCGAGACCTACCTTCACCGTATCGGTCGTTCTGGTCGTTTCGGTCACCTTGGTCTCGCTATTAACTTGATCAACTGGGAGGATCGCTTCAACCTTTACAGAATCGAGCAGGAGCTCGGCACTGAGATTAAGCCCATTCCTCAGCACATCGACAAGGGTCTGTACGTTTACGATACCCCCGAGAATATCCCTCGCCCCATCACCAGCGCCCCGCAGTTGCAGCAACAGCCCCAAGAGCGCCGTCAGCACCACCAGCAGGGCTACCGTGGCGGTCGCGGTGGTAACTACCAGGGCCAGCAAGGTCAGAGAAGAGGACCTCCCCGCAACCAAAACCCCTCCCAGGGCGGCCAAGGCGGCCAGGGAGGATTCCAGCAACAGCAGGCTCAATACAACCAGCAAGCCTTCCCCACCCAACAGCAGCAAGCTCCTTCATACCCTCAAGGTGGCTTCGCTCAGCCTAGCACTTTCCCTACCCCCCAAAGCTTCCCTCAGCCTCAAGGACAACAGCCCGGCAGGTAGTCAGGGCATAATTTTTCTGAACTTTTTTTCTTGGTTCTTTTCACGGCGTTTACACTGGAGTTGCCCTAGGAAGGTCTATTTGCATTCTCACGATGGGATGAGGAGAAGAGGGAAAAGCAAGACATGGATTGTCCTCGCGCCACGCTACCAATGAAGTTTACACCACCTGCCTTCCGGTCCAGCACAACGTCGATACTTCTATATTCAACATCACCGCCCGTACGCGCGCTTCTGGTTGTAGCGAACACAACCGGGCTACTTTTAACATCATTTCGATCGTCTTCAAGCGCCATTTCGACACGACGCATGCCTTTCCATTTCCTGAACTCCCTTTTCATGCACCATGTACCATCAAGTTTTTTGCACTCTTTTCCCGCTCTATACCGAGGTGTATCTGTGTTGAACCAAATCCGGCTGGGCCTAGGTCAACATGGTACCTTTGTTTATTACTCTGCTTTTTATCACCCTCTACACCCTACATCTGTTTACCCGACTTTGCAACTTTACTCTCTTCACTCTTGAGAACATGATCGACACTTTCAAGTCGTGGTCGGCAACATTTTTTCGAATCCGATCTCGACTTGATTGCCAAGAGCGATACAAGAACTTGACACCTGTGGCGCCTCATGGACGCTGCATTCAAAATGCCGACATTATCGAAACCAGACCAACACTATGGTTTTCTACCTACACTGTCTTATGACACCCAAACAAACTGTTGATCATCCACCTTCACCAGCCTTGACCTCCTAGGCTAGTCGAAGGTGTGAACCAGATCAGTACCAAGACCTTTCTACATTCCCACATTCTCTTGTAAACACTCTACCTTATTCAGACTTGATCTCAGATCTGATTGAATGAGAACAAGTGATTGGAAGGAAGAGGGGGACACTTGGTTGGAAGGAAAATAACCCAGAAAACAATTTTTGATGGAGAGAATGGAAAGGATCAATCGAGAGCAGGAAAAGCTAGGTTCCGTATAGCGTTACTGTTACTGTCCTCAATGTCAAGATCCTTCTCTTTCAATGTTGTGTATCTCTGTGTTGATCTCGTGTCCTCGGTTGGTCATGCTGTATAAGCTTGCTACTGTCGCATGATCAGAACTTGATGTTGCATGACCTCTTCGCCCTTGTGCTATCCCAGTCCGACCTCGTTGACTTTTCAGCCTAGACGTCCTCATTGGCTGCATCTCGACATGTTCAATAAGCTTCCTTTGTCTTGTAAGAAAAGCAATGCACAGCAATACTAACAAACAACACTCGGAGAGCCCCGACACTAAATGAACTCTTCATTCGACATGGATATTCACTACCGACGTTCTGTTTCTCCATTCACAAGCTCCCCCCCCCCCCCCCCCCTCCTCTGCTGTATAAGAATACAGAAAAGATTTTTTTTTTACAAATCAATCTTAGTAGCAACCATATTCTCCGACATGAAACCAGTAACAAACAACCAACCCCTTTTCTTTCCTCCCTCCAACCCGGGATCAATACCGATGACTACAGCAGCACTAGCTGTTCTAACTTTACCCCCGTCATCTTGAAAGACCAATTTCTTTTGCCAATTGCCCTCTTGTTGTCCCTTTGATAAAGTGTGGGAAGGGTCTGGTTGTACTAGCCATACGTAAACGGGATCTTTGGCGTTTGGGGTTTTGATGTTGGAGGCGAGGTCTAGTCCGCGGGCTAGACCGGCTAGGATGTAGCCACTTTTGTCGTCGGAGTCGGTGGCCCAGGGGTCGTGGTACCAAGTCGGGTTATCCAGGGTAGAGTCCAAGTGTATGCTCTCCCTAACTTCTAGAGTCTTGTTCTCGGCGTGCGGGAAGGCGCGGTAGAGGATTCCTCTCTCTGCACTGACCACCGTGACTTCTTCGCTTTCGTGAACATGGCCTAGGCCATTATTGTTCTTGATTCCCGTCAGAGCGGTTTGAACTCCCAAGCCTTCAGAGGGAGAAGTAGCGTAGAGATCTGTAATGGACACGAGTTGTGTATTCGACCATTTCACCGGTGCCACGCCCTCAAGTTCTCTCATCAAGCCCTCCCTGTAGAAATGGTCATTCGTGACATAAAACTCCGTAGGGCTGATTGCGTGTATATCATTAGGCGTTTCAATACGTGGATGGCTGATTGTGCGAATGTGTTTTGCTGTACTGGTGCCAATGACATGTCTGAAGAGTTCGATGCGTGAGTTACTCTTTTGAATGTGTTCGCGACGAGAAGCCACGAATTCTGGATTGGGTTGATGGTTTACGGCGAAGATGTATACAGTGTTTTTTGCCGAAGGGTCGGCGATGACATCGATGCCGTGGGTTACAAATGTCTTGTCGAAATCAATAAAGGACAGACGGATGCTTTTCATAGTCTGTAATTTTGTTTATTTAATCAGTGTCTGTACTTTTCCTTTCTCAAGCTTTGTAGAAAAACATAGTAACGTACCTTGGGATCAACGACATGAATACTTCCCTGTGTCCCATCCGTGGGCGGCTCGAAACTTCCCAATGGAGGAAACCATGAAAACCTGGTATGTCTATCCTCACAAGCCGTAAACAGCAAGTTTGCAGGGGCATAGTAATGCAAATCTTCGCAATGAGTCGTGTCCTCTATCTTGACATAATCTGCTGCATTCGCTATCGTCGAGGTTATTGCAGGTCTACCCACTCCAATAACTTTGAGCTCATGGCGGATTGGAGGGATGATGTAGGTGGAGAGTGCCGCTAGAGCGGCAATCGATGCCACAGTTATTGTTCCTGGCATGCTTGGCGATGGTATAGGAAGATGGAGAGAAAGGGAAAGAGTCAATTGACAAGGGGGATGGGCTCAAGATCAAAAGACGTTTGTGGTTGGAGATGACGTGGGGATTAAAGTTTAGTGTATGAACCGTCTGGGGCTCCACGGTTAGATCGGAGATAAGAGATGGAGGTCAACCTTGATGGATTTTAGTGTCTAGGAGAGAGATGGCAGCAATCATGAAGGAGGTGATGTGATTGACGCAAGATCTGGATCCGAGACGTAGAGTTTGTATAGATGAGCATGTATGTTGTGGGAGGAACGAGCGTTGACCGATCGACATGCAAGAGAAATTAGACTGACAACGTGAAGGACCTCGATCCTGGCGATGTAGAAAGCTTCTTCCGGAGTAACGCGCCCCGGAAGATGGTTGATAGATTGTGCAAAAAATATGCCTTACTGTAACGCCGAAAATTGAGAACCCACTTCACCTCTCGGATGAGCCTCATAAACCATCTTACACCACTTCGTACTCGCATCTGGAGCCGACATCGTAGTAATCCTCATCTTCTCCCGATCGACAACCATTACCCTGCCAGTGATATTCTCAAGCCATCCCATCTCACCTTCGATCTTGAACTTCGGCACTAATCGTCTCGACTCCTCAATCTGCATGTCTCTCTGGAATATCTCGAACAAATCTCTTCTTTCCACAAGTCTCTCCATATAAAACTCCATTCCAAGTTTCGCATCACCATGCAAGATCCCACCGTAGATAGTGAGTTCGTCTTTGAGTACGCTCAATTGCAGATAGGACCAGATGAAATCATCAAGTTGCTGGTTGGCCAACTGTGCCCGCTCGTGGTTATCGTGCACAACCTGCACAAAGTCCTTGGGCGGGGCAGCGGTGATATGGATCATGTCCAGTCTTTGGGCTATAGAGCATAGAGTGGCAATCGCCGGCCATGCTTGTCGTAATATCGCTCGATTGTCAAACCAGTAACGTCGCTCTGCACTGACGTAGTATGGATCCAGTCCAATTTCCAGGACCTTCAAGGCTGGAAGGTGTTCATTTACTGCGCTGAAAAGAGCTTGCATACTCTTCTGCCAGAATTCCCCCTGCAGTTGGAGTGTTTGAATTTGTTTGCCTGCAGAAATCGGTAGTGCCTCGAAGACTTTGGCGATGAAATGAGGGTACTCGACCGCACCACCATAATCGTGCATCGGTCGCCACAGCCCCAGCGGAGTAGCGGCATATAGTACTGGTGAGGCTTCTCGGTAGATGGTTCGACAAGTCAAAAGAATAGCACGACAATTTTGGCCGGCACCAAAAGCGACACCGGAGTTGCCGTACTTCTGTTCAAAGAAGCGTCCATCTTTACGGTATCCGATGGTGTTTGGCTTCCACTTCGGGTATTCTCGTGCAATGTATGTATCATACGTGAAAGCGCCGGCATTGTCGGGTATGTGTTGATAAATGATGTCGCGAAGCTCACGAGGGAGGTCGAAGAAGGAGACGAGCGGGGTCTGCCGTCTGTCCATCGTCTCCATCTGGATTGTTGTTTCTTTGCTGCTCTTTCCTGGCTTTGATAGGGCGAAAAATGCAAGTCAGCAGAGACTGGAATCATGAAGGTATCATCCCAGAAGGTGATCTTCTTATCAGATGACATACACGCGACGGATGCGGCAGCCTAATTGACCCCGCATAACATTCACCACACTGCAAGTCACACATGCTAGTTATGTCAAGAGGCACGCGCATGTAAGTAAGTCGGTATTGTGCATTGCATCTGTGGAGCACGAAGCTAACGTCATTGTGTGATTGCCTGCCTCATAGCAATTTAATTCTCTGAGCAGACCGTATTGCCAGTAAAGCCTCTCCTATTAGAAAGGCGTTGTTAGACTTCCACTATCAAGCAAAGTACTGAGGCAAGCAGTCGCAGGAATACGGCTTCTCCACAATGTCGCGATGGGCCTTGGGATCCTCTAGCTTTTCAAGCCAGGCCTTTGTTGCCCTGTTGAGGTCATCCATGTAGGGCCGTAACAATGGAGTACGTGCTACCCTCTCAGCCCAAGTGAAGCTGAAAGGCTTCAGAGTCAACGCATCTAGCATGTATACGAGTTATCTGACAACGGCGGGTCCAGATGCTGGCTGCTGTAGACGTTTCAGGACAATCACCGAGAGGTGCTTGATCTGAATGCCCGTCTGATTGATCCATGCCACCGGTGAGCCATGCGCACCCATTTGCGATACCGTGTGTTGGTCTGGAACGCTTCCTCCGGCATTGCAGATGATGAGAGTAACTTTTGACAAGAAGGCTCCCATTGGCTCATGCATGCTGCGAAGTAGTGCTTTCAAAGGTAGTGAGTACAAGCCAAACATTCCCAGGAAAACTACGACTTCCAAGCGTGAGTAGCTTGACAAAATGGGCCTGGCCTCCTTAGAGATCTGATGACAAGACTTCAAGATCCCTACATGCACGTTGCCATTCTCTAAGACAAAGGGGCTTAATGGCCACGGTGGAGCATGAGATGATTTCGACTTGCAACGGTGGAATCCTATACTCACACAGTCTTCACATGTGGCTAAGGCGCCTGAAAGATGTGCATCGTCGTGCTCGCACCAAAGCAGGCGGGCAGTGTTAACTTGTTCAGGTGTGAACAGACAGTCGCAGATCATGTTGCGTATCTCAGGCGGCAGCGACAAGAAGGATAATCCAGACTGTGGCTGCTTTGCGACGACCAAAGGCAAAGCCGCATCGACGGTGGGTGGTGGTTTTTGAGACAACGCCATATATGCTATGTGTGGTGGGGGATATGGAGAGACTTCGCTACTTTTGGTGGGCGAAGAAGCAGAGGCTTTGTCCTTGAGATCGGGGTCTGGAGGAGATGGAGTGGAGGATGCCATTTTGAAACCGATGCACGACGGGACGAAGTTTGTATGCGTTGGCGAGGTGTGAGAGGATGATGGAGTTGACAACGGGAACTGAGTGAGGACGGCTCTGACTTGCGACGATGATCGGAATGAAGAAGTGGAAGACAGCTTCAGAATGGCGAAGCAGGTTTGAGAACGAGCGAATTTGTCAAGGGTGGACGGTCGAGGGAAGGTGCAAATTAATAAATTTGGAAGCAGCGACCTTCAAGGGTTAATAGTTTCATTTTCACATCATGGACCGCCGAGAGAAGCAACGTGTATGTATAATTGAGCGATCTGAGAGCTAACAGAAGGTTTAGCTTGAGTGTGAGCAAGGTATAAAGCGAAAGGCAAGGAAATATTGGAGCTCATGGCGAGCTAGAAAAGAAAAACAGCGAAGCCTAGTGCGGATGAAGGAAACAGCAAAGTCAGGCACAGCAACATCTCGCGATCAGGTTAGCGGACCCAGACGCTCAACCCGATTCCTCCCCGATCAACTCTCTCGACGTTCTCAGTGTGACGGGCAGCACAAAGATTTTAGCTGTGGTTGACCTTGCCGACGAAATGGATTTCCAGCTGATCTCCCTAAGCTCCAACTCCTGCTCCTGTCTGACGAAGCTGAACCGATTGATCGAGTATGAGGGGCACGTTGTCCATCAGCCTTCCGTTCAAACGGTCGCGGAATTTGCGAATCATAGCCATCAATGCGACGTCGTTTTGTCTGTCTCTGGAAATGCCTTTGAACAGTGCTGCACGCTTGGTAAGGCTCATTTCGACGATAGGCTGCTTCACCACCATCAGATCAAACTTCCTGAAGATCTCGTGTGCAGTAGCCACACTGGCATCGTAAGATCTACCACGCGTTGGGTCCCTGGTGACAGTAACGATTCCGGGTGCGTATCCGTTGAGCGCGATCATGACGTTGCCGACAATCTGCATAAAGAGTTTGCGATCTATAGAATTCTCATGTTTCAGAGGGGCGACTGCGAAGTTGAGGGAGCCAAGATTGCAGGGAAACATAGGCAAGGCGCTGAGGCCGCTGAGCGTGCCGGGGTATGGTCGCAGAAGGATCGAGAGATGGGTCTCGGAGTAAAGCATGGGCATTGCTTCCGAGTAGACTTGCTTTGAACATCCGAGGATTGCAGGGTAGATTCTTCCACCAGGTCGTTCAACTAGACTACCCTTCTCGTGATCATCGATAATGGCATGGCATTGGCAAACAAGATGCACTCTGCCTGATAGGCACCAGATGCACTTTCCCTCGATGCTGCAGAGTGCTGTAGCTTGTTCGAAAGAATCGACGGAGGTCGGCAGCACTCTCTGGCCGACAGTGCGGACTTCACCTCTTTCTACCGAGGTAAGTAGATGCTGGTAGACGAGGGTGCGCAGTTCTGGTGGGAGTTGCATGAACGATGGTTTCGACATCGAGCGAGCCATCACGAGATGGGTGTAATGAGACAAGGGCGATAGAGTGTGGATGTACAGGTATAGGATAAGATGGGTGCGCAGCAGATGGAGGCTACGCGCGCCAGGTCGGTGTCGAAATTGCAAGAATAACTGTTGCTGGATGGATGCACGAGACAGAGGTGAATTGAGGTGGTCTGGATTTGGGAAGTCAAGTCGGGGCAGAGCATGGGTCCTTACGCGTGGGACTGCCGAGACAAGACCCGATCGGTCGGAAATACCGAAACGGACCGTCACGACGGACGTACTCGAGCCAAGTCGAGCGCTGTCAAGACCACACATCACGGCAGTGCCGAGACAGGATCCATGCCAATCGAATCGTCGAGCCAGAACACCCAACCAGATGCATCTGAGCCGAGCTGAAAGCTGCTGTACACTGTCAAAGCCATCGCCACAAGTAGATATCGAGTGCCGAAACACGACACTCATACTGACGATGCGAGCTAAGTCAAAGACCAAAGCAGAACGTTACAGGTAGAACGCTCAAAGGCTTAAAGACCGCAGGGAACCTGAACGAACATATGCAGGCCAGTGTTGAATGCTACAAAAGGGCACTCGATCGAAGAGATCCTGGTCACCCTTGCTTAGAAAACCAACGACTGACCCAGGTCAAATCGAACAATGGTACAGCGCGCTCCGATCAAGAGGAAACTTGAGCCAGCCTCGCCTTGATGAATGCGAACAGCCGCACACACACGGACCCACGACGAGTATGCTTTGCCAGGCGGGAGCTGTTGTATGCGTATATATTGGCAAACTCGTCCATCGACTGAGTCAGGCGCACCAGTGGAGCACACAAGAGCCTGCCTCGACCAACAGTGCCGGTAGACTCGGAAGTCCTGCTACTTGATGCAACTGGCAACGACGACCACTCCCAAGGAGCTGATCGACCACTATTCAACAACTTCGGTGACCCACCAAGGAGCTGTATCGGAGCGAGGTAAGACTCGACCGGAAGCCACCAGTCATCGCCGAGGACCCGGCGACCGTTGGCTCAGAACATGAGCTGTTTCTCCTGGGCAGTACGGGGTTGAGCAAGAGTACCACACCTTCAGATCCTCGCAATGTCCCTGCCAGGTAGAAGTAATCGAGATGCAAGTCACTGGGTATGGGTTTGAAATGACATGTACATGTCGGCAGGCAGCATCTTTCAAGCGATTAGCTTTGTCAGACCAACAGATCTACTTAACTGCTGAGTTCCACACGCTTTCCGAGGACAGCGCGAGCATCACTCTCAGCCAATACCTCCAAGCCCATCTCCTCTAGCACGTCTCGAGCAGCCTCATTGTCCATGAAGACTCTTCTTTCGACTTCAAAGAGACCCCATTTCTTCTCTTGGGTCACCTCGTTTTTTGGGTCGACCTCAACAGGAAGCTCGCCCCTTACAGGCAGGTCGAGCAGTGTCAAACCATTGTCAAGGCGCAGCATGGCAGTTTGACCAAACCCGTTACCGAGATAACGATCAAACACGCTGCAGATGCCTCTAAAGTCTGACTTGAATTGTGAAGCACCAGCACTCGAAAAGTTGTGGCGGAGCAGCACATTGTCCCACAACGTGATCTGGAGACTGTGGCCTACGACGCGACAGATACGACGCAATGCAGGTCTTGCTAAAGCTCGGGACAAGAAAGCAAGATGTGTGTCCAGGAAAGCAAGAGGAGGATCCAGTTCAGCCGTCAGACTAGACTCACTGCCTGAAGCAGAGAGAGACGCCCATGGGCTGATACGAGTGTATGGCCTCAAGACATCACGAAGGTGGTAGATCAGAGTCTCACAGATGACCTCCTCAGTACGGACACGCAGTCTGCGGTAGCTGCCGGCCATGATCTCGAACAAAGCGCCTTCGAGCTCCTGGGTCTCTTGCGAATTATTGATCGAAGCATTCGTCTTCGCCGCGATCTCAGCCATGTTCAGATCGCCCTTGATCTCGATCTTCGATGACGCTCTGTATTGCAGCTCTTCCCAGAGCTCAAGGAAGAAGACGTCATCGCTCCAGTCACGCATAGCTCTTTCCAGGTATTCTGCAGAGCCAAAGATACGACACAGATGATTCATGCCTTTGACCCCTGAGAGTTCAGCTTGTTCTTCTTTGGTAACACCATTGACAGCACGTCCGACAGCTGTGGTGTTTGTCAAGAATATCTGCAGGCTGTTGTTTATGCGAAGATAGAATCTGTTGAAGATCTCAAGCTGGATGTCAGTCAAGAACCGAATCTTCTGACTAAATGACGACAAAGATCTGTAGCGCTCTGTGATGGTCTCAAGAAGATCATTGACTCGAACGGCGGCCTTGGTGGGCTTGGTACTCTCAGCCGACACAGAATCAAAATCAAGTTCGAGTGTTGATCGATCCGAGATGATGCTTTCATAGCGAGCCAAAGCAAAGTCGCGCTCCACAGCTAGCCACTGCACAAAGTAAGACTGTTTCTCCAGGACATAATGCGCAAGGCCACGCCACACAGTAGCGGGAGAAAGCGGTGTGTAGTTCCATTCCTCTTGCAGAGTGGCGTCGAATGTCATGACCTCATGCATCAGGTTGCTGAGTAGCTGTGGCTGGTCTGCAACTTGTGGAAGAACTGACAGCAGTTTTTTCTGCAACATTGGTATCAGAGCAGTGATGAGCGCCGATGTCGCATCAATGTAGGCAGGAATCAGGGCAAGATCAGAACCTCGGAAGTTGGCCAAAAGCTGAGGCTGCAGATTACTTTGGAAGAATCCACAGTAGGTGTTGATCAACTCCAGGACATGGTTCAAGAAGTACTCGGGCTTGTCCAGACGGTTGGTTGGACGGTCACCAGAGAAATGGTAGTTGAAACGAAGCTCGAGTGATTGTACCATGATTTCGAGGGGTAGCAGCACAGCAGGTTCGTCCTTTGAGGTCTTTGAACTGTTTGCTGTGTCGGCTGACACCAGCTCCGGCTTTTGAAGGTCGATAAGTTTTTCGATGTGGATGTTCCACTCTGCCTGTAAGCCTGGAGGTACCGAGATACCCTGCTTTGGCCAACCCATCTTTGTCAAGGTCTTCTCAAAATCGGCCGCAAAGGCTTGCTCGATTTGATTACGCAAGGTATGGGTGGTCCTCAATACATGGACGATGAGATGAGGAGCGGCACCCTCTGCCGCCTCTGAGAGCGGCTGCAGACTAGCAGAAAGGGCCGATAGTTTCTTGTATGCGGTCAAAGCAGCCTTGTCAGACTTGCTCAACTGTTCACTACCTTCAAGACGTAGTGTGTCCACCTCTTGCAGCATTTCGGCATAGCCTGAAGCCATGTCGAGCTTTCTCAAACGACCCATACTAGATTCAAACTTTTGCAAGGCATCATCGCTGGTTTCTGATTGTGTCACAGCCTGAAGTCGGCGATCAAGGTCATCCTGATCACGCTGGAATGTCGTGGCCTTGTCTTTGATTGATGTCGCATGTCTGTTTGAGGCTTCCTGAGCAATGTCGTGGTCCTTCCGGGCATCATGGAGCTGCGAGAATGTCAGAAGAGAGTGGGCACCGGTCACTCCTGGGCTTTCCACGAACCTGCTGCTTAAGCAGGTCTTGCTGCGCCTTGACGCTTTCCAGTAAGGTGTCTAGAGAGTCCAAGTCGGCAAAAGACTGTAATTTATCGTCCAGGAAGTCGAAAAGTCGGACATCATTGTCCTGATTGTTGCGATAATTCTCGAGCGCCATCCTTGCTGCAAGAGGTTTGTTATTTGACAAGCTGTTCACTGGCACCTGTAGCACATTGTCTGATGACGCGCTCGTGAACGGGCCTCACGCGCGTTGCTACGGAGCACTCCTCCGGGGTGTGGTGAGCGTTGAATCCTTCACGCGTTTGGCTTCTGCTGCCTACAACCATCAATTCACATGTAGATAGTATCGTCCCGCGTAGGTCAAATTTAGGTTGCTATATTAATGCATCATCCGCTCCTCAACATCTCGTCCATCTGATACAGAACCACGCAAGATGGCTCGTCCACCTTATCTCTTTGTCCAACCCTCCCATATTCTGGCAATACGATCCATACCAGCAGTGGAGAATTGCATTGTCGATATGGCTCTACGTTTCGTCATGCTTGGTCGCATCTACACTGCTCGCCAATTCATAGAACTTCTGCATTCGCGTCCGCTTCTACAGACTCTCGACCTTGCAGGCCTACGTGCTTTGGTCCCTTTCTGGCGTTTATCGGCATTCCCTACCGGTATCCCACAGTATATGAGGACGGATGCCTACTTCAGGGAATACATAAAAGACAAAGAAGAACAAGGATTACAATGGCCAGTCTACGTCAAGCAAGAGCAACGTACGGAGAACGAAGCCGGTATAGCTGCAATCTTGTCACCTGAACATGACATCCCTCATTACTACAAAACATCGGGTGCCAGAGTCGCCTTAGAGATTGCGGTCAAGCTCGCCGAGGAACGTGGCATAGATCCAATCGTTGACTCCAAGGTCCAAGAGATTCTCGGCAAGCTTACAGAAAATTACTCTCACGAGGACAGAGATCTGGACCTTATCGACTCCCCGCGCTGCTGGTCGTTATTCACGTCTGGAGCTGTGGCTAAAAAATGGGACCTAAGTGATCAAAAACTCGACGCTCAAGCTGCTGATCTCCTTGAAGCAGCGCGACAGCGTTATTGGCGCGAGCCCTCATCATCGAGTCCGGCATCTATATCCGAGCTTCTCCGGTCGTGTAACGATGATTCTGTGGCAAGGTCTGACGAATACTGGATTGAAGCAGGTGAAGAGAAGCCTCAATCACTCTACTCACCACCCGCCACTGAGGAAGACATTGCCAACCTTGAAGCGCGACTCAAGGTCAACTTACCGGAAGACTTCAAAGAGTTTCTACGCACCAGCAATGGATTTGGCGGGATCTGGAACGGCTATGGTCCTGACCCTCCTATTCTTTCCACTGATGAAATAGACTGGTTCGAATCTAGAGAGTACGAAACAGAGTACTGCCAATTGGAATTACCCTCTTCCGTCACTGAGCTTCGAGATACCCTGGCATACAAAGATGACGATCTCGACCCTCCTCTGTTTGAAGACGTCATCCGTATAGCCAGCTATGATATTGACGATTTGTGGCTCGTTCCTCCCGAGTTGATGCAACGAACGCGTGAGCACTACAAAAAGCTGTATGCCGTTGTTGATGACAATGGAAAACGAACTATCGAGCGTGCGATCGATAACTTCGCTGGCAGTTGGGAAGATTGGGAGAAGCTAGATTGGGGTTGTGTGTACTGCGCGCGTGGTGGCGGCAACGGATGGGGTATCTACAAGAGTTTCAAAGCATGGTTGGAAGATTCAGCTTTCAGCGCAAGGAACGATGGTCAAGTACCGTAGGTCATTGTGGTCGCTTCAAGGCAATCCATGGTTACATGTATAAGACCAAGTCAGTAGTTGATAGATGTGGTTCGTCTGTTTCGATTGCGCCTTCATTGTTCAACGCTACTGTGGGTTCATCACGAAGCACTTTCTTTGCTTTCTCTATTCGTGCTCGATCCTTCGCGGGTGTTACCCAGCATATCCAAGGCTTTCTGTAACAGGAGAAACTTCCGGAAGCGACAGCATTGTCACCTCGACCGTCTGTCTCATTGCGTTTCTTTCACACAACTCCATGCAGGGTCTCATCTCCGTTTCCCTTCTTCGGTTCAACTATAAAGACCTTCGCTCTCCTCCACACACCTAGGCGATTCTCATTCAATCGACTCGAATTTGCTATCGTGTCTGGCAGAAAGTCCACCAAGGCGTCTAGAAACAGAACGAAGGCCGATGCAGATGATCAGTCAAATCCTCCACCCAACTCGAGTATGGTTGACGCCAAATCACCCGATGTCAAGCCAAAGGCCAAAATGCCTAGTAAAAACACCAAGACTATCCCTTCTTCGAAAGCTCTCGGCAAGCAAGTAATGGGTCGCTACAATCCCGCCGTAGATTCAGACACGGAAGAAATCATCGACGTCGCTCAACCTACTGGCACTGAGCCCAATGCTTCTGCAAGCAAGATAAGAAGCTCCAACAATGACAATGGAGAGCCCCTTGCCCCTGTTACCGATGGCGAGGATGTATCCGCAGAACACTCAGACGGCAGTGCAAAAGCCGACTCCAGCATCTTTCCCATCAAGCCCAAGATATGTGTAAAGAAAGGCAAAGCTGCTGCAAAGAAAGACGATACAACTCCTGCCCCTGAGGTTGAGCCAAAACTAATGCACAGTTCATCTGCATACGTACATGATCGCCCAACTTGGTCCACAACACGTCAAGCACTCAATTTTCCTGTTGTTGGACCAAACTCAACGCACAGTCCATTCGTATCGAGATGCTTCCAGCCCCGAATTGTTCCCAAGAAGATTGAAGGGCCTACTGACCCTGCAATCAAGCCCTCGAAGAGCACCCAATACCCATCGTCTCCTCAGACCGTCGCAGATACCCTGCCAAAGAAGACCACAGCACCTCCTGCCCCTGAGGTTAAATACTCTTCGATCGAGAACCCAATCCCTACCAAAATTAGACCCTCCGATCCCAGACACAATCGCTTTCTCGGTCCTGTCAATCAGATCGTATCCCGTGATCGTGGTACGACTGATGAAGACACCGCAATGACTGATTTCGACGGTCCTGTGCCAAGAAGATCAGACACCAGAAATCCCTATGGTTACCCTGACCCATCACGTTCGGTTCCTGTGGACGAGGAAGGTAATCGTAAGTCACTAACCTCTACACCTATCCTGATAGTACCTTATAGCTAATACCGTCATAGCTACGAGCTACTACTCACGTCTAGATGGTGGTACTCAGACCTTGAAATTCGTGGAGCAGGAAGGATCTGACGGCAATCCTTCTGGCTTGCGTGAGTGTTTATACTCCCGCTGTACTCAGTATAAGCTTCCCGGCTAACTGTTTTTCCATAGGTGCTGAGATGACAGAGGTGGAACGCGTCAAGCCCACTGCCACCTATGCCTGTAAGAGCGACAAGCGATGCAAGAAGAAGGATTGCCCTAAGCATGGCAAGAAGTAGAGGCCGACCACAATTGGTCTCTCGAGGACGAGAATAGGAGATGAAAATTGTTTCTGCATCCAGATAGCTTTGAATGCTAGAGTGCGCCGGTGAGTGAGAGAGTGATGGAGGGTCTCAGATGGTATGCTACTACTGCATCTCCATCTTCATGACTCGCTCGAGAACATGGCTGTCGAAATCCAAGGTACTTTTATAGCGCAGACAGATGCTTGCGAGAGACGAAGATAGGGATGTCTCTCCACAAGCCACTAGTAGACGAGAAAATCACTCTGCTTTTTGACAACATCACTTCCACCCTTCCATTGAGCCAGAGACACTGTGCACACGCAAAAACACAAATGGTAGCAAGCCACTGTACAGCAAGAAAAGTAAATTCGTATACAGCATAAAAGAAGAAAAGTCCATCTCCACCACTACTATTACAGATCCTCTCAAGTGGAATTCGAGTTATCAGCACAAGAAAACGCACTCCCGATCTGTCCCGAAGCATATGCCTCTTTGATTTGCACAACAACACCATAAGTACCTCCAATCATGACAAAGATACCCAAAGGGATAAACAGCGCATGCAACCAAAAGCCGACCTTCTGGCCGACACTCCCCTTTCTCCAAGACTTGTGATCATAAATCCACAACCATGCGGGAAGGGATATGGCGAGGGGGGCGAAACAGATACTTCCAGCAAGTGAAAGCAGGTAATCGAAGATTGGCACTGCTTCAGCGAGGACGAAAGAGATGGCTGCGAGGGAGAAGGTGCAGGAGAGCCAGGTGGCCCAATGGGTGAAGGTGTTGGATTGGAGGTGGGGGGAGTCGCGGAGGAGGCGGACGAAGATGTATTTTGCGGCGACGTGGAGGTAGAGACATGCGCTGACTACCAGGGAGGGTAGAGCAATACCATAGCAGACCATCTTGATGGTTTGGCCTGCACTCTGTGGTTTTGTTAGCATACTTCCAGGGATGATTAGGGGCGCGAGGATACTTACACCTAGAGAGGGACTGGCTACCCACTTACCGCACCAGCGGTAGACGATGAGACTGAAGCTGAGGTATGCGGCGGTAACGATAGACATGCAGATAAATAAGGCCTTGCGGTAGTCTCTGGGATTCTTCATCTCAGAAATGACAGGTAGCATAGCACTAGTACCAGCACCAGAGACAAAGATTGTGCAAGAGGCTACCATGCCTGCCGCAAAGGTCGGGTAGGCAATGGCGTAGAAGCCGAACTCGTAGTCGCCGGTCTGCGGTGCTGCAGCAGGTCGGTCCCGGGTTGTAACAGCGATGACAAGGACGAAGACGGCAATGAAGATAGATGCGAATCCAATCCAGGTAAGCCACCCAATCTGATGGAACTTGCGTACTGATGCTGCGGCAGCTACAAAGAAAGTGGCCAGAACTGCCCACCAGACCGAGCAGGCAGCGTGGTGGGACAAGGCATTGATACCGATCGAGACGCCAACGATTCCAGAGCCAGTAAGGATGACATAGGCGACGATGAACATTGCTCCAGTAAGCTCCTTCATGATAGGACCACCAACTACACCAGCCATGTCGGCGATACTGTGGCACCGAGGGTGGTTGTTCCGGAAGTCACCCTGCAAGACTGCAGTATATGTATTGAGAGCTTGCCAGCCAATGACACTCAGTGCACCTCCAACAGCACCTAGTGAGTACATGGCCGATGGGATAGAGAGAACACCGAGAGCGAAAATGGTCTTGAGGAAAATGACCGTAGCCATTGGCCATCCCACAGTTCGAAAGTTGACTCCATCTTCGGTTTGCTTGAAGACTTCAAAGTCCTCGGTGACGCCTTCGAGTTTCTCCGGATCTCCTGGTTGCGTTCCTACGTGTAGGCCTTTTTCCTGGATGGATGGTGTTGAAGACATGTTTGAGATTTTGTCGAACATAGATGAGATGCTGAGTAACAGAGGTCAGGGAGAGCAGTGATGGTCATACTTACATCTGTCGCTAGTCATGACTTACCCCAACACTGATGGTCGTCAGGGTCATATCTAAGTGTGGCAGACGAGGTGATAAGCAGGTACCAAGAGCTCCGAGAAACGGTATCAACACCATTAAACAAGGATCAGATGGCGATGTCGCGCGTGATTGGGTTACTTGTGCATCGTTTCTGCTTCCATGCTTGTTCTCCAGCATGCCATGACTTGGGGTCGTCAGATAAGGGAAAGATAGGCCGTGTTGGGGTCGGTGCTTTTGGTGGAAGAATGACAATCGTTGGGGTCGTTATGTGATAAGATGTGTCTATGCCCCAAACGCTGTATCTGATGGGACTTTTGTAGCGAGCCGTACATATTATAGAATTGATTTAACGAGCTTGGTCTCTGACACTCTACTCGCCCGTTGTGATGCGCTTTAAAATGGCTCTACATTCCCCAAAAGGGCCTCAGTCAGCCAGATCAGACCTTCCACCTGTCTTGTCTGATGGTTGGATTCTCCTCCTTTTAGTACAGTAGGCATTTCGGCCGAACGAGCGCACGAGATAAGGTCATGAGAACTAAGCGATCTAGTCAGTCACTATTGGGTGTTCCAAGTCCACCCTCGATATGCGTGAAGACGATTGCCATAGACGATGCCTGTATGATAAATCGAGGTTGTCCATCGGCTTCAGGGTCGAGGGCGATACCGGAACGAGTGGCCGGCAGCACGGGCGCACTCGGGAGGAAGCAACCCCGCGATCCCCGCCGTGCTAGATGGAGGGGACAGCTCTGGACTTTTGTCATCGCCTGTCGACGTCTTTGACTGCTTGACACAATCCAAACCATAACACATACCGTATCTCCCCAATCATGACGATAACCTCCGGAGCGCCTGCCCATGGCAACCCAGCACACTTGCTGCCCCCATCCTGGACTAGTGTCATCAGCGCCTGGCTAGCTGAAGACACACCTTCCTTCGACTATGGTGGTTTCGTCGTAGGTGCCGCACCAGCAACTGCTCGTCTCCTCGCCAAATCTCCTGGTATCCTCGCTGGTGTACCTTTTGTCGATGAGATCTTCAAGCAATTAGACTGCAAGGTGGAGTGGCTGGTCAAGGAAGGCGAGCTCGTGGGTCAGAATGGCAAGCAACACGTAGCCACCGTAACAGGTCCCACACGCAACCTCTTGCTAGGCGAGAGAGTAGCTTTGAATGTCATAGCCAGATGTTCTGGTATTGCCACAAAGTATGACATACCTTACACCTCTTTACACAAGACACAGGCTAATGACATTGCAATCAGATCGGACTCACTCCTCCAACTCCTCCGCCGCGCCGGCTACAAAAATACCCTCGCCGGCACCAGAAAAACCACGCCGGGCTTCCGCCTCGTCGAAAAGTACGGCATGATAGTAGGCGGCTGCGACCCCCACCGACAAGACCTCTCCACAATGACCATGCTAAAAGACAACCACATCTGGGCCTGCAACAACAACATCGCCACCGCCGTCTCCGCCGCAAAAGCAGCCGGTGGTTTCGCCATCAAGGTCGAGGTCGAATGCCAGAGTTTGGATGAAGCTAATCAAGCTATTGAAGCTGGTGCTGATGTGGTCATGTTGGATAACTTTACACCAGAGGAGATGAAGAGGGCGGCGAGGAAGATCAAGGAGAATTATGGGGGTGGTGTTAGGGGCCCGCTTGTGGAGGTTAGTGGTGGCTTGACCGAGGATAATGTGGAGGATTATGTGAGTGATGATGTGGATATTATTTCTTCGTCGTCTATCCATCAGGGTACTAAACATGTCGATTTCTCGCTCAAGATTGTGCCCAAGGGGGCTGAGAGCAAGGAGGGAAAGGGTGAGAGTTTGGCTGTATGAAAAACAAAGAGCAATCTATAGAATATACAAAAAGCATAATCATGAGCATCAAAACACGTTCTCTGAGAAGAGTAAGTGATGGACAATGTGAGCGGTAAAGTAGTGTTGATACAATGAATCGAAATATGTACAACTTCGGACACTCTAATCCTTGACACCCCACTGCCCAACCATTCCCATGGCCTCGCCACCACCTTCAGCAAGCAACCCCGTCTCATCCCTCAACACCCCAGCAACACAATGCCATCCATCCCTACCACCACCATGCCTCAACACCTCATCCCTAAACCTGTGACCCGCCTCTGGATCCACAGCACCCATCTCACCCCTCTTAAACACATCCTTCCATATCTTCCCCGCAATCGCTCGATCAAAAAGATATGAATAATAAGTCGCTCCATAACCAAACAAATGGCCAAAGAAGCCTTGCCATGACGTTCCCGCCGGCTCAGGAAGAGAGGAATATTTCCCCCAAACATCATGATATGTTCTTGTAGAGTCAAAGCCACTCGACAGCGGAAGCTTGGAATGATAACTCTGATCCAGCATCGCCAATAAAATCTGTGCTTCCGTCTCTGTACCTTGACTTCTTGTATCGAGGTTTACTCGTTCGGCAACTCGACTTGCATCCAATGGTTTATCGGTCTCCCAATGCCTGGCATATAACGCCAAAACCTCGGGGGCAGAAGCAAAGTGTTCCATGAGTACAGAAGGCAGTTCTGCGAAATCGGTGGCGCAGCGTGTGCCGCTTACATTTTGTAGAGCAGTTCTACCACAGATGGAGTGGAGAGCATGACCCATTTCATGGAAAAGCGTTTGAACTTCTCTGAATGTGAGAAGAGCGGGTCGTTTTGTAGCATTACCTTGGGGAATGGCGAAATCGCAGATCAAGGCAATGGTGGGAAGTTGGTATAATTCGTTGTTATCGCGGAGGGACTTGTTGACTGCGAGGCCGTCTGTTGCGGCTTCTTGGGCGGTGTCGAAGAGACCCCCTGTTGCATTTCTGAGGGCTTCTGCTTCTTCTAGTTCGTCGGGAAGGATGCGGCGACTGCAGCGGAGGGTGAAATGTGCTGGGTTGGGTGATTTTCCAGCACGCTCGAACAAATCGCAGTAGATTACAGCAACATGACCTTCACGATCATCGATTACATCAAGGCGACGGACATCGTTGTTCCAAGTCTCTCCGGGAGCAGCTTCCTTTGGCACCAAACGGATGCCATAAAGACGATGAAAGAGACGGGATAACCCTTGCATCACCGTACCGAGCGAAAAGTAAGCCGAGAGCACATCTGGAGTACGGGCTCTAGACCTCATCGAAGACAGAAGCTGATGCTGGTAGTAGTCTCTGTCCCAAGCATTGAGTTGGCCAGGAAAGTTGCCACTGCGCGCATCTGCTTTCTTCATCTCCAGGAGCTCATGAACCTCTGACTGAACCCTTGGAGCATTGTCAGCGGCCAGCGCGTCCAAGAATTTCACCACGGCTTCTGGGCTCTTCGCCATTTTGTCGGAAAGGGCCATATGAGCAAATGAATCATGACCAGATAAGCGAGCTAGCTCGGCACGTTTATGCAGTAAATGTTCCAAACGCTCGATATTTGCTCTGGCCGATGTGCGATTCGCCATGTAGATTTCTCGGCGTGTGTCTGCATCTTCTACAGTACGCAGAGCCAAAGAAGCAGGCATACCAATGGCAGGAAGGGAAACACTTCCCCAGCGAGTCAATTGACGCACGACCAAAGGGTCCATTCCCTTCAACTTGCTACTAGGAAGTTTGAGAAGTGGTGTTTTCGCTACCATCTGATCCACAAACTCTGGACCAATCTCAGCAATATCATTTGAGAGGTCGACAAAAGTCTGGCGATCGGTCTCAGAAAGATCAATGGCGGACTTGGCAAAGTCTCTGGCCAGGATGTTTGCGACGGTCACTTCCTCCTCGCTCCAGGATGCAACGACCTCGGGGAGAGAAAGAGCAGTCTTCAATTGGTCGTTCAGACCAGTAGTTGTATTCAGCACATTCATGTACTCAAACATCTGGGCGTAGGCCTGAGTAGCGGCAGCCTGTATGTTGCGATCCGGGTGGGTAGAGCGGACAAAGTCGCAAAGGTCGATGACACGACATAGCAAGTCACTCAGTCTATCCAAATCTTTCGCAATGCTCTTGTACTGTTCCGGGGTATCATAGGCCAGTACCTTTGTGACTATGCGTTTACATTTTGCTAGAGTGATCGAGGCAAAGTGCTCAAAGCCTTCTGGTCTGGTGAGGTAGCGGTTTTGGAAAAGTCCTACAGGCTTCCGGCTTGGATGGTGTTGTTTGGTAGAAAACTCCTTCCAGAAGGGCTGTGAGTCGAAGATCTGACGTAGTGTGGTATCTTGGTGCGACAGGTTCGGGTCTTGGTGCGAGACAAGCGGCGGCGGGGCGGAAGAGGTCGCAGTGGCGGTCGCGGAGGTAGCAGCGGTGGCTAGGCGACGACGATGTCCATGTCGGAGACACTCGGCGCAAGTCCAGGGCCTTATCGGAGGAGGCTTGAGCATTCTTGGTTCATGTCCAGACAAGTCAGGATTGCAGCAGCGTCATTTGTATGAGCAAAGGCGGGAGCCGGGTGACGGCCGGGGAGTTTTGTTCCGAGCAGTTCAAGGTTGACGACCCGGGGCAGCTCGCACTTCGCAGGCCGGCACTCTTGTCTCGAGATACGCACGTCTTTCCCATCTAGACTCTTCATAATGCCCTTCCAGCCCCTCTTACGGCATGTGAGTGAAGGCTGATGATATGCGCCTGCCAATTGACCCCTGCTGACGCCGTATGCAGAGCGCCGCGCCCGTGGCAGCCCTGACGATGGCTTCGCTCGCTTTCTACCCTAAGAGAAGCGTCTACGCCGAGGAGCTCCAACACGTACGAATATTCCTGAAGACCATACCTCAACCTTTCAGTCCCAGTCTCACACCATGATGCAGCACACGCGCAAGCCCATCTACGACACTCCGCTCGCTGCCACTCCCTCTCCCGCTGCCGTCCACGCGACCACTCTCTCAGACGAGCCCGTCAACACCCCCGTGCGCGATGAGCAAAAGGAACACAACAAGGTCACCACCGAGCAAGTCGCCGCCAGAATCTTCGGCCAGCCCGCCTCGCCAACACCCACCCAACGTCTCGCCGAACAAATCAAGCGCGCCCGCGTCTTCCTGCACGCCCAAGCCGTAAGAGCCGAAGATAACATCGACAAAGGCCTCACCAAAGCCCTGCACCTCGAGCATTCTGCCATCTCCACATTGCAATCCCTCGCACCACCCAGAGAAAGCGGCGAGCGTCTCCTTCCCGGTGGAGTCTATGTCATTGTTGCCGCAATGGCCGGCAGCATCATCGCTCGTAACCGCAACATCCTGCTCCGTGGTATCGTTCCTGTTGCCGCTGGTGTGGGTACTTCTTACGCCGTTCTTCCCATCACTACCCGCAATGTCGGCGATCTCATTTGGAAGTACGAGGAGAAATACCCTGTTGTCCGTGATAACCATATCCGCGTTCGTGATGGTGTTTCCCACTTCATCGAGACGGGTAAGGCTCACTCGCAAATGGGTTACTACCAGGCTGTCGACAAGGTGCAAGGTGTGCGTGAAGCCGTCGAGCAGTGGGTCAGCAAGGGCAAATAAATTGTGAGAAAGTCTTGTCGTTCCTTTTGTTGTTTCCCCTCATAGACTTCTTAACGCCCTTTTTGTGTCCTATCTTTTGTTCCCTGCTAGCCATACGAGTACATCGAATGAAAAAGTCTGTATAGTACGATATGATCAGAGACACGGCAGGACTTTCTCGTTAAGAATGCAATTGGGTTCTTCTATCTGAAATGCTGATCGAGTATGCTAAGGATCTAGCCTAGAGTGTTTTCCTATTCAAAACCATGCCATGTCTGCCATTTTCGTGCCTAATTCAAGCATTGCCCTTCAGTCCACGGCCTTCTTGGCAGCCGGACTCTCGTACTTGCTGCGAAGGAACTCCTCGACATTCCTATCGCCAACAGCATCCACTCTTGGATCCTCCGGCTTCTTCGGGGGCTGTTCCTGCAACTGCTCCTTATTCTCCTGTTGCGTTCCATATCCCACAGCAGCCAGCGCACTCGCTCCAACGCCAGCAGCAGTATCATAAGCCTGCCCTGCAACCTGCTTAGCCTGATCCACATACGTGGGCTGAGGCAGCTCTGGCTCCGGCATGGGATGTTCTTTAGGCGCCTGCCCAATAGTGTTAGGCTCGTTCACTCCGTACGTGTCGCCAAAAGTGCCTTCGCGCTTATCGGGCGTGCCGTCTGCGAGGGTGCCGTCGGCGTGCGTGTGGGATTGGGCAATGTAGCTCGTACCTGATGTGCCCGTTCTATCGGTGCTGGGTTGGTTTGCGGAGGTCATGGTTGACGAGACTTGGTGCTGCTCACGCACGGGAAGGGCTGTGTGGTTGCCGGTAGGGGCGTCGGTGTAGGTTGGTGGAGGCATGGCCTCGCTCTGTCCTGGGGGTGGGCTGGGCGGGTGGGTGTCCACGCCGCTGGTGGTTCTGTACAAGGAAGCGTCCTGTTTGGCAGCAGGAGCGGAATGTTGTGATGACTTGACAATGGCAACCTTCTGCTCGCGACGCTTGCCGCTCTCTGAACCTACGGCCAAGGCAACTCTGTCACCGTTCGCCTCAGTCACCCACCTAATGGGACCAGTAGGGATGGTGTCCATGCCGTTCAGCTTGTGTGGAGCAGTCCATTGGAGAACGTTGTGAAGATCCGGATCAATGTTGGGCAGATCACCAAACTTGTACTTCAGCTTTCCGCCGTATTGCTCGGGGATATTCTCGGGCTCGATGTATTTCGAAAGCGTCGGGTACATTTCTTGCTTGGAAAGAATGAAGATCTTGGACTGCATGTGCGTTAGTAACTATACCTTCTACTCAGCAGGGGAGTGGTACATACCACAGTGATAGGGTCGAACCACTTCTTGACCCAGCTCCAGACAGTAGGGAAGAATGATGGAGCACCAATGATGAAGATTCTGTCCAGAGTTTCGGGATAATGTGCCGTGGCCAGCTGACTGGCATCTTGCATGTGGTTCTTCAGATTCCAGAATTGTCTCAATCCGACGTTAGAGATGTCGACAATGTTGCTTGACTGTGACACGGGTGTCTCTGGGTAAGGGCGATTGGGCATCTCGGAGCACAAAGGAAGAACAAAGTTGGTGAGGTTCTCGTAGAGAGCGAAGAGACGGAGCATCTTGGCGGGTATCTTAGACTGCACGGATTGGTTCTTGGACGAAGTTGAGGCTTCATAAGCCGAGACAGCCTTGCTGTTCAAGTGGGCGACTTCGAAGATGTATACCGGGATACCGCGGCGATCTTGTCGACCAGTCCATTGGGGGTACTGCAGACTGTCAGTATATGGGCTGACTCTTGATTCCGTTTTCACCGACCAAGACGCGGGTCTGCTCGTATTCGCTGATATCGATGGTGTCGTAGAGCTTCTCCAGCTGGTTCTCCTTGCGCCAGTCCTCAGTGTCCTTGAATTGACCAAATGCTTCACCGGGCACAAACTTGCGAGCACGCAAGTACCGTCTACCAGGGTCAGCGGGAGTCCTTGAGGATCGTCTGGCCTTGCTCACAGCATTGTCTCGTCATCATGACTGGGGAGGCCATTGGGACCGCCGGTGGGGTTATAGTATCCCTTTTCCTGACATAGCTCCTTGAAAGCTAGTAGTGCCTTTTCTTGTCCAGCACTCAAGTGTCCGACATGGGTCGCCGGGTACTACGTTGCAATTGTCAGCTTTCACTGCCCTATGAATTGACTTCGGCGGCTAGCCATACTTACCTGGTACGACTCCATACGCTGCAAGTCCGCTCCAGACATGATCTGTATGGTTTTCCGGCGATAGCTTTGAGAGATGTGATAGGTCCTTAGGGAAGCGAGATAGAGGTAAAGGAACAATCTCCTATACCGATCGCGATCCTGCAACTAATTCCAAGTCATCACTCCTCTGGGCACCGTCATAATGCTCGGTGTGCTCGGAAGCCGTTGCAGCCGCACCCCGCCATGCTCTGCCAAGCGTCCTTCTGCCTTGTTGTAACTTCTACTCGTGAAAGTGAAGGCATTGTTAGTTTGTTACCTTTGAAACACGAGCTCGTACGACATGCTATTTTAGTCTTTCTGCGGTAGCTGATACAAGTCTCTCTTCATGAGGAACGCCACCAAGGTCCGCCACGTCGAGGTAATGTTCCCTACCTGGCAAGACCAGGCGTTGCAGCATCCGAGCAGTTCTGAGGAAAGCACAGAACACACTTGAAGGAACAAATAATCTTATCTAATCTTATCTCATTTTCAAGATGGACCTGACTCTGTGTCAGCACAGATGATCACATCGAATCAGAGAAGTTGTTGACGTGTCTGTGTATTGTTGACTTCTCTCAGCTGTATTGAGAATAAGGACGCAAATGAGAACCGGGTCAGGAAGAGAACCTATCCGAATACTTGCTAACCTTCGTACTTGAGACTGCCTCATTCTATCACGACGAGGGAAAGCAATACTTCCGTGGTCCGTACACGGACGTGTACCCCGTCTTCCATCAATGGTGCTTACTATGGCCCTCGACCACAAGAAAACTGGTTCCTGGACGAGATCCACGGCCAGGCCAGGAGACTCGGCTGCCATATGATGTATCCACAGCCATGTCCAGAAGCGAGGAGAATCTGTAGTATGCGGGTCTTTCACCCACATATGAGTAAATTGATCCTAGCCGACATGAGGCTAATGAGGATCACGCCCGGCGCACCGGGTACGGCCAACGCCAACGAGGGCGTTTGTCTCGAGGCGAGTATGCCCGGTAGGTTGCGAATCGATAAGTAGCGCTTGATCCCTGGGGCATGCGTCTCGACTCCACCACCTCAGTGAGTCTCGGTTTATTTCTTGACCGAGTCGTTCTTACCCGAGGGTACAATCCACTCAGTCTACGCAATGACATGCATCAATATGGATCGCGGCAGACGTGAGTCGTGTCATGCATACCGCCGGAGCGGGCCATAGCGCTAAAGAACCACCGATTCGCAACGACATTTTGATTACCGACGACACCTGCACGATCGACAGCTATCGAACATACCCGTCTCAAATTCTTGCGACGTACATCTGTACAGACCTGGACTTTCAAGAACGGGGAGTCGGACAAAGTTCGCATCTGTCGAGAATTATCCTATCAACTGTGAGATTTAACAACAATATCCAGAAACCACAACAGCAGACCACAGTGCTTAGTGAAAAGAAAAAAAGGCCAGCAGCCAGATTGGTCGCAAGGCGACACAGGACAAGGCGCAAAAGCAAGCCTACTAATGCACTCTGCACCTCTCTACGCGCGCTCCCACTGCTTATACGTGCGACTGAGGCGTGATCTACCCAGGCAGCCTTCTTCCAGTGTCTTTGTGGTTGGACTCGAAACGCTAACGGAAGGCTGAAGCAAACTGGTGTCAAGTGTACGTCTTCAGCAACCATCACGGTCCGTAGCGGACGCCATCCGTTCTGCCAAGCTCATTTGTTGTCTGCCAACTGCAGTCATGCAATATCTAACAAATAGCCTGATTTGCAGACGTGCTAGCACGCGTCTCGGGGTCACCGTCCGTCAAACCAGGCATCAGAACCGCCCGGGCTGCCCTGCATCATTGCGTTGTTCGGCATGTAATATTCCTATTGCAGAGCCGCCTAGCAAATCTCTCGAATAACGTGGTTCGTGTCAAGGAGCCCCAACCTATGCAAGAAGTGTCCGTACTCGGCCTCAACTCCCGATTTTCCAGCCCCTGTGGAGTCATGTCAAGATCCGACATGGCATGACGCGATCCGCGGCGTGGGCAAAGTCACACCCTCATCACAAGCCAAGCAGCCTTGAGTATTCGATGTAGTATCCAGCCTTACTCCCAGTATCCCAGCATACTCAAGCCAACTCAATCATGTCGTGGCTCAGATTTAGTTGTCATGCTCTGACTGGTTGTGCTCGGTCAAGACCTTGAGTGCCTATAGCCGGAGCAGCCAATTAAAGTTGAGTCGAATTATACAGATCCCGAGGGCAGTCGCTCCATAGGCGCCAATCCACTAGACGCCGTACCGCCTCTATCTAACTTTTTCATTTATTGCTTGATTCTTATGGTCTTGCAAGCGACGATCTTATGCTCCCAGCATGCCACGCAAACGCACAGCAATCTCCAACACAAAGGAAGGTAGCCGCCTCAAGTTCTTTCTTATTACCTAACCTGATCGAGTGAATGCGTCGCAAGATGCCGGGTCAACGTGCTTTGGCGAACCAGGGCGAGTCCCAATTTCAGGTTTAGATAGGACTGCAATTGAGGCAGGTTGTGTTGATATGCGGCACGTACCATGCCACTGGTGTCCCCATCTTCGTCTACAAATATCAAGTGCCGTCTATCACTCTTAGGGACAGACAGAGACTGAGTCGTTGGCACATACACGCAAACAACAGCCTTTCTTCTCAGGCGATCATGATTATAACAGACAGATTCGAACTTATCATCAATGACGACCGCGAGCTACGCATCCATCTGGAGACGTGGAAGCAGGACACAGTCAGAGACTTTCTAACGCGGCTCTGCAATTCCACAACGCCCCGACTCAATCGCAGCGGCATACACCTGAGCTTTGACGGCGTTCGTCTGGGAGAAGCAACGAGTATGCGAGAGGTGAGTTCCAGGCTGTTCCACAAGACTCACAGACTGTGTTCAAGGATCCTGATTTGGAATATGCAGAGTGGTCTGGGACATCAGGATGAATTGGCTCTTCATTACGGACAGAACGCCTGCAAACTGTGCACCGGTTCACGTAAGTCCTTTGCCACGTTCCATGACTCCTCTGACACTTTGAACTGACAAATCATCTAGACAATGGCGGGTACATGACTCGTCAAAGTCGTTGACGCAATCATTGAGATTGGACAGAGCAAAGGAATGAGCAACTCTTCACAACAACCACAAGAGAGAGAAACCCTCTTCCGAAACGAATTATGAGCACATGAGAGGATTTGGGATATCAGGAATACTGAAGGAGTACCAGCGAACCGATTGTTTGGGTAAAAAGTCACATTTTTGTACGGGTAAACCCTACCGAGCGCCATGTCGGTATATGTACCGGCATTGGAACCATCCAATTTGAACAACATATTACGAAATTGTGACACTCTTTCTGTCTGAAGCAAGCACAGACGACTTTGCCTATCAGCACATCGGAGATCTGATGCCTCTTGTAGTAACTATTGTGTTTTCACATTTCTCTTATAATGATTCTTGTTCTGAGGAAGTTGGGCTGTTCTCTTGCACTCTTGTATACTTAGCGAGACCCATTTCCGCTCGATCGATTGATATGTGATATACAGTGACCAGGTTCGCGACACTACCTATGAACACATCTATGCCTATAGATGATCTCCCCACTCTTACAGAGCACGAGTATAGCTCCCAACAAAGAGGACAGAAATCATGGCACTCCCAAACACAACATCATACCGCCATCACATAAAATTACAAGCAAGAGCAAGTAGCCAAAACTATCTACCCATCCCCCATTTCCCGGGTTCCATCTAAACTCTGCTGAACCCAAGCACCTGATACCTCACATTTTCCAAACTGCCCGGATACCTCAACTTCTCCTCTAATCTATTAACCTTCATTTCCTCTGCTACAATCTTCTCCCATCTCACAATCGGCAAATTCTTTTCGTACTCTTCGGTTTCCTTTTTGCCTTTGCCGATGGGAGCTGGTTCGATTGGTTTGCCTAGAAGCACTCTGTCGACTAGCCATTGCATGGAATATTCGGTGGTCTCGTCGGAGTCGGGGACGGGTGAGGAGGCGGTAGCGGCAATGGTGTCGAGGATGAGGAGTGTGCTGCCTACAGGGAGGAGGGTGTCTAGTTTGCGCAGGAAAGTGGTTGTGCGGGGGATGGAGGTGTTGTAGAGGTCGTTTAGGGTTAGGAAGAGAGTTACCAACACTGGCTCTGTGCCGATGATCTCTTGGAGCTGAGCAGTGCTGAGGGTGAAGATGTCGGACTTAGTAAATGTGACGTTCAGAGTTGATGGGTTGACGAGAGCTGTGTTTGCTGCTCTGGCCGATGCGGATGCGTATTTAGACAATGGGGGTGGTGTTGTTGCACTCGTTTCGAGTTTCGAGATTACAGAAGACCAGTCTGCTGAGTCGATGAGCTGTAGATCCAGGATTGGTGTTGATGCTTTGGCCGTGGGCTCCTCATTGGTGTCGATTTCTCCTTGTGGTTTGCCAACAGCGTCGGGCCGAAGATGGCGCAAAAATCCAGCAAATGCCACCAATTCAGCTGCTCCTCCACCGAAGCAGAGAGCTTTCGTCTTACTCTGTGATGTTGCATCGGAGAGCCTTTGCACCCACTCATCCTCTGCCCTCTGCTCAGCAAACTCCGCCATGACATTCGCATAAGCCAAAGCTCTACTCGGCGACCATCTCAACGCATACCCCTCCCTCTTCTCCTCACTCCCAAACGCCGTCTCCAAATCCCTCTCCAACAACGCCTCATTAACCTCCCTCAAAAGCTCCTTCAATTCCTCAAAGTCCTCACTTGCAGCAAATGAGTTTTGGAAAATATTCAACATCAATTGCTGCAATTCTACAGGTAATAATTGATCCTGAGGTAACGGTGCATCTTTGGGTCCATCGAGGTGGACTTTTGCTTTTGCTTTTTTCATGTAGCCTGAACCTCTCCATTCTGGTTTTGCGATTGGTGGGGGGCGGGCTGGTGCTTTGGAGGTGCTGCTGCTGAGGATGGGTCCATGTTTCCTTTGCGATTGTGCTTTTCTGTCGTATTGTCCCATTGTGAAGTTTTCTTGTTGTCTGGCTGCGATTGTTATGTGATTGGTGTTTGATGGTTGCTGTTGGTAATGTATGAAGTGTTGCAGAGTGTTGGTCTGGAACGTTGGAAATTTTCGTCGCGAACATTGCGGAGATAACGCGGTAATATCACAAATTAACCACCAAGGTCGCTAGAACAGATGCAGCATGACAGTAGGTACTGTGGTGTGTGGGTATGAGTGTGTGATTAAATTGCTTTTGCGCTAATACACGCTCGAAGTAAAATGCCGTGATGATGTCCAATTAGTTTAGCAAAAGCAGAAACCATGAGATGCTCAGGCGTTGAAGCCACATGTGCTGTCTCTCGTAAAGCGAATACGACGAAAGGAAAAAGGAAGGGGTATCTCTGAACCAAAAGTGCAATGCATATGATACTTGCCGTATCTTGTCTCATCTCAACTCCTCGTCCAATAAGGGCTTGAGAGCTTCGTTGTCTACTAGCGCCTGCATCCACGCCTGGACGAAGGAGCCGTAGTCATGTCTCCGATGCATGGATTCTTCTGCATCTGTTATCTCTGCTTGTTGTGAGTCGCGAACTTGTGCTCGGCAGCCAGCCTGACTTGTCATGAGCTCCTGCAATACCTTCGAGAGGCTATCAGGGCAACTCGATCTGAGCTGCTGTGCCATCGTCTGACTTGTCGGTGCTTCTGCAATCATGTCGTTCGTCAAACCGTACTCCTCACTTGCGCCAGACAATGTAGAGTCTTCGAAATCAGAAGCCACGAAGCTTCGCCAAGTTTCAGACACCTCATCCAGACGTGCCTTGATGTGCTGAAGTGACCGGATGTTCTGCGCAAGAGCGCGACGATCCTCAATGACAGGGTCCCGCACGACAGCCATCAAGCTGAATTGGAGCTGACCCTCTTCGTACTGCGCCATCCGCACGCTCAACGAAGTTTGAACGATGTTCAACCAGTCTTGACCAGGTTCTATGGTTCCGATAGCTGTGGGAAATGAGTCTAGGCCGTCGAGCTTCCAGACGTCGTCGTCGATAGGCATGTAAGCAACAAAGTGAAAGCCTGATTCCTCAGACTCCTGATCCACGTCTTCGATCACTGGCTTGTTGTTTCTAGCTCTGCGAGAAGGATTAGATCTTAGTGCACCTTTGTTTGGCTCTGTGTTAGCAGCTCTCTCTGCCGCTTTCTCTGCTGCTTTTTTTGCTGCCTTGGTGACTCTGGCAGCGGTCACGGCTTGTGTCTTCTGCTTCTTGGCTATCTTCTCGGTACGCTCGTGCATCGAAAAATCAATTGCAAGCATGTCAGTGTCCCGTGCAAAGGAGTTGTGGATCTTGCGAACAAAGTCAAAGCTGTCGATAGCATAACCTCTAGCAACCGGATCGAACGATTCGGTAAAGTCTTTGAAAGACTGCAAAGGTTGACCAAGCTCCAGATCCTGAATGTTGTTGACTATGTTGAGTAGAGCCACAGTTCCACAAGCATATTGTGGAATCTTGACAAGTTAGAATGAAGGAAATAAGATGGTATAGTACAGTATCTTACCTGATTGGCGAACCAGACGCGAGACGGACATTCTGTCTCCTGGACTTGCTCTGGATCCCCGTCTGCTTGGTATCTGAAAAGAAAGATGACTGCGTGTACTGGTTTGGGCAATATAGCAAAAGCGGTATCGTCGACGCCAAAGACTTCTTGAACTTTGAGACTGCGAACGCCTATGTCCTTGAGAATGGTGGTGAAAAAGGCCTGTAGATGCATAAGTTCAAGTCGAGATTCGACGAATAGCAGTAAAGCCGACTGGTTCTGACTCAATTTCGCACCATCCTGGCCACGAATTGAGATTGGGAGTGGTAGGTTCCGGTGGTGATGAACTCAAAGGTGTACTTGGTTCATCTGTGCGTCTTCTTTTCTTTGCTGGCATGATGATGACGGTCCAGATCAGTCTAGAACTTCTTTGGACTGACGATTCTTTAGAGATGGTCAGAGCATAGCGGAATTGAGAGACATGGATGAAAGTGCGAGAAGATAGTCCAGATGCATGTCGGAGGTTTCGAGTTTGGACAGGGTGACGACGCGTTGTGAGCGCGCACGCGCTTGGGCCAAGGCAGTGACGAGCTTGATTGTTTTGTACTTGTTTTCAAGACATTGGACATAAGCTCGTTCTTATCGCCCACCTCACCCAACTCCGGCTCGCATTGGACAGATATACAAAGACCCACAGTATGCGATGAACGGCACACCTCGTCTTCGCTCCGGCGCCTTTCCCTCGACGCCGCAGTCGACGCGGCGCAACAATTTGACTCCTCAAAAGCTCCCAGACATCACGCAGCTCAGAGCTCCGGCGCGACAAGCACAGGACAATGACGGTCCGTTGATCCCTGTCGAGACTCTGGATGCGCCGACACAACGACTCTATGTGGTCGGCTTCTACCTGGCCTTGTTGGGCTGGAAGCTGTATGATCATTTCTACCTGAAAGAGGAGGAAACAGAGTCGCTATGGCTGTTTATGAAATGGGTCGCCTTTGATGGAATCTTCCTGTTTGGTCTGCCCGAGTTGCGCATTCCCTGGCTCGAGTGGTCTTCGGCCACCATGCTGCTTCTCTTCCTGGCACACGCCGCTCTGGACGCCGTTCTGATGTTCCGCATTCAGCTCCCTCTTGGTGCCGGTCTGGCCGCCGTAGGCAAAATCTTCTACGACCGGGAACTCGGTGTTTCAGGCCATCACGTCAAGCAGTCCAGCATTCTCCACAATTCGTCCTTGATCCTGGGAAAGCAGATCATCCACATTCTACCTGAAGGCTCTGCTATCCTCAACCCAGCCAAAACTTCCTTCTGCCTCGATTCGTCGAACCAACAAGTCTACCTCCCTATCCAGATCAACCAGACCACTCCGGTGAGCATCGATCTGCTGCGCTACGAGTTCGATGGTGCGACCAACGAGACTATTCATATTTCAGGCAAGGAGATCAAGAAGTTGATGAAGGAGGCCGCTAGACAAGCTGCACACCCCGCCTCGAACCAACCTTTACTACTGCGCTACCCTACCAAGAAAACTGGCAGGTACCTCTTGAGCAAGGTTATGGATGAGTCCAAGTTGGAAGTACAAAGGAAACGCGTCGGCGACACCATCGTTGTGACATGTCCTCAGGCTGTCATCAAGTCATCGACACCCGAAGCCTGCAAGGGTGATCTCTCGAGCATCGACCTCGAGGTTACTGGAACTCCCCCTCTTCGCATCAAGTACAGAAAGATCACCAATCAAAGAGAGCAAGAGGCCCATTTCCAGAGCATTCAACCTGACGACTTCATCTCGCCCCTCATCCAGCAGTCTACAGACTCTCTCGCTATTAGAAACACAAAAGATATCTCTTGGGCACGTGCTCAGACCGTCACTGTTCCTTTGAGAGAACACATGGGAGAAAGTGGCAAGTGGGTGTACTCCATGGACGAAGTCGAGGATGCCTTTGGCAACATCGTGTCTTACACCGAGCGTCAACATGATGACCAGGATAAGCCATCCACAAAGGCTGCACATCTCCATCAGGTTGTGACCGTTCACGAGCGCCCCATCGTCGTCATGAGAGGTTGTGATTCTCAGCACCCTCTCAAGGTCGCCAAAGACCACTCCATTGCCCTTCCTGTGCAGTATGGTTCTACCGCAAGTAAAGGTTCTGGCGGCTTCCTCGGCACTTCTTACAACATTGAGTACAAGTTCACCCCAGAAGGTCAACTCCAATCCAACGGTGATCACAGCGACGCAGCTCAGATCAAGTTCATCTCCATCAAAAATCAGTCGCAGAGGCCCAACGTTCAGGATGCTGGTCTGTATACGCTGCACAGTGTTTCTACTGGAGTATGTGCTGGCGAGGTTTTGGAACCTGCATCTTGTCTGCTGCAAAACCCTGCCGAGCCGAGTCTCCGTATCGACAAAGAAGAGATTTTCGACAAGTGCGCTAACAAGCCCATCGGTCTGCGTGTCGACTTCCATCTGACAGGAACGCCGCCGTTCAACATCCAGTATCAAATCACTAAGAAGGATAGTGTCCATCGTGTGACACACACTGAGAGAGTCAACGGCTTGCGTGGACAGATCGAGCTGACACCCCCAACTGCTGGACATTACACCTACAACTTCTTCGAGATTAGTGACGATGTTTACAAGGGGCATCCCCTCAAGGGAGAGGACATGGTCATCGAGCAGGACGTCAAACCCTCGGCTTCTGCAAACTTCAAGGAGCAATCACCTTCTCGCAAGGTCTGTATCGATCAGGCGGTGTCCTTTGATGTCGCACTTCGTGGAGAAGGACCATTTACTGTTGAGTATGAACTCGTCCGTGGCAGCAGCAGAAAACGCCACACGCTTAAAGATATTCATGGTGATCAATTCACCATCAGTACCGACACGTTGACCAAGGGTGGTGACTACACTCTTGCTCTGGCTAGTGTGACCGATGTAATGGGTTGCAAGGAGTTCTTGAAACAGGAGGCCAAGATCAACGTTCGTCACCAGAGACCTAAGGTCTCCTTTGGGCAGATTGAAAGCTCGCGTGCTATCAAAACTCTTCAAGGCAAAACCATGAGACTGCCCCTGAAGCTTACAGGAGAAGCGCCCTGGAGTGTCCGCTACCGCAACCTTCGCGACCCCGAACAGTCGAAGATCATCAAAATTGACAGTCCTAATGGCTTCTTCCCCACAGCCGAAGAAGGCACGTACGAGCTTCTCGAAGTCAACGATGCTATCTGTCCTGGTGCTGTCGATGAGAATGCCAAGAAATTTAGTATCGATTGGATTGAGCGGCCCCATCTGAGGATTCCTGAGACTTCGTACGACAGGATCGAAGGAGGCAAGTACATCAAGAACGATGTCTGCGAGGGCGAAGACGATTTGGTCAATGTGCACTTCTCTGGTGCGCCGCCATTCCAGTACAAGTACGATGAAAACATCATGTCTGAACGTGGCGCAAAGTCGAAGCGTAGCAAGGCCATCACTGCCGCTCTTGGTGTCTCGTCTATTAACCTCGACACCTCTCAAGCTGGCGTGATCGACTACGTCTTCACCGAGTTGGCCGATGACAATTACGATCACAGCTCGAAGCATTTCACCCCGGTCACAATTCAACAGCGGGTTAACTCTCGTCCTTCTGCCCGCTTCACCAATCCAGGCCGTACATACAGCTACTGCTCTGTGGAGTCTGCTGGCGAAGAAGTCATTCCTATTACACTGGAAGGACAGCCTCCATTTGCTATTGACGTTGAGATCAAGCATCATGGATCCGCACGTCCTGAAATCTTCTACGTCAAGGACATCACTAAGAACACCCACGATCTGCGTGTTCCTCATTCATCGTTGCACCTTGGTAATTCTGCTGTCTCTATTCGCAGAGTTACTGACAGTCGTGGCTGTAGCCGCATTGTTGACGCCACTTCACCAAGAGTGCAAATCTCCGTTCATGACGCTCCCACCATTCGTGCTCTGGAAAGTCAAGAAGATTTCTGCGTGGGTGATCGTATCTCGTTCTCCCTCTCAGGTCAAGCTCCTTTCCAGGTCTACTATGAATTCAATGGTGTGGCCCGTAAAGCTAGCTCTGGCTCGACAACGTTCAAGCGTCTGGCGGAGAAGCCCGGAACATTCGTCATTACCGGTGTTAGCGATTCAGGCTCTTCATGCCGTGCCACCACCAACATCCAAAAGTCTATTCATGGCATGCCTTCGGTACGCGTCGGTAAGGGTGTTGAGTCGCAAGTCGACATTCACGAGGGTGGTGAAGCTGAGATCACCTTTGACTTTGGCGGCACACCACCATTTGAGTTCACCTGGACTCGCAGCACAAACGCTCGTCGCGGCCAAAGGTCTGAAGTTCTGGAGATGAGAAGCGAGCTCTCTCAAGACCACCACATGGCCATCCGAGCGAGCGAGGAGGGTACTTATGAGGTTGTGTCTATCAAGGATAGATATTGTGCCTATGCCAAAGAGGGCATTGATCTGACGAAGAAGAAGGGCAAGTTGCTTACATATTAAGCGTTGTTATCTTGTGTTCTCCCTTCTTCATGTATAGTTCTTACCTGTTTCTTCATTTGCACTTTTTGGCGGGCATTAGGAAAATCAAAATATTTCACGACCATATCTTTACGCATGACCTATAGTTTTTGACACGGTCGCAAGCTTAAACTGACATTCGACATAAGTTTAGGAACGGTCGGTGGATGTTCGTGGTTTGCAATTGGATGGCCGTTCACCAGAATGTCACAATAACCAAGCCGTGCGCCACCTCCGGTCACATTTCGCGTGTCTTCTGCTCAATTCGGCTTTAAGGTGATCAGAAATTCTGCTTGAATCATAGGAAGTTCAAATACCATCATCTGGAGAATACAAAAGAGTGTGTAGGAGGCGTGGTGGATGTCGGAGGCAAGTGCTCGTCTGCTGACAGGGTGGTGGTGTCGACCAAACTTGCTTGAAAGTACAAGATTGAACAGCCTTGGAACGCTTCTCTCGACGACAGATTGTACCTGATGTATGGTAATCTCAAAGGTCTCGATCTGAGCAGTATTGACAGGCGAAGTGCTTAGTCGTGGTTGACCAATGCTATTATGGTATTGATCGGTTTGTTACTCCCCGCTGACAAACCAATCGATTCTCACACCTCGATTCTACACCAGGTCAAAAAGTGTTGATCAATCTATACTCCAGCTGTCGTGCTTACCAAACACTCAGCGAGCTCGAGCGAACCAAGTTTGGAGATGATTGATACGTGCGACGAAGTATAAATTGACGTTGCCGTAGCCGTCCGCTGGCTTCCCCTCACATCGTCATCATCGTTGTCCATCACTATTCATCAATCAACAACACCAGCATACTTGCAAGACCAACACATTTATCGCGATCATGACTTCTGCACACACCTCTCCCACCATCATCTGGCCCGAAAAGTTCTTGCCAGGTACTACCGATAACTTTGTGTCTAACGAGACGATAGTCAAAGGCCTCTCCTCAGCAGACATCTGGAAATACCTCGCCGACATCACAAAATGGGAAACCTACTACTGGAACTGCTCCAAAATCACTCCCCCAAAGTCTGGACCAATGCTAGAAAAAGGCAACAAATTCAGCTTTTCAACTTTTGGCTTCCCACCATTGCCCTCTGAGGTTTACGAATCTGTTACGCCGTCGAAGACTGAAGTTGGGCGTTTGGCTTGGAGAGCTGTATTTGATGGTGATGGAGATGATGATAAAGCTGTTGATGTCTATCATGCTTGGGTTATTGAAGATCTTGATGGAGATCGTGTTAGGATCTTGACGCAGGAGTCGCAGATTGGCAAGCCGGCGGCTGAGCTGTCTACCAAGAAGCCGAACCCTATGCTGAATGGTCACCAGGACTGGCTCGATGGTCTGGTCAAGGCTGCAAGAGAAGGGAAGCAGGGTTAGGTAGCAGTCGTTGCAGACTAAAATTGGGATGTTCAGACAATGTCGAATTGCTAGTATGCTGGAGTCCGTGGACACGTTTGATAGTGTACAAAGTCGGTAAATCGCGAAGGCACTCTGAGTCCCCGAAAAAAACGACAACTTCCATCATCCGGCTCATATCGTATGCGCGTTTGGTCTTGACCTCACTGTTGAAAAGGCACTGGAGATTTTCCGAGCACTTGAAAGACAACGGCCGAGCGCTGAACAACTCATGATGCCCGATTCAGGCGGTGACATTCGATGGCTTTGCCGTCTTGCAGAACGAAAGCTGTGGCGCCAACACACGCTGTCCTGTACTTACAATGATCGGTCATGCTCTACATGACCAAATTGCGATTGTACGTACGCAGTCCAGTGCTGATCCGGGTGAATGTCGTGCTCAACAGACTTCTCCAACTTGCTCCATATCCTTTCATCCTTTGAACGGCGTGATATCTCGGAACCCTTCTTTGATCCCGGGGTCTACCACCAGCGACTGGAGATGCTCTGGAGCTCCACACGGAAGAGATTCATTTTCCCCTCTCCGAAAAGAAGATCACATGGCCGCGTGGATCTCCTGGAGACCCAGAGTTGGGGTTCGATGGAGGAAGAAGTCGGAAATTCCCCGTATCAGGCCCATAATTCTCTTCAAAGGATGTGAGTGGACCTGGAGTCGGCATGGGCTCGGTGTTACCGACGTCATCGGTATTGTGACGCCGACCAATATCTGGGGATGTTGAGACTGACAACATTCTATCTGCACATGTCGCAAAGTGTTGTCGCGTTGAAAATCGCTTTTGCATGGTGCCGAAAATGCTGCACAGAATATTCTCTCTCGCCACGTAGAGTATATAAGCACCGCAAGCAAATGCGTCGGCTCTTGGCTCCGACGCGTGATATTCCTTCTTTCGATCGCAAAATCGATGCTTCGATCGTTGTACCTGAAATCCTTTCTTCGAAGCGACTGTTGACCATTTTTTGCTTGAGTTTATTCAGGGCACTATCCGAAAAGTGATCTTCACGGCCCTACTTCTCGTCACCTTACCCAATATGGTAGAATCTAAACTCTTTGAGAAGCATTTTCAAGACGTTTGATATCATTGCCCAGCCCTTGTCCCCAATTAGAGCCGCAGGACATGTAGACTGTGACATCAGTGACGCCTGGAGCCCGGCGCAAATCACAAACATAGGCACTTTCAAGCGGGCTTCTCCTCATCGTTGATATCCCAACCTGCTCGGGTGGATCTTTTTCTCCATCGATTTTTCACACCGCACGTCATGGCTGTGGAACCCGGGGCCTGTTTGTCCACTACTGAGGACTCGTACATAAACATAGCAACCAGCCATGTACCCCGTTTTTTCGTAGAACTCACGCTATCTGGTTACTTTCGATCATGGCAGACGTACGGCCAGAGCAAACACGCAACCCTAGTCACGACCTGAGCGGAAACAACTCGGAAAAAGATGATGAAACAACACGCAGTCCCAGCCCTGTTGGCGAGCAGAATGAGAAGGCTGTCGTCGATGCCCAAGGCCGAAGAGAACTGAAAGAGACCGATTGTCCTGAAATCCTCGCATACTCCTGGCCGACATGGAAGAAGTGGGGTTACCTGGCCGGCATTGCCGGTATCCAGATCTCCATGAATTACAACACCAGTGTCTTCCCTAGTGCTGTCACTCCTCTGACGGAAGCTTTCGGTATCGGTGCTCAAGAAGCCAGGACTGGTCAAATGATCTACTTGGTCCTATACTCCTTCGGTTGCGAGTTGTGGGCACCCTGGTCCGAGGAATTCGGTCGTTGGCCCATCCTTCAGCTCTCTATGTTCCTCATCAACATCTGGCAGATTCCTTGTGCCTTGGCTCCCAACTGGGGAACTATTCTCGTCTGCCGCGCTTTGGTATGTCTATCAATCAATCTCACAACGTAGCCACATACTGACTTGGAAACAGGGTGGTCTCTCTACTGCTGGCGGTAGTGTCACTCTCGGTCTCATCGCCGATCTGTACGGTCCCGAGGAGCAACAGTATCCTCTTGCCTTCATCGTTTTGTCCTCTTGTATCGGTACCAGTATCGGAGGTGTCATTGGTGGACCCATTCAGCGCTTCCTTGAGTGGCAATGGTTCTTCTGGATCATGCTCATCTTTGGCGGTGTCGTTCAAGCCATCCACTTCTTCATGCCCGAGAGTCGTTCGACCATTCTCCTCGACAAGGAGGCCAAGCGCCGCCGCAAGACTGGTGAGGACCCCAACATCTACGGACCCAACGAGCTCAAAACACCCCGTATCTCACTCAAGGAGGCCGGCAAGGTCTGGCTTCGTCCCTTTGAGATGTTCCTCCGTGAGCCCATTGTCCTCTGTTTGTCTTTGCTCTCCGGTTTCTCGGATGCTCTGATTTTCACCTTCCTTGAGAGTTTCCCCGAGGTCTACGGCAAGTGGGATTTTGGTATTCTTGCTCAAGCATGGGCCTTTATCCCCATTAACCTTGCATACTTCATCGCCTACCTCATGTATCTGCCTTGCTTCATGCGCGACAACCAAATCCGCAGAAGAAAGGGCGATGACTGCTTCTTGCCCGAACGCCGTCTCAAGGTGCTGCTCTGGCTGGCTCCCCTCGAACCCATTGGTTTGATCGGCTTCGCTTGGTGCTCTCTCGGTCCTGCCTACAACGTTCACTGGATCGCTCCCATGATCTTCTCCACTCTGGTCGGTATTGCCAACTACGCCATCTACTTCTCATCAGTCGACTACATGATTGCCGCCTATGGTGTCTACTCTGCCTCCGCTTGCGGTGGTAACGCGTTTGCTCGTGACTTCCTCGCTGGTATTTCGGCCATGTACGCCACTCCTCTCTACACCAACATTGGTGGTCACCCTACCGAGTACGCCAGTACCATTCTCGCTGGTGCATCCGTCCTGGTCGTCATTCCCATCTACGTCTTCTACTGGAAGGGTCCTGAAATTCGCGACAGGTCCAAGTTTGCAAAGACTTTGGCAGAGGATCGTAAGAAGGAGGGAGTCAGACGTCTCAGTTATGCCGACAACCTGCCGTAGAGAGTCTTGTCAGACAATGCTTCTCATCCCAGTTTGCTTTTCATTATAATTGTACTATCAGATCAGATACCCCGTGGATTGTATAGATACCCCATATGACCGTTTGAGCCATTTACACTTGATTTCGCATCGTCCGAGAGCGTTGCATAGCAGTGCATCATATATCTTCTTAACGACCAGGACCATGTGTCGAAACTGCTAAGTGCCTCCCACACAGTGAAGTATGTTGACCGAAGGTATTGCAAGTCTTTCTGCGCACAGGGACTCATGTTGTGTCCAGGATAATCTCGACAAGCATAGTTCTGCTTGATGGACGAACTTGGTGTAATCGACTTACATCTTGTTCTTGACAACAGCCGAGAGCCCTAGTACTACCGTGGTATCAGCGCATACAAGGCTCGCATGATATGGACCACGAGCCTCATGTAACAATAAACGTGGCGGTCAATTATAAGTACCTGGAGGAGGGCTTTTGTGTGTGACATGTTCATGCCCGTCCGGCTCCATATGCCCTTGAGGACACGAGTCTTGTGACACTCGAGTCCTCATCCTTAGCCCTGCCGAGATGCTGCTCCATACATGCGTCGACTTATCATTTGCCAGCATACAGGATCAGCCATGATGCAGATCAAGTTGCGGGGTTGATCGTCTGCACAGGCAGAAGCCAGTCTGATGAGCAGCACAATGCAACACTGTCATTGATGCCAGAAAATCTGGCTTGCAGGAGGATGTCCGTATGGCAGCTTGTGGAGAACAGAATATCAAATCTACTGCGCCTCCACGCAATAAGAGAGGTCGTGGTCGAAAGCCAAGTACTGTCGTACCATCAAAGGCCAGACACATGACCACTTTCTCTTCAACTATTATTCCGTGCGAAAGACATACGGAGCAATACGAACGCCTCAAGCCATCAATAGCGACGTGAACAAGCAGAAAGTTCAACTTGACTCTGGAGTCGCAAACACGTGTTGGTCATTGATCTTGAGGTTGGAGCAAGGTAGAAAGAAGGCTGGCAAAACGTCTAGAACAGGCCAAAAGAAGCTTAAGCATAACTCTACCAATCCCATGGCGCGAAAATCATAGGAGAGCTGAATGACCCCTTTGCGATCCGCGGATCCCTTGCCACAAACGGGTAATCACGATGCTGCCATCAAATCCCCCCGCAGAAGGGCGATCCTTCCCGGAGAAGAGGGTACAGTACCATTATTCGGCAGGAGACTTCTGATGCACCACAGCTTGCATCATTTCTAGAAGATCATTTTTTCTTTCCCTGCCACACAAACGCATACTCAGCTTAGAACATTCTTTCCTTTTTGGCGCGACGCGACTTTTTAGCTTCCACCCATTATATGGCTGGAGAAATGGGGAATGCGGTCAAGCTTGGCGAGGAGGGTGACGACGTAAAGAAAGCACCCTCGGTGCACGTAGTGGAAATTCAAAAGGTGGACGAGTCCGCTTTGCTGCAAGTTCCCGTATCACCATTGCTTTCGCAGAGTTCACAACAGCAGACTCGGAATAGCTTTCTTGGGACATTGCAGCGTTTGTGTTTCCCTCGGTCACGACGTGGGAAGATTATTCTTTGGATTTACATTCTTGCTGCTGCCGTCATGTTGTTGTTACTTATTCTTTTGGGCTTCTTCTTGGGGGCTCATGCGAGGACGACGACAAAGCCGACGGCCACGCAATCTGGAGGTGTCAGCTGTACTGTCAGGCCGGTTGCTGGCGGAAGAGACTCTGCTGGTGTTATCCGGAATGCTTTCGAGAGTTGTGGAAGTGCCAAAGCCGGACATCGCAACCGCATCGTGTTTGAGAACACTACTTATACCATCGCCAGTGTCTTGGATACCACTGGCTTGAAGGATGTCGATATTGAATTGCATGGAACACTTTCTTGGGACAACTCTAACATCAGTTATTGGTTGGAAAACTCACTACCGATGGGTTATCAGAACCAGAGCACTGCTTGGCGATTCGGCGGCGATGGGATCACATTCCAAGGATACGGTGCTGGTACCTTCAATGGTAATGGAGATGCCTGGTACCGCTTCATCAATGGTAGATCGAACTACCCTAGACGACCGCACCAGTTGACCATTACTGGAACGACGAATTCGACGTTCGAAGGCTTGAATTTCTTGCAGAGCCAGATGTGGACGATGACCGTGATCCACTCATCAAACGTCCTGCTGCAGGACATCTACGTCAACAATACTTCGAAAACTGGTGTAAGTAACTTGGTCTTGTCGTGATACGACATGTTCTGACATATCAGCCAGGCACCGACTGTCAATACTGATGGAGCTGACACCATCTATGCCAACAACATCACATTCCGCCGATGGATCGTAGACAATGGAGACGATGCCATCTCACCAAAAGCAAATTCGACTAACATTCTTATTGAAGACAGTCAATTTTATAGAGGGTCTGGTATCGCTCTGGGGAGTATCGGCCAGTATGATGATACGTTTGAGATAATTGACAATGTGACGTGTCGTAACATTACGTCCCACCGAACGAAATATGGTGCCTATATCAAGACGTCAGTACCCTTGATCCGTGTGGTTTGAAGTTGGCTGACAGTATCGCAGATGGACTGGAATTAATAAAGGTTACCCACCGAACGGAGGAGGTGGTGGCTATGGCTATGCCCAGAACCTTGTCTTTGAGGACTTCAAGTTGGTAGATGTCCAGAAGGCGTTCACGAGTAAGTGTCAGAGTGCTTCGGAGTAAACGTGGAAGGCTGACACTCTCAAAGTCACACAGTGTACAAACTTCGAGGGCAACAAGGGTGAGTATCTCTTTGACCATCCAACTCAACTTAAGCTGACATGATGCAAGGCGATTGCGATACATCAAAGTTCAATATCCGCAATGTGTCCCTCAGCGACTTCTCAGGAACTATTCGCACGGACATTGTTACTACACTACAATGCAGTGCGGCATCTCCTTGTCGCAATATCGAGTTCTCGAACATTGTCTTGGAGAACAGCTCGAATCACACGACGCCAAGGCAATATCAATGCGATAGTGTCAAGCGAGCCGCAGGCTTCAACTGTACAGGTCCTCCAGATGGAGAGGACAATGCGTTCAAGAAATGATGCGCAGAGATTTTGCAGATCGTGTAAAGAAAAAGTATTTTACTGAAAGAGACGAAGAGATGGAGAGAAGAAGGAAAGGAAGACGAAGTGAAGCAAAGGCATGACTCGGCAGTACGGTACGAGCCATGCACGACGTCGGCGACATTGGTTTACCTTTTTACGAACCTGGGGAACAGCCAAGATATATGGATGGTATGCAATCGGATGCAACGGAATCGGATTCCCATGGCATGTTCATCATGTGGACGACCAACAGGCAGCAAACAAGAATGAATGCATGAAAATTTTCACGATGCTTTATCAGCAGTTTCTTTTAGCGGACAAGTCAGATCACAGCAAGGAAAATAGTGCTTATGTGCATGTCTCGGATGCGGTGGAATCTGTCAGTCGCAAGATGATGTGATGACTTCTCACATGATCGAAAACGGTCAAATAAATCCAGTCAGACCAGCACATGGAGCATACCACGGATCTGCCGGCAGGAAACATTTAGATCGGTCAATAGTATAGAAAAGTTCTTCGATCCTGTCGCCAGATGATCGATTTTATGACAAGGCGGATGTCCGCATGCGCGCGAAGGAAGGCCGAATCTTCCAGACGCTCAAGTGACGATTTTCATATGGACATGTGTCGCGCGTGAACACTCGCCAAGACGCCATGTGGTATAGTCGAGCTCTAGCTGCGTGTCAAGGAAGTGTCGGCACCGGATCGCTGACTCACCAATTGATGAAAATCGTGGGAAAGATGGAAAGAGGTTGCAGGGATGACTTTCGATATGCATATCGTCGCGAGCGAACCAAGAGAGAAGCACAACAGTGAAAGACTTCGATCTCTGAAGTCTGTGACTGCAGAACGCGCAATCTCTCGAAGTCCATCACAATTACTATCCCCAAGGACTTGGTCTCCGTCGCATGTGGAAGAAGGTGCGAAGGAAACAGGAAGCCATCCCTCGGCGACGGAAGGCAGCGGACCTAAGGGATCGGCCGGCAGGTGGGAAACTTCGGGAAAGCGTTTGTTTGGATAGCGTCATAGCGTCCCTTTAAACAAAATACCTAATGTTTTCTAGGATCTTGCAGGTATGGCTTCCACACCATTATTACGATGCCATGATCTTGTTTATCGGTATGGCTCGGAAACGGAGAGCAAGAAAAATGTCCTGATCCGCAGGTAACTGTCGCGGCAGTGTCGGTAGTATTAAAGGGCAAAAATGCTCACCACACCGTCATAATCTTGATCTCTCCTTACTGACATCTTTAAATCGTGCGTACAAGTAGTCTTGCTGTGCGACACTCATACCCTCAAAAGTCTCATCAGCTGCACCATTTGTCTTACACTGCTCTGTGACCACCCGCAAAAGCATTTTGTGACCGGTCACAAATATCTTGTTCTTTGTTGCATCTTTTGATTGCATCTCTTGCGTTCGAGCTTCCATCTCTTACAACGCTTCTCTATCCTCATCGTCAGAACGGCCATCTCTCAATATCAACTACGACTGGCTTGATCTATGCCGCTTGGTCGTGCGTCTACGAGCATCTCGGCAGCGCTCTTGCTCGCCGCTCTTCCCTTGGTGACCGCTCATGGCGACGAGCATGAGCACTCCGGGATGGCGATGGACATGAAGACCGCGCACATCAACACGACAGTAGCAGCAGCAGCATCGGCTGCTGTAAGCAACTACTTCCGGTTTCCAGAATTTGCAGGCTGGATGTACGCGCACATAGCTCTGATGACAATCGCATGGGCTGTCGTTCTCCCCCTTGGTAAGCAAAGTATTTCTTGTCTTCGGTGAGACCACGGCTGACCAAAAACTAGCTGTTATGTTCAGTATAGCTCGCTCGCGCTTCACGATACCAGCACAGTTTGCATTCTTGGCTGTGAATGCCGTCGGGCTGTTCTCCAGCATCATTTACGACGCGAAGACTCCGGATCTCTACCCGAACAATGCACACCATAAGATGGGGTGGGCTGTCACTTGGATCGCAGTCGCGTGGTTCCTGATGACATTCGTCAACTTGTACATGGCAATATCCGAGAGAGTCAAGCAGAGGCATGAGATGACTACCGATAATATTGCGCAATACGATCGTCTGCAAGAGCATAGGTGGTCGGGAGACTCGGGTCATGATTCGGCGACCCTCTGTTCTGGATCGCGCTCGCCGAGTTCGGACTCTGTACCACTGCACAAGTTCGAGACTCCTGAGGATGGCGACGGGGATTTAGTATCGGAAGAGCAAGGCTTCATCCAGAAGAATCCCGTCGATCGCTTCCTTTCGCGCAGGGTCCCTCGCATATCGTCTGTACGAGCACTCACCGCCTTCAGGGTCGTGTCTACTCTCATCGAGCGTTGCATGCCAGTCCTTGGGTCTGTGAGCTTAATAAGTGGCGGTGTTGTATTCGGCGGTATCTACGTAAGTAAAAGCAGTAAGAGCACACAGGACCATGCTAACGAGTTCAATAGCGCGACCGTCTTATCTTCTCTGGTATGGCACATGCGGTCAAAGGCGGTATCTTCTTCTGGTACGGCATCTTGACTCTGGGGAGATGGATGGGTGCATTCTCGGATTTTGGCTGGGCTTGGAACGTCAAGCCTCGACACCCGATGGTTTCTCGCTTCGCGGCCGGACTCCCCTCCGCCGAGTTTGTAGAAAGCTTTGTGATATGGTTGTACGGTGCCAGCAATGTGTTCCTCGAGCATCTAAATGCTTGGGGCAAGCCTTGGAGCGCTCAAGATCTCGAGCACGTCAGCATCACCATCATGTTCTTTGGTGGTGGCTTGATGGGCATGCTCATCGAGAGCGAAAAGGTCAGAACCCTTTTCAACACCTCAGTATCGACATGGCAGGAAGAGGCTGCACACTATGGAGACGCCGCCGAGAAGGAACTTCAAGAGTGGGACGTACCGAAGACCTACAAGACTAGCCTCAACCCAATGCCCGGCCTTGTCATCATGCTACTTGGCATGTCCATGTCTGGCCACCATCAGCATAGCATGGTCTCAACAATGATGCACCAGCAATGGGGAACTTTATTCATGGGCTTTGCCCTGGCTAGAGCAGCCACCTATATCCTGCTCTTCCTTGCTCCACCAGTCTCTTTCTTCCCGTCACGACCTCCGACTGAGCTGATCGCCAGTGAGAATGTTTTGATCATCTGATGATGCCCCTACCTCTTCCTCTTCCAATGCCAGAGCCTCTTGTAGATGCAGGTATGCCACCGCCTCTTAGACCGCGAGCGGCAGGCGTGCCCCTTCCTCTAGATATGGAGCTGGCGCCGCGAGTCCGGGACGAAGTGGTGGATGGAGGAACCATGGTAGATCTGTTCGTACGCGTCGTCTTTGGAGTAGGAGGATTTTCGACGAAACTGGTATCGGTAGTACTACAAGGTCACAATCAGCATCAAAGCCTCAGCGTGTCAAGTCTGGGGCAACGCACAGGAAGGTAGCGTCCACGTCCCGCTCGCGATGGTGGACCTCAGCAGACATGGCATTATCCTGATGTGCCTGATTCTTCGCAGCTTCAGCGGCGCGCTTGAAACTCTCGATACCAGGAGCTTCCGGGAAGTCGACGCAGAAGGCACTCATATTCATGCCGTAGAGAAAAGCGCCAAAGCATTCGTTGAAGCGGTTCAGACTCTCGTGCAGCAATTGGAGGTGCATCATGTTGGCTTCCAGATCGGCCATGCCATCTGCGAGTTCCCCAAAGGCTGGTTCGAGTGCTTCGAGCGGGACAGCTTGGTCGGAGAATTGGCATCCATTTGTGGGAGTTGCGATTGAGGCACGGAGACTTGTGCGTGAGTGTGGCCGCAGAGGAGTTGTTGGTCGTGAGGGGAGATTGTTGCGAGTTCGTGATGCTGAGCGAGCGCGCGACGGCGGCGCCGATGTGGGCGTTGTCGAGGTCATTGTAGATTGTCACCCTATCGATTGACTTTGTGTTTGTTTATTGAGATGGTGGATTTCCATGATTGTTTTGATAGAGCATGACGCCAAGCTCTCGGAAGCGTGCCCCTCCGGACAGTGGGAGGCAGGTGCTGAAGCATCAATCTATATTCTACAGGCAGGGAAAGAGCTATCCACGTCCAGACACTGCCATACCTTCTATTTGTGCAGGTCTGGCAAGACTGACTGAACACCACGTCGCCGACACTAGCACACCGTCCTCTCAGACAGTGCTCACACCGCATCAATACCCGCATACCATCAATCACATCGCGCTACCGCGGCACTATCCGCGAGCTTCTAAGAAGGCTTGCCCGTAGATCCGTCGTCCACAAAGCGAGCTGTGACACTTGAATCTGGAGGCTTGACCAGAAGAGAGGTAAAAGGATGCATCGGATATCTGATGGGTCTGCAGCGGACTTGGTTAAGAGACCATGAAGCTTGTTACATTCAAGATGATTATTTATTTTGACAATTCGCCTCTCACAGCATCCGCGAACTGCTTGACTGCCCAGTCAAAGCTATCTAGAGGCGCAGTAGCAAATGTCAGACGAAGCTTGATGCCCTTGAGCTGATCAGGATCAGCATCGAACCAACTGCCCTTGCTTATCACTACTCCCTTCTCCATTGACTGGTTGTAGATTCTCTCTTCAAGATCCAGCAACGCCATCTTCTCTTTCTCAACTGAACGGTCTGAAGCCGATGAGCCCGAGACACGTGATGTTTGTGATTGAAGATGAAGCCAGAGGAACATGCCGGCTTCGGGAACGACCCATGTGAAGAGATCTGGTGGCAGGTACTTCTCACATGCCGAGACAAGAGCGTCTCGACGTTGGCGGTACTGATGAGACAAAAATGCGAGCCAACGAATGAAGCCCTCATGACCCCAAGTCACGTCGAGCAATTTGTACATGGCGACCTGAGAGAACCCGGAAGGAGCGACACTGCCGACTTCAGTGTAATTCATGTACTTTTCGGCAATCTGAGAGCAGCATGTCATCCATGCACATCGGAGTCCAGGCGCGAGAATCTTGGATGTAGCATCTAGGCGCACGACGCGGCCAGAAACATCCATGGAGAGGTATGATGGAGGCAGCTGGCGAAGGTACTCGTCAATCGGCATTGGCGCGTCGTCTCCATCATCTGGTCTCGAGTGTAACTTTAGGAAGTAATACGGGTCGTCCTCGATGATGTACAAGTCATGCTCTTCCGCAATCTGGTAGATCTTCCTTCGCCTTTCCGCAGATTGTGTGGCTCCGGTAGGGTTTTGACCGCAAGGAACGATATACATCACCGACGGCTTGCGTCCCATAGCTGGGTCCCAAGAACGCAGCTTCGCCTCCAGATCTTCAGGGATGAGGCCTTCGCCGTCCATCTTGATGCCGAGGATGTTGATACCCAGCGGTGTCACGGCTTCGATTGCTCCTGGGTAGGAGTACTCTTCTGTGACGATCCAGTCTCCTCGGTCGCAGAACATGCGGAACACCGTATCCATCGCCGATGTGGTTCCGCTTGTCAAACAGGTCTCCCAGTCATCGTATGGCGGATCGTGAATCATCTCGATATGTTCAGTAATGAATCTCAGCAACTGTGGCGACCCAGCAGCATAACCATAGTTCAACGCAACAGCAAAGTCGAAATCTTGCTCTCCCCTCGTACAAGGCATAACCACACTCTCATCACCTTTTCCCCTCGACTGTCTGCCAGAAAGCTCCAGTGAATCCCAAGGGAAGTACTCTGGAATCGGTCTTCCAGCTCCCAGACTGATCTGCCGTTGTGGGATGATGGGTGCACCGTCTGAGCCAGGCTTGACACTGCTGGCTGAAGCTTTCAGATTCGAGGGTAATCGGTTGCGGCATTCTGTGCTGAGGTGATGATCCCAGTTCTTAGACCTAGGCTTTGACCCTGGTCGACACAGCTTGAAGAATTCGGATGAGGTGAAGGGAGCAGGACCGGAAGGTAAAGGCTCGGACAAGGTCCTATGCTCAGTATATTGAGCAATTGCTTTAGACAACATGATGTGTGTGTGTGTGTGGGTGTACAACGAAATTGAATTCTTGACAAGAAATACTATCTCAAAGATGAAGTGTAGTATAGTAATTGGAAGTAATTCAAATACTCCAGACCTTTGTTTGCCAAAACGACGGAGAAACAAGTATAGATATAGGGATGTGTGATGATGGTGAGATGGTCGGACAATTCGGAGTGTGGGCGTTGTGCTTCCTTCGGAGTAAACGTTTTACGTACAGTATAACCTTTCACCATTGCGTTTGAGGGATAGATAAGCAATTGAAAGCCGTACCCCGGTGGGAATGACCTTGGATGGATTATATCCGATAGGAAGCTGGGAGCCGATGTGACACGGGGTATGTTTTTTATTTCTCATGGCCGGCATCATAACATCGAGATTTAGGGATGGTGTTTGAATGGTAATGTACCCAGCAATTTCGATTGATCATGGCCATTTCAAGGGTCTGAGCATGTGATGTAAAAGCAGTGTGAGGTGCACTAAGACTTGGTGGAGATTTACGTAGCACAAAATCGCTGAATGGAACGCAATGCTTCGTGAAGACCAGGCACTTTGTGTGGCACAGATTGTTGCCAGCGAATTCGTTTCGGATGTCTTCAAATCTAGACCCCCGGAACAATACTGTTATGTGTAACTCCCAAGGAACTCACATCTTCGACTGCTCACGAGCTTTTTGGTTGTTCAAAAGCTTCAACAAGAAACCCTGAGCATCTTCACGCTCCATGAACACCTCTAACATTCGAATGCCTTGCCCACTTCTAAACGTGTCTGACTTCATGGCCTCTTCTAATTCGCCCCAAGTTTTTGCCGAGAATGTATTGTTCGCAACTTCCTCTTCTGTGGCGCCGAACATGTTCAGCGCTTGCAAATACCTCCAAGAAGCAATGTCGTTATAAGTTTGCTTGCGCCCATGAATGACACGTTCGATGGTGTAGCCATCATTGTTGATGACTACAATGACAATGTTCAACTTCTCCCTGATCATAGTGCTGATCTCTTGGACGGTCATTTGTAGACTTCCATCTCCAATGAACAGAACCACTCGGTCTTCAGAGTCGCTTGTGCTGCCGGATCTCTTCTTCCATTTGTTCGAGTCGCGCTGCGCCATTGCGGCTCCAAGGGCAGCTGGCAGCATGTAACCGATGCTAAGCCAAGTAACAGCGGTGAAGTAGTAACTTCCAGAAGGAAGCACAAGATCACGAGTTCCATGAGAGGCCGTGCCTGTCTCACCCATGACGATATCGCCAGGCTTGAGCAGAGGATTGATGATACGATAAAAGTCCTTCTGGGTGGGTAGAGCTAGGGTTACCACAGACGGAGGTGCCGAATTTTCTTTGGAGGGGCCTGCTGGTTTTGAAATCTTGCTGCGATCTAGCTGCTTTAAGAGGCTTGCTACCAGATTTTTGTTCGATATATCACGAGTGATGTCGCTTCCGATCTTGACGTGTCGTTCAGAGAACGATACTGAGATCGCTTGCTTCGGTATAGTCGAGAACAAAGCAGTGTTAGTGCTGCTAAAGTGAGGCCCGAATATCAGAGCAAGATCGGACGACTCAAAATAGGCCTTTGCATCCTCACTGCCCAAGTCGGCGTTGTATATACCTTGGAAGCTTGCCAAATGCTCATCAACTAGACCCTTACCAAAGGGTGACGTCCACACTGGCCAGCCTGTAGTCTTGACCAACTCATTTACTCCCTCTAGGACATCCAAGCATCTACTTTCACCGTCCACAAAAATCAGAGGCTTCTTGGCGGAGTGCATCAGCTCAAGAATACGCTTAGAAACTCTTGACTCGCTGTCGCTATCAGAGGCAGCAGGTAGCGATATTTCAGACTTCAGGCCGGCCGCAGGAACCTTTACGTCTACCATGTCGGCCGGGATCTGGATGTATACTGGCCGACTGTGAATCAAAGCCTGTTGTACAGTCACATCAAACTGGTCCGGAGCGGTGCGAGGATCCAGGAGGTTTGTCTGAGCGATCGTCACATGTGTGTGCATTGCCGCAAAGCGATCAAAGTCGCCATCGGCGAACGTATGGTGTACATTGGTACGAGCCTCTTGGGTTGCTCTAGCTGGTGTGCCGACGATAGAGATAATGGGAGCTTTTTCTGCATATGCTCCGGCTATCCCATTGACAGCTGAGAGCTCACCCACACCGAACGTGGTGACTAGAGCACTTACACCATGAATGCGTGCGTAGGCATCAGCGGCGTATGCGGAGTTCAATTCATTACAATTGCCAACCCAGTGCAATCCTGCAGGCTCAACAAAATCCAGAAGCCGAAGGTTATAGTCGCCAGGAACGCCAAACACGGATCGAATGCCAAGTTGATGAAGACGAGTGAATACGTAGTCGGCGAGCGTGATGGTTTCTTGTGATGGTGGAGACATTGTTGAGGTAGTTTGAGATCCAATGATATGAGAACGTACTCACGTCAAGTGACTATACACGATGAATACAGAAGTCGAAGTCCGATAAAGATGCTTGTCATCAGAGCCAGCTGAGACGTATGCTCGGAAACGATGATATGTCGTTGTCATCGGAGTGAGCGGGGCAGGAACGACCGAGGCGTATCCCCAGCCCCTCACAATCTCGCCAAGCCGCTCCCAACCGAACTCGCCGAAGACTCCTATCGAATCGGAGTGATGTGGCATCTCCTTACTCCGACCAAACCATTCCAGAGGGAAAAAACACGATTCGCGTCAAGGAAATTATGCCACCTCGTGAGGCAGCTTGCGAGCCTTGTAGGAGGTCGAAGTTGGCCTGTGATCATGCTCGGCCGGTGTGCACTCGTTGTTTGGGTGCTAACAGAGGCGACGCTTGCGAGTATAGAACTGCACCATTCAAAAGAAGGCGAACAGATTTAGGTCCTTCACCTAGGACTAATATTTCACGGTACACCAAATCAGAGATTTCTACCCTTTTTTTGGTGGTCGTTGATTGTTGTATAGCAATGGCAGTCAATCTCGAGAATCCGAGCCACCACCAACAGCAGCTGCGACGCCAACAATTCGACCGTATCCAAATCCAGGCTTTCAAGGCTCGCTGAGTTCTGCTGCAATTTTCAGTCACATTTCTCCTCGACATCATGAGCCGGGAAGTGCTCAACCAGAACCCGACACTGTGCCTGCTGGGGTGTCCGTGCCTGCATTGCTCGACAACGATGATATTGCTTGTAGACAAGGAACGTCATTGATAAAGTTGCTGCTTGAGGAATACCCATTGAGTACCCTCAAAGATCTGGTCTCGTTCTGGCTTGCCAAGGGCATCAGTCTCTCACATGCTGAGTCTCTGCTGGGTTCATGCGTGGACAGCATGGACGAAGCTTTAAACTCTGGACAACCAACAGACACTTGCATGGAATACTTGACTCGGAACTCACAGAGCCCTTTGCTATTTGGACCGGAAACGACCTTTGAGGCATACGCTGCCCAATTTTCAGGTCACAATGCCCGATTGGAGACGTTAGGTATCTTCTTGTCGGCGGTTGTGAGAGCCACGAATGACGTCCCGTTCTTCCCTACCCTGTACAAGACTGATGAAGACAAATTCAGACTTCGAAAGTTGGCGACTCGACTGAGCGACCATGCTTTAGAAGTCTGCCTTTCACTTGATTGCTTAAACGACCTTCAGCTTGCGTTCCAATACGAAAACTTTATCGTGCACACCTTCGTTGACGGAGACCAGAGTTACAGCTCATGGCGCAGACTAGGCGATGTCATTGCCTCAATGCTCGCTCTTGGTTATCACGAAAGAGTGGAAACGCGTTCGAGAATCCCAAACTTCTTGGTGGAGCTACGGCAAAGTGCATTTGCACGCATATATACCGACGACAAGGAAGTATCTATCTTCCTCGGTCGGCCACCTCGGTTGAGCAGACGATTTTGTCACTTCCGCATACCAATTGCTCTCGACTCGTTTGAAGTCAACACGTCTGTCCCAGGCGGTGAGACCACCGGACAAGCGAACGAGATCAAAATTGACTACAGAGCGGGATGTAGCTGGGCCGCTCTGTGCGCGCTACTAAAAGAAGAAATTCTCGAGTTGTTTATAGAGAAGAACCGCGAACACTGCGCCCAACGGGCCGGCGTTATCTGTGCGAAGGCAGAGGCACAATGGCAGCAACTACCCACGCACATGCGTTACGATGTCGGATGTCTCAATGACTACAGAAGGAGTCCATTCGAACGCGACTTCCTGATCAGTGCTCGGCTCGATCACATACACATTCGCTTTCTTCTACGATTCATCTTACTCAACAACTTGGCACATCCAGACGACGAGATGATCCAGATCGCGCACGAAATGCTCACTTTGGTCGTTCAAGCAGTGCTTGCTCGCGACCGCCTTGCCAATTCTGGAAGTGGTCTTGTGTGGAAAGTCATCCTCTATGGTTTACCAGCTTCTGGCATCATTTTGCTCGCGATCCTCGAGCAGCGCAATCCATATCACTTTGGAGGCTTATCTCGCGCCAAAGTTCTGCAAAACCTGAGAATACTGGTAGCCGAAATCCAGATTGGCGCCTTGTCACATCCCAGAGAGCCGAATTTTGCACTGCTTACACGAGCCGCACAGACAATCGAGAATTTCCTGGATTCGGAGGAGAGACATGATCATCATCCAAATGGTCAAATGAGCACGCATCCAGACGCTGCTCCTGGGCAAATGGGCCCCTGGGCATCCAATTTGAATCTGGAAGCCTGGGACTTTGACCTCGGGTTCTGGGAAAATTTGGCCGAGCATCCCTTCTTGTCTAATCTCGAGTTTCCGACGTAGACACGACTCTACAGTCAGTTGCCAAGTCCCTGGGTCGAAGACTAGAGGCGAAATTCGCCGTAGCAAAATTTGCTCGATCACTCTCCTCCACACTCTTTCTTCAGCCGCCACCCTCATTGCTGCCTGGAATCCCTCCCAGCCTCTATGTACTTTCGAAAGTGTGCTCTACGTACAAGTTCAGCCACGGTGGTGCAGTTGGTAGCATCCCTCGAGTCCAAGTGACTCGGGGAGGCCGCGAGTTCAATCCTCGCTCGTGGTTCTGGACCTTGACTTGGGCGGCCGATGGTTCGTGCGAGCAAGGTTCCTTTTGCTCCATCAACATACATCATTCGGTATCAACTGTGGTGGTTCTCTCCTTATGAAAAGTGCCTTTCTTTTTCCAAATGGGTTTACATCTGCTTGATAGCTTTGTCCTTCTATTTGCAGCCTCAAACTAGTGCAGATGGCAATTTGACTTTCTATGTGTTTCAAGCTGTTACGTCTAATTGATCTTGCGACAAAACGAACCGGAACAGAAGACTGAGAGTGATCTGATTGCTATGATGACCAGGTGAGCCTAAGTGTGACTCTAATTGTCCTCTTTACCATATTCTCACCGACGTAGTAGACGATACGTGAGAACTAGCTACAAAAAGTCTTGGATCAGTATCGATGCAAGTCAGGGTCGGTATATCTGACCATTCTTGGAGATAGGAGCCGCCGGACCGCGTGTTTAGTCTCAGCCCTTCTTGAATTGATGTTGATACGCATGTAGCTACTCATCTGAAACCTCTGTGCTGCCCGGAGCCATTGATACTAGCTAAGAAGCAATTCCCCGATCCGTGTGAAGCTAGTTGTATGACATAAGTTCCAGCCATGCGCGATGTTTCTACCGCGCCCCTACCCGTTCTCATGTTGCCATAGCTTTCCGCATAACTCCTCGCTTCCGTAACAGTCAATTACTACATTAGAACGCTTCAGAAACAGAAGTTGACATTGCCGTCGAAATCCTCCCACAATCCGTTCTCGGGGGGACCATCACTTCTTCTAGGACCTTCACATCCATATGCAAAGGGATCGTATTCTTCGAATCCCTTATCCAGGGTGTAGCACTCAGGCTCGGATAGTTCAGTACCGCGAAGCATACAATCCATGGCTTCTGAGCACCAGCGAGGCGAGAACGTCATGGGAACTCCCTCAATCTTCTCAATCATACCAGCAAGCTGTATCTGCGTGAGGACCTTCATCTGGAGTGAGGTACGTCTGAAGACAGAGACCCAGCTTCCATCGCTGATGGTGATGCCGAGAGACAGATGTCGCAAAGAATGGCCGTGACGCACCAAAAACGCAACTATTGAGTCTTCAGATACAGAGATGTTGCTGAGCATGACATCCCGCAGGCCTTTCATGACCATAGCGTCCAGCATATCGCTACCCACATACTCCTGTGTGCGAGCGAGAGGCGCAAAACCTATCCAGAAAGTCTCCAGAGAGTGCGCTTCGCTTAGTGCGTCCTCAAGATCGAAACCGAATTTGGTTCCTGGGTTGGAACCTAGTCGGTTCCAGCCGATGCGAATATGCTTGAGGCGTGCAAGAGAGTCGAGGTATCCTGTCTCGTTGTAATCATCGCAGCCAAAAGGCAAATCGATGATCATCAGGGAATTCAACCCGGCTTTCTGGTGACTCGCAACTTCCAGGAGTTCAACCATGCCGAAACCAGATGGATCGTGTGATCTGATGCCGGCCCAGGAGCCCCCATGCGGATGGATCTCCTGGAAGATGTCAAGTTTGTTGCGAAGTATCAGCTCCTGTGGCTGTGGCGGGGCAAACACAATGTTGGTGAGGTTGGGACATATCTCAAAGGCTTGAGAGATGAGCTCCAAGAAGCGGGTCTGAAAGTCTAGAGAGGGTTATACAGTGACGAGACGTTGTTGGGCTTTCCAGTAGTGCTCTTGAGAATTTCTGAGGCGCCTGTTCACCTGGTCGGTAGCCTTCTTGAATGACTTGAACGCAAATAGCCAATCGCCACGAGACTGAGCATCGAGGAGCAGAGGGTCGCCGTCCTCATCATAAGCCACATCATCAGGCTTGAAATCCAATCAATCAGGGTAGCCATGTTGCAGATATTGATGGCCATCAATCCAAGCCTGAAGAGTCCACTGCGGTTTGAGGATACTCAGGTCCACCAAGATAGTGGTGATGTGCTTGTTGAGATTTGGGTGTTTGATGATCTCCTCAATCTCATCGCAACTATCTGGGTGCTTGAAGAGGAAGATGCAAAGTAGCAAGTACGGCACGGCGGCAGAAGCGAAGTCCTTTGAGACCAGTCGAATCGGCTTGAGTAGCTTAGGACTTGCACGCAGGAAACTGCAGATGCGCTGCTTCAGCTCGAGAGGGACTCTATCCATGATGACGGCGCATGAATTGGCCAAGAGCGGTGGAGAGGTAGAGTGTAATTTACGCAGGGTTCTAGGGTGCTTGAGGCGTTGGTTGCGTTGATTTGCTAGGAGGCAGATCGGTGTCGAAGTGGAGGGGGAGGCAAGGTCTAGAAAGCGCCAGAAGTGCGAGCGAAGGTCAAGCTTGGAGTGAGCGAAGTGTGAAAACGAGTGAAGTGCGAAAGGTAAGTGAGTCGTTGTGTTTGTATGCCGCGCGAAGTGTTGCAGTGTTTGCTCAAGGCAGTCGCGGACAAAGGCAGCAGTCGACGCGAGCCTTCCTGACTTCTCAATCTGAACACATACCACCACTTTGGAAATAACCGAAACTTATGTATCACATAGGGAAGGAAGTAGAGTAACGTCTAATCGCCATGTCTCGAAAGTTTTTTTTAAAAGGAAATACCAGCATTTACAAGCAAAAAAGAAATCACTGGTCTGGTGGTCGGGAATTTTGTGCTTACCTCTCCATGTCATTGTTGTTGTCGTTGTTATCGTTGTTGTCATTGTTGTCATTGTTGTCCTCCTCTGTCTTCACTTTCTCCCCCCAGTTTCCTCCAGCCTTGAAAGTTTGACTAGACCCCTTACATTTCTCAGGGGCACATGCTTTCAAGGTCGATGTCGAAATTGCTGCGAAATGAGGTGATGATCAGCAGATTCGAACTCGTGGTGTTGGTTGTCGTGGTGTTGTGGTGGATGTATTTACTGACTGCCGGATTGGGTTAGCTGGTGATACGATACGTGGTGGTATGACTACCAGACCATAGATGATTTGTATACTAGTAGGAAAAACTCCTGGTATTAGTATGCCTGGGAAGTAATGAGGGAATGTCAGTATCTCTTCTCAACATTCGTCACTTTTCAAGAGCGTAAGGGGGTAGGAGCAATTACATCCATTGCTTTCGACTTGCTACGTAGTGTCTGACCTTATCTGCTGTTCTCCTCCCATGTCGGACCAGTGCAGTTGAACCCAACAGATGAGAGGTTGTCACACAAGTACTGACTTGGGGCAGTACCGTTAACAGTGTCGACGATATCGATACCAGTAATCTCAATGCCGGTGCAGGGACTTGCGCCAGAGCACTGCATCGATCCCACAACATCACTGACAGCAGTACCGGTCCAATTCTGCAGGCGAATATCACGCAGGTTGAACTTGCTAGTATCACAGCCACCTGATGCGCCATTGTAGCTAGTGCATTGTGTGATGGCGTAAATACCAGTGTTGTTTTCCAAGACAAAATTGGAGAAGGTGATATTGGCTGCGTAACCGATGCCGCCACCTCCACCGTTGGGGGGATATCCGGTTGAGTTGCCAGTCCAAGTCTTGATATAAGCTCCATATCTCATGTTGTAAGAGCGGATGTTGCGAGCAGTGACATTTTCAATGTACTCGAAGGTATTGTCGTACTGACTGATACTGCCGATAGCAACGCCCAGACCCGTGTAAAAGTCGCAGTCCTCGATCAGGATATTGGTACTGTTAGCCTTCATGGCGATGGAGTCATCTCCATTTGTAATATTCCAGCGGCGGAAGGTAATGTTGTTGGCGTAGACCGTGTCAGCACCATCAGTGTTGAGTGATGAGAAGTCAAAGCCAACTGGCTCGTTACCAGTGCTGTTAACGTAGATGTCTTCGAGCAGAACATTCTCGCTGTGGATGACGGTCAATGTCCACATTTGCGAGTCAACAAAACGCGTACCAAGGAAGTTGCTGTCCTTAGTTCCTGTAATCGTGATTTGATGCGGTCGGCCGGGGCTACCTGGATGTCAGTATCCAACTCATCAACACGACCGATGTAAGTGCTTACTAGTTATTAGTGCCGTTCACGAAAGTGTACCATGTCTGTCCAGAGCCATTCAAAGTGGCACGTCCATGTCCGTCCCAATTGATGTTCTCTCCACCAAACAACCAAGCACTTGACTGGTTCTGGTATCCGACTGGAAGAGAATGATTGAGCCAGTAAGGGATGTTAGTGTCCCAGAGCAAAAGACCATTCAGATCGACATCGACATTCTTCAGACCAGTAGTGTTCATGACACTGTGAATGTTGTATGTCTCATTCCGGAAGACGACCTTTCCTCGCGAAGGCTCCTCGTTGTGGCCGCATTTCTCGAAGGCTTCGATGATGGCTGGAGCCGAGTCACCGCCATTTGCACAAGGCTCAACGATGCAGACACGTTCGGAGACGGTGACAACAATCTGAGCGACAGCCAATACTGGCACACCGAGTGCTGCAAGAAGAGTGGCGTACATAATGATCAGATGGGTGAGATATACTTACAGCACAAACAGCAAGGCAGACACCTCAATATATACTCGCTTACCAGCAACACTACGACACTGAGTTGCATTGATCATCGTGAAAATTTCCATGGCACTTGCTGATCGTTACCTCATGGTTGCAGGGACGATCCCCGAGTCGGGGTGCAACAAGGTTATGCTGGAGAGGATGATGTCGAAAGAGCTGGAGAAAAGCCGGAGATGCACGGGACCATGTATTAGTGCTCCACATTATCGGCAATTGATGAGACTGTCGGCATTTGAACCCCACCATTTGCATACAAGCTTCATCTATTTTGTGCCGATGTGATCAAGAACAGGCATTGTTTGCAGGAAGCCTCTGGGTAAGGACGGACGAGTGTGAGAAGAAGAACATGAGGGCGCATCATGATGCATATGTCGGGTATTCATCATTGTTGTAGGTAAAATCGAGATGCTGGACGACATTACATGATTTGGTCATGAGTTACGAGGAAATGCTCATGCAGGCCACTTGGAGGGAGCATCGACGACGGTCCTTGAGAAGCGAGCACTGATTTGATCCTGGGCCTTTTGTTTTTGCTTTGCACCAATACCAGAACGATCCAAGACGGGAGTTGCGTTCATAATGTTGTCGAAGTCGTCGTCTTCAGCACCGCCCACGTCTGAGCCGGACTCGTCATCAGAATCATGTACTGGCTTGGGTTCGGTCTGTGCAAGACGACCTGGTTGCGGCTTGTCATCTGGACCAGCAGGGGCAGGATTTTGGAAAGGCTTCGAGGCAAGCACACGACGGCGAAGCTCTGCCATTTCCTCCTCGTCATCGTCCGAGGGCGGTAAGCCGTAAGGATCACGGTCCTCTTCTTCTTCCTCCTCCTCTTCCTCCTCGTCCTCGTCATCCTTGTCTTCCTTCTCTTGACCGTCGCTCTCCTCATCACTTCCTTCCTCGTCTGACTCGTCGAGCATGCGGGTGCGGTTCAAGTTTCCTCCTCTCCATGCGTCGTCCTCGTTGGCCTCTCTCTCGGCACGGTCCTGGGTGTATTCAGTCTCGATCTTCTCCAGCCAAGCCTCCTCAGCCTTCTTGATGCCAGCCTCGTCCTCGCAGGCAGCATATCTCTTGAGCACGGCTTCATTGATGTCTAGGAAAGCCTGACCGTAGCTGAAGGTGCTGAGGATGTGCTCGGCCCACTCCCTCTTTCCGCAAATCCAGAAACAGGCAGCAAGAGCCTCGACACAGTTCATTCTCCAAGGTTTGCCGTAGTTGGTGGGGTTCGCGGCGATCAGATAGGGCAGAAGTCGTTGGTGAGGACCTCCAATCTTGCCAAAGGGCACCTCGTCGATACGCTTCCAGCTAGCTTCGACAACAGCAGCACCGTACTGCTCGAGGAGATGGGCGTCGGCGGGCGAAATGATAGTCTTTGCATTGGGCGAAACAACAATACCAGCAAACTTCTGGCCAACGTGCAATTCACGCATGAGGCCTAGACGCATCAGACGTTTGCCGCTGCATCGTTTGGCGTCGCAGTGTCCGAGATCCCAGGCGGCGGCCTTGTAAGGAGGCCGCTTGGATGCAGCCTCGTCGACAAGTCCTTCCTCGCCACGAGCTGGCGGCATAGGGCGAGCAGAACGACTGTTTGGGTAGCGCTTGCCCTTGTTGGACATGTCTTTCTTGTGGCGGACCATGTTGACCTGATGTGTCGGTAGTTGGACTGGATGCGTACAGGTCCCGGGTCAGCGACACGTTATGCAAGTACAATGAGTTGAACAGATAGGTTGGATAGATGACGAGATGAGGGGCAGGCAAATTTCGAGGTGGATTGGAAAATCGTCACGAGTCAAGCGCAAGTGTCGAGCTACGTCAGGGTTGAGGGCGCCAAGAGGCTTAGTCCACCACAACGTGGTGCATACCGCTGCCTTCGATTGCTCATCGTCGCTGCTACACTTTTGGACTGATTCTCTTACAAGCGTCAATCCTGTCCAACGGACGCCAGACTTTCTTCTCTCCTCCAAACTTAGCAACCCAACAATCGCCCATCGTGGAGGCGGCATCGGCCAGATACGCGGCGCGGGACCGCTGGGTGCACGAAGGACCAGCTCCCCAAACCCCGCTGCAGCGCTACATTCGTGAGTGTATGCCGTGGCTTGTACCGAGAGTCTGTCCATCTGACCTGTCATCCTAGACAATGCCTGCGACCCTCAGAACTTCGAGCCGAACCTTGCCCTGAATCTCGAGATAGCCGACCTGATCAATGCTAAGAAGGGAAATGCTCCGCGCGAGGCCGCCGTGGCCATTGTCCAGTACATCAACCACCGCAACCCAAATGTATCCATGCTCGCCCTGACCCTCCTCGACATCTGCGTCAAGAACTGCGGTTATGCTTTCCAACTCCAGGTCAGCACAAAGGACTTCCTGAACGAGCTCGTCCGTCGCTTCCCCGAACGCCCTCCTATCCGCGTCACTCGTGTCCAAAGCCGCATCCTCGAGCTTATCGAAGAATGGCGCTCCACCATCTGCGTCACGTCAAAGTACAGGGAGGATCTTGGCTTTATCCGCGACATGCATCGCTTGCTGAGCTACAAGGGCTACACTTTCCCCGAAGTCAAGAAGGAGGATGCCGCTGTGCTCAACCCGACAAACGACCTCCGATCCGCAGAGGAGATGGAAGAGGAGGAACGCGCTGCTCAGTCAGCGAAATTGCAGGAGCTTATCCGCAGGGGTACTCCTCACGATTTGCAGGAAGCCAACAAGCTCATGAAGATTATGGCTGGCTTCGACACTCGCCGCAAGACTGATTACCGTGCAAAGGCTGCTGAGGAGGTTGGCAAGATTCAGCAAAAGGCGAGATTGCTGGAGGAAATGCTCCAAGGTTACAAGCCAGGTGATGAGATCAAGGAGGGCGATGTCTTCGAGGTGAGCACTCTTGTCCACTGTGCGACTCTGTCGTAGACTAACAAAGCTAGGAACTCGCAAACGCATTAGCCAGCGCGCACCCGAAAATCCAAAAGATGTGCGAGGAAGAATCTGAGGACACCGAGGCTGTCGCAAAACTGTTTGAGATCAATGACAGCATTCACAGGACGAGTGAAAGATACAAGCTGATCAAGAAGGGTGATCTGGAAGGCGCTAACAGAATCGCTGCTGGTACTCTGGGCATCAGCGGTGCCGGTGTCAAGAGCGGTCCTAACAACGAGCTGTCATTGATTGACTTTGGCGGTCCCGAGGAGGAAGTCGCCCAGCCTGCTCAATCCCAGCAGTCACAAGCAGCTCCCCAGTCTAAGGGTAATGCTCTTGAGGACGACTTGCTTGGCCTATCAATGGGCGACTCTGCCTACGGCTCGGGTGGTGCCTTGACTTTGGGATCCCCAAGCAACGGCCTTGCCGATCTTGCTGGTCCTTCGAGCTCACAACCAACCCCAGCTCCTGCACTTACTGCTATTCCTCCTCCTGCCCAGCCTCAAGCGGCCAAAGCAAACTACGACCCCTTCGGCATGATTTCCTCTCCTGCTCCCGCCTCAAATGCCTTCAACCAACCTCAACAACAACAAAAAGCCGCCGACCCCTTCGCTGCTCTCTCCGGTAACTCGCGCACCGCATCTCCTTTCCAATTCCAGCAATCCGTCAAGCCTTCACCACCGCCCGCAGCTCCGCAATCAGCTGCATCACTATTGGGCGGTGACGACGAGTGGACGTTCTCCTCTGCTCTGCCTACCCAACCGCAGCAACCTCAGACCAACGTCGTTACTGTTATCGACTCGAGCGTAAGAGCTGTTTTCCACATCTCAAGACCGGCTGGTGCAAACGACTACCTGGCTATTGATGCCAGGATATCAAACAAGACCCCTCAACCCGTCAGCGACTTCACCCTGCAGCTGGCTGTAACAAAGGTATTTTGAAATCTAGCATCAAACGTTTTGAGGATCTCAAATCTGACAGCTGAGTTAGGCATTCTCCCTGCAATTACAACCACAATCTGGACGTAACCTTTCACCAAACCAGGCCGATGGCATTAAGCAAGCCATCCGCTTACAAGGTGTAGCTCCTGGCAAGGGTAGTGCTGTCCGTATGCGATGGCGCGCCAGCTACACCATTGCCGGCCAACCGCGGGAGGAGAGTGGTGAAGTCAGCAACCTGGGCGTGCTTTAGAGCAGTTGTAGAATCTTCTTGCTTTCTCCTGTTGTTTAATACTTTCTTGAGCGTAAAAGACGATACTTGACTTTTCAACGTACCTGTGCGATCTCAAGGTGATCAGACTGATTCGTGCCACAGTGAGTCCCAACATCAGCGGCAGTGGTCTGATGATGAGACCAGGAGTCGCCAGTATTGACGGAACACGATTATCAAGTTGCGGATCTTCCCGCTCATTTCGGGTCTATTCTCAGAAACTAAACGAGGGAGAAATGATCATGATGCTACGGTGGTAGTGGCTAACTAGGTATTGCAGTGTTCGGACTGTGATTACGAGCTGCAAGAAGTGGTACCATCAATTACGGATTCGCGGATCCTCCAGGTGCCTTGTCAAAGGTTCCGATTGCTCGTAGCTGCAAAGGGGCTCTGGTGTTTGTACAAGTATGAGTCGAATGTGCAGCAGTGTATCGTGAGAGTCGTAAACCGATCACAACTGTCGAGGAGTTTATTTTAATGGGGTCATACGACATGGACCGGACATGCGAGGCATTCAAATGATGGCGGCAGCTGTTCACTAAACCGACATCGGTAGAAGTCGCAGGAGGCAAACACGCATCGTCTATTCGGTGACAGAGCGGGTTGCTTGTTGAATATGATACCGGAAGATCATGATTCCAGGTCGTGAGATGAGCTGCTTTATGCGATACGAAAACATGATACACGCAATCTGTGTTCGACAAAGGGAATGAATAGACATGCAAGTCAGACAAAATGCATGTCACGTTACGGCCCGATATCAAGTTCATGCCTGTGTCGCCAGAGCACGTACACGAACGCGTGGTGGCCAGAGGAGACAGATTTGTAGATGCGGGAGTGGCCGAAGCTAAGCTTTCTTGTGAGCCGTGGCACGCTCGGCTCGAACGGAAGTGCAAGCTTGAAGATCACCGACGATGTCATAGAGGTCCAAGTTTTTGTCGGAAGCTGTTCAGAAAGGCGGCGTGCTAATCGATCCAAATTGTTGTTCGCCATCAGTAGAGGACACCATTCCAAAAGGTGAAGCTGAAACTGATTTCTCTCACGGAGTCGGTCGCACTATTCGAATAAGGCCGCAGGAACGATGGCAAGGATGTGGTGATGGGGTGACTTTGTGGTTCGGCCCTATGACGCTGATCCGGAACATTCTCACATGGTCGGAAGCTCGAGGGTGGAAGCAGTTCAGCAGTTGTAGCTTCACTGTTTTCGTCTGGACCCAACACTTCTAGATATAAACCAATTCACCTCCCAGGGCACCATAGCCTTTTCTTTTCTTCTCATCCTCATCCGAGACTCTCCAACCTTCACACCCCTCTTCCACCATGGCTTCGCAAGACATCCGCACGAGCTCGCTCAAGAAGCCCATCACCATCACTGAATACCTCTTTGCTCGCCTGAAGCAATGTGGCGTTAGCTCCGTTCATGGTCTTCCTGGTGACTACAACCTGGTCGCCCTCGACTACCTGGAGAAGGCTGGCCTCAAATGGGTCGGCAACTGCAACGAGCTCAACGCCGGTTACGCTGCCGATGGTTACGCCAGAATCAAGGGTGAGTACAATCTCGAGTCATTCTTGCGATACCACGGGCTGACGATGATTAAGGCTTGTCCGCCCTCGTCACCACCTTCGGTGTTGGTGAGCTCTCAGCCATCAACGCTATTGCCGGTGCCTACTCCGAATACGTCCCCATTGTTCACATCGTCGGCACTCCAGCAACATCAGCACAGAAAGACGGCCTCCTGCTCCACCACACTCTCGGCAACGGCAACTACGATGTCTTCATTGACATGTTCCGCCCGGTCTCCTGCGCCGTCGCCAATCTCAAGGACCCCAACACGGCCGCTGACGAGATCGACCACGTTATCCGCGAATGTTACATCCAATCCCGTCCCGTCTACATTGGTCTGCCCTGCGATATTGTCGAGGACATGATCGAGGGCGAGAGACTTGCTCAGCCCATCGACCTTTCGTACCCCGCCAACCCCGAAGAGCAGGAAGACTACGTCGTGGATGTTGTCCTGAAGTACCTGCACGCAGCCAAGAACCCTGTTATCCTGGTTGATGGTTGTGCCATCCGTCACCGTGCCCAGAAGGAGACTCACGACCTGGTCGTCAAGTCTGGCCTCCCCACATTCGTCGCTCCTCTCGGCAAGGGTTGTGTTGACGAGACTCTTCCCAACTATGGCGGCGTGTACGCCGGAGATGGCTCCAACGAGGGCGTCCGCGACCGTGTCGAGAGTTCAGATCTCGTCATCAGCATTGGTGCCATCAAGTCCGACTTCAACACTGCAGGCTTCACCTTCCGCCAAAGTCAACTGAAGACCATCGACTTCCACTCAAACTACATCCAGGTTCGCTACTCACAGTACCCCGGTGTTCGCATGAACGGTGTCCTCCGTAAGGTCGTCGACAAGATGGGCAAGCTCAATGTCGAGGCTGGACCCAGGCCCACAAACCGCACAAGCAGCCAAGAGAACACCCAAGTCATCACACAGAAGTACTTCTGGCCTCGTCTTGGCCAATGGCTCCGCGAGAACGACATTGTCCTTACTGAGACCGGTACCGCCAACTTTGGTATCTGGGAGACTCGCTTCCCTGCTAAGGTCCAGCTCATCTCTCAGGTCCTATGGGGCTCCATCGGTTACGCGACTGGTTCTGCCCAGGGTGCCGCTCTGGCCGCCAAGGAGCTCGACGAGGAGAAGGGCGAGAAACATCGCACCATCCTGCTCACAGGTGACGGTTCCTTCCAGTTGACCGCTCAAGAGGTCTCGACCATGATCCGCCGCAAGCTGAAGCCCATCATCTTCCTCATCCAGAACGACGGTTACACCATTGAGCGTATGATTCACGGCATGAAGGCCGAGTACAACGACGTTCAAACGTGGAACTACAAGGACCTGGTCCCCGCCTTTGGCGCGAAGGAGGGCGAGTACAAGACCTACACCGTCAAGACACGCGAGGAGCTGGACGAGCTCATGGCCGACGACAACTTCAACGCCGCTCCTTACCTTCAATTCGTCGAGATGTACATGCCCAAGGAGGATGCTCCCGAGGCACTCAAGCTCACTGCTTCGGCAGCCGAGCGCAGAAATGCAAAGGTCCAGGCCTAAAAGGTTTCTGCACCGAAAACAAAGCGGCCTTCTCTTGTGAATATTATTAACGAATAACTTAATTGGTTTCTCCTCTTTGATGAACATAGACTTTAGCGTTTTGCTTTTGAAATCCACTTCTCTTACTCCTTCCTCGTCTCCTCTCCTCCCTGATTATGCGTGTGGCTCCAAGGTTGTCTAGGATCACCTTCTGTAATGTACCAAGCCTTGCTTGAACATTGCGTAGATGCTGGATTTGATGATCCGAGCCCTCGTGGCTACTAGGTCGTCATGATGAATGTGGGTGTCGGCGCTGTCATGGACTTGTTACGCATGAGTGCTCATATATCCCTGTTTCATGACCTGGTTCCAGAGGACTGATGATGGACTCTACGAGCCTCTGCATCGCATATGTGTATCGCAGTGATTTCCTGATCCTCCCAAATGACGTTGTCTTGCATCGCTTGATGGCCGAATGTGTTCCTGCTATCGCGTTTGATGATCGTATCGTGCCATCTCCACCTTTTAACCACCCATCTCAACATCCTTCTCCTCGGCCAACACAGCCAACCTAGCCAACACATCCCTCTGCCTCTGAATCTTATCCTCCAAACCCCTAATCTCCTCCTCCTGCTCCTCAACCCCTCTCTCCATATCCGCCAGCCCACCCAACTCGGCCAACGCTTTCCTAATCCTACTCTTCAAGAACTGAGCAGCCACAGCAGCATCTTTGTATTCCAATTGCTGTGGTGCTGATGTCGGGAGAGCTGAAGCGGAGGTTACGGGTGTATGTGCGGCGTTTCCTGGTGGGAGGGCTGCTGAGGTGTCGGGGGTGTAGACGTTTAGAGAGGGTTCCAGTCGCGAGAGGAGGGCGTGGAGGGGTGGGAGGATGTCGAAGGTTTGGGGTGGGGGGAGGGGTGGTTGGGGGTTTGTGGGTGTTGAGATGAGGGGTGGTGCTGTCGTTGTGGTTGGTGTTGCGTTTGATGACATTTTGTATCCTTTTCTGGCAGAAATGGTTGGCTTTTGATCGAGTTGTAAAGTTGGTGGCGCTTGGAGGGTTTATTATTTGGAGTGGAGCGTTGGACTGGAAGTTTACGTTGGAGTGATGCAGATGACGGAGTTGCTTGCGACTTCTCCGCATAGTGTAGCAGCACTTCCGATGCTCGCGAACATCAGTTTACCTTGACTTCTTCTTCTTCTTCTTACACACCTGAGTAATCAAGTTTCATTGTATGTGAGTTCACTATATAACAGGTCATTGAAAAGTCTCACTAGGTATCGATCAGTATAGAAGTGCGAGTACCTTAGATCGATAACTAGCTGAATTCACATAAACGATTTTGTGCTCGGCACAAACTTTCACAAAGCTCGTCCTCGTAGATCGCTCTGTACATAATTTTGTGGAGATGGTGCCCATGAGCGATGTTCGGGTCCTCTATCTTTTACTTCTTAGCAGGAGTCACTATGACGAACCACGACACACCTCATGCACTTGTACTTCCGGAAGCTGTGCGAGAGGTCCTCGAGTATCTGAACAGAATGTCTTGGTAGTCTCCCCAACTTACAGGCACTGGGAGTCAAAGGACTCAAACCGGACAGTGTAAGCGATGAAGTGATGCTCTGCACCTGCTACAATTCGAGCGACTCCTCGTCTGGAGATTTATTGCAGCAATTATACATCGGTTCTCTCCGCAGGACTTTCTAGAGAATAGTCAGCGGCTGGAAGTTCGGATGGAGTGGCGTGTGGCCTATTCGCCTGTGTCGAACTCGCACAATCTGTCACGTCTTCAGCTTCACATAACAACCGTATTCGATAAGAACCATGGCTTTTTACAAGGCATAGGTGAACACCTTCTCCGGACATAAGACAGAGGAATATATGCTTTGTGATGAGCTTTGGTCTTTGACACGTTTGCATAAGCTATGCCACCTCTGCCTCGCTGGTTAGAGACTGTCGATGTGCGATAAGCTGAAGGACGGAGATTACGTGCAGTTCTACTCGAGCTTCCCGCACTTCCAGCAACTCGTCTTTCGATTCGGGTGGTCTTCCAGCTTCGGCCGCTTTGACTTCGAGCAGAACTTGCGCTCATTTGCACTCCTGCAGCCTGATTCTTGGACTCTTCTACCATAAGCCGTCACCGCTGTGGCCCAGCTTGAGGGATTCCATGATGCAATCCGTATCGTGTCCGAAAGCGGAAAGAACGCTCCAAGACATAGTTGGAGAATGCTCCTGCTGCTGAGAGCGCAGAGTAGTGGACGCCGAACAGGATCCCCAACGATTTGTTCAAGGAAGGCAGTGACGATGCAAGAGCTCGATTAGAGTTGCATCTCAGACGCTGCCGTTGAGCTTTTTGCAATCCACCTGGAGCCGTGTGTAATCGAAGGAGTCTTTCCAGAGGCTGAGCCCTATGCACTGGAGGAATGCATCTCGGAACCCTAGATCATCCCTTGCCTCGAGACGGCCCATCTGTCAGCTTCTCAGTAAGCACGACCTGATGCTGATGATATCTTTCTTTGACACTGATAAGTAGACAGCCTTGGACTAGGTTGTGTGTGGTGATGACCTGGAGGACGATAGCGTTTCTCATATCTCAATCCACGCATCTTGATCTGACATCTTCAGCGAGAACATCTCCGTGCTTCTGTATCATCAAATAGCAGGTCCGGGAGTGTTTCTGGCTTCTGCTGGGCAAGTCGAATGTCTGCCGTCGCGGTCACCTAGACACAAGGAGCAGCGCTTGCCGTTTGCCAGCTGCTTTCGGCTTGCCGGCAAGAAATTGCTCTGTCCTCGAGAAATGGAAGGAGTCGAGCCTGGTCAGTGTGTCGATCTTTCCAAACACAGGGATCGTCGAGCGACAAACATGGTGTTAACGGATCCTGTGTGGTGCTCGAGAGTGGTGTGGGTTCTAGGTCGATAGGCAGAAGGTATGGTAGCAGAAGGCACCACATCTAGTCTCTGCAGGACCTTCCAATGGAAAGATCTTGGAGGCAGAGCACTGTGCAAGCCGACCGGTACCGCTTCGTTACTGAACAAGCGTCGGAGTAGTTCTACGTCGAACGTTCGATGATGTCGTTGCCTGGCGCGACGAACAGCCCGTCGACAGCCGGATAAAGAAGCAAACGACATCTTCTCTCGCAACATACTGAAGCCGTTTCTCCACCTCAAGGTTAGAGATCTGTTGTTTACGCAATCCTCGTCCCCTCGCACGATACTCTCTCCAGTACATTGGAAGATAAATCTTCGTGCTTCCCTCCTTCTTGCAGTACATCAAGACCAAAAGGGTACTCCGACCTGGAGACGCACCTCCGTCTCGTGTCGAGTCGTCTCACCTCGTCCCTGAGGCGGTTTCGTCGACACCTTCGACGTGTCATTCCAGATACCAAAAATTGCGACTGTCAGCCCTCTTTCACAATCAATAAGACTGCTCTACTGTTTTCGTGAGTATCGCCTGCTTGCCATGGCAGCCGAACGCAGAATAGCGATCGAACTGGCCTCTGACCCGGACGAAGCAACCATGAATACCGCTTGCACCGTGGAGGAGCTCCTCTCTATCAATCCTGATACTCGCCAATTGTTTGCTAATAAAATCAACGAAATAACCTTGACCGGTCAATGCTCAGATGAAGTCACACAGCTGGAACACATCAGCTTCCCAAACCTCCGCCGTATGAATGTCAAGCCCCGCGAGCAGGTCTTAGTAGCCGTCCAGCACTTCTTTTTCCGCCTCATCGAGCGCACTATCACACTAGAAGATGTGGCTGTGTGGCTGCATGTCGCGGGTGAGCTCACAAGCTCAAGAGCTTTCTCTCTCCTCTCTGTTCTACCCGTTCTGAAGAGTTTGGAGTTCCGTACACTGGCTGAACCTCTCTTGGTGGGTGTCGCCGCTTCAAAGCAGATCTGCACTCCTGGACGCTTCGCCAGTCTGAGAAAACTCAACCTTTCGGCCAAGAGCCACACCGTTCCCTCCTTGTACTTTTCCCCTCAGCTGGAAGAACTGTCGGTCGATCTAGACGATTCCACCGGACTGACCCGTGAAGGCCTGCTCATCATATCAAAGCTGAAAAACCTCCGCTCTTTGAAGTTATCAGATGAAACCTCAGATGGCAATCTCCACTCGAGCATATCGTGCTCTGGATTAATCTCGTACTTTTCGCACATGAAGATGCTCGAACAACTCGGAATCGCCTTTCTTTTCAGCGACGGCATAGAGCGCAAAGTGTCGACATCTGACCTCATGAGTATCGCAAAGCAACATCCCAAGCTTAGATACCCCAGCCTGCCGCAAATCGATGGGTCCCTCCGACTTGAAACGACACGACGGACCTCTGTTTCCGGAGCTTCATCACCTCTATATATGGGTGAACAAACAGGCCTTCTATCCTCAAGGGTAAATATACATCTGCCTCAATGTTCGCTCGATACCTGACTGACATTCTAATTCCAGTAGTGTATTATGAGACTTCAGATTACTTGTAAGTTGTTTCTTCTGCGACCAAAGTACCTCGGATCTAATCAAGTTTCCCAGCCACTTGCCCACGGAAATTGAGGCTTTCGATTACATGTCTGTGCTGTTTGCTCACTGTCCGAGAATCAGTGTCTTTTCCTTCTTCCACTCTTTCTATTGTCCTGACTGGCTTCCTGTTTGGAGTACCAAGAACAAGATTAGTGAATACGCTGAGATAATCATCAAGGAAAAAATGTACCTCGAGGAGCATCTGGAAAGCGAACTCGGGAACACAATCCTAGACTGGCATATCGCCGGCGTCGGTGTCGAGTACTCGGAGCCTCGCGCGGCCGAGACTACAGAACTTACGGAGCAGCTCACTATCATGGAATAGTGGGCGCGTGAGAGGCGAGCACTCTTTTTGTGGCATTGAAGGAGCAACGAGATTGGATACAGAAAAGCAAGGTCATGTCGTAGCTCTTCTTACGATGCTTTTTTTGGGGCACAAAATACATGGATATGGTATCAAGAAACCTAGAGTTATAGCACAGTAGTCGAGTAATCGAAAGTCTGTCTACTAATGCAATCCCTCGTGATGCATCTTTCAGGTAGAAAAACCATGAAAAGGCACAATACTTTCTCAGATCCATGAGATGTCTCTCAAGAACATTAATCTACCAAGATCCCATTGACCAAGTCACGGTTTCTGAAAACAATCTTACCTTTTTACAGCCCCGTCCTGTAGTAGTAGCCTTTCATGGAGTCAAGGTGATCTTGAAAATCTCAGCCAGAGGCTCAAGGATAGATCGACTCTCCCCCTACCATCTCGCTATAGATATAGCTGTAGAAAGGCACAGTATGATTTCGGACTAATCGCGGTGATCTCTGGGGGGGGGGAAGACGGTTTCCCATCCTCTCCATGATCGTTGTGCCTGGAAATGTAAAAGATCATGCATTCTGACAGCACACTTGGAACCAGCGCGCTTGGATGAAGGGTCGGTTCACCCCACCGTTCTGCGAGCAAGAGGGCTACACGGAGGACAAAATGATTTGCCGCAGCGCCAGCTATCGGTGCTGGGAAAAAAAAAAGCAGAACGGAGCTGCAGAAAGGCAAGATTGGGAAGCGTTTGTTAGAGAGCAATCACCTCGTCAGTTCTCCTTCGTCATGTACTTGGTCGTCGAAATGACTCTGCATTTCTACAGCGCACGTCTGCAGACTCATACCTCAACGAGAGACAAAAGTGCCCTGTAAGTGAGACGGCGTAAGAGCCCGGTATCACGCTCTCCTGGCGTAATCACACGACCAGACAGTCCTAACTACTTGCAGAATAGTCTTCGCAAAGATCGACATCGTCCATGGAGAAGCAGGTTAAAATATTAATTCTGTTATTTCATATCTTCAGTCCAATTGTCCTTTCTGACGTCCTAGCAAGATGTTTTTTCTCATACAGACACAAAAGACGAAAATGTATGACTGGAAAATAACGCCCTTTCATGTCCTTTGATGCAAGAAAAAAGCGACAAAGGAGAAAAAAGCCGACAGATGAGTTCTGACACAAAAATGACTGATGAGGGTGGGACGCTTCGAGGCAAATTTGCAGACATTGTATGTGCAACAAAGTGAAAAGTAGGGTTGGGAACGTCTGTCCAACTCAGACGGAGATGCTGGTAATGGGTATGATGTGATGCTGGCAAAGATGCATATCGAGATTGGTAATGAAAAGTGATCCGCTGGCTCATGCGTGAGTACTCTCGGAGTACTCGATCCATTTGTCGATGGCCATTTTTGGTAATTAATGTTTTCTGAAAGACGTCGGTGTCGAGTTGGCATCTACCGCGTGATGATCAGGCCAAAGCCATCAAGCCAATTACCGCAGGTACCGTAGACACCGGCAATACTGTATCCTCTGGGAGGGATCAAACTACAACTGTTGAATGTGTTAGCACTGGTTCATAGTCGATATTGATGTCAATGTTTTCACTTACCCGCTGCCACCATCTTTGTTGCCGTACCACTCGCTGCGACGGCCACCGCTAGTCAGGATCTGAATGCCATCAATCCAGAGGCCAGCTCTCAGATTGAATCCCAACAATGTTTCTCCAAATCGTGCGTTGATGGGGAACTCATCGCCGCCCTCTTTACCGCCTTTCTTTCCGAATAACTGGTTCTCGCCATCTTCGTACACAAATTCGATACCATCCAGCGCAAATCCATGATACACTCTTATTGATGTCAGAAGCTTGCGCTTCTCGTGTGATGATCGCAAAAGCACTTCCTGAGGCTTGGTTCCGTCCATTTGTGAGAATCCAACCTTTGAGCCTCGGAAGCCCAGTCTGCTGTCAGGAAGCTTGAGCTTCGAGTCCTTGCTCACGTGCTGAGCAAAGTCTGCAACCTCATGCTCGCCTTGTCCGAGGGAAAAGACCTTGATTTTCAGCTTCTTGTTCTTGTTGGCCTCGCCGACCCTCGCTCTCAAGTCGGCTTCTGTCAATGTAATTTGACGAGGTGCGCCTGTGGAGGATCCACTAGAAGGGTCCAAGTACTCGATCCAGTGACGACAAAGATCATCCCCCTCGGTATAGATCTCGATGAAGGCGATGCCGGTGCTTGCGGTGACCAAAGCAGCTCCTTTATCGACAGCCCAGACTTGGATGCTATCTTCCGGAGGGACATTGATATCAGTCGGAAGAGCAAAGCAAGGATGTAATCTGAATCGCAAAGCATCCAAGCGATGCCATGCACACTCATCCTGTTGGAGACAAAGACGCATGCCTTGCGATTTGGTGCGAGTCGAGTAAGGTTCTCTCGTAGTGAAGGTACGGTTCAAACGGACATAATCGCGGAGCATGACACCCGATTCTTGATGGGGACAGCCAAACAGGTGACCAGTCTCATGCATGTGGGCGCCAATCCCGATGTTAGCAGCCTCCCAGTTGCTTCCGCTTTCGTTGCAGTCGTTGGCGACATAGTTGGTGTCGGTTTTTGTGCAATCAGTAAACGCTGGCACAACTTCTTCAAGATGAGCAGGATATGACTGCAGAGAGTGAGAACCGAAGACGGCAAGCTTCACCTGTTCGTCGCCACCACCTAGAGCGGCATGGCCCCTGACTGTACCAGCCTTGGAATCCCAGTGTGTGTCCAAGTACATGCAAGATACGTATTCTTTCTGGCCGGGTCGAGGCTTGAAGTGGTTCTTTACAGCATCCATGGCGATGGAAAACAGATCGCCCTTCTGTTTGGCGGGACCGTATTGTTGGGCAATGTTGAGATCTTGAATCTCGGCGACGGTCTTGTTTAAGGTGATGATGTGGATCTTGGCCTCGTTGCGCATCTGGCCTGTCACAAGATCGCGTCCAGTCAAGCTGCCAGGTTGCCATTCTTCCTCGTAACGGAAACAACGACGCCCGAAACCATGACGGTTCATTTGTTCGCCGGTAAAGGCCTGCCACAGATAAGCAGCCATCCTGAACTTCCTCACGGCAGTCTCCAAGCCGTTACCCTCGGACTTGACACGGTCAGGGACAGCGTCAAATGTGCGGGGTGAGTCTTTTGCAACCAGAATGGCCAAATGAAGAGGTGGTGCCGAGTTCATGGGGAGGTAGTTGATCTGGAAGTAGGAGGAATGAGCAGGTTGGCCGTTGATCTGGCCTTGTGAGGGGCGACGCTGGCGAGGGATGAAGTCTAGACGAAGGCGATTGGGGCCTGGTTGGAGGTATACGAGTGCTTTGAAGTGGGAGTCGCTGACGGGCCAGGACATGGGAGGGAAGCAGTCTTGGTGCGAGCAGACGGTGAGATCACCATCTAAGGGCTGTGACGGGTCGCCGACTTGACCGTATATGAGAAGGACCTTTTGATGGACCCAAGAACCCTCGGATGCGGAGATGACGCGAGGAGCGAGCGGAGAAGTGTATTGCGTGGGCTTGGGGGAGCCGTTGACGGAACCCTGGATTCTTGTCAGCAGTCTGTACAGAAGGCGATGTGCCGAGTCAACTCACAGCGATGCTGTAGCGGCTGCTGTTGTTGTTGGATGGAGCGGGTCTGGCGCCGAGTGGTGGGGTCTTGCTGCCGTTCATGCCAGCCAGATTTGTGCTGGATCCAGAGACACAAGGCATGGAAGGCAGAGGAGGGGATGCGGCGGGAATGGGAGGAGACTTTCCACCAAAGACCGAGTTGAGTGTTGAGGACGACTTGTTGCGCGGCATGTCAGGAACGGGCTCGGCCGTGGTGCCATCTTGCGACCGAGAGTCATTGCTGCTAGAGTGAGAGTGGCCGTCGTTTCCAGAGCTCGTCTTGTCGGTCTTGAAGCTAGCCTTGGACCTCCGGCGGAAGTCTTTCAGAAAGGAAGGCATGGCGGTGGAAGGAGGTCGCTAGTCGCTGGTGGGTGCGACGCTGCAGGACGAGGCACTTTTATGCGCTGCGTACAGACCGTCCTTCGTTGGCAGCAAACAGAGGGATATGGTCGAACGACCTGCGTGGTACCGAATATGCGCAACACGGCGGATGGCTGCTGAGAATGCTGCACTCTGCCGCAACACAAATGGGCCCTGGTCCAGAGTTACGCGTTTCAAGGGCTGGCCAAGCAATTCTCACCGGATGATGATCAGGTCGAGGCAGGTGGGATTTTGTCCTTTCAAGTCTGGCAATGCAAAGTTGCAGAGATTGAGCATGCCTAGGAGGAAGAGGGTAGGCCGGGCAGAGGATACGAGCGCCGTAACCAACTTCGAACCTTGAACCAAGATGAATGTTGAGCTGCTGCCATGAATACTCTCAACCCGCAATTGCATTATCGCATCAACGTCAAAGGTGGTTGGTGCTCGTCCGCACGCTGCCCACTGCCCACTGCCCTCGGCCACTAACCCGACACTAGCGGCGCCACAAATTATGCTTCTCTTGGAAATCGGTGCCGTCATAGTCTGAAATCCATTGGCCGCTCTCCGATGAAACTGTTCGTCCAATAAGCCATGTCTCTGTAGAACGACAGAGGAAGCAGGTGCTTGCAAGTAGAATACAGGATCATGCGGCTCTCACGCTACGAAGGTCTGAGTTGCTGCATGCTGCTATTCATATCCTCGGCCGATCGTCACGAAGCTGTGAGCCAAACAAGAGTCGGCTTTGACGACTCGGCTGCCAAATTCATCACTCCTCCGCGCTTCGATTGCTCCTCTTCCAAGGCAGAGCGAGCCAAGGAAGGGATTTTGTGCAATCCACTCTCTTTTCCTCCTTGGACGAAGGCTTCGAGATTGCTTCATCTGGTCAAAGCCGTCATTCAGGAGAGGAAGATGATTGCTAGTACGAGCAAGGGGAATTGGACATGAAGACTGATTGCGAAGAGTCAAGACTGCTCTGTTGCCGCTGCAACTTGGTCGACAACAAACGCTTGTGTCTGTGTACCTGGAATAAAGAAGTTCAAAACCTCGACTTGACGCGGAGACGTGGTCGATTTATGACGATCCATCAACGGTCCGTCAATAAGCTGGAGTACCTCGAAGCTGCGCACCCCCAGAAGCTGCGCAGCTGCGCAACTGTATACCGCTGTTTCTGATCAATTTATACGACGATACGTAGTTATATTTGGAATTCAATAAGGCATGCCTCGTAACTCTGGTTCAGGAGGTCATTTGAGGCCTGTTCCGCATCAAATTGAGTCGCTCTTGCTGCTGCTCGTGTCTCAACTAGTTNAGTAGCCTCTCGAGCCTTCATAATGATTTCTATGTTCGCAAACTTGGTATTTNGGTTGACTGGTACCTTCTTACGTCTCTTANCTACTAAGGCCTCAATTTGAGCCGCTTGTTGCTTGGTTTTGTGCTCAAGATCAGCGTTACGTGTATTAAGAAGATCTAGCGCGAAGCCGACCTTTTTGTAGGCATAGAATAAGGCCTCCCTTTGGCCATTACTTTGCCGAATAAATTGAGTGTTATNGTGTACTTGACGTGAGCTTTTTGGTGTAGTATAAAAAGCTGGATTAATTGGTTGTAGTGGTGGTGTTTTAGCTCGTGGTTTTGAGGCTGGTATTTGTGATGAATTTAAGCCTTTTT